TCAAAACAGAAAAAATACCTCATCATCGGTACGGCGTTCTCACAACATGGCTATTGAATTTGTTCTTCTCGTAAACAAACAGGGACAAACAAGACTTGCTCAATACACCAAATTTAAAACCATCAATGAGAGAACGGCATTGGAAGGAGAAATTGTAAGAAAGTGTTTGAGTAGGAACGAAGATCAAGTATGTATCTATAACATTGGAGAATTTTATAATTTTGAACTGATGCATGTTTAACATAATGTTGCAAATATACGCTCGGGTGATGTCATATAATGCACGGAACTATTTGTACAAATACGATTTAATTTGTTGTGGGTTATGTTTCATCAAAACATATTTGGACTAACCGTTGAACACACACGATCATTTGAATAATTCTACTTAGTGCTCCTTTATTGAACATATGGGATACAAATTAATTTACCGGCGTTACGCTTCTCTATTCTTTATTGTCGGAGTGGATAGTCATGAGAATGAGCTCGCTATTTTGGAATTTATTCATTGTCTAGTTGAAACTTTTGATAAATACTTTGAAAATGTGGTATGTTTGGATCATGATTGCGTTATGGGGAACAGATGATGAATATTAATTATTAATTGATGAATATTTTCATTTTGTGATCTTTCGTTGAACAATAATTTTCCCATGTTCCACTATTCGACTTCTTCAATGTCAACTTTCAAAATTTCATTTTGAAACCTTGAATCTGTTGGAATTATATAATATTATGATTTTTCTAAAATTTTGAATGCATGATATTGAAACAATAGTGTGAATTGGACGTCATGTTTAACTTGGAAAAGGCACACTTTATTGTTGAAGAAATGGTTGCAAATGGTTGTATCGTTGAAACCAACAGAACTAACATTTTAGAAACTGTACAAATGATGGACAAACATACTCAACAATAATTGCTACTAATTATGTGTAAACTAAATATCTCAATTTCCCCTTTTTTCTATCATTGCCAAATTTAAAAAGGAAATGGATGACATTGGACAACAATTCCTTTCTTCTTTCCCTGAGCTCTTTGCATTCTTCATGTCTTTCCTCTTGTCCACAATGCATAACTCTTTCAAATTCAGTATTACGCATTCGTCGTCCTTCTTGGAATAAATCCTTTCTGATTCTATTTAAAAAATCTAAAAAAATGTCTTCCAGCAATTCCAACACGGGTACCAACCGGCCCAAACAACCACCGTCTACGCAAACAACGAACACTTCCTCTACAAGTATGAAACGATCCAATACATCAACGAACGCATCATTGGCACAATCATCAAATACATCATCGGGAAGTACCGGAAGCAAACTATCATCAGGATTAAATAGTGCTTGGAATATGGTCAAGAAGGGGATTGAAGGTTCATCCAGCTCTAGTAATTCCTCTTCATCACAAGCATCATCATCAAATAATCAAAATGCAGCCTCTGCTTCTTCGGGAGTCACAATATCGGTGGAAGAATTTCAAGTATTAAATCAACAAATACTGGAATTAAAGAAAGCAAAATACGAACAAATGCAGCAAATTAAATCCTTTGAAAAACAAATTGCTAATGGAAATGAAATGATGAAATTGCAAAATGAGCAAATGGAAGCATTAAAATTAAATTTAAAGAATATTTATTTGGAAAAGGAACAATTAGAGAAAGAAAAGGTCGAGTTGACGAATCAACTCAAAGATGCGCTAAAAATCAATCAAGAAAAGAATGATGAGGTAGAGAGACTGAAAAATCAAATTGAGCTTCAACAACAGACTATTCAAACATTGACCATTAGTTACGATCTCATGATATCCAATGTTAAAAGCGACTCGGAAAAGGAAAACGTAGAACCTAACAATGATAATATTGCCACAAGTGCCTCATCCAGCAAAGAAATTACCAACATTACAGAGGATCAACAGGTTCCTCCCACCGAAGAAGTTGCCATTGCTGACAATGAACAAAAGGATCAAGTTTCATCTCAAAACGAAGATGGAACAGTAGCAACTTCAACTGAGCCATCATCACCTCAACATCATTTGGATTTAATCGCCAAAGATAAGAGAATATCAGAATTGGAAACTCTCAATCAACAACTGAATGTACAGGTGTCACAGCAGTCACACAAAATTCAACAGTTACAACTAGTTCAACAACAATTTTTGCAACAAACTCAACAACTACAACTGCAAATTCAGAACCATACATTGACCATTCAACAACACAATCAAAAAGCACAAGAACAAGAAAATCTTTTGAAAGAGGAGAAGAATATCACGTCACAACTAACAAAAGACCTTTCAGATATTAAGGAACAGCTGCGAATGACCACAGATGAACTTCTACAAGCCCGATATCATTTACAGGTCCAAACAACACAACTTGTACAACATGAAGAAAAATCAAAGCAGCTGGAAAAAGAAAAGAGCATTTTACAAGGACAACTGGAAGAGTGTAAAATAGAGTTGGACAATTGCAAGATTGATCTCACTACCGAACGAAACGACCATCAAAAACAGATTGAACAATTCAAAATTGAAAACGATATTTACAAACATCAGCTTGAACAGTCCAGGAACGAGTACAAACATGTTACCGCCGAGATGGAACAAGTTCAATCTCAATCACAAGGATGGAAGGAAAAATTCACCAAAAAACAAGAATTGGTTATTGATTTACAAATGAAAATTCAAGAAAAGAAGGAGCAAACTGAAAAAATGATGGCTCAATTTGAAAAGGTAGAATCCCAATACAAGGAAAAAATAGCTAATTTAGACAATCAATTATTTCAAGCCAATCAAGCAAAAGAACAACTCAAGAAAGAATGTCTTGAGCTTCAAAGAAGAATTAAGCATGATTATGAACCATACCAGGAGAAGGGTAAAATATATGACGAGACGAAAAAGCAATTAGATCAACTTAAAAATGATTATTTGGAGTTGGAAAGAAAATACGATACGATCAAAACAAAGAATATTGATTTAAATGTGAAAAATAATTCTCTGGAAGAACAAATTGCAAAACACTCGGAATATATTTCGAGTTTGGAACAACGAAACAAGGAACAACACCAAGAAATCAAAACTCTGACCAAACTCAACGACAAACTCTATCAAAAATTCGAACAGTTGGATCGAAAATTTATTTCATTCTTTGTCAATGACATTTTCAACAATCTTTGCACCACAGATTTCAAGTCAAGATATGAAAATGCACGCGATACACTCTCTCAACTTTCACACCTTCAAGACGAATATGACGAATTGAAACAAAAATATCAAGACGAGAAGCTCGAGCTCCAACTTCAACTGAAAAAATTGAAAAATCTCAATACGGATCTCAAGAAACAGCTCGAAGAAACACTCAGAGTGAAAATTTCAACCCCTTCGACACCTCGTGATTTGCAAGAGTATGTCCAATCGAATCCATCTCCCACCTCTCTTAACAGTGCATCACCTCAATTGGAGGAAGTACCCTCTGCTGAAACAGAAGCGCTGTTAAGTCAATTACAGAGTGACAATGCAGTGCTATTGGAACGAATTGGAGTTTTGCAACAAACGAATTGGGATTTGCAAGAGAAACTTCGACTCATCAATGACCGACAAATTGCTCTAGTGGATGACTTGGAAAAAAAGCAATCGCTTTTGGAACACTTTTATTCACAAATACCACTTGGAAGATTTACATCACCAGAGCAAGAGAATGTTAATAGTAAGAGCTTGCTGTCTTCCTTCTTTTCGTCCTCAAACTCATCAAAGAAGGAAGCAAGTCCTCACAAGGCCTCTCTTTCGAATCAAGGATTGGATCCTATTTCATTAGAAGCCTATCACCACATGCAACAAGTCATGCAAGATACCCTTTTACACAACATAACACTTCAAAAGCACATTGAAATGCTAGGAGAAGAAGTGGACAGGTTATCTAAAAAACTGGTGAATACATCTAAGCCTTAATTGAATGTATGCAAAGACCTGCAATTATTATTTATTTGTAAAGCCTATCACCTGATGATTCATTATTCTAAGAGATTATTATTTCACCAAATTTAGAAAACGACGGAAAAGAGGATATATAATTTATTGGAGTGGTTTGATCATGGAGGGGGAAAATTAGTCATTCTTGTTGAGCAGCAGCTTTTTCACTTTGGTCAAGTTTTCTTCGACTTTTTCATTGAGGGCAGCAATCGAAGGATGGGAAGCAACACGAGACAATTCCAATTCAATGCCTCCCTTTTCTCTCAAATTCTTGGCGCCATAAATCTTGTCCATATGAGGTTTTTCAACCAACTTGACAAACAAGTAAGTGGCAAATTGAGATAAAACAGCCAATCCAAAAACAGCCCACGACTTGGCAATCAAAGCCAAACCAAAGTATGCACAATAACCAAGAACAATTTCAGGATTGTTCAAATATCTGTAAATTCCAGTGTATGAAGGTTGTTTGCTTTGTTGTGTTTCCTGATAGAAAAAGTCTCCATAAAACCATCCATAGTCTCCTAAAACTTCATAGGTTGAAGTGGATTGGTAAATATTCAACAAAATCAAAATAATTCCAGCAATTAATTGTGTAGCATATTGCCATGTCATGAGTTGAGAAAATCCTTCATAGTAATAGTCGGTAATTGAAGATCCATTGCTATTGTAACCAGTCCATAAGAAGGTTGTAATAAATATCTTGAGTGTCAATGCAATCATGATTGCATGATTAATAGTCAATGAAAAGTTGTAAAGTCGTTTGAAGAAGCTAAATGCTTGTTGATTGGTACCACCACTCTTTGTGAATCTCTTGGTAAATGCTTGGTTCTTACTTTGACCAAATAAAATATATCCCATTCCCAAATGGTGAATCAATCTCCACAATACAGCGTGGCAAATAGCAACAAAGAAAGGAGCTGTCAAGGAAGTATACATAGCATATACGGTGATCACAACTAAGAGTAGGTCGTCAGGATGCTTGAAAGGATTCAAATTATAGAACAAAATTGGTTCACGGTCTGCCTTTGCATCTTTGGAAGTCTCTGGTGTGCTCATGCCTCCATAAATCTTTTCAATGTGAGGATTTTCAACAAAGACCAAGAAAATTAATTGCAACATGTGAGCACAAAATGACACAACCAATACAGTGTATGATCTTGACATGATGGAAACTCCGTAATAGAAACTATACCCAACGCTATACATTGGATGCGGGAACATTTGGAAAATACCATCAAACACTAGATTCTTGTCTAACAAGAAGAAAAAGTCACCCCAGTACCAAGCATAGTCTCCCAAAACACGGTGAGCATCGGACTTGGCCCAAATATTGAACAAACAGAGAGCAATACCAATAGCGTATGAAATTATTTCATAAAAACCAACACTGGTTGGAAGTTCAAAATATGCCAAGCAAAAAACAATGTAACCTGCCAAATCACTACTCAAAATAATGTCAACAACGGCACGGTAAACCATCCAAGCTGTGAAGTCCAATGGATATTCATCAACTTTATATTTCTCATGCTTTACTACGCCTTTCTTGCCACGAAGTGACAAATTGGCCTCCAAAAATGATTTGTGGTCCTTCACTAGCTTTTGGACATATTTGGTGAATTCCTTTCCGTTAGACTGCGTAGACAGTATATATCCGAGGCCACAGTTATAGGCCAATCTCCAAAATATATAATTCACCAAAAAGAACTATTTCATTGTTGAATGATGCCAGTAGTGTTACGGATGAATGATTTGCATTGGCATGTGTTGGTGATATGGAGAATAAAAGCGAGCACACAAAATGTCAGACACAAAGAGTTTCAGCAATGGTCATCACATCATAACAATTATTTCGGTATAAAAATAATAGAGCCATCGTGTGATGGTAACATTCAATGAATTTCATCAAGCGAAACGAGTTATTGATTTACGGAATAGTTGATGATGAGAAGCCAAATCAATACACAATAACAACCTACCCATTTAGGAAGTAATCCTGTCAGGAATGATATTGAATAAAAACCAATTAAAAGCAATTCAAGTATCACTGGAAGTTCAGTCCACTTTTGTGGATGAGTAAAAACATCGGTACAATCATACGTCAGTGGTACACTAAACCTCTCTTTCGTCGTTGTACAAATTCCCACAGCTTCTTCCTCCTTGTTTGTTGAATCATCCTTCCTTTTAGCAGCACTATCCGATGATGATGAGGTTGGTGATGATGATGAAGAACCATCCTGCTTATGATGATTATTCGTGTTGGACGGAGAGTTTTGGTGGGCGACGCTTACCGACATTTTTTGGGAAGGGAGAACTCTCTCACGTATTTGCGTGATTTCGAAGGGCACTCGTAATGATGACGTGGTGCGAGTGCATGGTGTCGAGTTGAGTGTGATGAAGGAACAGAATGGAAAATTATTTGAAGCTCGAGGAGGAACGCATTTCCAGAATTTCTCTCTTCTTGCAAAAAGGGAAATTTATTTCTGAGAGAGAATTCTTTCAAGAAGAAGATTCAAAATCTCGGAGTGGTGTTGTTGGTCCTTTTCTTTTTGGATCAGCTGGTGTAAATTATCAACCCCATATTTTCATCTCGTTTCATAATATCGTCATCATCCTCTCCTGACTATTAAGGTCAAGGATGATGATGGAAAATTTGGAGAGAAAAAGGAAAATAAAAAAATGAGCAAACAGCCCGAGAAGCATTCTCACGAAGATCATCATCAAGAAGATGATTGTTGTTGTGGGTGCCATCATCATGAGAAGCCTCTCCAACTCTTTAGAATGTATCCCGAGCTTGAAACCATCACTCCCAACGATGCTAAAAAATCCCGTCTTCATGAATTGTTGGTAGATGACAACAAATATTTATGGAGTGGATATCGAAAGCTACCAGTGAATGATTTCAATAGATCCTTCCTCTCAATGTTTACACTTCATAACGAAACTGTAAATATTTGGAATCATTTGCTACCATCTTTAATTTATTGCGTAGTAGCTTTCTATATTGACCACTACGTTACATCCGTAAATCCAAAGGCAAGGTGGACCGATAGAGCCAGTTTTATTTTCTACTGTGTCACTGGAATTTTCACATTCGGTTTTAGCGCCATGTATCACACTTTGAGAATGAATAGCGTGAATGATTATCATTTTTGCTTGTTATGTGACATTAGAGGAATTGTTGTATTGGTTTGCGGAGCCAATGCTCTCAGCATTACATTACAATTGAAAGACTACGAGTACTTGCAGTATATTTATTCTATTGTGAACATTACTTTGGTTATATTTTTCATATTTTGGATTAAGAAGATGGTTCGAGAGAGATTGACAAACCAGAGAACTCTCTACTTTACTCTTTACAGTTTAATTCCATTGATAACTCTAATTCATCGATTCGTTTTGCAATCAAGTACCACCAGGGACTTTGTGAATATGGTCATTTATTGCATTTTACCGAGATCTTTCCACGAACAATTTGGCATCTCACATGCTCACGTCAACATGAACATTAAGGATATTATGTGGCATAATAATCATTCCACCAACTTGCATTTTCCAAACGGAGTTCTTGATGTGAATCATGACTTGACTCAGTTATATATCATGAATTATTTCTTATTAGGTTTTGGAATGTTTATTAGAGGATACAAAGCTCCAGAACGTTGGGTACCATTCAAATTTGACTTGTTTGGAGCAAGTCATCAGATTTTCCACTTTTTATCAGTATACACAAGTTGGCTCATTGTTCATGGATTTTATGTCATGTACTCAAAAGGTGCTTTTCCAAATGAACATTTATAAACAAACCAATTAATGTTTTCCGTTGGATTGACCATTGGAATTGGACCAATCAACCATCATTGATTCTAATAAAGAGAGTTGGTTATTTTCCCTTACATCGGTCCAATTTGTTGCTTTCCTTTTTTTCTGAAAATCTAATAGATCCCTTATTTCTTTTTCACCTCAGACCTACAGGTCACTCCAATTTAGTCATGAAAGGTGACGCATCTCGTTTTCATCACAAAAAATTTTCAAAATTCTTTGCGTTTGGCTAGTCGTTCAAGTCACACAACAACAAGTCTCAACAATTTTCATCAACCGATTGTGTGCACGTGTGTGTGGTTTGATTCAATCACCATTGTTGTTATTCAATCATCATAAAGTGTTGTATTGATAACACTTCACTTCGGTGACCAATCTCTCACACGTGATTGATCCAACACCAATAATAATTGTCACTCGCTTTCAAAAAGCGCTTTCATTTTCTTTTCATCATCAACTATACAAGATGAAAATTCATTCATCATTCACCACACTCGTGGTTTTATTTCTAATTTTTGCTTCCGTATTCATGATGATGATGTTGTTGGTGACTCCAATCCAATCCAAGTCCACTCTGAGAGACGACAACGCACCGACAGATTCTTCTTCATCATCACTTGAACTCACAGTTGAGAATGTGGAACGAGCAGGAGACGACGATTCTTCTTCCAACACGACATGTTGCAACACTTGTCCAAAACCAGAGATCATTGTCGTTCCAAAATGCACAGTCGTCAAAGTGCCTGTTCGAATTCCTTATCCAGTATTTAAGCCAATTCCAAGACATGACGATGATGTCAAGTGTCCCAATGGCTATGAATTTGTGAAACCTAACAAGTGTAAAAAGACCATTGTGATCAAGAAGGAAGCAAGTTGTCCAATTGGATATGTTCGTCTCAGTGAAACGGAATGTTTACGTGTGGTGACCATGTGTGGCCATTCCAATGGAAATGACGATGATTCATGTCCATCTGGTTACATTCCATTCAAAGTAGAACAAGATTCCGATGAATATGACAAGTTAAAGGAACAAGAAGACAAAGACAAGTCCTCAGTGTTCTTTACCAAAGTAGTGGAAGGTTTGGCCTATGGATGTAAGAAAGAACATGATCATCATCACTTTACATGTCCTAAAGGATATTATTATCAAAATCCATATCATTGTGTCAAAGTTGTGAAATGTCCAAAGAAGGGAGGTTGGATCAAGACTAAAGATGGAAGATGTGTTCGTACCTTATTCAAATGTCCACCTGGTTACAAGAAGCTTGGAAGATTTGGTTTGAAATGCATCAAGATGAAATTGAAGTGTCCACCTGGTTATCGTCAATCCAAGAGATCACCACGTTTGTGTTTAAAGACAAAGATTGTGGTCAAGATTAAGTGTCCAAAGAGAATGTTTTATAGTGAGACCAAGAAGACTTGTATTTGGAACAAGTGTAGAAATGTCAAGTGTAAGACTGATTTGAAATGTCCACCAGGTCAAGTTCCAAAATTGAGATCGAGAAAGAGTTGTTGTCCAACTTGTTCTCGTTGTGAATGTGGATCTTCTTTCAATCCTGTTTGTACAAGAGAAGGTGTTATTGTATTCAATTTGTGTACTGCTAAATGTTTGGGATTGGAAGTTGTCCATGAAGGAGAATGTACCACGAGAGAAATTCAAAAGATTCTCAAGATTTGTCCACCATGTGAACAATGCAAGAATAAGAAGAGACGTCCAGTTTGTGGTGTAGATGGTGTCACTTATCCAAATATTTGTGTGGCTAAATGTGTGACAAGTGGTCAATTTGTTTTGAAGAGAAAGGGAGAATGTACCAAGGCTGATTGTGCCGAAGGAACTTCCCAAAAGATGGTTTCAGAATTTCTTCCATTCTTTGAAAGAGTATTGAAATCTCAAGCAATCAATAAGAAGAAAAGACAAGAAGAAGAAGAGGAGTAAACTCTTTTTTGAGAAATACATCACAACAATCATAAATCAAACACACTTGTGATTGTTTGTTGTCGACTTGTTTTTCATCACGAATTCGAAAGATCTTGTCGATTATTTCTTGAATGAAAGAAGTGTTAAAAACAACTTTGATGCACAGGGAAATATCAACCTTCAAAACATTCAATTGTTTAGCAAAACCCGTTCGTGGTCACTCCATGTGCCTGAAACTGTCGTTTATGGAGAAAGGCAGTCGAACCATTATCACTCGAAATCAAAATCAGAGTGAAATCATTGAAGTTCTTTCTGGCCGTTTGTTTCGAAAAGAACCTCTCTTCAAATCATGTCTTCTTGATGGTGTGAAATGTCATTGTCAGACATGGAACGCTGAATGTACTCTAACACTTGGAACCGTTCAAGAATGTGACACTTGGGCTAGGGTCAAAGAATGAACTCAAAGAGAAGCATCCTGTCATTCTATTCGAGAATTCATTCTTTACTTTGAAAGTAGAGAAGAGCCACCAGCAATGAAAGGACTGCCCAAGAAACCCAGTGAAAAAAGCACATGATGAATCATTAAGAGTATTCAGAGAAAAAGTTTACAATTCTCTGAGCATTGAAAGATTAGGTGTGAATTTACCACAAATGGATCTTTTTCAACAACAACATTTAACTCTCCAAAATGACTTGATCAACTACTCCCAATTGATTCGTTTGCGTGAAACTCTGAATCATTTCATTCGAAACCGAACCAGTAAGCAGCTACTGGCTCAGGATAGTTCACTCATTCAACAAATTGGACAATTTCTGACACGTTTCATTTGTTGCGGAGGACAATTACAAAGATCCAATGAGGTTGAAGCCATTAAGAACGATCAGGTCATTGTCATGTGGAGACACATCCTGTTCGACTCTGACAATGTCCAAATTCGTCTGAACATGTTTCCAGCAGAGTCAGAAACTTATATTCACAATCACCGAAATAATTTAATATCCATGTCTCTAAACGGCTCATATCAACACACCACTTGGACCGTTTTGACATCAAAGGAATTACCCAAAGATGACGGTAGTTGTTACATTGAAAGAGTTCGACATTCGAACGGTTCTCTGAGTCATGGAGAACTTTTAAAAGGAAAACTCCAAAAATCATGTACTTTTGAACATTATCCAAGTCATTTCTATTATTTAAATTGTCAAACACTGCACACTGTGAAAGTCAAAAAGCAAGGTGAGAGAATGATGAGTTTGTTTGTGAAAGATAAATATGTATTGAATAAGTATCATGAAACAAAGGTGATGGAACCATACGACCTTTATCAAAAATCAGATGAGGTTCTTTTTTCATGCCTCTCTAGACATACAAGTGTTCAACAGTCGTCAGAAGAAGTCTTGTCAGGTGATGAGAAAAATCTCGTGCTTGAGGAAATGGAATCACTGTTAAAAGAAGCTTTCTACTCGTTCATCAGTAGAGATGTCGTTGGGTCTAACAAGTATATCATTCCTCGATTCGAAACTCGTTGAATCACACTGCCAATCAAAGTCATCCTCTTCACCTTGCATTTATGAAATGAATTTCAAAATACTTGATCCTGTCATCACGACACACATCTATTCTTTGAGGTTCAACAAAAAAAAATGGTCAAACATCAACAACGTTCCTTGATGCGTCGTGGTCGACACAGAAAAGAGCACGAGAAGAAACGAAAGGGAACATCCTCTCGGAAGGCCCAACAATTAGAAAATATCGGAATTATGGCTGCTAAAGGTGTGGATGAATCTGCACGTGTTTATGAGATGCAATTTGAGCAAGGACATAACAAGCCAGTGAAAGGAAAGGAAGAAAAACACATTTCATCAAAAAACAAAGCTGTTCTTGCTTTTATGAATCAACAAAAGAATGAAAAAAAGAATGATGCAAATCTCAGTAGTACTTTTGTACAACAACAGCAGCAGCAACACAAACGCAGATTGAATATTGACACCGATTCAAAGCAACAACAACCTAAAAAACATGGCTCATCGGAATCACACCATTCACAACAAAATTCCAACAAGTTCCATGAACGGCAGTGATAATAATAATACCAAAATGTCACCATCAACGGAGGAAGGTGCCTCACGAGCGAAAGTGGGCTCTGTTAATTTGAATCGCCCAACAAGAGGAGCTCTTGTCACAGCAATTAAAACAGGAAATTTGGAACTTGTACCAGACACATTGAAAGGTCTGGCAAAAGATCATGAATTCACAAAAGCAAAACTAAAAAAGAAAGTCTATTGGAAAATGAAAAAGGAAAAAGAAATGCTCAAGAAATTAAAGAAGAATCTTAATAAGGAGCTTGCATTAGAAAAAAGCAAAGTGAAGAAACACAAGATGAAGAATGCCAAATTCGAAGATTTAGATGAATTCCTCGATGAAAAAGAATATATCAAAAATGAAAGAAAGAAGCGAGAAGCACTCATGACATTGGAGAAGGATGAAGTGGCCGATGAAGTCACCTATGATTCTGATGACTTGCTAGAACAAAAGAGAGATGAAGTTGCATTTGGAGAAGTGGCACAAGAGCCTCCTCGACTCACAAAATTAAGAAGTAATTTAGAAAAGAAAATTGAAAAGAAAAAGCAAGAAGATATTGAAATGGAAAGGAGGCGAGAGGCTGAACGAAAAAGAGTCGTGGAAAATTACAATAGAAATAGACTGTTACGACAACAACAAAAAGAGGCTGGTATTGCTCCATCCGATCAGAATCTCATGCTCGAAAAGTTAAAGAATTTGGCAGCTCTTCGGAGTATGAAATTAGAGGACAAGTAAGCATGGACTTTTAATACTTCAATTGAACTGCAGTGATGCATGACAACACAATGCATCTGAGAGGATGGTCATCACCCATATATTGGAGTAAGTTCGAATGAATGGATTCCATTCTTGTCCACTTTTTTCTTTGAGGATAGGAATAATGAACTATCAAAAGAAATTAAAAAATTTTGAAACCCACAAATGTGTGTTTCTATTTTCGAAAAATATTAAAGATGGAATTGGTGGTACTTGGACCAGCACTAACCAATCAAAAGTCTATGGTATGGAGTATTCTCATAGGACGAGAATGCAACTGTTCGCGTAGACGAAATTGAAATTGCGCCTTAGATATTTCAATGGATGTTTCAATCGCTCGAAATCAATACCGTCAACAATATCTTGCACAGTCGATTAATTTTTCATCCTGACCTGTATACATAATGGATAATAATTATCTCTTGCCGCGCCTTACGGACTTTTAGAAACAATCGCTTTGAAGATCTATTTGTCCTAAACCTCCTCAACGTTGAACTAGAGAGACAAACTGTGATGATTTCACCACGTGCACACACACGAACAAAATGTCTGCAACATCTCACAACAACCAATCAGAAGAATACGCCTTGTTAGGAGGTAAGTGTCGTCTTGTCTCGAAGCCATACAAAATCATAGCGACTCTTTTCCAAACACCATCATCATGGCAATATTATTGGAACATCAAACTATTACTTTCCAAACAGCCACACAAGGAATCGGAAAACAACTTCTCATGCTTCTTCTCGTCCGAGGAGTGAAAGTCCGTGTTTTGGCTCGAAATCCTTCTTCCTTATTGGAATTGTCCTCTCATCCTCTTCTCACCATTATCAAGGGAGATGCTACCAATGAACAAGATGTTGAAACACTCATTTGTTGCAATTCCAACACATCATCCAAATTAAAAGGTGTCTTTTGTGCATTGGGAACTCGTGCCAACACTCCAACCACTGTTGTGGAGGATGGAACAGTGAATGCCATTCAAGCCATGAAAAAGTTAAATGATCCAATACATTTTGTATTGATCACTTCAGTGGCATTGACAGACAGTAAGGAACATCCATGGTTCTATAGGAATGTGGTCAAAAAGTACTTGCTGAATCACATCTATGATGATTTGAGAAATGCTGAACACAAACTTGTTACATTATGTGAACATTCACATATCACTTATACCATTGTGAGACCTCCACGATTGGTGGACTCTTGTTTAACCCTCCATTATGGATACGCAAAGGGAAATGATATATTGAAAGGTGGCAAAGGAGTGATGTCGAGAGCAGATGTTGCTGCATTCATGCTTCAATGCATGTTTGACAAGGAGAATTCATCTCTTCTTCGGACCAATCAGGCATTCAACATGGACACGACAAAAGCAGTTCCTAAAGAGCATGACACCGTTGGATTAATGACCTTCTTGAGTTGGACTTTACCTCGTCATCAATATATCATGATTCGAATGGGAGTGCATTCTGTTCAGGTTGGTGCTTTGGCTGTGTTAGCATATTATTTATTTCCAGGACAAACGCGTGGATGGTGGAAGGCAATCACAGAGAGTGTGTCAAGATTTGTAGGAAGAGGTTCCTCTGGCCATAGAGTTTAACTGTCGCTCACCGTGTGGTTGAATGAACTTTGCCATATATTGCGTACACACGCATGTTTTTTCAAAAATGCTAATTTGTATTAAGGTTCAACACCTGCCTTCTCAGTTTGAATGCAAAACAACAATAAAACCTTGTATTGTTTTAGAATCATCATGTCGACGGATTGTTATCGAGAAAATGTTTCTCCGTCAAAAAGTAATTTCAAAGTTAATTTTAGATGAGAACCCGCCAATTTCTTTTACAAAACTTTAAAAAATGAAGAAAACCTCTTCCACTAACAACAGCTCTACAAGAACAACTACTGCAAAAACAAGTTCCTCTTCGCCCATGATGGGAAAGACTGTGGGAGGAACATTGTCGTCATCATCAAGTGCTTCATCAAGGAGTCGATCTCAATCCGTTGGGAAAACAACGCCTCATTCATCGAATCGGTCGGCAACATCATCATCCTCAGCGGTTCCTCAACAACCGCCAGAATCAAAACATCAGGTCAAGAGATTCACCCAGGAACGATACGACAAGCATAAAACAGCCAATCCATTTACAGCAAAAAACAAGTTCAAAACAACCTTCGGAGGAGTGTATGAAGCGGGAGGAATTCCCTGCAGAATACATCATACGGCCGCTAATATGCATTTGAAATGGGATCAAGACCCACAAGGCATGTTTTCCTATGACCCATTAATTATTACAATTGCAGATGGTCTGCGAGAAACCGATCATCCGTACATTATCATCGTTCAAAAGGCAATCGTGGATTTGTGCTCAGCGCCTGGGGCGAAAGAGAAAATCGAGCCTTTGTTAAGACAAATTGTTTCGTACATTCGATTAGCTCTACAAAGCAAGGAGGAAGTTGTCTTTGATAATGCTTTACTGGCAATCACCCACATTGTATCATGTGTTGGAAGCTCTCTCGCTCCTCATCTCTCTCAAATATTGGTGCAAATCAGCAAGAAAATATTTGATAAAAAGTACGCTCCTCGAATATCAGATCTGTTGAGGCACATTGACAGATGTTGCGAGAGCGACGAAGTTGTCAGATTAATCAAGGCGAAAGTGCCGACCTTCATCTCTGTGCGATAGAATGAAAATTTTTTTTTTTAAAAACGTTTTCGTGTCTCATTTTGTTTTTTCACTGAACTCATCTGTCATTAGTCACCTCACAAAAACATCAAAAAAATAGCACGTTCTTCATGATGAATTTCAAAAGTGGGGTCTCGCTCGGTCAACTCAACGACGACTACAATCAATTGAGCAGAACAAAAAGCAAGCTATCCAAGCGAAATATTTTAAAAACATCCAGCGATAACCCACTCGATTTCAAATCAACCATTCTAGATTCAAAATTGGGTGCTCTATCATTCTATGATTCGGGTTTATTCCCAGTCAATGTTGATGATCAGTTTACGTTTTTAGCAAGTGATGATGAGAAGGTTATTTTGCATGGTAAATTAGAACCATGCCGTTACAAAATGTCTCTTGAACGATCTCAAAATAATACAAATGAAGCAGTGACCATTCACGTTGAAGCTTTGGAATTGTCCTTAGATTTGGAAGCAGTCATGACTCAACGAGAGCAGAAATGGACCACTGAATTTAATTTATTCAGAAAAGATGGTGATGTACAACGTGTAAGTTTTTCGTATGAACTATTTCAACAACAGCAACAACAACAACAACAAATTCAACAATGATGAATGTATCACCTTGTGGTTACCGCATGATTTCATTCATTCATCAACTATTGCCGCCGCCACTTGTTTCAACACGAATCATCTCTCTTATTTTTCAATCATGTGACAGGATAATTTGATCACAGTATTGATAAAAGTATCTCGTTCTGTCACTGGAACTACTTCATCCTTCGGCTTTCAACTCTATAAAAAGAAGGATGTCGTTCATTCCATTAAATTGAACATGAAACAATTGAAGAAAATTCCAGTCTCAAATATTGAAGCAGGAATTTATGAAGTGGTCGTGCATCCCATTGTGACTGATGGGTTAAACCCATTAAATGTCAAAATTTCTGCATACGAAGAAAGAAGCTCAACATCAACAACGACTGGAACCGCTGGAACATTTTTAGAAGGATCTCAAGATCTTGTGGCACTCAGTTCAAGATCTTATCTTCATCACGAAGTTGCACAAGGAGTTGCACAAACCTCCGATTGGGTCTCTGATCGATTTATTATTTATGGTAGAAGTAATATGACCACTCCGATTACTGCTCACATCTCTGTGTCTGTTTCCTTGTCGAAACCACTCTCTCAAGATTCATACCTCAATGAGTACAAGGTATTTGTTTATCGTGTTGGTGACGATACACGTAAGTATGTTCTGATATCAATGAATGATCATATGAATATACATATGAAATCAATGAATGAATTATAATAATAACCTATGATTTATCAATGGATGATTATGAAAATAACCTACTAATGGATCAATGATTGACAAATTACAATACTTGTGTTTTCATTTTCTTCAATTCAATATTGAATTATTTTAAAAATCAATAGCGGTCATGGAAATTTCACAACATGAACTCGGTCAATTATGTACTCACTTGGTGACAAGAATTTTCTATGCATACAATGTTAAAAAAAGTGTAAAAGAATTGGATGATATTATTGCAGTTTGTGACAGTTATGGTACTGTTCAAGATAAATCAAAAAGTCAAAACGATCAAAACTCAATCTCTGTGAGACCTGAGCCAATGGTGAAAGTGAGAGAAATTGCCGTTAACAAAAAAGAACAATTGATTGACTATTTTAGACGGAACAAGGAAATTAAAAAGGGCATTGAAGAGAAGAATTTGACTCTACTTCTCAACTACATGAGAGACAAAAACACCTTCGATGAGGCATTACCTCTCACAAAAGAAGCTCAACAAGTCGTTCAGGAAATGGAAGCCAAAACCAAATTTGAAAATGAAATTTATGGAGTTTTACAACAAGAAGCACTTCGGTTTGCCAAAAAACATCCTCATTATGACATTCAAGAAATTTTCGCAGAACAAGATCAAACCTTGGAAAAGTATTACAAAAGTATTCTCAAAGAGGAGAAGGAAAATGGAGGCAAAAATTGTGGACCCATGTCCTATGTATTGAAAACATTGTATGAATCCATCAAATTAGTGAAAGATGAAATTATGAATAATCACTTGGAATCATCCAAGAAGGATCTCTTGACCAAACAAGTGGTTTGGAGAAGAATGGCTCAAACATCATCGGATGAGCAAGACCGTGACGAATGGAAAGTGAAATTGGATAACGATGAAGATGAAGTATTCTTCTTTGAAGAGGAATATGAAGATAGTGATGACGATTTGAATTTCGATTCGGATGACGAAAAGAAGAAGAAACCTGAAACACCAACCAAGAAGGGTGCTAATCCTCTCTTGGGTAAACTCTTCTCATCACTCTCAACAAAATCTTCCAGCAAATCAAATCTCAATTTAGGATTTATTGCATTGATGGGTTTCGCTTTGTATACCTCTGACCAAATTGTTAGAAAAGAAGGTGACAGTAACACAATGGTGAGCAAATTATCACAAGAACATTTCATGTCCATTTATAGAGTGGCTCGTTATGTCATTGTTTATGGTTTGAGACATGTCAAGAAAAACTCCATTGTTCAAGAAAAACTTACGGCTGCCATTGTCGATCAGCTCACCAGCAAGATTGAGTTCACAATTAATTCTCTTGAAAAATATTTACCAAAAGATGAAGTGACAAGAATGAGAAAAATCATTTATGCCATCAATGACAGAAATGATGCAAGATTTGAGTCATTGCTTACAAAGACTGAATTAGCCGCTTGGAAGGAAAAGAAACAACGAGAAGAGCGTTCCTTTACTTCGATTCTTCAAAGAAATTTGGATTCTCCGAAACCATCTGATAGTTCTGTTCGTAAAATTGAAGACAAACCATTACCATTGCCAGCAGTTGCAAAAATCACTAAGGACATGAGTGACTCTGATGACGACTCTTCGATTGATATCAGTGACAGTGACGAAGATTCTCCAAGAGAGAAACCAAAGAATGACACCAACCAAACTCAACCAATACAACCTCCACAACCACAAGTAATTGAAGAAGAAGCAGAAGATGAAATTGTTGTGAAATATGACATTAACGGTATCGATCAAATTCCTCATTTAAATTTGACTAATCCTGAAGAATTCATTCAACTCTTTGTCAATCAAGTCGATTTACTTGTATTTTATTTAGAGAATCAAGTCAAGCTCACTGGAGCATCTTTGGAATCTCTGTGTGACGAGCATAACAAGGAGAATTTAATTTCTGCTTACTTTAGAAAATCCATCCTGCCTGCATTTAGAGCACTTTTTATTGGACCGTTTGAAAATCCAGGAGATGTTTTCACCAATGAAGAATCTTACAATTTCAACTATTTACTCGATGTAGCAAGAAGTGGTGTACAAAATGCAAACATTACGACCATTATTGAAGGAATTTTCAAAGTTCAAAAAGAAATTACAATTAACGATTTATGGTTGGAAGATCCTGATCATTTCAAATCCACTCGATTCAATGCATTTTGGTGCCATCTCTTGAACACCAAGAAAGCTCTACAAGTTTTTGATGAAATTTGTTCACCTAATTATTACTCGAATTTCTACATCAAGAAGCCACCGAAATTTGCACATCCCAATGTGAGAGCAGCATTTGAAAAATTATGTCAACTTCCTCTCTCGTTGAGTGGTGATGCATTCTTGAATCAATATGATCCATGTGTATTGGAGGAAGGTGAAGAAACAATTCAAGAAGAATAAGAATATTACAATAATATCATTCTTTGAGTATGAAAATATATAAGAATATATATATTAATAATACACACATGTAAATGTCACAACTGCGTCATGGTGCACAAAACATTAAAGAGCAGCAATGTATATATTTGCTTTGTCAACAATGAATTTTGTTTTTTCTTTAAGTGAACTTGAATTATTTTTAACTTTAAAAAAATGTCAATTTCAGTGTTCTTGATTGGTCTTGTTGAAAATGTTAGGAATGAACACGATCATCATCAGGAACAGATCATTTCTCAATATTATTATTCTAAATTATGCAAAAAGATGAGGGATAGATCCATACATCTCCGAAAAGGATTTGGTGCAACATTTGAATCTATCTATTCCATTGATTTCATTCATGATGATGAAAATAGGAACAACACAAACCATTCCACTCTTGATTCTTCCACCAATCCATCCTCTGAATATTCCCCAATGAAATTGAGTCCCTACGTGATTAGAATTTGCTACACCTCCCACTTGATCCTCGTTGGTAACTCAGACAAGGAATTCCACTCGATTGAGTTTTTTGATTTAAACACAAAGAAACACTTGCATAGCTTTGCGATCGAGAGTGTTCCCTTTTACTTATGCGTGGAAGAAAACGATGTCTTTTGTAGTGGTCAGAAATCGAGAAGAGTATTGCGAGATGAGCCTTGTTTCTTGTTTTCGGAGGATTCCTATATTTGGAAATATAAATTGAAAAATATTCAGATACACTTTGGCAAACAAGGGAAAGATTCATCATCATCCACGACGACGACTACTTGTGAATGGAAACAGGAAATTCAAAATGCCACCTCATTGGCGATTCAATACTCAAAGGATCATGATCCTTATCAGAATTTACTTTATATTTGCTCAGGGCTTTCGATCCATGTATTGAATTCTGTGAGTGGTCAATTATTGGCAACGATGGATATGAGTTCATCTCTTACTAGTAATATCATTTGCTTGGAAGTGTTGGAAGCGAGCGAAGAGTTGATTCTATTTTCGAGAGACCGATTTTATAGAATGAGCAAAAAGATGTCAATGATATCAATAGCTGGGCCATTACCACGGAATTTGGTCATCAATCAGACCACTCTAATGTTGTCGATATTTCACATGATCGAATGAACCATCTATTGATTGCATGTGATTATGCATCTCCTGAAGAGCATTTGCTAGTTTTTAAAGATAATGAACAATTTGTGAGACGCTTTGATCAACCTGGAGCTGTGACATGCTGTCTGAATGAGAGAGATGGTATTTTGCTTGTGGGACAAAGAGGTTCAATCGTCTTTTATCGGTAGTTGTTTTTGTAACACATCATTTCAATACTATTGAAATTGGAACATTTAGTGATTCATGGAAGCTTACTGAAATACCACCTAAATTGAAAGGTAGTGTTTATTATTCATGATCTTTATATACTACCAACGATGACCTTTTCCACATTGATGAGGTCCATCATGACCAGCACTCTTGTTGCATCTGCAACGAAAACCGCAATCAGAACTCGATGGGTTTTCATGGCTGCACAAATTGCCACCTTCAAAAGAGGCAACCACACGATCTATGGCTTTAACTCCTTCGCCAACGACTGGAACGTTTCCCATTGTGATCTCTTTTGTGTTTTAAAGGGTTTTTATGTGAACCTTCTGAGAGGAGTATAGTTAGAGATGTTTTTTTGTTTTGGCATTCGGGTGGCATCAACATCAGTTCAATTTAAAACGTGTTGGTTTCACGTTCACGATTTTGGTGTTCAACAAGATTAAATCTTTTTCACAAAAGAGGAGATAATGGCTTTTTCTATGGCACTACCAATTTCAGGTCATTCCATTAAATTTTGTCGATACGGAATCGATGACTTTCCAACCCGCTCAAAAAAATCGTTATTCAATTTACTAAACCCTCAAAAAAATATTTCCGACTCTCATGTTGAGTACTTCATCTTCGCCAGCATCGGAAGTAGTGGATGGGTTAGCATCCACTGCCACCCTCAATGAATCCCTATCAATACGAACAACAGACGAAAAAGAAGAAATTAAAACTCTCAAGGCTTTGTTGAATGAAGCTATCGAGAGAATACGGACCTTAGAAGATGTGTGCGTTCACCTGAATAGTGAAATGGCAATATTGAAAAAATTAGTAACGGTCCAGGTTCAGGAGGTGAACAACACGATTGATTGTAAATTTAAGGAAATTATCAAGAATGTAGATTCAAAAATTATGCAAACAGAGCAACGGGTGGATCAGGTGTTGTGTCGATTTGAAACTGCTCAAGAAGAATTCAACAAGTCAAGGGCCGAATCAGTAAAAAAGATGCATCATTCAGTACTAGTAACACCTAAGAAAGCATCCCTTGATACGAGTCATAATCGCTCGGATCTTAGTCTCCCTCCGTTCTCACCAATCTTTAGAAATTCTGGAATTGAAACACCCCGAAGCACCTCAAGTAAGGACCGACCTGGACCTTCAAAGCATGACACAACAGATATTGAACACTTCATTACATTTTCAGATGACACAATTGTTAAAGTGCTAGAAAGTGAAATGTTCGAAAACTATAAGGGTATGTTTCAGTGGTTGAATTCTCATACACAGCAGACAAGATTGCCAACACTGTTATTAATGTTGTAGAGATGGCTTTGAAAATATTCAAATATTGCATAAGCCAACTGGCAGAGCTTCAAAAAGGAGAAGTGAGGAAAACTATGGGAAAAAAGCATTTCATGAAATTCTTCACAGAGGGTAGATTGTCAAGTGTGCTCAATGAAAAGAGCTGGAATTTGGAATTGGTGTGGGTGTCCGTCCTCAAACGTCTCCGTATCGTTGACGTTTATTCTCCCTCTGGAAAGTATCATTTGAACTATGAAAATTTCGAAAAGGCCCTCTTTTTGATGGCTCAAGAATTGAAAGACTCACAATTAATGAATCCCTCACAACGATTGGAATCGTTGATGTTGCATATAATTCCTCTCTTTTCGGAATTAATTCAACAGAAAGAAGCACAATCAAGCTCTTCACATGACCCCAACTCCTCCTATCAAGAAGATAGTATAGACTTGGAGCGTGACATGGAGCAGCTCGAAAGTACGTTCAGAAAGCATAGAAAACAGTTGAAAGCAATGTGGTCCTTCTATAGCAGTGCTAAAAAACCAAAAACCAAACTCAAAACTCACCTTCATGGGCTCAACATTAAGGACCTGCTTGACTTGTGTCAGGTCTATGGGTTGAAGAGCCTGATCACAAAAGGAGACTTGGTTCATGTAAGTGTGTGTTGTTAACAACGATAGCGAGATGATCCATAACATTCATATTTTCAGATATTTGAACAACGAATGGACATGAAAAAAACAGAGAGTTTAGAAGATAGACTCTCCTATTGTGCATTCGAGCAAGTGTTGGTAGATATTGCCAACAAAATCTACGGCGAAAAACCATTTTCTAACATTTACCAAACCACAGAATCACGACTAGAAAAGTTGCTAAGCAAATTGATCATGGCCTACGATGATCACAGGCTAGATAAGAGCATACAAGGTCTTTCATTAAGGTAAGTCCATTCACTTGTTTGGAATATCCAAAATTACATGATCATCAAATCAGAGAATATTAAACTATTTCGTCACCACTTGAACCTTCAGAAATTACATTCTCACAACTAGGAAATAACAACATGATTCAACGTGTACAGTTCAAAATTGTTTGATTTATAGATAGTACTAATAATTAGAGAGGTGTTATTGACATGTCAAATAAACGCTATTATTATTATTATTGGACTACACATCCTTCTGACTCGGCTCTTTCGGGTGCCTGTTGTAACCGTTTTGAAATCATTAGGTGGTGAATATCTGCGAAAATGATCGTCTCAAACAATAAAACGTACCTTCAATGGATTGATTTGTGAGAGGAAAACTAAAATCCACATGGTCCAACAACACAAGGCAGACAAGAAAGTCATAGTTCTTATCAAACTGTTCAACAACAATCATCATAGCCATTCGGTGGATATCCATGAATAACAACAAATCATTACATTTCGGAACAACAAATTCGAATACAAAACGATTTCATCATCATCATCACGGTACGTACCCAGCTTGTTTACCGCACAAAATGGTGAAAGGCATGATAAAGATGCACAAACCCCAAAACACACAGGTACCGATAATAATCGTTTTTGCGTCTTCGCTCAAAGCCATTGTTGTTGTGGAGTTGTCAATATTTTTTATGCGATATTTTTTTAAAAATTAAAATTTCGAAACCAATTTCCAAATTCGAGCATCATGCTCTTGCTGGTAGATTTTTTTGAAATTATTGAAAGTTGTTCTCTCTTGAAAGAGCTAACTCTTCTTTTTCAAAGTATTTAACCTCATCAAGCTCGGTAATTTTTTAGTTAAGAAGGTTTTCACATTGATCATGACTTTTGTTTGAGTAGTCCTGATGAGGTTCAGAGAGAGGAGAGTCTGTGTGAACATGGGGTCTATTAATATCACCATCACCACAGCAAAAAATTTTTGCGTTTCGTTTCGCTTGAATTTTTTAATCTCGTTCTCCCTCAACATCATCCTTTGTGTTGGTGTGCATTGAATCATCTCGTGTTGCAACAACAACAACAACATCAATCTAACTAAGATCGATATTACTCCTATTGAGATCGGATTGATCTTCATCAAGAATTTTTCTCTAAAATATTATTCTCCATCATATCAAGAAACTTTTGTTGTTGTTGTATTTATCATTGCCATCATCAATCTTTGAACAAGGTTCAAACCCACAATCAGTCATCACATAATAATAGTATCATACTACCATGGTTCATGATCAAGATTATGATCTTTCAGATAGCGATGATGAAAGAATGGAAGATGCTTACGATGAAGAATTGAACATGGCTCAATTCAGAGTGAATAAAGCCGATGAAGAAAAGAAATCAATTCAAAAGCAACAGGAGCTGGAAGAAGCAGCACTTTACTACGAACCTATTGACCCTACAAAAGAAGGTGTTTATCATGTCAAGTCTTTTGATGCAAACACTGAAAAGTGGAGATGGAAGGTTGATTTCTCAACATTGCCTGCAAAGCATTACTCACCGGAATTTACGGCGGGTCCTCACAAGTTTAGATTACTTGTCTTTCCGCACGGTAACAATGTCAATTTTGTGAGCGTATATTTGGATACTTGCCAATCCACTGATGTAAAGCTTGTACGATTCCAAATCACTATTTTGAATCAAAAGGACATTAGAGAATCATTTTCACAAGGTTTGTTTTCATATGGTCATATTATATTTACATCATTATATTTCAATTTGTACCATTTACACACCATTTACAACCACAACAACTGTTGACACTTTTTTCCTAATGAACAGAGGCTGAAAAGAAATTTGGACCTGCTGATAATGATTGGGGTTTTAAGGAATTTTTAGATCTCAAACGACTCAATAGCGATACAGGTTTTAAGGTCGATAATATTGTATATTTCGAAATGGTTGTCCATATCTGTACTCAACCATACTTGGTTGATCCAATCTCTTACGATTCAAGAAAGGAGACAGGATTTGTTGGTTTGCAAAATCAAGGAGCTACATGCTATATGGTAAGTACTTACTTTTGGAAAATGTTAAAGATTAGCGAAAACATTTTTTCACTGTTTTTAGAACTCACTTTTACAAACGTTGTACCTTTTAACTTATTTCAGAAAAGCTGTCTACAAGATGCCTATCGATGAGAATGAGAAACCACAGGATAGTATTCCACTTGCTTTGATGAGAGTTTTTTATAGATTGCAATTTGATAAAACTGCTGTCGATACAAAAGAGTTAACTAAATCATTTGGATGGGATACAATCGATTCTTTTTTGCAACATGATGTCCAAGAGCTGGCAAGAGTATTAATTGACAATTTGGAAAAGAAAATGGAAAAGACCGATCAAAAAGAGGTGATGAGACAATTGTTTGAAGGAATGTGCAAAAATTATATCAAGTGCATTAATGTTGACTATGAATCATCAAGAAAAGAACCATTCTATGATTTGCAACTCAACGTCAAAGGATGTAGAAATGTCTATGAATCCTTTGATCAATATATCTTGGAGGAAACTCTACAGGGAGAGAATCAGTATCAAGCCGAAGGTTTTGGATTGCAAGATGCCAAAAAGGGAACAATATTTTTGAAATTTCCACCAGTACTAATGCTTCACTTGAAGAGATTTGAATATGATTTCCAAAGAGATCTCATGTACAAGATTAACGATCGATATGAATTTCCACCAGAAATTGATTTAGGGAAGTATTTAAGCGAGGACTCTGAACAAAAGAAGGAAGACAATACTTTTGTATTGTTTGCCGTTCTTGTCCACAGTGGAGACGTGTCAGGAGGTCACTACTACAACTTTGCGAAGCCATTTGTAAACCAAGAGCGCTGGTTCAAGTTTGATGACGAGAAGGTTTATGAGGTCAATGAAAATCTTGCTGTTCATGATAACTATGGAGGGGAAGTTAAGAAGAGCAAATTTTTCTGGTTGAATTCCAACACAAACTCCATCTACAAAAAGTTTACCAATGCCTACATGTTGCTTTATATTAGAAAATCTCAAATTACTCAAATGCTCTCTCCCGTTGAAGCTGAAGATATTCCACAACACTTGGAGGAAAGATTCCAAAAGGACAGAGATGAAAAGGAAAGAAAGAAGAGAGAAAAGCTTGAGGCCGCCAAGTATTGCAACGTAAAAATTGTGAGAGACGAAAACATCAAACAATCAGTCGAGAAACATGGAACAGGTCTCACAGATATTGATGAAGTTGACCCAATCAAATTCCTAAAAGAAGGCACTTTTGGAGAATTGAAAGAACGTCTTCATTTCATTTATGGAATCAAACCGGAATGTCAAAGATTTTGGAGATGGACCAAGAGACAAAATCATACATATCGTCCTGGTGATCTTCCAATGAAAATTACTGACGACGAGGTTTCTTTGGAGAGAAGATATCCGCAAATCAAACAACTGGGGGGCTGTGTAGAGTTATATCTTGAAGTCGCCAATGAGCCATTTGGTGTTGTGAAGAATGAAGAAGAGGTTGAACACACTCTCTGGTTCCCTGAACCTTTCAGCAAATATTTACTACTTTTTATCAAGGAATACGATCCACAACAAAAGAAACTTATTTATCGTAAATCAGTGTATGCAGAAGTTAACCAAACAATTAGTAGCTTTATTCCTAATCTGAAAAAGCTTGTCAATGCATCTGAAGAGGATGACCTTGTAATTGTCGAGGAAATCAAACCCAAGATGATCGAGAATGTCAATATTGATTGCACTTTTAAGGAGGCCCAACTCCAAAATGGAGACATTTTGACTGTTCAAAGAGTTCCACCAAATTTCAATATGGAGCAATTTGAAATTCCAACAGCTAAAGAATTTTATGAATATTTGAGCAATCGTGTCTCTGTTGAAATTAGAAAGTTGGAGGATCCCTCAAAGACTGTCATGACAGTAGAGTTATTGAAAAATATGGAATATCCGGAAGTAAGCCAAGCTTTGGGCCGTGTTCTACAAGTGGATGGCCAACATATAAGACTCACCGGCCACAATCCATACAGTGGACACCCATTAGATCAACCTTTTAGAACTAATGCCAACTCAACCTTAAAGGATATGATTCAAATTGCACAAACAGGATCACCCTCCAAAATTTTGTATTATGAGGTTTTGAATGAACCAATTCACGATGTCGAAAACAAGAAGGAGTTGTTAGTCACTTGGATGAATACAAAGGGTCAAGATGTTGAAAAGTTCAAATTCCTTCTTTATCCTGAACAAAAGATGGGCGAACTTCGACAAATGCTAGAATCCAAGCTATCTGAACGCAAAGAAATGCAGAACTCTGTCATTGTATTGCTTGTCATTTCAGGCTCCAAGATTACCAAATTGGTCAATGACGAAGACCTTGTTAAATCAGCCCCATCTGGAAAAGGCGAATATCTCAGAGCTGAGGAAATGTCTCTCGCTGATTATAACATTTGGTTTGGACAAGACACCAACATTGATGACCATCGTTTGTTGCAAGTTCAACACATCTGTAAAGAGACATCTGGTTATCGTTTGTTTGGAAATCCCATGCTTCTTATTGCTAGAAAAGAAGAAACACTGGGAGATGTCAAAAAGAGACTTCAAGAGAAGTTACAAGTCAAAGATATTGATTACAAGAGATACAAGTTTGTGTTTATTGTTAATATGAAAGTTACGGATCCTCTCGAAGATGTTGATGACACACCTTTCTTTGAATTGTATGACAAGGAAAAGAGTTTCACTCAGGGCGACGTCGTTTTTGCAATGGAACACAAGGACCCAACACCAAAAACAAGGTGGTACGAGAAACCCATTGTCATTAAGAATTAATGTTGCATCTCTTTCTTCCAGCAAATAAATTTGTTTTGAAATTCGGAATGTCGAGAAGAGAACTCAAGTTTTAAAAAAAGCCTTCAAGCTTACCTTTAAACAAATTACAACAACAACGGTGTTCGATTTCATCAAATCATCAACAACAACGCCAACAACTGCAACATGGCCCAACGAAGAATCATGAAAGATCTGACTCAACTTCAACAAAATCCGTTGGAGGGCATACGGGCAGGACCAGTCGGAGAGGATATTTTTAATTGGAATGCCTACATTGATGGTCCCGTAAGTTTGTATTTCGAATACACCATTGTTGTTGTTCATTCTAATAATAATAATAATAACAATTGATGCCATGGTCTTGTTGATCGGTTCTGATCGTCCTTTCATACTTCTATTAAACAATAATATATCATTGGTTTTTTGTAATGCCACATTCGGAACACTAAAGGCCGATTCACCCTATGAAGGAGGAGTCTTCAAATTAAAAATCAACTTTCCAGTAGACTATCCCTTCACCTCTCCTAAAGTACACTTTGGTAGGTTCATTGAAATGCAGCAGTATTTATCTTTAAATTTGATGACCATGTCAACAATTTTTGAAATTGGTTTTTTTGATATAAGTTACACCTATTTATCATCCCAATGTAAATACTGATGGAAAGATTTGTCTAACTATATTAGATAAGGAATGGAATCCAGCAGTCAATATTTCTCAGGTTTTGATGAGTATGTTGAATGAATATTTGGTACAATTTTTGAATCAAAATTATGACAACACTATTTGAATTTTAATTGTAATACCATTGATTTATTGGAAACAACTTGTGGATAACATTAAAATCTGAATTAATATTCCACTATTTTCATTGAAATAATCCATATTAATTCATAATCATTATTAATTATTTGAATGAAAGCAATTCAATTACTAATGAAAGAACCCAATCCAGAAAGCGCCGTTCTTCCAAGTATTGGAAAACAGTACGAAAATGACAGAGAGACATTCAACAAGGAAGCAAGAAAACATACCCAAGAGAATGCTTTCAATACCGTTGAAGAATAAAAGAGTCTAAAATCTTCTTCGAGAGCCCGAATACTCTTGCTAAAGGGATGACCCAAGATGAAAATGGATTATTCGTGAGATGGAGAACCCTTAGTTGATGGGGATGATCGATTTCTCAACGAGCCATTCTTTGTTATCTACACGTGTATTTTCATGAAACCAACTTGGCTCCACATCATCGAATCTCAAACCAATTACAATCGAGTACCGTCTTTGCAAGAATACCCTCATTGACTCGTTTCATCTGTCAAACTCAATATCGCAATCAGTCAGTGAAAAAAATTGTTTCGAGCTCTCTCCGAGTCAGTTGAACATCACGTCCTATCTCAAAACTTTTGAATCACCATCATACAGAAGAACATCAAAAACATACGTAATTATATTGCTGAGAGAGCCTCTTCTTTTGTATACACTGCGGCTCGTGTAGTTTTTGATTATTCAACAACAACAACAACATTGAGCGAGTTCTACATTTTGATTTTCATTTTCGGTTTATTTTCTTCCATACCTATTTATATTCTCAATTTATTTATTTATTGTTGAATCTCAGACCTTGTACCTTCCTATCATCATCATCATCATCATCATCGCTGTAGTAGTAGTTTCTATTCTGTTCTTATTCCGATCTTCAAATTTGAGAAATTCTTGAGCCAACCAATCTCGAATCATCCAGACAATTCCTCTTCTTCTCATACATTCTCCCCACACACACTCAACACGCAATGATTTCCTCCATCCATAGATTTTTCAATGGACACTCCTTTCTCTTGTCTCTTGTTTTATTTGCTGCACTACACGTTGCAGGAGTGCAACCCATAGCGGGACAAACTACAGCTCCCGGAACCAACAACAACAACAACACGACAATAACTCTTCCTTTTGAAAAGACCAATGAATCCATGATGGTCTTTTTAGCCATTGGAGTTTCTCAATGGGTTTCTTGTTATGTCATTTCAATACTCTTGTTCAATCCTAAAGTCGTTCAACCCAATTACAAATTTGTACAAACCAGTGAGAAAATGACCGTTTCGTTTATTGAAATTTTGAGACACGCCTACAGTGAACAACCATTATTCATGAGAAGAATTATTGATGCGTTTTTTGTCAAGGCATTGTTTTACTTTATTGCATTTTCTGCTGGATTTTATTCAGGTAGGTTGATGAGCACTGAGGGTGAAATGAAAATTGGACGATTGATTGTTCTTTTTATATGGTGTTTGATTATATTATTTATGTGGTGGTGTTTGGTGATTCTTGTTGTTAATGAATGACATGGTGGATGGATGATGCACACATGTTGTTGATGTGATGGCGGTGAATGTTGTTGATGTGGCAAATTGTAATTTTGTATCACAACATCTTGAAAATGCATGATCCATCACCATGGTATAATATTTGAATTTGTGGCATTATTATCAAAATGTGGATATTACAACACATGGTGCTATGAACACATAAAGCCATTCAATTGTGGTTTGTCACTGATTCCAATAACTTGTCCAAATTGACCAGTGTCCACATTTTCCATATTGAGTTTAACAGAGGAGTATTAATTGGTGGTGCCTCTCTCTACTTTTTGGAATTGATCTACAGATCTCGAACTCAACTGTTGATGATTGCTCACCATTTGGTTGCAATTGTCAACATTGTTTGGATGATTGAATATGAAAAGACCAACTTGGCCTACATGAAGATTTTCATGGTCTATGTTTATTTTGTATTTTTGGGTACGTAACTATTGTTGTTGAGAATCGTCATTGTTGTGAAAATTCAATTCTTCTTTTATTTCTATTGTTATTTTATTACATTTATGAATACTCCATTGACACTGATGATGACTAATACTAAATGTGGTAATGATGATTTGAAAACGATCTATTTGGTGGATACAATCATCGTGTCACACACAACATGTGAAATTCTTCTGTTGTGACGATCATATGGAATGATCTGAATCGTGTGCGCTGACTCTTCCAAACAAACAGAATTCCCAGAATGCTTCATCATGATTGGTTATCGTCTCTTCTGTAACTGGGTTCCAGAATCAAAGGTGCCTCTCAAAATTAGAGTCGTTTATCGAAGACGTATGAAATACTCATTGCTTGCTCTTGCTTGGATTGATATTTTCTTCAAAATTATTGGAAATATTCTTGTTCTAGCCATGTTCATTGTCATGTGGAATGATTTCCCTGTGGAGTTGAGAATTGTCTTTTTAATCAGTTTTACTGTGTTTTTCATTGCTCAAGCTTATGGACCTTATATTTTCTTTAGAATGTATTTCAAATTGAAGAAGGCCATTGAGGATGATTTGCAAAAGGAACATCAAGCATTGTTACAAAGTGATGAATCGGATGACAATTCAAATTTGAATCCATACAAGCCAGTGAATAATTCGAATGAAGTTCAATTAGAGAATAGAGTGTAATAACAATGATTCAGATCAATATAAAAAACATATGACTTGGTTTTTAAAAACCATTTGACCAGTTGTATTTTGTAGTACAATTTTTGTTATTTTTGGTGATAACATGGAGTTAGATACAAACACTCCCATCGACTTGATCTGATCATAGATGACAACATCCTTTCGAGGTCTAAATTGAAAATCTCTTGCTTGTCCTAACGATATGGAAACAATCGAACAGCCCTCTTTCAATGATTTTTCCTTATCCGCGTGCCACATGATGGAATCTTGTCCATTGACATAGCGATTCACTAACACTCCATTGAACTCTTCTCCAGTATATTTTTCGACGCGTTCTTTCAATTGAACAAGTTCTGGAATGAAAAATTGTGGACTTTCTCGTGTGAGAAAGGTGTATTTTCGTGGTGAGGTCACAATTTTTCCACCAAAGTTATAATCCTTGGTTTGGAAGGTGCACGTTTCCAACAATTTGTTGAATAATCTTTTCGAATCTTGCGGTGAGACAAAATTCGAAATGTATTTCACTTGAGTGCCTGTAATCTTATCGTTAATGAGGAACGTCTCAACTAGTGCTCTTTGTGGTTTTGAACGGATACATGTATTATTATTTGTATTATTTATATTATTATTTAAATGATTAGTATTATTATTTAAATTATTATCAGGAGAGCAAGAGGAAAGAGAAACTGAGTCACAGTCATCACCACCACTCAGTACTGGGGATTGTTGATGAACATGCTTGTTGTGACTCTTTCTGGGAAGTCACTTGTCGTCCTTTTACAGAAAAGGAAAGAAGTGTACTTTGTCTCCACACTTTTGGTTTCTTAGTTGGAAGACCCTCATGATTCAATCTTGCATCATCATGATGATTGTCACCACGTGTCTTTTCTTCATGATTCTCAAAGTAATTTCGTTTCATTTTTTTAACTTGAAAATTCCAAACATTTTTTAAAACGGTTTGCAACGATTTTGTGCGACTTCTTGCAAATGCTCGAACTGATTGAACAACATGTTCAACACACACTCGAGCGAGTCAAAGACAAGATCTGTATTATGGGGTGAAAATCATACAATTAATTAATTTAAACGTTCAGAATTGATTTCATCAATAAAAGGATCATTTCTTTTCCATATTTTCCTCTCGTTTCACAAGAACTTGCTCCGTTCGTTTCACTGGAACAATGGTCACCATCTTGGATTTTTAAAAACAATTTCACACAAAATCATATCAATCATATTAATAATAATAGACACAAGTCATCATGTCATTTCAATAGTAATAATAGTTACAATAGTAATAAAATTAATAATAGTAATAATAATAATAATAATAAATAATAATCAAAATTATCAAAATAAATGTCAATATTACGATAAATTCTTCTTACCTTTCCAACTTGTTGCCAATCTGAAAGACTCTCCTCTTCAACTTCAAAGATTGTTTTTGGAGGTTCTCTTTCATCATCTCTCTCTGTAAATGTAAATTTAAAGGGTGTGGCCAATCGCTTCAAATGTCCAAAAGTTCCTTTTTCTTGTTCACTTTGAGGTCGAACAAAGGCAGAATGAGAACGTGGCATTCGACTAGTAGTGCTAGGATTTCCACTATTTACCATATTTGGAGTGAGTGAATAGTTGTGAGAGTTCGAGTAAGAGGAACCAATTTGTGAATGGAGTTGTGTGGTGAGTGTGTTTTTAGAGTCTCTTTCCATTGGTGTTTTTGTGGATAAGGTCACACTGTTCAAATTTGTGGTAGAAATTGATGGAATTGAAATGGAATTTGCACCAAAGGTCACATCACTTGTCATGACTTGAGGAGAATTCAATGTTGAACTATTTTGTGAAGAATTTGTCATGTTTGGAATAGAAACTACAGGAGAAGTAGGAGGTGTACTTGTGGAATTGGTTTCTTCCATATCAATTCCTAAAAAAGATGACATTTTAGACTTGTTGGATTGAATCAGGGAAGTTGTTTGAATTTCTGGACTTGTTGTTGAGGTAGTTCTTGTTGGTGAGAATGATGTGATTGATTGTTGATGAGACTGAGAAGGAAGAGATGTTGCTGATGGTATGTGAACAACAGTGTCACAAATTGGGGATGGTGTTTTTGTTGTGTTAATCGAAGAAGAAGAAGAAGGAGTATTCAAATCGGAAGAAAAAGACACTCCCGACACGTATGGATCATCTTTGAAAAGATTTGAAGAGTGTTCATGTCCATTCTTCTTCTTCTTCTCAATAAATGCATGACTAATGACTTGCAATAATGAAAATAATGATCGAGCTTGCATGATTCGATGTTCATCATCAAAATGTAACCAATGAATAATGACTTGTAAAAATTGTGAACAAGTTGGAAGGGTCAAGTCGTGATGATTTTCATGATTTTGACAGGTATTCGTGTTGGTATTTCTGGTGGTATTGGTGGTGATATTTCTGGTGGTGTTTCTGGTGGTAGCAATGACTTGTAGAATCATGGATTGCATTCTCTCAAAAGATAAATTTAAAAATTCAGATCGAGCACAAAGTGATGAAAAATTAAATGTTAAAGATTGAAGAGCTTTTTCTCTCAATTCTTGAACATGTTTCTTCCATAATGGATGCATGTCATTTGATCCTCCATATTTGTCAATAAATGAAGGATGAGATGAATTGGTTGATGAATCTGAGATGGATGATGAATGGGATGAATTGGTTGATGATGACCATTCTTTAAAAGTGAATGGTTGATAGGTATTTTGATGTTGAGCTAAATGTTTGGAAAAGAGACAAGTGTAGTCTGTTTGTTGTAGTTGCTCGTGGTGTTGGAGAATGGCATTTTCATACCATGAATCCATTGAAGAAATGATTGTGTTTTGACAGGGTGTTTGTGATGTCATGTGAAAGAGAGAAAGAATGTTCAAACAATCGGAAAGTGTGAAATCTTGAACTGTTTTCAATAGTGTGCAGTTTAAATAGTGCACAAGTGATAATACAATCTCGGGTGCAAAGTAAATGTGAGCGAGAAGGAGAAGAGATGAAACGTGTTCTCTTCGATTTAATTCCAATCGTCCAGTGTAGTAGAAGGAAAGAAGGGATTGGATGCATTCTTTTTGATGAATGAGAGGAATTGGAATTTCACTACATGAAAGGCCAAGTTGAATTTTGGCTTTGATGGAAGAGTGATGATGGTGATGTTGTGAACGAGGTCCTGTCACATGAGGAGGAGTAGTTGTGATGTTGTTGGTCACTAAAGAGTTATTTTGGAGTTGAAACAAGTGTCTCAACACTTGATTCTTTGCTGAGAGAATCATTCGATGGACAAGGAAATAATTCTTCTGATAATCAGAAGAATTAGTAGTGTTATCACTCAAGGATGAAGTGGAATTGGGTGTTGTCGTCACATTGTGATTCTTGTTGTGGAATGCAAGAGGCCAAATCTCTACCATCGCATCCGGATAACTCTCCTCCTTGTCAAAACAATCATCCGCAACATGTTGAGAGTGAAAAAACTTGATTGATTTAAACATTTTTTTGTATTAATTTATTTAAAACTTCATTTCGTGTGGCTTGTCACCGTTGTGAAGTCTGAAAGGAGTTTGGAGGTATTCCTTCAACAATTCAACCTTGCTGACGGCAGCTACAACTTGTTGATCAACAGCATCAAAGACCTTCTTATTCTCTTCTGAAATAGCTCCGTTCTTTCCGGCTCTGAACCAGGACTTCTTTCCAGTTTCGTCCATTCTTGTCTTGTGTTCCTTAGCAAAAGTGGCATCGGTGACTGATTCTGGGACATTGACACCAGAGACATCAACCTTAGTAGATGTGGCAATAACATATCTTTGATTGACTCTTCTCAATGGGACACCGTTGAATTGATATGGTCCAGTAACCAACAAGAGACCTGATGGCAATTGCTTCAAGAAGACAACTCTCTTACCAGAGTATTTACCAGCCAACAAGATCAAGACTGTACCTGGTGTGATGGATGCTCTGAGTTTGGTTGGCTTTTGAACCTTGGTGCTCTTTGTTCTGACAGTGGAGAGAGAGAAGTTGTTAGCAATTCTGTCATCAGCAACTTCGACCTTTTGCTTATTTTTGACGACCTTGATCTTTTGTTGTTTAACAACCTTCTTGGTTCTCTTATCAGCACTCTTGACATAGGCAAAAGTACCCTTCTTCCAGAACAAAGCATTTGGGCTCAATCTTGGCACGGATTGGGCCAAAGAAGCCAAAGACTTCTCCTTGTTTGGGTTCTCCTTTCTAACTCTTTTACCTGGCATCTGTTAGAGGGAAAATGTTGTGCAGTGAAGAATCGCGATGAAAATTAGCTGAACAACAAGTAAGATGAAATACGTACGATAGTTTTTGTGGCGTATTTTTTTTCAACAAATTTTTTCAAAAATTCTGGGCAACCAGAAATTGGAGTTTACAATGAGCAAGATAAATTAAATGTATTGTGCTTTGTTGAGAAAAGATATTGAAACTTATTCATCGTTCATGAATTCATCAATCATGCCATCATCATTGCCCTCCAAATTGAACGTATGATCCTCCATGGGAACGTTCGATTCGGAATGGATGGCATCTTGAGGTGTTTCATGAAGCTCCGTGTTGGCATGCTCTCCACTGATGGTGTCTGAGTGTTCCTCTTTATGTTGCTGTTCCTGCTGCTGATGGTTGGTTTGCTCATTGCTTGAGGGATTTATTGTAATGTCCTTATTGGCAGATGATGAGCTTGCATCCAATTCCGAGGAGGGAATCCCTTCTGTTGTTGTTGCTTGTTGTGGTGTGGTTGATTTAGATTGTAAAAGTTGTTGTTGTTGCCTCTCTCTCTCCATGGCTAATTGTTGAAAATGTGGTATCACAACATGCTCCTTTGCTTTCTTCTCCTTTTCCTCTTGCCATTGTTTTAGTTCTTCGGATGTTACTAGTAGCAAGAGGAAAACAATCATTGAAAACCATTATTGTTATTCCGAAATCCGAAAAAATTCATCATAAATTGAAATAAGATCATGTATGATCGCGTTCCAATATTAATCATTCAAATGCATGTTGTTCCGATATTAATGAAAATATAATCGTGTCAAATATTCATCATCAAAATTCCAATCAAATCATCATCACAATATATAATTCATGACAATAATCCAAATACATAATAATTCCTAAATAATTATTGTCCTGTACTTACGCTGTACATATCCAATTCGTGAGATGGACTCTCCGACTTTTACCATAGAACGTTTCCAAGGTTTCACTTTAATTTGGTTTTGTTCTTCAATCCAACCACTTTTACCTCTAGATCGGGATGTAGTCACTTGAACACTTTCATGGGTACTTTCTTCATCTTCCATCGATTCATCAGAATCATTACTTGCTTCGTTCTGTATGATTTCTTTCTGGGAGGTCGATCGGGTCACTCGAGACATTTTTTGGATTGTTTCTTGGAATGAGAGAGTCTGCTGAAAAACGATCCTTTCGTGTGGGGTGAGCAGAACACCTTCGTATTCTTATTCGCTGAATAGAGTGGAAGTGCTGTGGCCAGTGTAACATTTGAGATCATTACACCGCTTTGGCAAGCATGTCAACTTCTTCCGGAATGACAAACTCTGCATTTCAAACTCAATGCCGTCATCTTCAAAGTGTGCATCCAACTATTCATTCAAACCAAATTTTATGCCTCTCAATGAATTGAGTTGGATCCAATAAAATATATTATAATATATTGGCATAAGAGGTGAAAATTTATTACATTGTCTCGTTGGCATATTTAGGATCATATTCAAGATGAGGAATTTCCAATTCGAGATTCATTGGATAAGTCTTGAAAAATGCAAGATATTTCAAAAGCTCTTTTTGGTTATTCTTATTGTGCAAAAGGTAGGTTGGTTTGTGAGTTTCATTCAGAACAGAAGAGGAAACAATCTTTGGCATAAAGTCTGGATTCTTTCCATTGGTGACAAAGGCAGTCAAAAAGTATTTAAATTTCACACGGTGAATGAGATCCTTCTTCTTGGATGAGAGAAGAGAAGATCGTTTGGAAACGAATTGATTGGTGGCTTGAATGGCCTCCTCTAACTCGGTGTCGTAGCTTGCAATTTTTTCGAGGAAGGTCCACAAATCATATTCTGGCTTCATATCCTCAAGGAAGAGAGCCATAAACACAGGAATCATTCTCTTTCTCATCAGTTGGCCAATGCATGAGTGGTTGTTCTTTTCATCTCTCATGAATGGATCTTTCAAGTCCAAAGTCTGTAAAATCCATGAATGTGACAAGATTAACAAATGTGACAAATAATATAATATTAAGAAATGTCAAAATGTTGGCACATTTTCAAAGCAAATGTAATATTACAACAAATATACTTACCCTATTAATTAACTTCATTTCATTCTTGATGGTGTCCAAAATCTTGTCGTATGGAATGCTTTCATAATCGACCAATGGTTCCACATCGACCGATCCTCTCCATTCCAAATCTACAACTCCTCCCTGCATAGAAATTTCCGAGTGAGAATTTTCTTCAGGTAGATTTGATATTTTTCTATCAACCCAAGCGACTTGTGACAATTCATTTTGGAATGCTTGTTTTTCCTTTTCTCCAAAATGTGATACAATCAAAGAAAAATTAGGAACGTTTTTAGAGAGCTCGGAATGAATGAATCTGTACTTGTCAATATCTTTCTCCAACATTTCATGTTTGTTGTCACCAATGTACACCAAAAGACCACTCAAATCTCTGTTGCATACCAATGAAGTGAGTTCAGGTTGGTGCTTTTTTAAATATTTTTCACAAAATGCCCTCGTAGCCTTTAAGTAACTGTGCATATGCTTGTAAATGGAGGGAAAAACCCAATTAAAAACATCAATCCCAAACTCTTTTTGTGATTTTTCAAAGAAGAGAAAGAGATGATTTTTTAGGAAAATTTCCTCAGTGTTAATTTCAGACATGGTCTGACTTCTTCGTTTCATTGCATTTTCTAACTTTCTATTCAATGCATTATCGATGGTTTGAGTCTCTGTAAATTTTGCTTGAATTTCATCATTAATAGTCCCAATTTCTTTGTAAGTGGAGATTAGTGTTGAGGTGAGTTTGTTAATATTATCCATCACTTTATCCAAGTAAACGCTCATTTGATCTTTTATCACAATGTCAAGAATTCTACGAAGAATAGATGATTCATGTTTTGGAATTGGAAAAAAGTAAATAGTTGAGTAACGCAGATATTAAATGTTCAAGTTCCAGACCCATAACATGCATGGTCAATTTGCATTAGAAAAAGATCAAAAAACATGCATTAGAATCCACTTACTTGACCCATTTTCTGAAAGATCCATCTTCTAAACCCTCCAAATTGATATCTTTTTGATTTTCAATAATATCAATAACTTCCATTACTTCCTTACAATTTGAACTATAAACCATTGAGAAAAACTTGTCAATCACATTGTACCATACATTGAGAGCAAAGCACACGGTGGACTTGGAAAATAAATCTGGCAACTCGAGCATGATGGACACAATACGGTCTTTCTTTTCACGTTGGCGAGTTTTTTCAAGACTCAAGAAGGTAGTATCTGAGAGAAAGGAAGAGTTCACTGTGATTGATTCAACTTCTTCACCGTGTTTTTTGAGAAGTCTCATGATTTGATCGATGGCAAACTTTTCAGTTTTTAAAATCTCTAATTTCGATCGAGCATAAACGAGACCTTCTTTGATGCAGTCTTTATAGTTGCTTTCTCTGCCAATGAGTCTCTTCATTTCTTCTAGGTCTTTAACTTCTGCTGCCTTGTTTACATTTTTCTTTAAAAGTTCGAATCGCTTCAGTGGCTCTAAATATGAGGTTTCGATTTTGGATTTGATGTGATGTATTCTCTTGTCACTTGGGAAGAAATTGAACACGTAATTGGCGTACTGATAATCCTGTGCTCTATAGGCGTCATGCATGATTTTAAGGAAATGAACTAAGCCATCGTTGAGTGATTCTTCAGATTCAAACAATTTGAATGCTGTCACGTTCACGTGAATGCAACATGAATTTTAAATTGAAATGGTTCAAATAGAAAGATGATAGTGATCATGAGGAGAGGAAATCAATATGGATATGAAAATCTCAGAAAACCTACCGTCTTCAGAGGAGGTCTTCAAAAAGTAAAAATCATAATTTCCTCCTTCAAGAGCAAAGTTGGTCGAAGATTGACCTGCTTGAACAGTGAGAGTAACAACTCTTTTTGTTGGAATAAAGAATGGTTTGGAGCACCAAAAAGTGGAGATTTCATCACAATACGAAACATCCACTCCATTCTATCTCACACACATGTAAAGATTAGACACCATATTCATGATGAACCTATTTTCACTTACCACTTGGAATGAACACCAAAGCGAGAATTCATCCTTCGATTCTAAAAGAATACACAAATCGTTTTTCTTGACAATTGCAAAGTATGAACCTGGCTCGAGTGTTAGATCTGTGCTTGTGTTGACAAATTTTTTGCTCTTGTATTCTCCGTCATCGTAGGACGATAAATCATCTTCTCCTAATCCCAACATGCGATAGGTGAGGCAACGAATGTCATGTTGTTCCTTTAAAGGATTTTCAAGATAAATAAAAGTCTCTTTCTGCCAAACTTGAATATCAAACTCCACAGCATGGGCTGTGTTGACAATGATTCTAATGTAGTATGATGTATTAAGAGAATCTAACTTTTGATCTTCGAACAGGTCTGCCTTCTCGGAGGATGTTTTCAAAATACTTTCAAAGTGACATCCACATTGTGAGCTAGATTTTGATTCTGAACTGATAGTATTCCAACAAGGTTGTACATCATCGATTTTATACATTCCAAATGAAAAGGTCACATTTCTTATAAAGTCAGCATGTGACGATTTGTTTTCAACGATCATTTTGAACTCTCCATCTCCAATCAATGGAACATCCAAGATTGTTTCGCTGTGACCTTTCGCGTGATAACTTCTCGAAATCATTAGTTGAGAAAAATCAGCGATTTTGGAAGCTTCTTCCTGAGAGACAGGATGTTGTGTCTCAACAAAATCCATGGCCTTTTTTTGCCTTGGTTTTGGTTTTAGGAATTCATCATCATCGCCACTTCGGGAGACTCCAATTAATTTTTTCATGATGATTGTTGTCTCTTGATTTGAATATGTAATTAGTTTGATGAGTCTATTGAATGATGATGATGTTGACGACGACCAATAATGAGATCTTTTCAAAATAATGATGAGGCCAACCTCTCTTCACTTTTTTTTTAATAAAATTTACAGAGTTCAAGTGACATTGATGACATGATCTCTCTCTTTCCTCCATCCTTGTTCCTAATTTAAACCCGATTCCAACCTCTGCCATCATCAAGCATTGCATGATTATTGTTACTACTGATCATTGTAGTAGTATTATTAGTAGAATCAACCATGGCACGAATTTCAGTTTTCATCGATGAGAGAGTAGTGGTGGTTGTGGTGGTATTGGTGGTATTGGTGGTATTTGTAGTGGTGGTATTGCTAAGAATAGTAGCAGTAGTAGTGGAACTCTCAGTGGTTGTTGCAGTTTCTGTACTGGTTAACAATGCTGAAGAGGGTGCAGTGGGATCATCAATCATGAAGGATCCTTCGTGTTGATTTTCAGGTGAAAGAGAAGGCATGTGGAAGGAATCTTCATCCTCGTTAACGAGGTTGGATGGTGTGATCATTCGAGAGGAGGTGTGGTTCATCGATGTTGTTGTTGTCATCGATGTCGTCGTATTACTTTGATCATCAAAAATGGAATCCTTAGTGCTGTTGCTTCTGCTGTTTGGCATCTTTTTGAAAATCAACCGTTTGGTGAGTGGTGATTTCTTAAAAAGTGTAATAAAATTAATGGATGGATAGGAATAGTATTCATCGGATGGATTACTGGTTTGATTTCTTCTTGGAAATGTGCAAAATAATGCATGTGCTAAAAGGCAACATATTTGTTTTCTACTTAAATGAACAATCGCATCCGATTGTTGTTTCAAAAGTGGAATTGAGGATTTGTCAAATAAATTAGGTAATTCTAGAGCTAGAGATTGAATACAAGGTAATGTTTTGTTGAAAAATCTTTCTTTTTCACTTTCATTATATACATCTTCAAAGAGTGTTTGAAGTGATGAAAAAGTTGATGAATTGAATGTCCAACTTGAATTAATCGAACGTATCACTTGAATGAGATCATTGACATTTCTAATTTTTTGTTGTAAAAGTGTTTTGATTAGATACCATTTCGACAATTGTCTATTGTTTTCAAAATATACATTATTTTCATGACATGGAAGTTTTACATGATTGGAATTCCATCCCTCAATGACTTTCTTTTTGGAAGAATAGTTACTTTTTGTTGGAGGTGTAGAGGATTTGTGATACTGAGATGGAGTGGCAGCATGATGTTGTTCACTTGAAGAAGAAGAACTTTTTGAAGGTTTAACTCTGAATGGAGGTGGAGAAGTGGGTGCTTGATGGATGGTGTTGTTTTTGTTGGTTGTTGTTTGAGAGCTGTCAGCCAATTTTCGCATTTTTTCAATCCATGAATCATTTCTTCTCTTTTTCTTTTGTGATCGAGATCATTGTCTTGGTGATGATGGTGTACATAGTCAAGCATGGATTTTTGCTTTTTCGATGACACGAGTGGAGAGTTCAAGGATTCCCGATTAGCATCATTAGAATTTTCAGTGTTAGAGGAAGAGTGTTGAGGCATTTTTTGTTTGGAAAATGTTCTGACCGTGAAGATGCGCTGAAAGAATTCTGCTGGTGTGTCGAAACGATGACATTGTGATCACACCCAACACCATCACAAACCAATTAATTATAAATATTATTTATAGATAATAAAAACATAAACGCAATGTAATCAAAACACCCAATAGTAGTAATTGTTAGTCCGTTTAATGATGACCGCTACCACCATGTTGCTTTCTATCTTTTGCAATTTGTTGAGCAACAAACTGAAGTAAATCGTCATTGGAGAATGTTCCAGCCTTGAATTTTTCATAATTTCCATTCATGAGAGTCTTGCAAACACCAGGGTCCAATTGCTTGGAGCAGACAGTCTCAACAACTTGAGATTGGTTGTCCAATGTGTTTCCGGTCTTTTTCAATTCATCGAGTTGAGATAAAATGTCCTTGAAAGCTGGAGAATTGAAGAATCACGACAAAGAAGAGGAAACCAAAACCACGAACACGTTGAAACATACAAAACATGATTCAATATATTCTTCTTCTTGGTTGTACTTACAATTCTTTAATGTCTTGTACATTGGTGAGTCAGAAATAACACCAGCCATTTCTGACTTTGGGCTTCCTGAAAAAATGTGGGAGCCAAAAAGAACACCACCAGTACCGATAAAGAGAGGGAGAAGAAAACGTCTAGCCATTTTTTTGAGTGCTTGAAAATTACATGTTTTATTTCATTCGTTTCTTCTCTCAATTAACGTTGTTGTATGAAGCTCTTTTTTTGCATGGAGGAAAGCCTCAACAGACATTAAAAAATGAGTTTCTATGCTATGCCTTTCCTCATCTTCAACCTTGGAGGTGAGATGATGTATATTTTGAATCAGAGATTGGAGGCTCAGAAGATTGCACCAGAGAAGAGTAAGAAGGTACTACAGGATGTGGTGAAACACATGTTTGATGAGAAATTTGTTGGAGAGTTGGCCAAGCCTCAAAAGATTTATTCGGATGCTTCGATTAGGGAGATTTTTGATAAGTTGGCACACTCATCCATCATGAGGCTTTCAACGAGTAGTATGAGCAAGGTAGGTGTTTTAATGTGATAATGCCGTTGGAAACAAGAGCATTGGATGGCACCACTGTCGGAATTGGAATGTTGTATTTCCATGAATTATTATTGTTTGTGTTGTACGAATGTGTGGCTCTTTACAGCTCTATGACCTGATGATCATGGGAATCAAGTATTCATTCCTTTCATGCTCTCATCCTCACGAGATGCTTCAATTTACTCTAAATCACCTCGATGAAATTGAGAATATCATTGGAAAGCATGACAGTGATCAGACGGCCCAAGAGGCAAAAAAGTGTGTTCAAAAGGCTATGAATGAGGTGATTGAGGTAGGTTTCAAGTAATATTCTATTCTTCCAAATTCCATCCTCTATTTATTCATGGTATTTAGATTTCCAAAAAGATGAATATCCATGATTTTATGAAATGTAGATTTACTATTTGCAATTTCTTAAAGGATCGGAACATTAAAGTTTCGATATTCCTTTCGAACAAAATTCAATACCGAAGCACAGGATTTTTCAAAATCCCTAACAACAAGCAATATCCAGTGGGGTTCGACAAGCCGGGAACATGTAGATATTTCGACAATGAAGGGAATCTTAAAGATACATCTCTTCTTCAAAATCATCCAATGAAAGAATATGCTCACAACACTGCTATTCATTCTGACACTAATCAAAGAACATCCAAATTGGGACAAAATTTGTAAGTACAATGGAAGCCTGGCAAGAATGTCGATTTCGAATAATTTCCCTTCTTTAAATAGCTATGCTTCAGACAAGACGAAAAACACTGACGAAGATCAACAAGAGGAAGAGGAGGATGAATCAGCGTTTTCATTCTCAGCAAAGAAGACCTTTGACACCACCAAAGATTTGAATAATTTAGCTAGCATGATTGCAGGGCCAAGAGAAAGTAAGGAAACATTTAAGGTGAACTTGTTCGCCAAATTTGATGTATTTGATGAGACTGGTGGAGGTGACGAAGAAGATATCGATGATATGGATAAGAAATTTGAACAATTAACATTTGACTGCCGAACATCAAAGAAATCGACCATTGATTTTGACATTGGCTCGATTCAACAAACAACCTCACTAGAACAAGATGATTTATTAGACTTAATGGACTCATAAACCAAAATATTTATTGTCATCAATGATTTGTATTTGTAAAAACGCTCTCCAAAGAATCATTGATGTTTATTGAGAAGTGAAACTGCTCAATCGTAGTAATGAATTCATCACTCTACTTGTTAAATTGTTCAATAAATTTAAAGGATAGTTTGAGTTGTTTCAATAGTTCAATAGTGGCTCCAAGTTCATCCCTATAGCTCGTATTGAGCAAGAGAGACTTTTCAGGATCATAAAACTTTTTCAAATAATTAAGAGTCGAAAAATGTACTAATTGCAACAGCAATGTCGTCATAGCATCCTTATGGAAACAAAATTGAATTAAGAGATGAGTTAAATTCGAGTCCTTATTTGGATCGTTGGGAAGCTTTTTCTTAACTCCTGAAACCTCAATAAATTTGTTAAATTCTTTCACAATGGCATCACCTTGAGGACTCAGACCTTTCAGAATCTGTACAGGTGATTCCTTATAGGGTTTGTTGGTGAGAAATTGTTTCTTTTCCAATCTGTGATCAATCAGTAAATTTTCAATCGAAACGCAAATACGTTCCATATGTTCGTCAAAAGGATGTTCATTGGTGCAATTAAATTTAAAGAATACTTCATCATTGACACCTGTAACTGTTGAGATGGTTGATTGTGACTTTTGAGAGGCCAAAAAGATCAATTGTTTTACATTTTCACGCAATGATTGAACAACTTCGGTTGGAGTTTCAGTGACTGGTGTTTGATCTTGTGAGCCATAATTGATGATTTTGATAAAGCCAGGCTTTTCTTCTTCTATCGTATTAGCAGCAGTACAAGACGAGTTAGTTGTTGCAGTCACATTGGAGGAACTAGGATCAGAATGTATTCCACTCTGAGAAGAAGGAAGTATCAGTTTTGGAAAATCTGAAGAAGAGCCACTACTACTTGATCCATTCGATACCTCAGGAAACATTTCAATAATTTGTGTTTGAGTCAAGTCTGTCTTTTTCTTTGGCTTTTTTTTCTTATCTGACTTTTTCTTTCGTTCTACAATTAAACCTCCACTATTTTCAATCGATACTGTGGTTGAGGGATGTGGAGGACTATTCTCCTTATGAATGGATTTACTCTTCTTACGAGAGGAAGTTTTTGGTTGTTTGGTTTGAGGTGTTTCTGAAGAAGCACTCAAAGTGTTTTCTTTCTGAGAATGTGAGGATAGACTATTGGAAGAGGAGGATAATTCATCATGACTCAACACGTCGTCATCTTTGTCTTCAACGAGAGATGGATTGGAGGTGACATCATTGAAGGTCATGAGTGTATCATTATGTGTTTCATTCAAATCAGAAAGGTCTTGAGTGATGATATCCGTAGAAGTGGTAGGTTCATATTTCTGTTCAACAGAAATGACATGATGGTCAGATGTTTGATTTGTGACAGTAGGTGGAGAAGGACAAGAACTTGCCTCGATCGGCTCCTTATTCCAGGCAGTAAATTTCACACCAGCATTCACTTGTTCCCCAACTTGTTGTGGGGAGGACAAGTCGTGACTGTTTGAGTCCTTTTCTGATGGAATCGAAACACTATTCACATGATGACATGCTTGACCCTTATCCACTACCAATTCTGAAGAGGTCGATGTCTTCACAGAAATTGAGCTTGTTGTAGGTGCAGGTTCTTCTTCTAATGGTTGTTGTTGGTGTGATGTTGTTACTACTGGTTGTTGATGTTCATGTTTTTTCTTCACTAATTCATCGAGCTTTCGCTGCTGTTCTTCAAGAATTTTGTGTTCAAGTTTTTTTCTTTCCTCTTCCTCTCTGCGTCGTTTTTCTTCTTCTTGTCTTCGTTTTTCTTCTTCCATTTTCTTTCGTTTGAGCTCCAATTCTTTCTTCTTTCTTTCTTCTTCTTGTTGTCGTAACAGTTTCTCTTTTCGAATTTCCTCTTCAATATAATTCACACACTCTACATACTTGACATAAGAATCTTTCGTTAGAATTGTACCCTTTTCATCCCAAAATGATCGAATTTCAGAGAGATTCTTTTCTCTCTTTGCTTTAGAAATTAAGTTAGAAAATTCAGTTTGTAATTCTCGTTGGTGTCGAATAATGGTAATGAATTGATCGAGACGTTTCATGTCGAGTTGGGTGTCACCCTTAGACTCAACAAGATTTTCAAGTATTTTTCGTGCTCGTTTTCTGAAATCGACTGCATCTTGATAAACTCTGGAAAGTTCTTGTTCTGAGTCTACTTTGGAGCAATTCCTCACAAAAAGGTCATTAGTTAAAGAGCTTGTTGATGAGGAAGTGGCAGATAGAACGTTCTCTTCCAAATATTTGATTTTGTCCTTCACTTCAGTCTTCATGTTATACTCATTATCCATTTTAGAAATGTGATCAGCCGCTTCCTGAATTAGTTCTGTTAATTTGTTAGATTTCAAGCAATAATTTTCAGATTTGCTCTTCAATTGTTTGATATTCTCCAGAGAAATGTCGCTCAAAATAAACCGTGTTTGAAGAGCTCTGTTAAATTCTTCTTCGAGTCGATGGAGATCTTCAAGCATGGCTTTTGCATTTTCAAAATATTCTTGAATTGCTATTTGTAAATATCTGGAGTCAAACTTTAAAATGTTCACTCGGAATGTTGCTTCATACTCTTCCTCTTGCTTCTCTTCAGAGGGGTGAGAGTGTTCGTCTGTGTTTTCTAATCGCCAAGTCTCTTTTCTTTTTGGAATTTTAACAATCCCTGACTCAATTTCATTCACAATTGATTGTATTAAATCTCCATCTTTTGAGTTCATGGCTTGTGTTAATTTTTCTCCCATATTGAAAATATGATCACATATAGCAACTTCCCAATTACTTTTTTGGATATATCCAATGAGTATTCTGAACTTGAGAGCTCCCGGGCTTGGATTATTTGGTCTATTTGCCAATGCATGATGTTGTACCTTGATCACAAAATCCATTGGAATAATTGAGGGATAGCATGGAAATGGATCACTCATGTACAGACTCACTTGTTTAGCTTGCTGATTATTACCATCTTGATTTTCCTCGTACAGCTCATAGTACTGTAATAATTGCTTGAAAATATCATTCTTGCTCGTGCCTATATATGTAATTGGAGAGATATCTTCTTTAAATTGATTTAAAAATCCAGACAATACTGTCACATCAAAATTATAGTTCGTAGATCCCATTCCAGTAAGACCTTGCAATGTGGCTAAACTCGAAACATGTGAAATATTCTCAATAAAAAGCTTGTACACTCCGACAGAGTTAAATTGTGTTTTAAATTCTCCCAAACCTCCTAGCTCAGGAGCCACACTATCTTCACGCAAAATCATTTGTTCAAATTCTTCAAAGATATCCACCTGATAATAGACATATCTCAAACCAATAGAGACACCACTTATTAATTGAATCTCAATGTCATCCTTTCCGACTTTGTGTAAGAGCCCAAAAAACGGTGAGTAAGGATCTGATAAATCCATTCGAATTTCCCAAGTTTCGGAGGCCTTCAATTGTTTGTATTGTTTTTTTAATTCCTTCTTATCCTTATTCTTAACGTCTGTCATTTCAACTTTGTGAAAATCATGATCATCTTCATCCGTATGATGGTGTGACTTGGGAGAAGAAGAATTCGTTTCTCGTGAACTTGAAATATTTTCAAAATCAATACTCTTATTTCTTATTTTAATATTTACAAAAAACTCCATTCCAATACCTCCAAGAACATTTGTGTTTTTTACCTTGATAATATAGACACCTCGATGGTCAGGCACAAAGCTCACGTGATCTTCTTTTCCTTTTCCAAGACTTCCTTTTTTACTGTAAACCATCACTTGAACTGTTTTGATTGTTATCATTTTCATCAGTACAGATCAAAATTATCACATGACAAGTAGTTCCATATCACGCACGCATGTATGTAAAGATCAACCACAATAGATCGAGTATGGAATTGTAAATTGCGTTTTTCAATACCATCATTCATGATTTTTACAATTAAATCACATGAATGAAACATGCATATTACGTACAGTATGAGGCTTGATTTGGTACGTGATCATCAACCAACACAAATCCGTCGTCCTCATCATCGTTCAGATCATTATTGAAATGTTGGTTTCCGGAAGCTCCTGCTACCGACTTTACAGGAATGATGTTTTTCAAAATATTCATGATGAGTTCTTTAACAACTGTTGTTCGGGTTGTTGTTATTGAATAGGATTTCGATTCTTCGAGAATGGTGATGATGATGTATGTGGTTGCCACAGTTCGTTCGTTTTTTTATAATATTAAACTACTTGTGAATGAAAAAATAGTAATTTGAATTTCTCCTCTCAGAGGAAGCTCCACCGAAAGAGAAAGTCGAGAGATTTTTTCGAACAATTGGTTTTGAAGGGTTTTCGCCTCGCTGGGTGCGTGTTTGTGCAAGGAAGGATCACTTTCATGCAAGGTTACATCTTTCCCAATGAATTCAAATAGGAATGATGAGGGGGCACACACGAATCGTCATCATCACAAAATAATGTGCTCTTGTTCTCAATCAAGTCTTTATCTATTACGATGGACAAATCTTCGTTGTCCCTTGTACTCTAAATCTTTTCGTTGACACATAATGAAGATGGCCTTTTCAATTAAGTGTCGTTTGTGACCCATGTTTTCGAGATTGGCCACAATGGCTTCAACTTGAGAGGTGTGACCAATGGGTGTAATTTTGAGAATATCATTTTCGATGGCTTGAATTTCTTTGGACATGGAAGCCAGTGCAAGCTCACCTCCAAGACCGTGTGTGTTAATGGCCTCCACTGTTGAGCTCTTGAATAAGCGAACAGCTTCCTCTGCATGTTTCAAAGTAGCAACATCCGACAATTCCATTTTGGCCAGAGATTCAGAAATACGAATTAGGGCCTCCAATTGTCTCACTGTGATTGGAATGATGGACTCTTCAGTTTTGCTTGATTCTCTCTGTTGAACGTAAAAATTAAGCAAGTACTCAGATGCCTCATCTGATAATCGTGGAGAACATACTGCTCGACAGTAGGCAATGTACTTTTTAAGTTTTTGAATTGCACTGTCATCAGTTTTGTTTTTGTTGGTACCACTATTGTTGTCACGTTTGTGATTCAGAACGTGATTTGCAATACGTTGATCTCTATCCTTGTCCACCAAATCTCTCACAATAAAAATCATGTCAAATCTTGACAAGATGGTAGTCTGGAAATCAATTTGTTCGGCAGGAGACCTAAAATCATCGTATCGACCAAATAATGGATTGGCTGCTGCAAGCACAGATGTTCGACTATTCAACACTGTGGTAATACCAGCTTTTGCAACTGAAATGGTTTGTTGTTCCATGGCTTCGTGAATGGCCACTCTGTCTTGTTCCCTCATCTTGTCAAATTCGTCAATACACACAATTCCACCATCAGCCAAAACCATTGACCCTCCCTCTAAATAAAACTCTCCAGTACCTGGCTCCTTAATGACACATGCTGTTAAACCAGCAGCACTGCTACCTTTACCACTTGTGTAGACTCCAATAGGTGCCACCTTTTCAACAAATTTTAGTAATTGAGACTTGGCAGTAGATGGGTCACCGAGTAATAAAACATTGATGTCACCTCTTCTTCGAATTCCATCGTTGAGAACTTTTGATGAACCTCCAAACAGTTGACATGCAAGTGCTTTCTTAATATCTTCACAGCCATAAATGGCTGGATCAATGGATTCAGCAATGATTTTGTAGAGATTCTTTTGTTTGGAGAATTGTCGCATTTCATTCTCTTCGGTTCTGCTAAATTCCATCTTAGATCGTCCCGAACCATCATTCGTAATTTCAAAGCCAATAACTCTTAAATAGGGTTGAGAAACATTAGAATTGGACTTTTTCCCTCCAGCTGACTGGAATGTGCTCATAATGGCTACAACATTGACTCTGGTTCCAGGAGGTGTTTTTTCAACTAAATTTCTATCACTGTACATGAGAATAGTTCTTGGCATATCACCTGTTGTTACAGTTTCTGGACTTTCCTGTAATTTCAATGTTTGTTGATCATAGTATTTGCACTTCTCAGGAACAATGCGATAGGAACCTTTACATCCAGCCTCATTGTTACATTTTGTGGGTAAATTAATTCCAGAAAAACCTAAATTATTTGTAAATGGTGAATAATGATTTTTAGAGAGACAAGCCAGGATGATTACCTACCAGGATTGACATGAATAATTTCTTCTTTTGGGCATAGTGAACACCGAATGTATGCCTTCTCGATTTTTACACTCACTCTTGAATTATTAATAATAATGCCTCTCACACAAACGACACGTCCCACATCTTCAGCTTTCAAATCCCTAATATTCACTGGAGTTGCAACAGACCATTTAAATGTGAGTTGAAATGGAATATCTTTCAGAAACTCTTTGAATTCTTCGAGTGACTGCTTCTCATAGGACGGTTTGCATATACTCGAAATTACATTTTCTTTTACAGATTTTTCCAGCTGAAAAGAGCCACATAAAACATGAAATCACAATTTCGAATGATGACGGATATGAAAATCGTATTCAATGAGATTAATTTCATTTAAATTCATCACGATGATGATGTCATTATTATGATCAGTATTGGGCACTCTTCATATCTCATTACTGCTCTTCACTTACCAATGGTATAAATGTATTCGGAGTATTTATAATAGCATTATGTAAACTATCATTAAAGGCCGCAATGTGCAACAATTCCACTTCCAAAAAATAACTTCCGTTCGTAAAATTCGATCTCAATTGATCTTTATAAATATATCTATTTTCGTGTTTAAAGTTGTTAATAAATAAAGTGAAAACATTTCCAGCATTGCTCTCCGTAATATTATTCAAATGAGAGAGTCCCGATAGTGAAGAATCGCTGCGAGGGACAAAAATCTGATTCGTAGAGAATTCTGTCATTTTTTTTATTATTTCAAATAATTTAGTAAAGTGTTAAAGTTAACGGTTTTGAGCGGGAAAATAGATTTTTGCAAACCAACCCTCACTCGCTTTGAATGAGCAATTCAGCAGGATCAGTATGTCGACAACCCTAATTAATTCATTGGGTCCTGTCGGCCTCACCTATCAGTGTTAAGTAAGGCACGAACAAGCGATGAACAAGTGATTTTCCACTCGTTGCTTGAAAAAAAATGACACGACACGAACACAAGCCAAAACACAGTCCCTATCAATACATTAAAAAGAATTCCCAGTTAGGTGTAGCAGTCGGATGGGCCGAGGATATAGATTCAACGACAAAGTAGGTGGATTTATGAATCCCGAAATGAACATGCCTATCATTTTGAATATCGTGAAGAAAACTTTCTAATCAGAGGTTATTCAGCCACAATTCCTATTGCACTCATTTGGAAGAAATTACAAACCACAGAGGATGATGATGAGAGAGTTGATTCAGAAACTATTGAAAAGTCTCACAATTATATCTTGACCAACTTCAATCATTTTTGTGATGACAACGAGAAAGAACACAAACGAGTGAACCTTGCAAAACATTACCGTCCATGTTATTTACTTGTAGTTTTAAGAGAGCCTTGGAAGCGCAATAGTTATGTGAGTAATGGATGGATTGGGTTATTGAAATTGAACAAATTGGGATTTCGAATGGATACCCTCAACCAGAGATTACACATCCTAGGCAAGACAAGTGTTTATTTTCCACTTTCGATTTTTATCAACGAATGGACCAAAGAATATTTCAATTTTTTTATGTTGGGAACACAATCAAATGTTAATGTCATGTTTGAAATTAATCAGGAATGTTTGACAGAATCCAAGTTACAAATTGAACGCATGAAACAAGATGAATTTGTCTACTGCAGTTTTAAGGGTCAAGTATTTTGGCCAACCATAGGTTCAAGCAAACGTTGTTGGACTTTTACTAATAAGTATTATTATGAAGAACTGCAATTGAGGAGAATATATCTCAAAGATAATTTTCAATTGGCTGAGGAAAAGAAATGGAGTATCAAACTACCCCTCACGAACAAAGATCAATTCATGTACTTGGAATATCAACATTTAAACGAAAATGAACAAAATGATGTAATTGAAAGGTATCTCCTTGTCTCAGTCAGCCAGAGTAAGAGATGGATACACTCTTTACTTCAAATGCAACTAGGCGAAAGTCAAGCATTTTTAACACCAACAAATTTTTTAAATTTCGACAAATTGTTCAATAATGACATACAGCGCCATGCAAAGAATAATGTCAAACTTCTCTCACATTGCAAGTTAACCAATTCCAAGTACTTGATCATGTGCTGGCTAATAACGTCAAAACAAGGTCACACTCGATACAAACTAAAATCATTTCAAGATCTGTTCATCCATTCAACTGCTTGGATGTTGATTGATTTTGAGAGCAAACTTGTTAAACGAGTATTTCCAAGAGTTTATCGTCTATCTAAAAAGATAAATGAGGATGGTTTCAAACAAGTTTCGAGTAAAAAGAAACTGTACTCTGGTAAGAGGTTGCCCAAGAAAAGCTATTTTCAAGATGGAGATTTAAATGGTGGATATTCTGATGTGCATTTACTACAATTAATAAGGACAAAAAACGACACAAATAGTCCATGCGAGGAAGAGGATGTCGTTCCAGAAGAACGGAATGATATTATGTTGTTTGGAACAAATTCCAAAAAAGACATCCAAACGATTGCTTTTCGACCATTTCTTTCAAACCCTGACCTCTTTCAAGTAATGGTATTTTTCACATCTGATGTGGTCACAGATTGTAGAAAAGATGTGTGCCACTCTTCAGATTACGGAAAGATGTTTAGATTCTATTTCAAGTTACGAGATGAATGCAGCACTCGTTTGACCAGCACATTCAAACATTATCATGATATTACTCTTGTGACATTGCAATGAGTGTCATTTTAACTCTGAACTATTATTATTATAACTATTATTATTTCAATTAATTATCGCTTTTTACATGATCTTGGCCACTTTTCGTGATTCCTTTGCATTTGTTTTTGTGCATACCATGGTCGTCCAGTCAACTGGAATCATTGGAAATCCAAAACTACTCGTAGCATAAACTACTCCCAATTCATTTCTGGCTGTAGATATGTAATAACTTCTGGAGTCACCTAACGAAATGACTTCTGCTTTGATGACATCTCCGGGCCTCAAACAATCGTATAAAATTACTTTGTCCACTTCTGTTGCTCGAATATCTTGCACTCGGAGCAGTCCGCTGATCGCTGAACCTGACTTGATGACTGGCTTTCCATCCACACACAAAATATCCACTTTGGCAAAGGCTTTTGTCGTTTTAATCACTTTTGCAATGACAATAGATCCAATATTCGGAACAATTGTTTCATGTTTGTTTTCTTGAATAACATGAATAAAAGGTAAATCCGAAACGTCTTTTGATGAAAAACTTTTGCTCATTGGTGAGGGTAGCGTTCCGGAGTGTTCTTGTTCATCCATCATATTCTCTTTTGATATATACACTCGTCCAACAAGGCTTGCATGTATCCGGTTATCTCTCACATATGTTCCTTTTCCTGGCCGATAATTATCGGTCTGAGCAATTCTTGTTCCAGGGACCACGTGTTGACCTGAAAGGGATGAATCTTGTTGTTGTGAAGTCATTTTTTTTTTGTAATTTTCTTCATTAATGTCGAACTCGTGTTTTTAAGAGTATGAGTTTATTTAACGAAAAATTATTTGGTGTTGAAGGTGAATTTGATTTGTTCCTCAATTTCTTTGAAAGGTAATTCCAAAAAGCTACGAAGAAAATTCTGCAAACGTTCGTGATAGGAATGATCTTCATGAACATCATTGAAACTCTCAAAAAGTGTGCTTAGAAAATTGAACGGTGCTTTGAGCTCGTTAATGAGATTCATCTTTTGAGTGTCATCTTCAAATTCTATGGCGTTTTCGAGGATAATCTTGAGTGACAAAATTTTTGAAGCAATGTCGTAAATTTTGTCCAGCAATTTGCTATCGGTCATGATGACACTTTTCCTTTCCTCACTAAATGTTTCATCAATGACACTTTCAATGAACTTCATAATTGCTTGTTGTTCCATGATGCTAAGTGATTCATTATTTGAGATGAAAATGTTTCTCTTGTGTTGATATTTGGGAAATGCGAGCTGTAGCATGTGATACATCCTCAAAGGTAATTCTTTCCAACGATGAATGTAAATATTTCTCAAACTTGAACTTTGATTTCTTAAAAGAACATGAGGCACGGTGAGTACAAGTGGTGAGTAAATATTTAGAGTGACAAGTGTACGTCCAAACTTGGCTACATGATAAAACAACATGCTCGAGACTTGAATGCTATCTAATGAGAACGCAGTTAAACAGCTAAAGATACAACATATTACCTTAACATCTTCATCAGTGATTGTTTTGCTCCGAACAATTAAACTTCGCACAAGAGGTAATCTAATCGCTGATATATCCAATTCAAAAAATTTCAATGTTCTTGAAGTAATTGTTAGGTAATAAAGAAGTGGAGCGTTTTGAAGGTGAAGCACAAATGAGCCAGACAAATTATCACTCTTCAACGACATGTACTCTAACTTGGGACAATAGGTAACAATTTGCTGCAATTCATCATCTGTAAGATCGGTTCCAGATCTGGCATTCAAAATATTCGATGCACTTCCAGAATTACTCGAAACATTTGAAGAATGAGCGCTCAAATTAGAAGTTTCAGTGTCACCCATGTAAGGAGGAGTTTCCTCTTCATCATCATCGACTCCACTTCGATCTAGCATTAAAAACTCATGAGACTTGTTTGAAACCACTAATTGTACCAAGTGAGGGCATTGTTTTAGAACTTGCAACAATGTACTAGATGGAATAAATGTTCCAACGAGCTTAAGTACTGTTAGATTCGGTTTAGGTGAGTTAAAACTATGGAGAAGAGAAGAACAATCTGTAAGACTTATCTTACACAACTCAATAACTGTCAAATCTGAACCTGATAAACAATACTTGACAATTAGATGGTTATTGTCTGAATAAAGTCTATACTTGTCATCAACATGAAGTCTTAAAGTTTGTAGTCGATTCAAAGGTCGAAAATATTCTTCTTGTTGTGCCAGTGCATGATGTTCCTTCTCATTCTTGGGAGGCGTTGTGTATAAATCAATTGCCAAGTGTCGCAAGGCAAATCCATACGAAAAGATATTAATGAACGTTTTGATGGAACATGCAACTCCCTCCAAAGAAAGACGAAGTAATGGCACCTTTTTGACGAGTAGTGATTGAACCAAATTATCGACAATGAGTGCTGAGTTATTGCTATCGTGACGATTGGTTTGTGTGAAATCATGGGCAAATAGAGGGAAAGCAATATCCAAATATTCTAGCTCAGCTAATTTGTTGGTAATGGAGCTCATATGGCTCAAGTTAATAGAGCTGGCAGGTGGTCTAGCAATTTTTAACTCTCTCAGATGTGGCATGTAATTTTCAGCAATTAATTGTAAAAGTGCAGCCGAAGATTGGAAATTGGATAAACAAAGGCGAGTCAATAAAAGTGGTTTCTTATTTTGTAGTGCCCACGAAAACTGGTTGGTTGAGTCTCTTGTCAAAGAAGTTCTAAAGCCCGTTGCGAATGAAGATGCTGAAATGGAAGAACAGGACTGTACTTCTAATTGTTTCAACAATGGTGCCTTGTTGAGAAGAATAGAAATTGATGAATCATGAAACTGGCGACAGTCTCTAATGACCACATTCTCCAATGCAATGCATGTCTTGAACAGATTTTCAAAGAAGGTTTTGGTCAAAAAATTTTGTTTGAAAAAGACAACCTTTTTCCACACTTGTGGTTTTCTTTTTTTGATCAAGAGGTTGTTGAAACTCTCATCGGTGAGAGCAATTTGTGAATGTAATGGCATTTCAAATCCAATAACAGCCCATAACTGGCTGCTATCTTGATTGACAATTCGAAAAAACCTTTTGCAAACAAGTTGCACAATTGACACAATTTCAAATGTGTTGAAAAAGTGAAATATTGATGAAATCAGCTCATCTGCTAAATGAAATAGATGAGTGCTTGGAATGCTCATCTGCAAGGATAAAGAAGGTTGAGCTCCCTTATTCTTTTTCATAGGTTGTGATTGCGTTGCTGTACTGTCAGTATTGATTCCTATCGGAAAATGCATTCCATCATTGTCTGTCGTGACGATCACATCCCTTGCCTGATTTTTCGATTGAGACATAAAATCCTCCTTTGAGCGTTTTTTTGGCAAGATTAACAAACTTCTCTTACCCAAGTGAGAGTTACCATCATCACCATGGAGAATGTTATCATGTGATGCACTTTTCACAAGAATTGGATGAGAAAATTGCAATGTTGTGCCTGTTGGTGGGAAGAAATGCACATCTTCTGCTGTATGTGAATGGATGCGTTCTTCTTGGAGTGAGGATGTGAGTGGTTCCCGTTGTGTTGAGACAACCTCGATCACCTCTCCACTTTGATGATTGTTATTCGAGTTGTTGCTGTTGTAATCACTAGAGTTGGTGGTTGACGATGAATTGTTGTTTTGAAAATCAATAGTACGGATGGATGGTTGAGGAGGAGTGGAGAGGGTTGAAAAACTCGTGTGGCCATGCACATTGTTTTCTGAAGTGCTGTTGGGTGTTGGATTGTCCTTGTTCATTCAACAATCTCTCCTTTTCTGGCAAATAGAGAGAATGTGGTGGTTGAACAATCTCTCTCGGTTTTTATGGTAATAACAACTCCAAGCAACCTTGTGGAGTTGATTCAGACCAAAGGACAGGGTTGATGTGTTGTTGTTGTGGTGATGTTGTTGTTACTTCTGAGAAGATATTGCGAGTAGAAATAACAAGTCAGGGTGATGATGGTATTTGAAAAAACGTTATTATTGTTTCAACGATGATGCAATCTTATGCTACTTCATAAGGATGTGAGGTATAGCAGTTGTTGTTTGTGCGCACAAGAAATCACAAATATTATTATTATTGTTCGTTGTGGTGGCGATGATGTCGTAGTAGACTGACTCTTTGAAATAAAAATTGTAAACCGACAATAACAAACACTGATTGCGAATACTACTCCTGTACTCAATAGTGGAAATAATCAAGAAGAAGACTCAGATGGATGCATGAACGGATGATGCACAACCCGATCTTCAAGTTTGACCAACGAACCAAAAACGTTTTTTTTTAAGAGTTAAAACTTCCACTTCTTTGCCTTCCGTAAGGTCTGACCAGAATCTCAGCCTTCGAGATTGTGGACTCGGTGTCCTTCACAAAATTGGGTACATATCTTGAGAGGTTGAGGTTCAACAATCCACTTGCTGCCTATACTGTACAGCAATAATAGTGGTTCAAATTGATGAGAAGGAGGAGGACGAGGATTCTTGAATCATCATCATTGAAAAGCTCTAACTTTCCTTGTAAATCCGTCGGCATTTCGAATGATTTTAGAAATCAAATGAAACATTAACGCCCAACAATGCCGAAGTTTCAATGACAAGAATTCCATGGCGAATAGCGAGAGTGAATAATGCATCTCGATCGATTTTCCACACCGCACGAGGTAAATCACACATGGTTAAACACAGACGAACTGCTCTGCGTTTCACAAGTTTTGGAATCTTATTGAAAATTTCTGTCAGTTCTCTCTCAACATCTCCTTCAAACAATACAGACAAACACAAGATCACTTTTCCAACAGAGTCATTAATTGGTGAAGATTTCGTCAGTACTCCACAGTGCAAAATGGGCCCATAATAAATTCCATCTTTTTGATAGAGAGTAGAGTTGTCAAATTTTTTGTGAGCTCGTTGATAGAGCAATCGATTGGCTCCAGATTTTGTTCCAATACCATAACACACTATTCGATATTCCTCATAACTTCTATAATAGTTCTTTTGTACAGTAGCTGAAGGAGAACACGTCGATTGTAAAGTAAAGTCTTCCACACGCTCGTTCTTTTTCATTTCTTCAGGAACGGCCCAATCTTGTGCATTGGCAAAATTTTGTCTATAAATTTCCTTATAATAGCAATATAGAACGGTATAGATCTTAATAAGCTCAAATGCTCGAATGTGTTCAAACGATTTCGCTAAATCGTAGATGGTTTTTGCCTCCTCGATGGATGTAATATTCTTCTTAATGACATGAGCACATCGATTCGAAAGATGTTTGAATCCAACCATATCACAATACATTAACAACTCAATAGCAATAGACTCATTCGTAAATGATCCTGTATATACAAAATTAAACATATTTTTCATAACTTCGATGGAGCATTCAAGTCCAATCACATGTTGTTGAGATTCACTCATTCCACTTGAAATCATTGTGTTAAAAAAGTTGGATCGACACAAGACAAGATCCTTGACGACAGAGATGGTTGTCTCGATTTCTGATTGACCTTCTAAATTGGAGGAAAATGTAATGAGTTCCTCACGACAGGGAGCCATTTCCATTATCATTGATGTAGAGGGTGTGGAGTTGTCTGTTTCACCTGTGCCTACGTGCACCAACGATTCCAACATTACATGTTCCCAACTCTGCAACAAATCATCCGTTCTGTTCTTTCCCTGCCTCATCAATTCAAATCGCAGATACTCGTTAAAGACATTTAAATGTTTCAGTTTGACCAACTCAAACAGTTGCATCAAGTCCTTAATGTAAAAATCCTTGTCATAAATATCCCCTCCCACTTCAAGTACTTCGTCCAATCTTGCAAATATACAAAATTCAATAAATAAATATGGACAGTAAATGGCAAGAGCCAACAAGTCAATTAAATTGGTGAGATATAATTTTTTCTGATTGGCAGAATTTGCTCGCTGGAACATGGAGAGTCCACTCAAAGAATTTCCATCAAGTTTTAGGGATATTGAAAAGGAATTGGAGTTTACGGATACACCTTCATAAATGACTTGTTCAAAGACCTCACTAAAAGAGCTCATAATGGATGCATGTAAATGTTTGGTAATTCTAAATGATTGATTACAGTCCAAGAGTTGAATGTTAAACTCAAAAGTAGAGCAGGTGAATTCGATTCCACTCGACACGGATGCACCACTGTTGCTTTCCATTTTTGCACCCAGATCATCTTCAACATTTTCTCGAGAGAGAGCCAATTTCTTGACCCAGAGTTGTTTTCTCTTTTCGTTGCGCTCCAAACTTTGAGAAAGCCATTTCAACTCTCGATTCTCTAATTGCAGAGACATTTCACAGAGCATTCTTGTGTAGTCATCTCCGATTTGGACGATACCATTCAACCACTTTTCAGTCACATATGAAGAAGATTTGTGGGATTTGATCGGAACATCTGTTGGAAAACAATCATAAAAGAAATGTTCTACTGCATCAAAGGCTTGAACTTGAGAGAGTTGGCTTTTGGAGAGTTGCAGTGGTGGACATGATTGGTTGTTTCGTTGCGAGTTGAAATTGTTGCCCATTTTTTTTATTGAACAATGAACTTTGGGAACTTGTTGCACACTAAATTCATTTATTACAATCGAACCCAGCTTCGGTCAGATTTGAATTCACTGAATTCTTCGAAATTTTTACATTAGCCTTCACTTATTGCTGTTTGACACCACCGACCAAGTTAGCTGGCAAGGCTACATCGAGATATCTTGGTTTTGCTAATTTCAAATTGTTCATAATTTCAACAAAACCTTCTCTGGTTTGTGTGGCGAAAATTCTTGGGTTGAATTTCTTCTCCTCTCCAATAGTTGAGCAGAGCATTCCCTTGTAGTCGTGACCAGGATAAACAAGACAAGTGTCTGGCAATAAGGAGTAAATCTTCATGATACTATCGTACAATCTGCTAGCACTTCCTTGTTGGAAATCGGTACGGCCACAACCTCTAATGAACAATGCATCACCGGTGAAGACCATGGATTTGTCATCCAAATAATAGGTAATACATCCATCGGTATGTCCTGGAGTTTCAAGAACATGAATTTTGACAGTATCGCCAATTTGGATGACATCACCCTCTTTGACTAAGGTCAAACCTTCAGTAAAAGTTACACCCGAATGAATAGAGTAGCAGTGAGTGGCTCCTGGGAATTTCTTCTTCAACTCCATACCACCAGTGATGTGATCAGCATGCACGTGAGTATCCAAAATATGAGTCACAGTGAGTCCAAGCTCATTAATCAATTTGGCATCTCTTTCACATTCTTCAATCACTGGATCAATGATGGCAGCTTTTCCTGTAACTTCGCAGCCCAAAATGAAAGTATAAGTGGAGGTATCAGCAGAGATGAGTTGTCTAAAGATCATTTTACAGTTTCGGAATCAAGATGATGATGATAAGGATAATGATGATTACCAACAAGTATTGTTGTACTCAGAAATGTTGTATTTTTTTTGTTGTTGGAAGACGGTAGTGGTATCGAAAGGCCTCTTTTTATCCATTTTTGAGGACCAAATCAACACCCAAAACAAATAAAATCTTGATCGGCGAATTAAAATTACTCCCCGTCGACGATGGGGAGATACTCGGTGGCTGACATTACAATGTCCTAGCTCAATAACTGTAAGGCTTGTTGCTCCAAGGGTTTCATCAAAACCTATTCGCTGATATCTTCAACTTTTTGAATTGTCGTCGTTGTATAAATACTCACGCTCTAGTCGAACAATTTTCCCAAATAACCATAATGCAATCTCCATTTAAATCATTTTCATGGCCATCATTTCATGTGTGTGCTGTCTCTTGGTCATTTCTCTTCATCCATCATTATTTCACCCACCATGAACCTTTCCTAACCAAGACGTAAGCCTAAAATTTCGGTTTGAAAAAAAATTAAAATCGAATTTGTGAGAGAGAGACGATTCTTCTCTGAGAGTGTGTTTTTGCTGCTGCATTTCAAAATATTTCTTGCAAGTGGATAATTGTTGTCTTTGATTGCACAATCAATAACATCATCTTCATTAGAGTGGTGAGTCCAAGGCCGGCGATCAGACTTTTCTCAAAAATACTTTTTTTAATAGACACATCGTCTCACTGATGAGAAAGATCTTTACGAATTTAGAGCTTTGAATTTTTGGTCCAGACAACTCTCTCTTTGAATCGTTTCTACATCCTTTCAGTCTCGCTCATCAACTTGTTGCAATTTTCCAACATTTCAATTTTTGCATTTGCAGTTTGACATTTTCCTGTCAGTAATTGTCCTTTGCAATCCAAAAGTCCTTTCACAAAATATATAGAGTCCACACTCTCCAAACACTCAATCAACACCCAAAGAACAATTTTGAAAAACTAAAAGCCGGTCATTCCAATAACCATCTCAGTTTCAACCGAAGAATTCGATTTCAGAAAAATAATGGCGACCACACTCACGCGAACCATCTCTCAGAAGCGAATCACTTCCGTCACGGCTTCCGCGTTCAACACTTCATGCTCTGATCCCGACGACCAACGATTGAAATCACCCAGATTATCCACAATCACAACAACCATGTCGTCGTCAACGCCAACCACACTTGTTGATCCAGCCTCTGACTCAGTGGTCAGTGGTGATCACAATCTCACATCTTTATCAATCAAATACCATGCTGATCTAGATCGATTTTACGAAGATTTTCGTTGCTTTTTAATGGGTGATGATGAAGATGGATTGTTTTCATCATCCAACAATTCTCCCAAATCTAGTCGTGACACTGCTGGGATGTCACCTCTTTCTCCAAGAAGGTCCATTTCATCGTCAGCAAACACAATTCTAAAGAAGAAGAAGAAACAACTGGTTGATTTTACAGAGATTTGCATTAGAAAGAGAAATATTTCTTCAGAGTTTTTAATTGATCTTGCAGTTAAGTTTCATCAACAGATCATACCAAAAGACAACCGACACTTGCTCAAGTCTTTCAAAGACAGTTTTACGGGTCGTGAAGCTGTCACACTCGTGTGTCAATTGATAAATGCCGAACGAATAGTGAATTCTCATGAAGCTCTTCAAGGAATTTCTTCTCAAGAAGAAGTCAGACTCCTCTCACAGTCTCTTTGTCACTTGATGCTTCACTTTAGATTTATCTTTCACATGACACACAAAAAACACTTCAAAGACTCTGGCTACTCTTTCTATGGATTATGCAAGAATTTAAAGAAAGCTCAAACAGATTTTGTTTCCAATTTTTCAATCTCTCCAAAAAAGAACACATCAAACGAGCAACAAGCAACAAGCATTTCTTCCACTGCCACATCTATTGCTCCACTGACAAAGAGAAAATCCTTTTGTTTAGGACTCACTCTCAACTTGAAGAAATTGCAAGAGAACACGAAAGAAAGCAACACCAGCACAGTGGACAGTGACGATGAAGATTGTTGCGGCGGTGTCATTGATACTTCAAACGTTCAACCATTCGTACATTCAAAAAACACTTCTTTGACTCATTCCAATCGATCATCAGTGAGCTCTTCCACAGACACACCAAAAACACCCACAGGAAGTTTCTCTTCGAAGAAAAACAAACGAAACACTCTAATGATCCCCAAGTTAAATTTGAATCATATTCTTCACTTGAATCACAACAACAACAACAACCATGATCCAACATGTGACGATCCCAAGTCTGAAGTGATTGAAATTAGTAAGCCATTTGACTTGGAATTTTCAATTTTGCAGAGGAAAGAAAACATTCCAGCATCATCTAACTCCACTACTGATTCTTCCGATGAGGAAAATCACAATGATGATCATTCCTGTACGAAAGGAATCAGCACCACCAAGAGGCCATCACCTCAAAAAACCAGTTCTGCTGACATGACAGCAGTGCCCTTAAATACAAGGTCACGAAGATCATCACTTTCACAACTATTAAGTGACAATTATATGAGAGAACAATTTAAATTGTACTCACGAGATGAACTCTCTTCAGAGAATGTTATTTTCTACGAAGAAGTTCTTAAATTTTTGAATTCGCTCTTTCTTTCTGAGGAAGAGCAACGAAAAGTTGCAGTGAATCTTTATGAATTGTTTATTCCAGCAACATCATTGTATCAGTTGAATCTTCCAAGCAAACTGATATTGAAATTTAATAAGGAATATGAAACTAACTTTGCTAACACTGCGAATGTGGTGTTACTTTTCAAAGAGGCATTAACTGAAACAGAACATTCCATGCATGACACATACAAGAGATTTCAATTCACAAAGGAATATCAACAATACAAATTGAGAAAGCTTTTACATGAAAAGGATGAAAGAAGTGATGGTTTCAACACTTCAAGATATTAAAATTTATTTTTCACAATTTGGAGATAAATACTTCTAAGTTTTCATTTCGTGTGAAGATTTCATCACAATTCAAAATGAATCATTATTTTAATGAAATATTTAATTTTTGCTGTCAACTGTGAAACAAGTAATGGTTCTAAAAACATGAAGGATCATTTTAGATCAATTATTTAAAATTTTAAATAATGGTTTTGAAAAGTGTGGAATGAAAGCAAATGATTATTTTGTGGTTCCTTTTATGTTGCAAACTGGTGAAGGCCTTGTGAATGAAAAAGAACGCTGGCCTCATCCAAAATTTCCAAAACAAACTCTTGTTCAAGTATTGTCACACGTTCACTAGTCATTGAGATGAAAAAGAAGGAAGAAAAAAATCATGAATTAAGAGCTTGTATCATGAATGTTCACAGGATTGGAGGAATTGGAACAGTGGTTGAATGTAAGATTTTATCAGGTCGACTTGAAGCTTCTGATCAAGTGCATCTCGTTCTTTCTTCAGGACATGTTGTTAAAAAACAAGCAAATTCCATCGAACAATTTCATGAATCCATTAAAAGTGCCAATGCACGAGATTATTGTGGTATTCATCTGAAAGGAATATCAACGAAGGATCTACACAAAGGTATCGTGTTTGGAAGTGGTACAAATATAGTGACCTATTTTGAAGCCAACATTATCGTGTGGAAGCTCCAAAAAAGGGATACAAAGTTGGATTGACATGCATGTTATTTGTGCATGCAGCTCATGTGACATGTCAACTCGAAGATATTATTTGCAAATTGGATCGAAATATGAAACCAGTTGGATCCATCGATGAATTGACACGCGGTATACGAGCTCGTGTAAAAATTCGTCCATTTTCATTGTTGCAAGTGGAAGAATGTTCCAAATGTCCACCTCTTGGAAAAATCATTTTGGTGAATGGTAGAGAAATGATCGCTGCTGGTGCTGTGGTATTTTGCAAAAAAGCAGCCCACAGTTTTGACCATGAATTGCAATTTTAAATGTGTTTAGAGTTAATGTGAGATCAGAGTTCAACTGAATTCAGGAGATTTTGACAAATAGTCCAATCAATGAAAAAACTTGTGATACATGTTCGAAAGTGTTGTCGTCACAAAAGAAAAGTCAGGTCGGTGTTGTGATTTTCCACTCCAACATTGGACCATCAATTGTAAATATTCACTCGTTAATTCTAGAATACTCGTATTGTCCATGAAAGGTTCTCGTGGCCTTTTTTACTCTGAAATCCAAATTCGTTGTTCTTCCTCATTTGAAAATGGAATTTTAGGTCTGAAACCCTTAATCACTTTTGCTGGAATATTGAAACATGATGACTTGTCGGAATTATCTGCTGGAGTAAATCGATGAATCTTTTCTGAATGAGCATCCAAATAAGGATTCTCCTCAAAAAACAATTCATACATGATAATGGCAAAACTATAAACATCCAATTTGGTGGTGATGGAATTTTCATTCGAATCACCTAAAATTTCAGGACTCATATAAAACAAGGTACCTAAATTAGTGGTCATGGTGGCTGTAGCATTGGTTGACACGAGTTTGGATAAGCCAAAATCTGAGACTTTAGCATTCATGGCTCCATCTTTGGTCACAACATAAAAATGTTAATAATTATAATTTCAAAAAATGTTAATTATTAATAATAATATTAAAAATGTTAATAATTAAAAATAATAATTATAAAAATCGAGATTGGTAACATTCACGCGTCACATACCTAACAAAATGTTGGCAGGTTTCAAATCTCTATGAATAATGGCATAGGGCTTTAAGGAATGCAGATAACTCATTCCTGATGCAACACTTTTCAGAATTAAAATTTTAGTTTCCAATGTCAAAATTTCTTTTCCCATTTTTGAATTATAAATTGCCTTATCTAAAGATCCTTTTGAGAGATATTCCACAACCATGTACTTGACAGATTTACTCATGGCAACTCCATAAAAGTAAACAATGGAAGGATGTCTCAAATCACTAAGAAGAGCGGCTTCTGTCTCAAACTCTTCGTTGTCTTGACTCGAATCATCGTTCGAATCGAATTTTAAACTCTTTAAGGCAACCTCTGTTCCGGACCATTTGCCTAAATACACAATTCCTGTGTACACAATGTGGAACATTATTTGTTGTGTAAAATCGTCGACTCGATGGCCAGTAGATTCTATACACTTACCATTAGCACCTTCTCCAATCTTTTTAATCACATCAATTGTGTCAATTGGAATGATAAATGTATCTTTTTTAGCGAGTTTCTTGTCTTTCTTATTAATAGATCCAGTAGAATCCATCATAGAATCATCAAGCAATTTGGTCTGTAAATCATAATTTGATAATTCAATGTGATCTCCTGAAAAGATAAACTTCTTGTCCAATAATTTCTTTTCCAGTTTTTTCTCAGCTTTTTCTCTTTGATTCAATTGTCTCAATCGAGTCACAATACGCCATCCAAAATACAGAACCACAATTCCAATAAATATTCCAAAAGAAAAAACTAACAATGATCCCAAAACGATGAGAGGAATGATCACAGGCCATGGAAGATCTTTTTGACAAATATGACGACGAGATGCAGAAGAAATGGTTGAAAGATAGAAACCAGGTGGACAATCCTGTACATGCACTTCAAATGTTGGTGCACTCATGCTGGTTCCAGGGAATGAAATTGAGAAATTAAAATATTTCACAGATGCATCTCTAATTTCAAAGTATAATCTTTCAACACTATTATTGTTTTTGGAAAAATCAACAGTTGGAAGAATCATGTCGTCATCATCTGCAGAGAGTATTGGCTGTTGTTGAAGTCGAGAAATGTTTTGCCCAAAATAGTCAACAATTCCAAATGAGATGGAAATGACTTGTCCTGGAAATAGATAAATCTTGGACTCTCTTGTTTGTTGGGCATTGTTGAAAGACCATCCAGTGATTGAAGTAAAAGATGTAGAAATTTGATAATTTCCAACCTCAGCACCACGAATCTTGTTGAAATTCAAATATCCAAAAAGATCAACCGATTGGTCTGAGTAAAAACAATGTCCGAAATAAATGGCTGTGTTGTCAACACAATCCAGATTGAATTGGAGAGCTAGAAATAGTAAATCCTTCTTTTTCAACATGAAAATTGCTCCTCCCTTAGTGGCTTGATTTTGAATAAAATTAGAACTGTGAATATTGATTTCGTACATGTCATTCAAATATACTGCTCCTCCATTTCCAGTAGTTCCAATACTGTCTCTTGATAGAGCCACATTATTTGAAAATGTACAATTTGAAATTTCTCCAAAACCATGAGACATAAAAATTGCTCCTCCATTTCGTGCCACATTATTCAAAAAGATAGAATCAAAAATCTCAATTCCATCTGCTTTTGGAATATTGACTGCTCCTCCATCTCCTGAATGAGTATTGTTCACAAATTGACAGTTCCATATTTTTACAACATTCCTATCTAATCCTGACGAAAATCGTACCACTTTGTTAATGAATATTCCTCCTTGATTGTTCACAAAATTACTCTCTCTGACAAAAATAGAGTTGGCTTCATCAATGTAAATGGCTTTCTTGGAGCTGCCTCTAATATTCGTTCGATACACATACACAAAATCAGAGAGTACAATATCAAAAATTGCTCGACTATCCGTGTCAAGAGGCATAAAATTGTCATAAATTTCATTATATTGAATGGTGACACTCACAACTCCCTTAACAGTGAATAAACTACTGGAACTTGTGGCACGGCTGAATTGAATGACAGCAGACTCTCCAAAACTGGCCGTAATACGTGTGTTTGTGAGCGAGCATCCATGTATGGTCATAAAATTGAATTTCTCAACTAGGAATTCAGGAATATTATTGAATGTGCAATCTTGTGCTTGAATCATTAAGGTCTCTGTGACAATGAATGTTCGTTGTTCGAAATGAATCGACCGAATAATATGGAAACACTTGAACTTCATACGTAAAATTGTCATCAGAATTCTCAATAATGGAATTACCACAATAATAGGAAGAAGAGAGGTTCGACATGAGATGGAATTGAATGCGCACGAGAGGTGCTGCTCCTGTTGGTTCAACTTGCTTCATGGTTGAGTTTTTGACAAATGACAATGCATGGTCCATCCGAAAGCATGGATCCAGTGAAGAATTGCAATTTTTCAAATCCTCCTCGTAGCGCACATGTTCATCAATGTAAAACTTGAAAAACAGAACATTGGGAACATTGAGGGGTGTATTGGCAGTTTGTACCGAACGAGAGGATGATGTGTCAAAAGTCATTGATGATGAATGTCTTTCATTCAAAAGTTTTGGCGGAACATTGGGAACATTGAGTGGTGGTATTGAAAGAGAGGATCTTTCATTATAGAATGATGATGTTTGTTGTTGTTCCTGTTGTTGAATGGAATCATCACTGGTTTTAGCCTTTCACCAACAACAACGAGTTTGAAACTTCTCCTCCAATCTCCGTGGTCAAAATAAACTTGATGAGGATTGGAAATAGAAGAAGACACACACCCATCGATAATAATGATGAAGCAGCAGAAACATGAGTGTGTGACTTCCTTCTTGATCGAGTCATGACGGTGATGACAATGGTGTTTGGTGGTGGACCATTCATCATTGTGTGGTCATGATTTTTTAGAGTGTGGACGTGTGTCAGCACTGGATTTCAAATGAACCTAAATGAACCTTCTTGTAGGTTGAACGTTTGGATGGAAATGAGAAGGAAAAGAGTTCTCTATTGTGGATTTGATATCAAAATAGGAAAACCCAACTAAAAAAATGTCGAACAAGAAACATGATCTCGCCATCATCACTAGTACCACCACTAGGATCACAGCTGTGGTGGACACATCAAGGAAACACAGCACCGAGAATGATGAAGGTGGTGGTAGTGGTGGTGGTGGTAGTGATCATCGTCGACCTCACAATGACAACGATGAAAATGATCGGAATTCTATGAGTTCTGGATCGGAAGAATTGATCACTTCCGACCCTCCTCATGATCAAAATCATTCCACCATGTCCATGATGGACCACAAGATTTCTTCGACACAACAAGATTCAACAATTCAATTTCTATCTTGTCCTTCCAATCTTGATAATCCTTCACCACCACAAGATAAATATCATCTTGTCACAATTATTTTCTTCTTACAGGGAATGGGTGAATTATTTCCATGGAATGCAATGTTGTCTGCAGTCGATTATTTATTGAAATTATATCATGCTCAAAGAATTATGCTTTGGATGACCTCTGTTTATTCTCTTTCCACATTAATTTCTTTATTTGTTTTAATCAAATATGGAACCTATATTCGATATTTATTTAGAATCTACATTCCTTATTTTATACTCACTATATTGTTAATCATTGTACCATTATTATATGTTGTGATTAATCATCGAGAAATTGAATTTTATATCATTTTGGGATTGGTTGTCTTGATGGCAATTTGTACTGGAAGTATTCAAAGCTCTATTTATGGATTATCAAGTAAATTACCTCATCATTATATGAATACTGTTGTGTCAGGTAAGTGAAATGTTTCTTTATCAAATGATTTACATTCATGACATGTACATTTATGAATTGTTGGATATAATGATTAAATTACTTCATGCATGGTGTGACTCTCATAATGTCTCAGGAAGTGCATTTGCTGGATTATTTATTACTTGTTTAAGAATATTGACAAAAATCACTATTGAGAGAGGATACGATGGAGATGTTCCTATTCGTATTCTCTCCATGTCGACCATTATTTATTTTGCATGTTGTGCATGTTTGAATGTGGTGTGTTTAATTACTTTTTATTTCTTGACAAAAACTCGAGTGGTGAAATATTACACAAATGACATGAAGAATACTGGTGACATGACCACTACGACAAATGATCCTGGTGATTTTAATAATATCATTACTAATAACAATAATATTAATAATATCCATATTAATATTAATAGTAATAACAATAATAATAACAATAGTAATATTGAATTAAATGCAACTACTGCACCAACTACTACGATTTTCACACAAAAAAGTCATCATGAAATAACTTCGATTAAGAATATTGTGACTAATATTGGAAAGAAAATATGGATTTATGCATTGAGTGTGTTTTTAGACTTTTTTGTAACACTTACTGTATTCCCTGGTTTGAGTAGTAGTGTTGAAACTATTTATGTTGGAACATCTATGGAAACATGGTTACCAGTGTGGACAAATTTAACATTTCAAATTTATGACTTTGTTGGAAGAATTGCCTATTATTGGATTGATTTCTTTCCTATTCAACATGGAAATTATTCAGAAACAATGTTGGATTCTAAGAATACTCCTACTCCTACTCAGATCAGTATTTCTAATGACTTCATGAATCATTTAATGGATTCTTCTATTGACAATCCTTCTCAATTCAAGAAATTCAATCTATGGAATGCATGTCAAGTTGAAAAAATGGAAATAGTGTTGTTTTTGATTATTGCATTAAGAATTTTGTTTATTCCTCTCTTTATATTTTGTTTAAATCCAAAGATATTCAATCATGACAGTATTCCTTTGATTTTGGTATTTTTATTGTCTTTATCTGGGGGATATCTAAATAGGTAAGTAGAATTAAAGTGTGATTTTTAAGACATGAAATTATTACTAACATTGATTTGTTTACTACTAATATTGAATTGCCTATCATAATCATTTGCGAATGCATGATTGTAGTGTCTTAATGTCGAATGCACCAAAGAAATTTACAAATTTGCATGAAAAGGAAATTACTGCAACCATGATGACCTTCTTTTTATTATTTGGAATTACTGTGGGTTCAAATACAGGTCTTGGTATAGGATTACTGGTATTGAAATAATAAGAATAACAAAGAATTCTACTGTACTTAGTACAGCTCGTTGTGGTCGTTTCATATAAACCATATAGGAGAAAAACCCTTTTGGAGTCTTTTTGATTATTCAGAAAAAAATTATTACTTCTCGAATACAAATACACAATCTGTGAAAAAGTTCTTGCCATGCAATTCTTCATGATCCTCCCAATGAACAAGCATTCTTAATCGAGTTTTCAAATATTTTTCATAAAGAAATCCACCATGCTGATTTCTATTATAGGCAATGCAATAAAACCAACCACCAGGAACAACTTCATTCGGAAGTGCATGATGACTTATAAAATCAAAACTTTTCAATTCATTTTCAAGAGCTTCCCAATCAATAACGTAAACAGCAGGAGAAGTACTGTAAAGTTTGTCAACATTAAAGGATTTAACCACATCTCCAATAATGTATGTTTGTTTTGTTTTTTTAGTGTCCAATGTCGTGAAATAGGTTCCAATGGAGGTGCATCCCATGTCAATAATTTCCTTATTTTCGTTGTGTTTCCACGGTAATGAAAATTTAGTGAGGCCAGGGTTTCCATGTGACTTTGTTGAACCGGTTGCTTGGCCATTGCAATTGTATCCACATCTGTCACAAATGTCATATATTGTAATAATGATTATAATTATAATATAATCAAAAAAGAGGTAGAAAAAGAGATCAATTTAAAATTAAAGAGTAATCTTGTGATTATCACAACGTACCCATACACAGATCCATCCTCTAAGAGAAACACATTTGTGTAAAATCCGCTCTTCATATTTTTCACAGCTTTAGGAAATTGAAAATGCACATGGTAAATACTAGTTGATCCTTCTTCTGGTAGCGTATACTTTGAAGGATTGCTTTCTTGTTCAGCAATTCCAAACAAGTTACTTGTTGCATTTCCAAGTCCGTAAAACTGGCCACTCTTTGAAAAGAAACTAATGGCAGGATTGCAACAACTAATGTATTTCATTGGAATGCCTGACAAGAAACTATTCTTATGTATTCCATTGATTAAAATGGATCCATCTGAAAGCTCAACGACAAATCGTTCAGCGATTGGACTTGTTGCAACTCTTACAATTGTATGCTTGTATGTAATGGTACACATGTTTTTACCTATTTCTATCACCACAAGTTTCTTTCCATCACGTGAAGTAACAATCACAAAATCCATACTCGCAAAATATTCATGAGGCTCAAAATTATGAGCTCTTAAATCTAAGGATCTGTAAGACACCTCACTTTGCACCACTTGTTCATAAAAAAGACTGATTGACAAAATGCAAGACTTTTCTAACTTGGCGTTGGTTTCATTCATTTGACAATCAAGAACAGAATCAGATCTTTCAAGACTAAGAATTTTGCTTTGAATCCCACTTTGGTTGTAGTCGGCTCTAGGCAAAAACATAACACGTCCATGTTCTTTGTCGAGCGAGCCGTGGTAAGTGTGTCAAAATGATGATAGGATCGATTTTAAAGATGCACCAAATACGAGAAAAATAGGTTTAAAATATGATCATCAGTTTTCATCAACGAGATCAATCATATATATTGGTTCATCCATAACATCCAACAATAAGAAAAACACCATCCGTAGCACACACATCTCTCTTGTTCATCATTTAAAGCACATACCATCAATTGGAATTAATGATTTTCCGACACCAAGTATTTGTTTATATCTAAACTCAAACACCAAGATATGAAATTCATCCGTTGAAGGCAATGTGTAAGAAATGTTACTCCATGAAAAAGTAGAGGCCATCACACAAACATTGGACGCATCGGATGATGAACCGCCACCACCACCACTTGAACTCCTCCTCTTGAATGATAATCCTTCCAATTTCAATCGTGTCTTCTCAGCAGCACACATTTTTTCGTTGGTGTTCCTTTGGATTAGGACGATGAGAGAACCCTAGGAATTTGTGTTCCGAATCCGAAATCGACTTTCGGTCTTTCTCATAATTATGACAAGAGGAACGCCCTGGTACTACTGCCTATACGCTCGAACTAACATCATCAATCTCATGTGATCATGTCCTTAAAAAAAAGAGAGTATTTGAGAATTAATTTTTAATGAGATAAGGTTGTGTTTCTTTTCGAGAATAATGTCCTCAAGAGTCTTTTCTCTCGAGTTGAGTTGCTAATAATAATCATCGATCGGTGGAAACCATGCTTTTTCCAGCAATTTCTACTGCCAATGAGAGGAGCATTTCATTTGCTTGTTCAATGTAATTGAGTAACTCGAGTCGTTCCGATGATGATCTGAAACTCTTCATTGGATGATGTCTGCATTCACAATAGACACTACGACTGCTGCTGTCGTCTTGAGCAACTGTTTCTTGATCAAGAAACTCCTTCAAAATGTCGAGACTCCCACCGATGGCCATACTTGCAGTTCGAAGTTGGTGTGAAACATGATGTTGCATGGTCGTGATGGCATCTTCATCGAGTAGTATTCCATTCTCAACCAAAGACGAACGAGGATGATGATGATGATCGTCGAACAGTTCCAATGCACAATTATCAGCAACAGTACTACTACTACAAGAACTGAACAGAGAAGCACACCATTTCTGCGAATCATACACTGGATTTAAACAAACATTGAAAAAGCAGCACTTCATGTGTGGTGAGAATGACAAAGTGGACCATCGCATCATCAAGACAATCAAAACAATCAAAACGAACACAATGAATAAGATTGCCAAGAGACACCATAGTGATGCGTCATCGATACACACTTGCAACAATTGCTTATCGCCGTTGGATACTATCTTTCTGCTATCAAACGATAGAGAAAGTAAACATGGCACTTCCGTATCGTTTCCTGTCTGGTCTTCCATTCGTCACAGCACTTCTTCTAATGTTTCACAACTTTGTTTTTATTTCGATGAGTGTGTACGCGTGGTCAATAAAAGTTTCACAACTGTTCAGAGGAACAAGTTTCACCCCGAGAGTGGACGATGATCGCAACAATTCACAAGATTATTCGTCCATCCGTATCCAATACAAACAGAACCCCAAGTGAAACGATTTTGTCATCATCTGACCATTAAGGTAATGAGTGGTCTTCTAAAAAGTATCCGCTCAACAAAAGGAAAAATGAAAACAGGTGATGCATTTGTGATCTCGTTCCTTAATTGCATTTTGATATATAATTGAAAGTCCGATAGTAAATCTTTAAATCTTCATCCAAAAGAGTTTTGGCAAAGGATCACTCAAGGACATGAGACGAATTAGTGTCGACTTGTAGTTGCATGAACGTAGAGATGTCGTTGTGAGTCAACCTTTCAGATTTGAACCAATAAATTTGAAATGGTGTTGCAACCAATGAATTTTCAACCACTGCAACCTATTGGTGGTGCATGCTGAGACTTTACCATTCGAAACAACAACAAACTCTCTACTTGCCATTTTTACTGATGTTCACCCAAAATAGCATTGGTAATTCCAAATGGCCAAATTTTGATGTTGCAATAAAATAATCCGGTCGGTATACAAAAACAGAACTTGGGCAGTGCATCAATCCTCAGGTCTGTCCGAGAACCATACAGACTGCAAGGCTTTTAAACCATAACAACAAAACCATAATAATCATTACACCTGGTGTGAAAAAGAACAAGGCGATTCAGGGAATCGAACCCTGGACCCTCAGTTTACAAGACTGATGCACTGCCCCTGTGCTAAACCGCCTTACAGTAATATTACTCATGTGATATTTATTAATGTAAGTTGGTTGTTTTCTTTTAACTTTGGAAACTTTTTTTGCATCTCAAACGCATCGTTGAGTGACGAAAAATGTATACCAATTTCAGCCCTTGCCAGAGCATCACCATATCTGGTACCAACTGATACAAGACTTAGCCATTTGCCAACTACCATAACACTTGTTTTTCATTTGAATCCAGGTTTGACAAACGTATCTCTCTTACCACTCCCTTTAGCCTTTTTTCTCTCCTCTACCAATTAAGGTGATGGATGACAGAACAAATAAATCGAAAAAGTATGACAAGATTCGACACCAAAGTTCCATCGTATTTTGGTACCATGAGTGGATACTTTCTTTTCTTCCACGTTGTACATTTTGGTGCCCTAGATTGGCGAAATAAATTCCAAAGAGAGATTGTGAGCCTGCACGTGGGTATTGCAGATGACGAACGGTTCGAACAAGAATGTTGCTCAACGTTTTGTGTGTTGAATGTTTTGCTGCTGGCAAAAAACAAGAAGGAAAAAACAACGTTGCTAGTCGTACTCTCATTCTCACTCGTCTTTCAGTCAAGTTTGCAAAAGTCCTTTCTTTCTGGTGTTTCAATTTAAATACATTTAGCAACAACTTTCGAGGAAGCTCACCATATTCATGCATAGTTGGGCTTCAAACAACGACCACCAACCCCATCATCTCAACCCCAACAACATTAATCACGCACGAGTCTAATAACCTCAATATGAGATTTCTCTCTCAGGATCATCCGGAAATGACAAGGTATTTTGTGTTGAGCCCCAGTAGGGAATTTAGAAGTCGACAAAGTTCCTCTCATCAAAGTCCTTCTCATGATCATCCTAATGGTGATCTCTCCTCCTCCACTGTAAATGCAGAATCCTTCCAACCTCTCTCAACCTCTTCTCTACTCTCCGATCAAGAGGATCCTCTTCTCGCTTGCCATTTTCCCTTCATTGCCCTTTTCAACCAATCCTCCTTCCTTCCTAGACTTTGGGACAAGGTGTTGCATCTTCTCGTCCTCCTTCAAACTGCCTTGTGCTTGTTAATAACTGCTTTTGTGCAGTTTTATAAAGCTCTTCTCTCGACGATGGCTTCCTCAACAACACGATTGTACATAGAACCAAAGAATCATGAAAGGTCGAGTCGACAAGTTTCAGAAGGCAAATGTTCCACGGACGTCCAAATCTCACCTTCTTCCCATGAACAAGCTTCTGAACATGATCAGCTCGATCATTCACTGATATCAGGTGATGCTCAAGAAGCTCTTCCAGCTGTAAAAGTGATAATGCACACGGACAGACATGACCATCATCACGACAATGGCAGCACTAATGAGACGCTAAACGAAACCAAGGTATTGAAAATAGTCGTGGCAGCTTCAAACACCATTCATCGCATGGTACTGATCAAAACATTGAAACGCCTTGGACAAGAAATTATACTCAGTGTTAACGACGGAAAGCAATTATTGGACACCAAAGAACTTGTTCGTGGTCAGGTCAATGTTGTTTTCATGGATGAAGAAATGCTCAAGCAAATGGAGCAGAATCATCCCTTAGAAACTCGTCAACTTCTTCAATCCATGAGGAAGAGACGTACCAACCTGGTGATTGTTTCCAATGAAGAGAAGGTTCAATCTTCATCCACCATTCCAGGTTGCAGCGAGAATTCACTGAATCGAGAACTTCCATTTTGTTCCAAACTAAGGAACCCTTTAACAATGAAAGAACTGGAAGAGGTCATTAAGGAAATTCATTCGATAGTACCGCCCTCCCCTTCAACCTGTTCTTCCTCAATTGTTCAGAATTGTTCCAATAAACTGTGAGATCAAAACATAATAAATGTGGTTGTCGCAACGAACCTGGAAAGAAAGCGAGTCATAATTTCCAAGAGCAAGTTGATGGTCATGGCTGTTTATCTCTATTATTGTGTTGAAAAGTTTGCAACGCTTGTATTGCGTTTGTCTAGTCCTGGGTTGATGAACGTTCCTATTTTCTGTTGAAGTGAATCATAATGTGGTTGTTGACGAACGAATCCACATAAATCAAACCCTTTAGTTTGGATAACTTCCTTTTCTTTTCGGGCAATACTTGTTCATCAAACTTTCAATCCTTGGGTGAAATTTGAACATATATACAGCTTTCACAAGTTAACTGTTTGATATACATAATACAGGCCAAAACCATATGTAATTGAGGTCTTTCGGAGAATGATTGCATTTAGGGAAATATATTCGAACTAAAACTTGTCGTCCCTTGCTTAATGTGGTGGGTGCACCGAATATTCTAGGTGAGTAAGTGAAAGGATAACGAGGAATAAACGGAGCTGCATAAAACAAAAGGAAATAAATGAAGAGGTTGAGTCAAAGCCACTTTTGAATAACCTTTCAGAAAACAAAATCAATCCTCGTCGCTTGTGTGCCTAATCTCCAGATGAGATATTTTGTTTTGAGTCCAAGTCGTGAGCAACGATTGAAGCAAGAGGCATCGTCTTGCTTACTAGAAGCGTACCATGATCAGCTCTCACCACCAACAACCATCACCGCCCTTGCCCCTTCTTCGCTGAATAATAAGGAATCAGAGCAAATTGATTCAATACCTTTCACAATGTCATCATCTTCCAACAAGACAATGATGGGTCAAGTGCAACAAGAACAACCACTCCCCCTCTCACATAGCAAGAACCACATAGAGATTCAAAAACTAACATCATCTCCCTCTGCTACTGTGAAAGTCATGAAGAGCAACTCTTTGTTCCTTGGTAACCTGCGGTCCTCTTATTCCTTAATCGTTGTTTCTTTTTTTTTCTTGAGTGTGTTACTGCTTTCGATTCCAAGGATAGGATTGATCCATCTTTAATGATTTTCTTTGTCGAGAGAGGTATAGCAGTCGTTCGACAACTGGATAAACACAACCACCTGTATAAAACAGATATAACGTTTCAGTACAAAAATCCGAATAAACTTATCCTGCAAAATGTCATCTTTGAATTCAATCCATTCTCGTGCTTTCATTATTCGCTCAATGTTTGCTTGATAAATTAATTGTTTTTTATTATATCTTCTTCTGATTTGCAAATGAAGGAGCGTTACCTTGCGTGACAGTGGCGTTGAGATTATTTTGAAACATGCCTGTGTTGGGATTTGATGCATTGCTGGTAAGGTTGGTTGATTGTTGTTGCTGCGATGGTTGTGATTGTGGTTGTTGCTGGAGATTCATATGTGATGGTTGTTGCTGTTGTGGCATCATCTGTTGCGGGTTAACTTTTGGTATGACAATGGTGCTGAGTTTGACAGGTATTGCAGGCATTTGACTCATTATTCCATCCATCATGGACATGCAAGTAAGAATTTGTATTGTATTTTCTCTGAATTTAGCAATGAGAGGAATATTTGCTGATATTGTCTTCTTTTCTAAATTATTCTTGATTTCTGTCATCAATACCGAATTTTGATTTAGCAAATTTTGAATATACTTTTCGGATAGAGCTGAATTCATTGAAGTACTCGTCGTCATTGGTTGATTTGATGGAGGTGTTGGATTGTTGACTTGTTGAGTGAGAGATGATGGTTTGTTGCTTGTGGTATTATTGTTCAGTTGTTGTTGGTTGTTGGTGACAGATGAGGAAGGAGAAGCTGGAGTCGTTGTAAAAGTTGATGATGAAGAAGGTTTTGCATTCACTGGAGAATCAGTTTTAAGTTTCTTTTGTTGTGGATCACCACCTGGTGATGGCATTGAAAAACTTCCTCTCTTTAGAGCAGCGGTCGAAGTGTTCATTGCGGTTGTGGGTGTTGATGATGACGATGATGAACCAGCAGTGCCCGAATTATTCATTTGTTTTGATTCTGCCAAGAGTTGTTGAATCTTGTTTTGGATGTCTTGTGGCGATCTCTTTGGAAAATATTGTCGAAGACCGTCAAGGGAATCCTGATTGTTTGCAATGAGCATTCTCAAGTAGTCCACCTCTTTTTGAGTCCATCCCGAAGCGCTTGTTGGCATATTACTGCTTCCAGGTGTTCCAGGAGTTGATGCAACGGTCATTTGTGAACCTGGTGTACCAGGTAAGGTATTTCTATTTGGCATCATTCCTCCCATCATCATTTGAAGATTGGGTCCTGTTGACGATGAAGGATTAAACATTTGTGACAATTGACTTGAAAGAACGTCTTCTTGCATATTTCCTCCTGATTGTTGTGAATTATTGTTCATTCCATCACCGCTTCCGCTTGCCATCATCATCATGTTATTATTTTGTTGTTGTTGCTGTTGCAGGGTGTTCTTAGAACTGCGATTACCTTTTTTCGAATATAAAACTTGATTACTTACTGATAATGTACCGCCTCCACCCGTCATCATCATGTTGTTACTTGCAGGCTGCATCATGGCATTCATTCCACTGCTAGAACTCATTAACTTCCTCACAAAAGGATTGTTTAGAATATTCGGATCAGCGTTGAGAAGTTGGAGAATTTGATGACCAAGGGGAGGTCCATTCCCTGAATTTCCCAGTAAAATTTGAGATTGATTATTGAATGAAGGTGTTGCTCCTCCCATGATTTGGTCTGATGATGAAGAAAGCATTCCCAACATGCTGTTATTATTATTATTATTATTGCTATTATTTATATTCGGATCTAAATTGTTCATGGTTGTTTGAGGAGATTGTACATTGGAGGCGGGATTGATGGAAGTTGAAGATGATGATACATTGTTTGGTGTTGAATTGTTCATGATTCTTGTTGTTCAGGAAAGATTGATGTTACTTAGAGTACTCTTATTACTTGTTGATATGGGTTTAGGGTTTTGTTTTAAACAATCATGAAAGAAGAGAGAGTCGTGTACTTGGTTTTTGTGAAGAGGAGTGTTGTTGTTATTCTTGTTGTATGATTGAGATGTCCCGTGGATAATAATGAATGGAGTATGAATGGAATTGGCGTTGTTAATGGCTCTTGAGATGTGGTCGCCGTGGTGCGAGTAGGTCGGAAGGGAAATGTGTGGTGGTGTTATTTTCTTCTTGTGTATTCTTGCCTAATTGAAATGAAGCAAAAGATGTTGATGCACGAGAGACTCTCCTCAGATTGTCCTGTGGTGTTTCAGATTTAGGTGATGATCAGAGCTGCCGAAAGTATACTACCACTAAATAAATTTGTCGGGCTCTTGGATGATGACTCTTCACGCAATAGTGCTGCTGTTTGACGAGCCAACGATTCAAATGTATTCGATGAAGGGATTGGATGAAATAATTATAATTCAACGATCAAATGATGATACTGTCTCACACTTGATGGAGTAATTTGGAAAAAGCACTTTTCGTTTTGTCAGTGAACAAAGCTTCTGTTGAGAGTTTGGCTGCCAGATTGGAGATGATGACTACTGGTGACAATGTTCCTGCTCAAAACGGAGGAGACCGAGAAAACCAAACAACGTAAAGCAATCTTTGAGGTGTTTTTGTTTAAAAAGCTTTGTGGTTGATGGAGAAAATGATGATGACGATTTCAAATGTGGCACAAAAAGTGACATATTCTGTCATACAAGTCATTAAATCTCTAAAACTGTCCATTCAAAAATGGGAAAGTTTGTTTTAAAGAGAGATCTCTCTGAAAAAGTTTTCAACTTGAAACGAAATTCGTTTGTTTCGTCTTGAAACCGAGATCAATGAGGTCTTTGGGTTCTTCCATCTTATCTGTCGTTGATAAGACGATGAAGCGTTGATGGCAGAGCGTTGAAAAATCTTTACAAAAAAAAATGGAAATTAATGCCTCTTGTCGACACGTTTTGGCTGCTCTCTCGGATGAACAACAGTTCAGTGAGAAGGATTTTGAACAATTAGTTTCGACATCAATACTCTCCATTTTGAAAACATCAAACAAACCTCTTCCTGAAAAAACACAAGAGGTGTTCAAGAATAATACATCTTCATTGGTACCCCCCAGTTTTGATCAAAAGGCCGTCCAATCGGCTTTAGTGTATTTAATTTTAGAAGCTGCCAAGCATGATATTGCTGCCATTGAACTCAACCATTTACTGGAGGATCATTTTACGAATCGGAACCGATTGAACTACCTCGGTCAGCAATATGAATTGTACAAAAACGAAATTCGTGAATTTGTTTTGAAGCAAAAAACATTTGCTTTCCCAGAAATTGTTGAGCTCGACTGGAGGTTAGATTATGTGCTGAAAACAAATGATGTCAAACAAATCCACGAACCAGTTTACACTGTGAGATTTAAATGTAGGGACGGGCAAGAAGTAACAATTTCATGCAATGCAGAGCAATTACAAGATTTGCATTCTAAAATTAAGGATGCCACAAAGCAAGTAGAAAGAACTCTTGAACAAGTTTAAATTGATCAGCTGATGATTTGGTCTTTTTTGAGGTATCATCATCTCACAATCCATATTTCACAGATTGTTATTTTTACAAATTCGACACCATAATGATTCTCTTTTTTTGTACAATTTACATTTTGGAAGAGTAAATATTTCACCATATTGCACATTCTGTATCATAATCTGCAATGATTGTTGTTGTTGCACACTGAAAATGTCGGATCATTTTAATTTTAAAAAATGTCGGATCAAGAATCATCATTAACACCCTCTTCTTCCGAAAAACCATCGCGTAAAAAGCTAACTGATGAAGAAAAAAGAGAGATTCTTCGGAAAAGAAGAGCAGAGAAAATCAAAGGAAACGAAGAATCAAGAATGCAAAAACTCATGTATGGTGATTCATCCACCTATGCTCCATCATCATCATCACCTACGGAAACAAAATCAGAAAATCCAGTTGTAAATAATAATAATAATAATAATATTAGTAGCATCGAAGCTGGAACACAACCTTCTGTAATACCTCAGCCAGCCTTGAATACGGACATACAAGAAAGAAATAATGACAAGGAGAATGTGCAAAAGTCCCCAACATTTAAGCTACACGATCCAAAAACAATTCACCACGAGACAAAAGAATTTACCCAACCCATCGATTTTTCCAATTTAATTCCAGTTATTCAGCCAAATCAAGACGAATCGACGAGAGGCGACTTGCACTTGAACACAATTCAAGTCAATCAATCAATTTTTTCGAGAACAAGGCCAAGTATCTTGCAAAGAATTCGTCCATGGCTTGTTGTACTAATTTCTGTTTTCTGTGCCCTCTCATTTATCATTAACAATGAAGGAGTGACACTTTCCACAAATTCTAATGCAAACATTCAGAAGGTTGTGGAGCAAGTATTTGCCTTTTCCAACAAGATTACACCACTTGCAATGATACTGACTTTTGAAATTGCGTTGTTGCTGCCAAGCTTACTTTTTGGACATTCTGTTTTTTCGATGAGCACTGACACACCACTAGACACTTTCCTATATGCAAAAAGTGTATGGGCTTTTTTGAATACTCTTGTTTCTGATGTGATTCTTTTCATTTTCGTGTACATTGTTTCACTATCCATTCACAACATTTACAAGAATTATGAACATTCACAAAACATGTTCAGCACCATTATGGAACCTTTTACAGACGTTCCTACAGTGTTGTGGAATCAATTCGGACAAATATTTTCAAAATAATATGAAAAGTAGTACTACTATGAAAACAAACCTACAATCATGGACGAATATCAAAAAGACATATTAAACAACAACAACAAACAACATCACAGTCATTGGAAATATGTTGTTCTTAACACTTGTTGTGTGATCAAAAGGTTTCTCTTTCTCTGAGCCCCTCAACAAAGAATTCTCTGAAACAAAGCGCCAGCAAAAGTTGTGCTCAAAAAAAATGAAGCCTTCAATAGTGCAGCGCATTCCCTCTATCACGCCCACGAGTTCTGCTCTGGGGGCTTCATCATCACCTGCTACCTTTCCATCAATAGTAATTTCTTCAAAAGAGCAGGTTCAACATGCTGGAAAAATTTTGGATCAGAATTTGGTGAAGGACAGCGATTTTGTTGATGTTCAGTTGTTGTCGAAACATCATATTGTTACCGGAGATGACGTAAAGTATCTATTTAGCAATTGATTGTTATTAATATGAATTTATTCAATGATGATGCTACATTTTTTGAAAATAATCATGACGACAAAAACGAACAAACAACATTCATATTTTGGATGATTATCTTGACCGATTCAAACTACTCTTAAATTTATCGATACAACAACTGGTACATGAAAATTCTATAATCGTATATTTGATTTATATGAAGTTTTTTGTGAAAAAACAATTCGTCGCTTTACCGGATCCAATCTTTGAAGAATATCGTCGCCTTGAATACAAATGCTACATGGGAATTTTCCCTGAAATTCATCGAGCATGGATTACAATTGACAACAAATTCTTCATCTGGAGTTATTTGGATGGTAGTGATTTCAATGAATACGATGAATTGGATCAAGTGATCATTAGTGCCGGGCTTGTTAAGCCAAAACCTGGCGTATTCAAAGACTATGTCAAGTATTTGTTGGTATTAGCAACACCAGTAGAAGTTGCACTCGTAGCACTTACATTCAACAACAACAATGTAGCTTCACCTTCGGGAGCTGCCCACCTCGATCAACAACATTTAACCTTCGACTCTCAAACAGGAGCTATTTACTCGGAAATGGAACTCTTTGCAACAAATTACATTATTCCCTCGGATAATGTCAACATGATTAAGATCGTAGGAACGCAAAATGGAAGAATATTCATGTGTGGAAAGGATGGATGTCTGTATGAATTAACCTATGAGCCAGAAGAAGGATGGTTCAAAAGCAAATGTAGAAAATTGAATCATTCACAAAGTTTTGTTGGTATTCTAGTACCAGCATTCCTCAAATTTACTCATGACGATCCCATCATTGACATTGTTGTTGACGACACTAGAAACTTCTTGTACACACTTTCCGAAAATATGACCATTGAAGTCTACGATCTAGGAAGAGATGGAATGGGAATGAACAAGATTGTATCCTATTCTAAATTGATTTCGGATGTCATGCGAAAATTCCCAAACACAAATCGAGACTATTCCAACATGAAAATCATATCTATTGCTCCAGTAACATCATACGAATCTAAAATTATCAATTTGGTTGCAATTTCCTCTAAGGGTGATCGATTGTTCTTTAGTACCAATGCTACCAGTGGAGCTACACTTGGCTCTCCAGTTTTATCTCTCATGGATATTAAGCCTCTCTCACTTCCAAAGTCTAGTTTACATCGTAGAGTGAATGAAATTCATGAATGCTTCTATAAGGATGGAGCATTTATTTTGGCAGGTGCTAGAAGTGATGAAGTCGATGGCTTAGTCTGTGTCTCAATGGAGAGAAAGACCATTGCAAATACCTACCCAGAGTATTCTGTTCCAATTTATGAGAATATTAATGTCATCAACTTAGATAATGGAAGAACTCATGCCATTGCAGAAATTCCTCTCTACTTGGATCCATTACTCGTTTCTTCTGACAATGCTCTTAACGAAATTACAGTTCAACACATCAAGCCGCCAAGAGAATTTGTATGTCTAAGCAGCAGCGGCATGCATTTACTTATCAAACTCCGTCCAGTAGATTTCTTGCAACAGATTTTGCAGCAAACACAGCCTGAGGAACTATTGAAAAGCTTTGTCAGTAGATATGGAGAAGATGAAACATGTGCCATGTGTGTAATGTTGGCATGTTCTCCACCTCCTTACAATACTATTACAGATTCCTCCCAAATTGTTTATCTTGACGATCATCAATTGAATAGACGAGCTGAAGAAACATTCTTCAGATTTGGAGGAATGCCACAATTCGAAATTGTCTCTGACACCAGAAGAAATTTTCTGTTCAATAATGACATAATGGGTGGCCCTGTCAGCACTCAAGATATCAGTCACAGCGCTAAACACAATGGTTTATATCTATACTTGTCCCGATTATTACGACCTTTATGGAACAGTCCACTCTTCAATTATAAGAGGATGGAAAATGAAATCGTGATAACATCTACTCGGTACAGCTTACGACAGCTGAAATACATGTTGCAAGCTCTATTGGCAGTTCTGAACTTTATGGACAGATATCCTCATTTGTTTGGAGAAGCTCAATCAGGGCATGGTAAAACCATACAAGACAAATATTTGGATCTAGTTCACATCAAAAAAGACGAGGAGGCCAAGAGACTCGAACAAAAGTCGCTTAACTCACTTTATAATTTATTGAAACGAAGTTATCAAGCATTACTATTCTTCTTCTTTATGACAAGATGTGATATTGGAGAGAAGTTAGCTCAAGTTCCTCCAAATAGAGTGAGCCATTTTGCTGAAGTGACCTTCCGTAACTTAATTCTTCAAGATCAAGGTGAAGAAGTCATGAGAGAAATGGTTCGTCTTGTTATTCTAAGTGGAGAAAATGTTGAAACCATTTGCAATGAGCTTAAATCTTGCGATGTGTTCTTTAATCAATATGATTTAGAAGAATATAAGGCTCTTAATCTCTTGGAAAGAGCTAAAGTTCAAAAGGATGAGCCCTTGTTGATGAACTCATTGGAAATTTACAAGAAAATTGCTGGTCAAATTAATGTTTTGGTAGTGTGTAAGGAATTCCAAAAACTTGGCTATTATTCTGGTGCTGTTGATTTGGCTTTGAGCAGTGCTGAACTTCGAGATCCAAAGAATTTGGCATTGGAGTGGGTTAAAGGAGGAAAATCAGCTCTGGATGTTGCTGATCAACAAGCTTATAAGGCCAGAGCTGAATGCTATAACTGTGCATTGGGTGTTCTCGAAGATTTTATCAAGAAGAGAACCGGTCTGCAAGATGTCGGTGTTGAATCAGCTGCAACCTCAGATTCAGTCAATAGAGAGAAAATGTTCAATGCTGTCATTGAAAAAATGTCCAAGTCGAAAGATCCGCTTTTCCATGAGACACTTTATCTTTGGTTGATTGAACACAACTTGTCAGCCAAACTCCTAAGTTTGAATACGCCATACATTGAGGACTTCTTATTGAAGCAAAATAAGCACTATGAAGAACTCTCTACATATTACATTAATAATAGAAGATTTGATAAGGCTGCCAAAGTCCTTCAAAGACTTGCTGAAACAAAGAGTTCCGATCGAGATCTTGATATGAGAATTCAAAATCTTACTCATGCCATTAATTATGCCAAGGCTGCCCAAACTCAAGATGATTTGTTAACGATTCTACAAGACAAATTAGATGTTGCCAGAATTCAAAAGAGAGTTCTTTCTCAGATTCAAATGTTACCAAGGACTGATGAAACAATGAATGCTATTACAACTCTCAATAGCTCTCTCCTTGATCTCAACACTCTCTACAATGTCTATGCTGATCCAATGGATTTACTAGAGTCGAGATTATGTATTCTTCATTGCGCTCGTCACAAGGATGACAAACTGATCCAAGAGTTGTGGAATGAACTTATTGATATTTCCATGAAGAATGGATTGCAATACACAGAGGATAAAATTGCAAGTCTCGGAAAGGATTTATCAGGAATTTTTTTCCCACTTGAGTTTATTTGTGGACAACTTGAAAAGAGAACGCTCGATAAGCAACCTTCTGATTGGGTGATAAAATTGATGAAGGAAAAAGTTGGAATTAGACACCTGGATCTTTACAATGCCTATCACAACCTATTTATTTTGTTGAGTCCTGGATCTGGTACAATAGATGACGATTTAAGCATGTTTGCTCAAGGTAAATATGGAGGCCTTCCCAACACTCCACAAATGTTGATTCGAATTTTGGACAATATTACGAGAATACTCAATGATTGGATTCATGAAATTTTCAATCAAACCTATGATAGTTATTCTGCACAACAAACATTTTCATCTGGTGATATCAAGAAGGATATTGACGAATACATGTCGGTGTTGGACACCTTCAACAATACCAAAACTCAAGAGATACGAAGACAATTTTCTGAAATACTCCGCAAGATCAATAAATAAAACCATGCTCTTTATCTTCATGGTAGAAACTCAGTTTTCTGTGTCAATTCGTATTTGTTAATTTAATTTTATTTTTCCAAACAAATAGTTTATTAAATCTTAAACTTTTGGAGAGGTGTTGGAGCTCCATGATAATGAGCAAACCATTTGTTGAGAGCGTCTTGTGCCGCTTTTTGTTCTGCAATCTTTTTTGTTTGTCCTACACCCTCACCAATCACTTCACCATCAGCCAAAACATGAACGGTGATAAATTTCTTTTCGTCCTTTCCAACTTCCTTAAATTGGAGAGTTTTATGGGCATGGTCATGCATTTCACCTGTTTGTACCATTTGGGTGAGTTGAAGTCTGGGATCGAATGAATGCAACATGCCAGTAATATCCACACTCTTTGACACAATATGCTTCACAACGAATTTTCTTGCTTCCAAAAGTCCACATTGATCGAATATTGCAGCAACAATTCTAAAAACTGTAAATACCAATAGAGAATCCAAGTTATTTCTTTCAATATTCAAGTCTCCTTTTCGTTCTTCGTCTCCCTCTAATTCTGGATCTATTGCTGCAAAGTCAATATTCGAAAAGTTTCCCTTCAATAAATTATCCAACTTGATACCTTTCGCAACCTCTACAATTGTTCTCTTCTTCAAAAATTCTTGTGTTGCGAGTGTCAGATGATCATGACTCAAGTTAGGAAAGTGAGAAAATAGATAATCAGCAATACACAGTGACGTAACATTCCTTCCAATAAAATTCAATCTGTGTGCTTCTGATGCAGCACCATCTGTCTGAAGGACAGCCTTCAATAAATTTGAGTTTTCTAAAGGCAGCGGAATTTCAAATTCTTTACAAATGCTTCTAAATGAATCTATAACAACATTATTTCTTTTGCAAGATAAATTCTGACTAAAATTACGGCTAGAACAATTTGAAAATGATCGATGATGATTCATCATACTTGTATCGGAATTAATATTGCAGGTGTGGAGGGTCATGAGATGACTGCTTCTATTCAAATTTGGATTTATCTTAAAGGATGTTGTTGTGTTTAATTCTCTCTTTCCACCATTTTGATTCCGATGAAGAGTGTGGATGACAATAATTTGGTTCGTACTTCTCATAACGTGTTGTTGCTTCAGCAAGGAAAGGTTTATTTTCATCATTTTTTTCGAAGTTGAAAAAAAAGACCTCTTCACCATCATCATCAACGCCTAATTTAAATTATTATTATTATTCGGAGTGTACCACAAGTTTCATTTGAGATATCTCATCAAACAACAACAACCACAACAATTGAAGCATTATACCATGAAACGATTTATTAAAGAGAATACCACAAAAGAATATGAACGGAATTTTTCGTTGGACGACGATGATGGTAATAATGACCAACAAGAAACTCCGGAACCAAAATTATTCAACCTCTCGGATCAAGAAATTGTTATTATGAATGAGAGATTGAAGGATTTGAATTTATCATTCCAAAAAGCATTGAGTAAATGCTTCTCATTAGATTTACCCTATTCCATCACGAGTGATGACTCCCAAAGTTTATTTCAGAACACGCGTTTGAAGACTTTATTACCCTCGGAAGAAGAAGCCAAATCCATTTCGTGTTCAATATTCACCAGAGGATTTTTCAAACTTGATGAGGATTCTGGAGCTTTTGTCTTGGACAAGTCTCTGATAGGAGAGAAAACTTTGGAAGATTACAAATCAACCCCGTATGGATTTATTTCGAGAGCTGAATCCTCTGCCTCAACACACTATAAAGGAAAGAACCAAATGACAAATCGAAAGCAACTTCTCCATAAAGATGTGGATGCTTATTTGGAACAGGAATCAGTAATGACAGGCGTCGAAGATAAATTAATGGCTCCAGTGTTGAGGAGTTCTTCATTTTCAAAGACTGAAAAGAAGGAGCATGAAAAGTTATCGTCACTGCTGGATCCCAATTATAAATCATCGGCAGTTGTAGATACTAAGGATACTGCAGGTGCAGGATGGGCACATATGGCTGCTCCAAGAATGACACCAGAATTAAAACAAGAATTACTTGCAATGAAATTGAAGAGAGCTTCTGAAGGAGAAGGAAAACGATTGAAAAAGGAGGCTGTAGCTGAAGATTTCGATGAGGACAATCTACCCAAGTACTTCCAAATTGGTACCATTGTTGACAACGCCAAAGAATTCTATAGTGACCGTGTCGTGAAAAAGAAGAGACAACAAAGCTTTTTAGATGAGCTTATTCAAGAAGACAAGGAGACAGGTTACGTTTCTCAAAGATATTCCCAAATTCAAGACAAGCTTGACCAAGTTCAAAAACGAAAGAAACGAAAACTCATGAAAAAGATTGCAAAAATGAATAAGGAAAAGTCAACGAAATAGCATTGAAGATCCATTCTTTAATATTAAAGATGTGACGTCCACTCGTAATAAATTAAAATTTGAAAATATAATCCAAAAACTTGGAGAAGGTAGATGTGGATGCTTCGGGCTTTCTCTTCTTTTGTAGAGGTAAATCTAATTGATGCCTAAAATTAATACCATTTCTGTAGAAAGTATCTTTAGATTCTTCTTCTTCTTCTGAATGATCGTCAAAGGTTCGCTTTTTGGCATAACTCTCAAAGCTGTCTCTTTCACGTTGCTGTAATTGTAAAATTTCTGTATCTAAACATTCAACCACTCCTATCATTAGAACACCATCAAATATTTTTCCATTCTTACTTAATGCTTTGTCTGCTTGAATTCTAGTTTTATATTGAATATGTATAAAATTTCCATTAGTTATTTTGTGATTAATTATAGTTCCATAATTCGAAAATTGTTTTAAAATGTAAGATGTTTTGTCTGGAGGAAATCCAAACACAGTAACCCATGTTGTATCTTTAACTATATCATTAATACGACTAGCTAAAGCTACATCAGTTACTTGGTAGAAAGGGTCTGTTTGCAAAGGAGATGTAAAAATACTTCTTTTATCTAGGGTAAGAGGTGTAGATGTATATGGTTTTTTCGTTCTCAAATCTTGTGATTTCCCTGATGGAGGAGTTTGGAAACGATCCACTTCTTCCCTTGAAAAAAGGTTTCATGGGTGATTGGCCGAATATAAATGATGATGTTGTCGGAGCAAGGTTGGAAGGAATTCTATTTGGTAATCCATCCACAATGCTCTCTGTTGGAGGTATCTCGCTGTCTACAATTAAATTCTGTTGAAGGTCTGATGATGTACTCAATTCATTCTTTCGATAAAGGCCAGCCGATGATGAAGATATTAAAGGTTCTTTAAAACTAACAGCAGCAGGTTCCTTTCCGGTAACAGATTGATTTATGAAAGAAGAGGGTAAAACTGTGTGGCTTGTTCCTTTGGGTTTGTTTTGCTGTGATGATAACAGAGGGTTGAGTTGTTGTTGGGAAGATGAAGCAAGAACAGAACGATGTTTAGAAAGGTGAGGTGTTTGCATTTTTTTGAAGGCGCACATCTGAATTTAATGACGAGATTAAAAGTGGGAGATCCACTAATTTTCTTTTATAAAATCCACTAAAGTAATAACATTGAAATTTTGAACGCTTGGATTTAGAGTGTTCGAGGGCCGAAAGTCGTATCCTGCAAATACGACTTGAGTTCCATTATCAAACCCTCCTGAGATAGGAAGTGCATAGGGAAGCTTGTCATTAAGGGCGTTCCAAGAGCCAACGGGGTCTGTTTTGCGAGCTTTTGAAATGAAAACACCTACAAGATCAGTAGGGCTACTGAATCCACCAAATAAATAAAGATGTTCAAGAGTCTGTACCAAAACACCGTTTGCATAGTAGTGTGGTAAAATACCATACGTGACCATCCATGTTCCAACGTCGCTCAATAAAGCTCTGTAAATATTATAGTTGCATGTATAAAGTTCCTGACATCCTCCAAACAGATAAATATAGTCGCCAACAACTCCAATACTTGCACTATGAAGAGGGGTTGGTAAATATCTGAGTTCCCACACGCTCCAATCTGTAAGATTGCTCACAGGAGCTCTGATAATTGTTCTTGTCACATTCTGACGATAGTCGCCTGTTCGTTCGTCGTACATGGAAATGATTCCACCAAATATGTAAAAGTAATTTCCAACAACAAAAGACATTCCTCCTGCTACACCATAAGGCAGTCGTTGATCGAGTATTTCCCATGTTTCAACATCGGCATAAGCTGCTCTAAATATTTTGTCGGATACGGAATCATTGACAAATCCTCCGAAAAAGTAAATATATTCATCGTATTTCAAGAAATGGCTATTGTGAATAGATGCTGGAAATCCCTTTTTGTTTGCTGGATCGTATTCTATTATTTTCCATGATGCTTCTGATTCATTCTTGTTTCTATAGTACATATTAAATCCGTTTCCAGGCCGTGATGGAGGCAATGACCAAGAAACTAGAGCATAAACTTTTCCTGCAGCCTCAAAATAAGGCATTTTTCGTAATTGCCATGGAATGGTATGGTTAAGGTAGTTGCTCATTATACTGAACTTATTTGTCAATGTGGTATTGAAGTACATTGTTTGTGTTCCACCTCCTGCGCCAAACAATTTATCCTCTGACGTGAGAACATAAGTTTGAGTTTGAGCGCTTACTAGTTCCATAACTTTGCCTGAAGAAAAACTAGAGACAAGTGTGGGCCTTGTGACGGCAACGGTATTGCCAATACCTGCCTCACCATAGGAGTTAAAGCCCCAGGTGTAAATGGTTGAATTTGAACAAACAGCAAAGCTTGTTTCATAACCTGCTGTTATCATGGAGACATTACAAGGAATGGAAATGAGTTTTGGTTGGAATGCATTGGTGGTTGTACCATCACCAAGCTGATAGTGGTTATTACTTCCCCAACCAACAACCTTTCCAGAGGATAACAAGGCCAGGACGTGTCTAAATCCACATGAAATATCTGTAACGGTATCATTAAACAACACTCCAACTAACGGAATTCTCAAAGGCTCAATTGTTTTAGTGATTAAAGAGGAAATGCCAAGTTCTCCATACATGTTCGATCCAAAGGTAAAAACATCTCTATCCGTACTCAATACAACAGAATAGGTGTCTCCACCACAAACCCTTGATGCCTTTTTCCCATAAAATGTTCCATTGTAAAACATGGGAAATGGTCTTGCCTTGTCGCCTCCAGTTCTGTCTCCAAGCGCACCATTCGAGTTGCTTCCCCAAATCCACACTTTACCATTGACATCGATGGCATAAGAGGTGGAATAACCAGCAGCGACTTGGGCGATTTTCGCCCCAGCAAAACCAGGTAACTTGGTGGCCACAGAAACATCAAATTTTCGCCCATTTCCAAGTTGCCCAGCTCCGTTATATCCAAAAACGTAAACACCATCATCAGTAAGAACAATACTGGACGTGTTAACTGTGTGAAATTGTAAAATCGTTCTATTCTCTAATCCCTCCACTGGATAAAGATAATGAAGCAAGCCAGTGGCCATGCCCATTGTTCTTCCAAGACTTGAGGTCGTGTTGTAACCTGTTGAATAGAGTTTTCCGTTAGGTAACAAGTAAAGCACATGGGACTGTCCTACGGATATCCTATTTCTTATTAATCTCACAAGTTGTTGATTTTCATATTTTGGAAAAGCTCCTTCTATTGTTCGAGAGTTCATTGGGTTTGTGAGGGTGGTATTTTCTGTGGTTTCCCCATAATATTCGACACCATGAAAGCTTTTAGTGTGAGACTACCGTAGAATTGATCATTGTAATCCTGTTGCGAAATCTAATGTTTGCAGACAACTTACTCTCACAAAATTAATAACCTCATTGTTGATATATTGTGCTGAGTTATGAATAATGTCAGCCATGTTGTCGGCATCAATAACTGCCAGCCTCATTGCATCGAGCTGGGTCTTTTTCCCTTGTAGTAACGATTCATATTGTTCTCTGTCTACTAATGTCTCCGACAGATAATCACCTGCAAATTGTAAACAGTCAGCCGTTTCCATGAGTCTTCTCACTAGACCATCTCCGAGTACTTTCTCCTTCTGTCGTATTATCTCGTCTTTGATTGCGAAAAAATTGTCTCTCTTCTGAATTTTGTGCCTTAAATCATTGATTTGTTCGTTAGTGATATCGGCTCTGACTAGTAAAGCTGAATGCAATTAAAGGTAAAGGTCATCATGCTCAATTCCGTACATACCCGTTGTTATGCATATGAAAGCTATTATTGTGTATAAACAAGAGATGAGGAACGAAGTGGTTTTCCTTGATGAGAAAAAACCCGTAATTCCTGCCGTTGTAGTTTTTATGTTCATTTGTTTTGAATGTGCAAGATATGGCCTTCCTTAATATTTGATGATGATGATGAACACCCTCTAAGCAACCGATCAGAAAAGCTCTGAGGCCAAACAAGCCGTCGTAGTGTGGTTGATTTGTATTTTGGAGGGATTAATTTTTTTGCGTGATTGCTACCGTAACGGTACGGCTTTACAGTCATCACTTTTTCAAAAGTTTGGGCAAAGGCCACACGACGATCGTCGAAGCATGATATGTATCATCAAAGGACTTTGAAAATCCGTGATTGTGAGTGTGGAATATTCCACATGGTTGTTTGGACGTATGATCGGAATGAAAATATTTGCACACCGAGATTGACATTTCTCCAGCACATCATTCACATTTCACAAAAAAACAAGTTGTTGAGTGATGACTCTTTTTTCTGATTGGTATTCTTGGTTGACCCAACTTTATGGAGATACTCAATCCCAAAGGTGGCTCAGAGTTGGCGAGAGAAGCTTGTTGTTCCTGTTGGCTGCACATTTATTTTGGAACATGAAGAACAGTAAAAACGATAACAAAAAATCATTATTGAAACGTTTCGTTCAAACAGTGAGCAATTCACAGATCGGAAAGAAGCTATTGACTGCTGAAATTGAAAAAGAAGTCAAGAACAATGTTGTTCATATGTTTCCAAAACCAGAGGGATCGCAAGGCAAAGTGACATTTCCAGAGAAGGGAGTGAAAGAGTCAGAAATTGAAGAATATTTATTGAAATTGAAAGAGATGGATGTAAAAACAAAAGAAGGGAAGACATTTGCATTTGTGTATCATCTATCAGAGGGTCATGATGAATTTGTGACCAAAATGCATAACATGTTTATTGTAAGTGCGAGAAATGAGTTCGTCATTAATTCCGTAACGGTGTGATCGGATGATTTCAACTCATCATCTTTGATGATAGAATACGAACTGTTTGAGTCCAATGGCTTTCAAATCATTGAGACAAATGGAAGTTGAGCTTGTTGAGATGACATCCTCTCTTTTCCATGGTCATGAGCCCTGTCATGATGAGAATATTTTACCCTATGAATTTCATCGAGAATTTCTCAAAAAAGATGTTGTTGGAAATTTAACATCAGGAGGCACTGAATCTCTTCTAGTCATGCTCAAAACCTATCGTGACTTTTTCTCTTCCAACATTGAAGAGTTTAAGAAAATAATGAAGAGAAAGTATCCCTCTCAATCATTGGAGATTGACTATTACAATGGCCCATTCGAAGTCATTGTTCCTACGACCATTCACCCTGCCGTGAATAAGGGAGCTCATTATTTTGGCTTAAAGCTTGTGGAAGTACAAGTGGATCCAACAACAATGACAATTATTCCTGAAAAGGTTGAGCAAGCATTCCATCCAGGAAAAACGATACTGGTCATTGGCAGTTGTCCATCCTATCCGCATGGAGTGCTTGACCCAATTGATAAACTGTCTGAACTTGTGGTCAAATTAGGACCCATTGGTTTACATGTGGATAGCTGCATTGGTGGCTATGTCATGCCCTTCATCCAAGAATTGAATGCTCAGAACCACAATGGCTCAAACAAAGAGCAGCTATGCATTTTCGATTTTTTGAATTTAGGAGTCACCAGCATTTCTGCCGATTTACACAAATATGGATACTCTTGTAAAGGTGCAAGTGTCATCATGTATAGAAATTCTTTCATTCGAAAGTATCAATTCTTTGTATACAATGGATGGAGTGGAGGTCTGTACATTTCTCCCACAATCACAGGAAGTAAGGGAGGAGGTCCAATTGCCTCAAGTTATGCAAGTGTTAAATTATTAGGAAAGCAAGGTTTTTTGAAGGTTACCCAACGAGTGTTAAATACGAGAAAATTCATTCAAAATGCCATTGAAACTGATGAATTATTGTCAAAGTATTTGATGGTGGTCGGTCAGCCATGTTCCACCATTCTAAGTTTTACCACGCATCATGCGTTCAATCATTTCTTTAACCTTTCGAATGCTTCTTCGGAGGAACTTTCAGAAGAGGCTTCACACCATGAAGTGAATATATTTGCAATTTCAGATCACATGGAAAAGACATATGGATGGGATCTTCAGAGACAAATCAAACCTGATGCCTTGCACATGACCTTAATGCCTCAACATATTGGACTCGAAGAAAGAATTATCTCAGACTTGAAACAATCATTGAGATATGTGATTGATCATGTCTCAGAGTTTTCTGGCAAGAATAGTGTGGCCATGTATGGAATGGTTGCTAATGTGGAGAGTTGGTTGAGTGAGGATACTGTTGAACTGTTTTTGAAGACGTTTGTGGATGAAGTTTATCGATTTCGTAATTAATTTCATAAAAGACGACTGGAGGTGATACCACGCCCCCAATTTAAAAGTGTGTTTAAGAGCATTTTGCAAAATGCTCTAATATATAGAAGAAAGACTTTCTTTTTTAATAGAATGAACTACTCGAGTAGTTCTTGTTTTTTCATTTCATCATATTTGATTTGTCCCAACACACATTCAAAAACATCTCTATTGGGGAAATGATTCGAGGAGGATTCATAACCAAGTACCCAACAATTCTCATCATACGTGTTCAAGACACCACAAATTCGATAGAGAGTCACATCTTTTTCCTCGTTTGATGTTTTGTTGTTTAGCATGTATTCAATCTCAAATTCCACGAAATCTCGAATAGACTTATCGAGTGGTGTGCCACTTGAATTTTGTCTCTCCACATGCTGAAGGTCTTTTCGAATTTTCACATTTCGAAAATCACTCGATTGCTGGAGTTCTTGAAGATGTTCTAGAGCCAATTGATAAAGGATGTGTTTTTGAGAGATGACAGGATTAGAGCTTGTCGAGGAGCTCAATGTCGACAATTTCCTTGTCATTCGTGTAGCCATAAAACGATCCGTTCCATTTCCACTCGTATGAATAGGAGACAATAAGTGCATGCTCGTCTCTTCATAGTCCCATCCACATGGCCATTTAAGCCACAATGAATCATGAATATCACAATGCAAAGGTGAGAATAATGTGTTTCTTGAAGGAGGCATACATCGATGTACCATTTCATCGAAACTTGAGTCGAACGGCATTCCACAATTGGACAAATAAGTCAATGACAACATGGAACAATGACCAATGGGAATGACATAGGCCTTCCCACATACTGTTGTGGAGTTTTGGATGTCATTCAGTGCCACTCCATTTCTTTTTTCAAATTCTCCTGAAAAACTTTTCAAATATTGCATCGAGGTGATGAGAGTGCCACTTTTCTGTTGTTCAGTAGTTGCTGTTGTTGAACAAGTATTTGAGAAGAGAATGGACTCCTCTTTTGTGACATTCTTCCATGAACATGTCTTTGAAAACGTATTCTTCTTCAATACATGTTGTTGTAAATGTTTTTCAAAGACTAGTGAGAGTGGTGCGGTTTCATCTTTCACCACTTGTTGAGAAAGGACCAATTCCACTCTCACTCGATCCACAAGAACTGAACCACCAGTGAACCCATAATAACTCTCTGCTTCTGTCAATATTTCTAAAAGTGTTTCAGAGGAGGAATGCACTTGTTGCCACTTGATTTCTCTCGGAATTGGAGTGTTTCTTGGAGATCTCGGAGATTCATTGCTGTTCCCCATGAATGAAGAGTTCTTGATGGACTTTTCTATTTCAAATCTTGACATGGGATATTTCACACATCCTAAAAGCCATGAATTTCGAGTGGTCTTGTAAAAACATTCTCTGTTTTGAATGGAAGATGGCAAATTCAATTGAGAAATGGATGAGCGCGAGAAAAATTTCACTTGACATGCAATGGTGAGAATTCCCTTTTCAATGTCTTGTAATTTACAATCAAAAGGTATTCCATCCAAATTTGGAATATCTTTGAATTTAAGTGTGAAGTCTCCTTCGAAATCATCATTGACTAAATCCTCATCCATGACTTTGAAATAAATGGATGCATCCAAAGCAATGTCTGAGTCATTCAGTGGAATTGAAATAGTTTCATTCCATTGAGGATTGAGAGTTTCTTTTTTTACACTACTTTTATGTGAAAAACCAGAATAAGTGGTGATCACATACTTTTGTGAGTTTGAAATACATGTTTTTTCATTTTCATTTAAAACCAAGTATTTTACAAATCAATTTTAATATATACCCAAATATAGAAAAATTCAAAGTATAATTTAAAGAAATTAAGAAATGAAAATCCAACATAAATCAAACATTAAAAAACACAAGTTCTACTTACTGGATCACTGAGATCATTCCTATCTTTCGGAACTAGATCTCTCGCCCCAACCAATGTGACAATAAAAATATCTTGCATTTGGAGAAGATCATCAAATACCATTGTGACACTAGGACTTGATGGATCCATTGGATGATCAGAACGATAATAATCGCGTTGTTGGTGTTTGCTGGGTTCACTGGAAGAGCTGTTGCAATTTTTCTCTGTCGCTTTTTCAAAAGAGCGCTCAAACAAGCTGTCAGAAAAAGAGTTGAAAACATGTCAGAAAGCTCTCTTTTCGAGGACGAACAGCAAGGAACTGATCAAAAGGTACTCATCATGTTTTACACTTCTCAAACACTTCTCAAGTAACAAATCAAGAAGGACATACACTTGATTAAAATTGTTTTAATTGTTTTAAATGGAGTGATTTACTTTTTGGTGTTCCCTTTTGAGTGCTCTGTTTCAGACAATAAAATAAAATAATTAATGCATTAATTTATTCCATCCTCTGGTACGAAACTGTCACACCTAAATACATCCTTCAACACAACATCAACAAAAAATCCATATGATCGCCGCCACCACTAGTCGCAGTGGTAGTAGTAGTGGCAATTATTCTCAATCGATGACAATGACAACCACTCTTTCTACACATTCATTGCTAATTTCGACTTACTTTAAGAAAAATTCAAATTCGGATATTTCTAAAAAGAGTGTATCCATCGATCCGTCGAACATGTCATCATCCTCACATGTGTCCAATGTTTCGAGTGGCTATACTGCTCTTCCCTCTCTCACCACCATTGATTTGTACAAAGATTTTGGAATTCAAGTTTCAAGTCGAAAATACAATGGAAGAACTGATCGATCTGTTTATGTTAAAAAAGTTTCATGTGGTGAAGGATTTACCTTTATCTTGTTAAGTGATAATCGAGTGTTTTCCAGAGGAGCCAATCGATATGGTCAATTGGGACTGGGTCATCGAAATAATATTAGCGCCACTGAGGATGGATTTCATCACGTGACAGCCATTCCTGATACAATTCTTGATATTCAGGGTGGTGCTGATTTTACCTTATTTTTCAAAACAAAAAGTTCAGACATTTATGGGTGTGGCAGTAACTCTTTTGGCAAACTTGGAATTGGATTGAAAGATAATTCAACAGTCATTGTTCCGAAACGAGTGAAATCAGCAGCATTTAATTTTAGAAAAATTGAAAGTATTGCATGTGGACTGCATCATGTCATTTACATTACTGAGGATCGAGAGGTTGTTGTCTGTGGTTGCAACTTTAAATAGAACAAAAAAATTACATAATTGAGCCTTCTTTGGGCGTAGAATTTTCAAAACAAATCGCCTCCTATCTCACGCATAATTCTCATCAACATGGGCTTTAGTGATCCAAATACTAATATTCATAATAACAAACCATCACCACCTCCATCCTATCTGGAATCCGTTACACAAAACCATCCGATTGTATCCCAATCACAAATAACAAACCACAACGCCTCTCCCGGTCCTACTACTACTACTAACGTAACGGATGATCCAAATCATAACCCAAATAGTCCTGCAATTCATCCACCAAATCAACCCTACCAAATTCCAGATGTATTACCAAAATTACCACAACAACCAATGAACACCATGTATTTCAAGCAAGATCAGCAAGGTTCCTCGAATATGAACGCTTCTATGGTTTCAACCACAACCAGTGATGGAATGGGAACATCGTCTTACATGATGATGAATTCGCAACATCAACAACCACCAATGCCAGTTCAATATCCTTTGATGAATCAGCAACCACAGCCACCAATTCTCCCACAACAGCCCATTCAACCACAACAAAAGGTGGTTTATCCAACATTGGTGAATACTCCTCCAATGCAGCCACATCAACAACCAGTTCTGCCACAACCCATGCCACCTCAACGACCATACGTACAACCCATGATGATGAGTCAGCAACCACAACAACCAATGGTCCACGTTCAGCCAATACCTCAACCTATTATGGTGAGACCTCCAACTACGACGACAACAACCTATGTAAGCCAAGTGAACTATGTTCCTCCACAACAACCTGTTATTATGCATCCTCCTCCTCCACAACCAGTGATGGTTTCTCAGGTGCCCTTGAACAAAGGACGAACGGTTGTGACCACCACGACAACAGTCACACCAAATCCAGTGCTAATGCCTCAACCACCAACGGTCCAAATTATTCATGGTAAACCACCAACAATGCCTCCAGGAGCTATGGGTTATTCGACTTATTATCCTCAACATGCTACTCCAGTTTCTCAAACCACTATTTATGTCCAACAAAAGAAAAAGAAGAGCTCTTTCGACAAATTCATGTTTGGAGAATAGAAAGAAACTCTTGAAAATGTAACATTACACATTAAACACAAAATTATTTTAGTCTCTCAATTAATTATAGAAATTGAAATAATTATTATTGAAATAATTATTATTGAATAATTATTATTATTTCTATTGACATGGAAAGCAGTTGATTCTCTCATGGTGTCATACTCTCAATTAAGAGATGTCTACTTGTTGACATAACGAACTCTTTCATTGCTCAGATGCAACTATCGCCAATCAACTCTTGTTAATACTCGTCATCATCTTCATCACTGGTGGATTCTTCCTCTTCACTATCAGGTAACTTGACAATCACTTTTTCATCGTTATAAAATCGAGTATTCCACAAACCCCAACCACCTCTCAATACTTTAACTCCAATTCTCGACTCTACATCACTGTTGGAATCATCCAAATTTTTCAAAATGTTCGACATTTTCATGGCAGCTGTGGGACCTCGTTGCTGCGAGTAAAAACAATGAAATATAAAATCTACTCTGGAATTACTTGATAAAACATTTTCGGAAATGAGTTGTTTGACCACTTCTGTTGTAAATTCCTCTGTTGTTATATGATGATATTGTTCCTCTGTTGGAGTTCGTATATATCCCACACTATAGTCGTAATCTCGTAAATCAATGATATGAAAATTTTGATCATTGGATTCTATTCGATATCGCAAGTCCTCTGGCTCAATAAATTCTATTTTCATTGTGTGTCAGTCAATGAGCAAAGAACGACAATTCCCGAAATGAAAACACGTGTTTTGATTAATATCTATTTTTTAAAATTTTAATTTTTTTTTTAAATAAAAAATGAAAGCAGTTGAAGTGAGCACACAAAGAAAGTTCTCCGAATTTATTAACAAATCAAATTTAACGGTGGTTGATTTCTTTGCAACCTGTAGGTATAAATTGATATTAAAAAGAAAAAGAGAATATTGTGTACAAAATCGTACAATTGTAAATGTATTAATTTTTCGGAAATTTTTGATGATCATCACGGAATGACTGAAATGATCACTATAATGTCATCAATGATTACATTATTATAATTTCAAATTTTAATACGTTCAATTTTAATAATATTATAAATAGGGTGTGGACCATGTATGCAAGCTAAACCACTTTTTGAAGCCTTAGCTGCTAAATATCCTTCATCCAACTTTATTGCAGTCAATGTAGATAATTCCAGTGACATTTCTTCGGAATATGGAGTATCATCACTTCCAACCTTTATGTTCTTCAAAAAAGGAGCTAAACTTGGGCAAGTCATCGGAGCTGATTTGAATAAGGTCGAAGAAATGATCAAAAAACATGGAACTGCTGTTTCCGGTGGAAGCTTTCCAATGACTGGTGGCAGAGTTTTGGGTTCTTCCTCAAGCTCATCAACAATATATCCCAATTTAATCACAGGTGGAGGATCTTCTGCTTGGGGGATGTTCAATCCATTAATAAGAAAAGCGAATACTATTCCTGTAGAACAACGACCTGTTTACTTTTTGGCTGGTGTAGTTTGTGTGTACATGGTGTTGAGGTTCGTGTTAAATATTCTGTTCAAATAAGTTATATGGAGCTATGTAAATAAATAATGAATTTCAAAACTCAACTATTTGCATGAATTTGTCACAATCGATCAATCTGATGGTGCAGTGAAGAAATGGGTGGTAAGGTGATTCGTTGTGCTTCATTGTCTTCAGTTTCATTCATATTCCTAGATGATGAACGGGAAGGGCTTGTAGAAGATGATGACCCAATCAATAATTCATTATTCAATAATTCTGAAGCTCTTCGATTCAAAGGAATAATTGGAGGATTAAAATGCAGAAAAGTGTCAGAAAGTGACTTTAAAGGCTGTTGCAAGAGAGTTTGAAATGAAGCATGATGTTGTGTTGATGGATACAGAGAATGTTGAGAATGAGAAGGGTGTGGTGAGTGTACAAATGCATGTGAAGAAGGTGAATGTTGAACGTGCTGTTGTTGTTGTTGTGAACGATGGGATCTAGAAGAGGGAAATTCAAAGGTTGAACTTTTTGGATCATGAACTGAAGGAGGATAAGGACGTGGAATAAAAGACGTGGAGTAATTTCTCATTTCTGTGCTTGGAACTTCACCATCGTGACGATCCTGTTGTTGATCTATTTGTGAATATTGATTATGACCATATCGTTGAGGCTTATAATAATGGAGAGAATGGTGGTGATGTGATTCAGAATGTGACAATAATCTTTCTTGTTCCGCCATTCGTGTGGGTTGATGAGAAGAAGGAAAATTGGAACAAGGTTGATGAATGGTGGTGGTAACAACATGTTGGCGATGAGGAAGAGGAGGATGTTCCATTATCAACGAATCACTATTCCTGTGACGTGCCATCATTGCATTCGATTCTTCAGAACTTGATGCACTGTCTGTTTGTGCCGAGCTGATGGATGGTTTTCTAAACGTTGTTGCGACCGAAGAATTTGACAATTGAACCTTCTGACCAGTTCCAATCTGATGCATATTATTATTACTGTGACTATTCGTAGTGCCACTCAATGAAGCAATCTTCTTTCGTTTTGGAGAGACTTGATCTTCTGTCGATGATGCATCGGAACGATCTGCACCTGCTCCTCCTCCTGTTGTTGTTGTTGTTGTTGTAGCATTCGAGGAAGCAGGTGATTTACTATGCTTTCTTTTTGAAAGTGAGCTTGTAGAGGTGAGTTGTTTTGTGGGCACATAGGGCCATTTCATGTTGAATTCTTCGTAAAATCTGAGAGGAGGTGTCACATGTGGTGATACATGATCATGCATGTACACATGTCCAATGTATGATGATGTTGAATGCATGTATCATGCATGAGAGTCACGAAATGTAGTTGCATGTGCATGTATATATAAAAACGTTGAGCATGTTCATGTCGAGAAACATTTAGTTAACATCAATTAAATAATCTATAACATACCTTCTTTTCAATGTACTCACTGAAACTCCCAACAACTTGGCAGCAACGGATTGTGAAACATGAAAATACTTTTCCATATCTTGTCGGGAGATTTCTCTCTTTTTCGGTCCCTTCTTTTTATGAGGTGGTTTTTTAGAGTTCACTGTGTCAACGTGGTGGTGGTGGTCCTGTTCGATTCCTCCACGGATCAAGATCACTTGATGAACACCTCCTCCTTCTTCTTCTCCGTCATCTGCACATGACGATTCAACGATGGAGGATCTTCGAGAGAAGCCATCTCGTTCATGCTCCTCCTCCTCTTCAGTGGAGGCAACACGATTCAGGAAGGCAGGAGAAGTCTCGCTCATCTTTGTTTCATCATGAGGCATGGTAGTTGTTGTATAAAGTTTCTCCTCGGAAGCACCTTTGGGTTTACTAAATTTGGAGTTAATAAACCTTTCACAAGATTCAACAGCAATAGCATTATTTCGGCAAGCAGAAAGAGCTGCCAGGTCCCCACCATCACCATCCCCACCACCCCCATCACCACTGCCAGTAACAACGGGATTATGGAATGCTATCTTGTAGTCATGTTGTCCGTGTCTTGAAGAATATGTTAATGGCGAGGACGAAGTGAGTGGCGGAGTAGTAGTAATAGTAGTAATCGAACAAGAAGGAGAGGCAGATGTAATTGAGGTTAGGTGGTGTGATCCATCATCTGTTGTACAAGAAGAATGCATGAAGAAGTGTTTTTTTGTTGAAAGTAAGAGATTCGAAGACAATCTCGAAGGGGCGACAACACCTACATTATCGGTGTCCATGGACACCAAGGGTGTGACTGGAGATTGTTGTTGTTGCCATGCATGTGGTGATCGTGTGGTGGTTGTGGACATACTAGGTCTTATCGTTTTAGATGAATTTGGATTTACCCTTGATTTGTTCATGGCCATGTGATCTGCATGATTGGGTACTAGTGATTCTTCTTCTTCTTCTTCTTGGTTGGTCATCCTCGTTCCATGTTTTGATGTTGATAATGCGTGATCAGATGTTGCTGAGGACACCAAGGTTTGTGGTGGTGGTGGTGGTGGTGATGATGGTTCCATAGGAGCATGTCGTTGTGGTGTGGCAGTAACCTGTTGTTGTTGCTGTTTCTGGTAAGGATGGATTGCAAATTCTTCTGACAGGCGAATGGAAGTTGTATTTCCTCGTGCAAGAGAAGGACTACTTCTCAATGAAGATGACGAGAAATGTTCCTTCTCTACTGTCTGATTCATGGAAACAGTTCGAATGGCATGTATTGCAGTAGAGTTGGACGATCGTGGAGTTGAAACACAACTTGTGAATGATTCTTCTTCTCTTTGATTGGGTATTGAATTTGTCCATGGTGGTACGAGTGGTGATGGTGGTGGTGGTGATAAATCAGATGCATTGTGTCCACGCGGAGAGGTGTTTGTTTTCTCGGATTGTGGTGATGCAGTTGGTACATGGCTTGCTGCTGCAGAATGGAACTGTCTTGTTCTCGGTGAGGATGGTATTGGATGGTTTTCAATAGTAGTAGTAGTAGTACTAATACCACTGTTGCTGCTTCTATTTGGAGTAAACAAATGGTTGTTGTTGACAATGGATGTGTTGTTATATTTCAAAAAGTTCTTGGTTGACGACGAGTGGCATTTAGAATCTTCAAGTAGCATGGAGAGTGGTTGTGAAGGACGACTTGAGGTGCTTGGGTTCGAAGAGGTGACTGTGGTTGCAACACCACTCAATGGACGGTTTGACTTTGTCTCTGTTCTATGAGTAGTAGTCGGAGTAGTAGTAGTTGTAGTGACAGACAGAGATGACGTCGGGATGGATTTTGTTTTTTCTTGGCTTGACCGTTCTGAATCAGCTCTTACTCGGGTTGTTGTTGTTGTTCTTGTTGTTGTTGAATCCATCATCATCATCGCACGGTCCATCTCTGAATTCTCTCCACCAGGTGGTGATGATGAGGATGATGAGGATGCAGAGAAGAAGAACGAGGGCCTATTGGAACTAGGTACATTGCCCGAATTTAGCCAAGACATATTTGTAGCTTTGTAACGAGAGTCCGTGGATGGGTGATGGGGTCGGTCCTTGTTGTCAACTTGTCTAAGAAGGAGTGGGGATGGTACTTTCTCAACATGAAGCAATTGAGAGACAGGAGGAAGAGGGGCACTTTCCTCACTGCTACGGTTATTATTATTATCAATTGAAATGGATGGACGAGTGGCAGTTTCCACAAGTCCATGAAAGCAACCAGAACCGCTGCTCACGACGGATGGTGATTCTTCTTCCAATGCTTGTTGTTGTGGATGTCCACAGTCTGAATTCAAGAATGAGAATGGACTCTGAATAGTAGCAGATGTATTCGTTCCAGTCGTAGTTGTTGTAGTAGTCGAAGTTGTTTGGAAATGCTCTTGAGATGGAATTCCGCTTGGTGCACCAGGGTTGTTATTCTGTTGATTTTCTTTCTTATTGTTGTTTTCAGGAGTGGTTGCTGCAGGATGAATAGCACCAGAACAAGTGCTGTTGTGATTCTTCATGAATGAAAAGTCTTTGATATCGTCGAGTGGAAAGGGTGTTTGTGATTCTCAATAATAATGAAACGCATACAAGTGAAGATTGCAGAATGAAGAATGGTGATGATTTGAATCGCATGCAATGAACAACAAGAACAACAACTTGTAAGTCGTTTGTGTAATATTACTCTCTCTGAGGATGGGGTTGTGAGGAATAATAATCTTGTCTAATGTAGTATTAACCTCCACAATGCAATAGTTGAATATAAAATCCGAGAGAGATAAATGCAATAAAGGAAAGATATGGTTCTGCTACTACTACTAGTAATGGTGGTGGTGGTGCTAGTGGTGTGTGTGTGTTCTTTCTTGATGTGATTCAAATGTTGTTGTGGTTAGAGTGTTGTTGCAATTCTTTTTTCTTGCACCCAAACAATAACGGAAGCGGACCCCCACAAGATTAGTAATAACTGAGATGAGATTCGATAAATAATGATGTAACAAGTATATGTATGGCCTGGTCAATAAGTTTCTCACTCTTTTTGGGAATCAAAGATGCTGTTGCTGTTTTTTAAAACAATTCAACAAGAGGATGATTCACACCATACACTGTACCGTACGCGCATGGGTGTCTTTGTTTTAAAAACAATCGAGAAAGTGTACATTATTACTCTGACGTGCATCAGGACGTCTCCCTTTTTGGGTTGTGAGTGGGTGATTTGAAATGCGTGACTTTGAGAATGGATTATTTAAAAAATGTTCGCATTCTCCATTCATGCATTGGACGGCAATGCCTTTATGATCGAGTGGACAGTTTTGGGATTGAATATGCAATGGTGCTCCTTTTTGTTATTCGACCTCGGATAGAAGAAGTTTTCTGTAGCCCACATGGTTATGGTAAATACTGGATGTCTTGTTGGGTGATGAATTGATTCTGGTGTACTTGATCAAGTTTAAAAGTGGTCATTCATGTTGGACAATGTTTGTCCACGCATCTTCTCGTGATTCACGAATGGACACTGCATAAGCTGTTGTTGTTTTGGAATTCATTAATCACACAAACAAACGGTCACCCGAAACGCATGATTTTGGAACGGCGAGGGATAATCAGAAACAGCGTGCACACTTAAATTGATGCAACCAACGGACAAAAGCAACAAGTTTGGTTAGACCACACACAGTTGTACGACTTGCAGGATTGATCCCAAAAGTTATTACTGAGCGCGCGTTTTCAACATTTGAAATCATGAATCATACAATATGAAACTCAATTTTCAAAAAGAACATGCATGTCATCCGTTTTTTGTTTCTTGACAATAAGATCCAGGTCTGAACATAATTCATTTTGGATTCATCTATGTTATAAACAACATCCTCTGAAATGTGTTAAACATCCTTTCAATGCTTTTGGAGAATAACTTCTTCCAAGTGGTTGAAAATGGGAAGGTGTGGCTCAGATGGCTCGGATGGCGAACCACACACACGCGTGATCTTTTTTCAAAACAACAAACAACTGTAAATTCTCGATGAGAGAGAGATCTAAAATTGTGTTACGTCGTCGTCGTTGTTGTTGCTGTTGTTGTTGATGATGATGATAAAGATGCATTTAAAGGAGAGAGAAAAATGCCTCAACAAAACAAAGAGAATAAGGTGAATAGAGCCCCATCAACGAGTCTCAAAGGAGGAGGAGGAGAGGCTGCTGGAAAGAAGGGAGCAGCACAAGTGTCAAAGGAGGAAAAGAAGAAGGGAGAGGCACCCACTCCGAAGAAAAAGAGAGTTGAGAATGATACTAAAGTGGTTCAGGTCAAAACCAAGACTTCTTCCGAGAGGATCACTGAGGAGGTCGATCGCAATAATATGAAAGTCAAAAACAACGAATCGGAAACAAAGAATATTGTAGAAAGTAATGTACACACAAATAATAATAATAATAATACTGGCGCTAACCTCGGTATTGAGGAGAAAAACGAAGACGAAACAGATATCAAAGTCATTGTTCGAGCACGCCCACTCAATCAAAGAGAATTATCTCTCAAAAGTTCATCGTGTTTGACCATTACTGAAACCGAAAGAAAAATTACATTGATAAGAAAAGACAAGGAGAATAAGAGTTTCTATTTTGACGAGGTATTTGGAGAAAACTCGACTCAAAAACAGATTTATGACGCTAGTGGTGCAAAAGTATTGGAGAGATTCATTCTTGGATACAATGTGAGTATTTTAAAAACACAAAGTTATATATATTGACACTGTGGGAATACATATAGGCCTGCATTTTCGCCTATGGTCAAACATCTTCTGGTAAAACCTACACAATGGAAGGAATTAAAGGAAATGAGCAACAAGAGGGAATAATGACAAGATTTGTCAGAGACTTATTTCAGTATGTGAAAAAGCAAGAAAACAAAACTGAGATCACTATTAAGGCATCCTATTGCGAAATTTATAATGAAACGATCAACGATTTGTTAGCTACTGGGGTGGGTAAACATAAATATGAAATAAGAGAGGACAAAATTAAAGGAACTTATATCACTAATATCATTGAGCGACCGATAGAAAGTGAAAAGGAGTTGAATGAAATTCTGGAAGAAGGATCCAAGCGCAGAACGGTGGCAGAGACAAAAATGAATGAAATGTCTTCTCGGTCTCATGCCATTCTAACGATCCACATGGAACAATTTGACAAAGGTGATGAAGAAGGTTTCAGTCTGAGGACAAATAAGGTAAGGTTTTAACAAAGCTTCATTTCAATGAATTAATGTCATTGTCAGATATCGTTAGTAGATTTGGCAGGAAGCGAACGAGCAAGCTCAACAGAAGCAACGGGTAAGTGAGTGATACTATCACAGAACGATCGAATCATTTTCTGAATTGATTCATTTCAAAAAGGCGATCGGTTAAAAGAAGGTGCCAAAATCAACTTGTCCCTTTCAAACTTAGGAAATGTCATTAACGCCCTTGTGAAAGGAACATCATTCGTTCCGTACAGGAGTTCATGCTTGACACGATTACTGAAGGATTCTCTTGGTGGAAACTCTTTCACGTTAATGATTTCATGTATTTCTCCTGCCGAAGTTAATGCAGAAGAGACTCTGAGTACCTTATACTTTGCAGATCGAGCAAAACAAATTAAGAATAAGCTTAAAATTTCTCGTGGTGACCCTCGATTGGAGAAAATTAATGAACTACTCGAAAACGAAAAGAGGTTAAAGGCAAGAATTGAGGAGTTAGAAAAGAAAGTTGCCTATTGTGAAAAGCATCATGGTTCAGAAAAGAAAGGATGTTGCACCGTCATGTAGATTATTTGTAGTGAATACTTTGAACGATGTTTATTGAAGAAACGCTAAAATACTTCCTTGCGTTTTTTCCTCGTATTTCATTTGCACTTCACCCAAATATTTCAACACAGCAGGTTTGATTTTTGGTCCATTCTCATCTGAATGATTACCAGCTCCATAAATGATGGTAAGTTCTGTCTTGTTTTGCTGTTTCAATTTGTCAATTCTCTCTTTCAAGAATTTCATTGCAAAATCAACATATTGTCCATGTAAATCAATTTCATCCTCTGTTCTGTCCTTATTTAAATGTTCGAACATGGTGTGTGCACTTTCACTTTGATATTGCTTCATCAATTCTTGAGCCTGTTTTCCTTCTTCACTCAATTGTGATGCAAGTGCCTTCTCACCTCTCTGGAAAGCTTCAGACGCTTCTGCAAAGCATTTTGACATGATTTCAGATTGTTCCTTAATCTTTTGTTCCAACTCTTTAAATAATTTCATGGACTCTGTTAGATGTTCAACAAATTCATCTTGTTGAGCGTCGTATGCCCATCCATACTTGTTCAATTCTTCCATCATTCTGTGATAGGTATTTCGGAGATTGAACAACGATGGATCAGATCCATTACTACTAATTTTGATCAATTTAGCCGATTCATCCCTGTCTGTTATATCAATTCTTGAATTTGTTTCGATCATTATTTGTTTGATGACGGAACCTGAAGGTCCAATAATGTATTTCACAATCTTGGAAGGCTTCAGTATAAAAGATCCATTTGATTCATCTAAATTGTTCTGAAATTCTGTGGTGGATGTCTGTGCTTCCTTGTTGTTGGATGATGCTATTGTTGCAATGTCACTTGTTTCAATAGTAGTGACTCGTGAAGAAGAGTCTCTTGTCTCTGGTTCTTGGTGTTCTGTCGTGGCTTGTGTGACAACAGCTGGCTCAGCCTTTTCCAATTGCTGTTCCTTCACAGCTACTACTGGTTGTTTTTCAATAATTGCTTCTTTCTTGATCAGACTTTGAACAGTTTCAGTCGCTGGTGAAGAAGTCTTTGGAACATTAACTGCTTGTAGTTCAGGTTTCACAACTACTTCCTTTTTTAACGATGATGACTGATCACTAGTTTGTGAGAGTGAATTTGATTTGTTTTTTGCTTCTGATGATAACTCCCCAGTTATCTTTTGCAAAAGGATCGGAATGAGTGATAGAAATACGATCACAACAACATCCAACATTTTTTTAAACAAGTGGTTTTGAACAAGTGACGGTTTCCATTCTTGAACACTTTTGGTACAAAAAGATATCAAAGCTCCGAAAGCTCAGCTCTGCTGTGTAAAATGTTTACGATTCGAACACAAGGTAAATGAACCCATTCATTTACTGGAAGAACCTAAAGTGCTTCCTTCCAGTAATGCCCAACAAGTGGGCAGCTTCTGCTGTTGTCACAACTGGGGATGGAGATGTCAAATTTACTCTGGATTGTGATCTCAGATTATTTGGCCCTTCCATATTAGTGTTTTGTTGTCTAGAAAGTGATGAACGTCGAGAGATTTCTTGTGGAGGTGTTTCCACATGTGCATGATCGTCAATGTCCAAATCACCATGTAAAAGTCTTCGTCGATCACCAAAGTCGTCGCCATGGCTGTCGTCATGACGATCCAAGGAGCCAACACTTGTCACCTTCTTCTTATTGAGGTCATACTTTTTGTATACTTTCCAAGCAAACCAAGAAACTGCAAAGACAGCAAGTGCAATGCCTCCAATAATACTGAAAACCATTGCAATACCTGTTCAAGAATATTAAAAAGATATTATGATATTAAAAAAAATTCACTCACGCCAACATACCTCCAAGCACAACAAGTAAAAGTAAGAATCCAGTCCAAGAACCAGGTGATTCGAAAACAAATACATTCGAAGTCTCATTACAAAACGCCTTTCTTCTAAGAATGTCTGCACAGCTCATATTTGGATTGACTTGTATGCTGAGAACCGTATTTCCAGCCGAGTAAGGATAGCCAGGTATAAAAATATTTTCTGACCATTGGAATTGATTAAAATAAAAGCAAACAGGAGTGAGAGAATAGAGCTTGGTAAAATCTGACGTAGGTATTCCTTCTTTTTCACTTGTATTTGAAACAAAAAATTCTAAAGTTCCAAGAAAAATATATTTCAGAATGCTATCAGAGTCTATATCTGTGACTTGATTCATGACAGTTTGTGTATGATGATCGTTTGAAGCCAGCAAGGCTGGTGACGGAGATTTCTTTTTATCTTCTCTTTGGCGAATGACATCTTGTAAAGAAAAAATGTCAGTAAGTAAAATCTTTCCAAATCTCCATTCAGTATGATGATGATGGTGTTCTGCCAAATGACCACTTGGGTATAATAAATAATCAATCACAAGACTTGATCGATTGATCACGTTCAATGAGGCAAAGCTCGAAATTTGAAGATTGGAACTTTCAATACCAGAAGATATTTGTTGTGGAATAGGACAATTTCCAAAATGCCAATGTGCTGTTGATTTTCTCTTACTATTTTGGATGTATAATCGTTGGAAGTAGTGTCCATAAGTTAAATTCAGTCCCGAAAAGTCACCAATTCTCTCTCCATCTTCCCAAGCGTCATTCTCTTGCTGTGATGTGACCGTTGTTGTGCCCGCATCATTTGATGTTGGCGATATTGAGAAAAGAGGACGATGGATGTGTTGTTGAATCAATGATGATAAGATATTCGAATTGGAAGAAAATTTCAGAGAAAGCGGAGAATGAAAAGAGAAGGCATACTGCAGTGACAGGAAGGATATTATTGCAAATAATCCTAGTAATAGAAGAAACGAGATAGTAATTGTGATGCATAATGAAGAGTTGAAAAGTGATTTTCTTTGTTGTTGCGGAGGTGATAAAGATTGTGGTGGTTGTCTTGTTGGAAGGCGGAAATCTTGAGAACAACTATCCACAGGATGATTAAAATTTAGGATGGTATTTTCTTGTTCGTTTTCATCATTGAAGAAAGGAGAACTCTTGTGATGAATCGATGTCATCGGTAATTTCATCGTCGTTTTGTTTTTCATGATGATTATTAATGTTCCGCCATCATCATCATCTAGTTTCATCTTGTATTATTCCAAATTAACTACACAATAAATTACAGTTTCTATAACAATGATAATAATACAAATATCCTCTCTTCGTTTTAAAGATGATGATGATGCCGATGGTGTGTGTTGGTTGATAGGCCTCGAGGCTTTCCGTGAACTTGCGCTTGTGATTTTTTTCAAGTTCAAAAAATCTTTTTACTAACATGGCTCTCTCATAAAGATCCCATTCCAAATCTAATCAAACAACATGCAAAACGAATGTACTCAAACGCGTATGAGAAGCTCTCTTCTTTTTGAAACTGCCTATCAAGCAACAAAAAATTCAAGGAACGAATGGCATTGTAACGGTTTTTAAAACTCAAAAAAAATGCCTCGAAAAAAGTCTGTAACCGCCACTTCCGATCCCATGCAAGTGGACAGTGGTAGTACCGCATCAGCGATAGGTGCCGTTTCCGAAGGACTGACTTTGTTGGAGAGTGCTCGGAGAGGAGATGTAGCGCTTGTTAAAAAATTGATTGAATCTGGTTTGGATGTAAACTTGCCCGATGACAGATTTGTATATGTAGGTTTGTCATTTGGTTGATGATGATGGTTCATCATGTCGTGAATCCGAAATGAAACAAAAAATTTTGGGGAAAATTACAACATGAAATTTCGAATTTTAATTTGAATTATTTGAAATGTCAACAAACAATTCGGTTCATCTATCATTATTGAATTTTGTGATGTTTCGAAAATTGTGTAATGCCAAATACCACACTTCAAAATCAAATATCATAATAATTATATTAGTATGGAATGACACCATTGATGTGGGCTTGCGATAGTGGACATGTACCTGTGGTAAACTATTTACTAAGTGTTCCTGGGATTAATATCAATCAGGTCGATGGTATTGTAAGTTTCCATATTTTTCACATAAATTGATCTTTATATCATCATACACAAAATCAATAGACGGGAAGAACAGCTCTTCACTATGCTGCAATTAGAAATTATAAAGAAATTTGTGACATTTTAATTAAGGCCAACATCGACACATCAATTAAGACTGTACTGAACCACACTGCAGAAGATATGGCCTATCTCAGAGGTCAACATGAATCTCTTGAAGTTCTCAAATGATCAATTTTCATCAAGCAGCACTCATCATAGTTCTAATTATTGAAATACATTTATTTGAAATTTTATAATCATTTCTCCACTACATTCGAATCTTCTGCTGTTTCCTCTTCCTCTTCTTCGATGGGCTCGATTCTGCATTTGCATGAAGGACAAATCAGCCCTTCCACAACATTTCCTTCATAATCTTTGATGTGCTGAGTTTTGTGACAGTTCGGACATTCATAGCTTACAAGATCTCCAACGACGGAATGTTCTATTGAGTCCACGGACTTTACGAATACATCTCTCACGAAATCTTTCAGTGTAAGGTCAGACATTTTTTTGTGTGTGTTGTAAAATTGCAGTCACTCTTTGGGGTTCAAAAAAAACAAGTTTCCAAAAATGTACATAATTGATTTATTTCTCAATTTGAAGAAAGAATTGTTTCATGCAGAGCACCCACCTCTACCTCTTCTCATCAGGCAGCACTACCTCGATCTTGTCTTTCACCGCATGTTCTGCAGTTTCCAAAAGCTCATTCAACGTATGTGGTGGTGGTGGGAGACTACTTTCATCGGATTGATTGGAATCTTGATCGGAGTTGTTGCTTTCAGTGCTACGATGCACGTGATGAAGTTGCAGCACATGTTCATAAGGTTTTGAAGGAGAGGGTAAATGTGATGGTGACGAGGTCGACTCTTCATGAGGAGTAGTCGTCGTAGGATGGTGTAGTAGGGTGGTGGTTGTCCCAGAACCACCATGAAATGCGGTCGTGTTGGTGGCTGCATTTAGAGCCTCATTCGGATGAGGGAGAGACATTTTTTCAGAGCTTTTTATGGAAACCATTTTCGGAGCATTGGATTCTTGTGCAACAAAGAAGATCACACAATGGCTTTGCATTTGGATAGGGCTGAACCTTTATTTTGAAAGATTCGTTTGAAGAATTGACCCCAATTTCTTCACGATTGTCGAGACTCTCACTAAAATATTAAAATAAATATTATTATTAAAATAAAAAAATTCAGGGATGGGTTTATTCGATGATAAACGTTGTTCGATGGTTTTATGTACATTATTTACAAGCCGAACGTAAGATACGTAGTGACTTCCTAGCAGGCACCCCGGAAGTAAAGGTGTTTAAACTGCTCACGATAACAGCAGCAACCCCTGGGATTCGAACGCTGGACCAGTTGGCTGCCAGTTCCAGAAAAACCACTCGGCCATATGCGGGCAGCATTATTAAAATAAAAAAATGAGTATGTGGTGGTTTGCCAGTTTCTATCTGGCTGTTTCTTCCTTGGTTGCTCTTGTGTTGTTGTTTGTTCCGATCCCAACTTTTGCCCGAACAAAAATCATGCGAGTATTGGACAAAGCAAAAGTTGGATTATTTGCTCTTGTTGTGTTATTTATTGTATTGGCTGTGATGGAATTTAGAATAATGTCGGCCCAACACACATTAGCGCAAGATTTAAAGTTGGGTGTAAAACAAAAGTTTTTACATCAAGTGAAAGAATTTAGAGCCCAAAGAAACTTTTACATGTGTAGTAGTGGTGCTGTCTTGTCATTGATTTTAGTTGGTCTTAATACCATGCATAAGAAAATTCATGATTTACAAGATAAACTAGAGTTGAGCACCAAGACAAAATAAATCCAGTGTGTGCGTGACATGATCTTTCATGAATGCAGTACAATTTAAAATTACATAATATTCTTTTAAATATCAGTGGCTTGATGACGACATGGCTTAATTGTTAAGCCGACGTGTCACGCTTCTATATTTGGCGTGAATTTCGATTAATTAAAATCCCTGACAGCTAAATACATGATCATGTTATCCTCTAAATTATTCGACAGCTCCTCTTTTGTGAAATTAAATAATTTACAAATGGCTTGTGAATCTACATGACTCTTCAAATATTCATCGATCTCCTTTGAATCTGAAATTATTTTCAAGTTCTTCTTGTCGTCTTCATTGGTGATAAAATTCGAAATTAAATAGTCTTCAAGGTTTGGATTTTCATTTTCTTTACAGGCCACGCATAACACTGCCTTCTCTGAGGAATGATCGTTTGCTCCAAAATTTTTGAAGGCTTGACCAATGTTTCGCTTGGGATTTAATTTGTACAACAGTTCCGTATGAATATTCTGAGTCTTCCATCCTCCTACGGAACTCGTTTGGACATTACTGTTGTTGATATTGCCGCTACCAGTAGCGATGCTTTCGGAGGAGGAGGTGGTTGAATCTGTTTCAACTTCTTTGGAGTCATTCTTTGCTAATACGACATGATGAAGCGTGGTTTGCAACACGAAAAGACTCGGCATCATTTTAGGATTGATGCATGCAGCGACACAGGTTGGCTTTTGAGCATGAACGAGTTTTTGGATGAAGGAACAATTTTGTAGCAATAAGACTTGCACTTGAATAGATGATGATGACGAAGAAGGAATCGAAAAAATCATTTTTTTGTGATGCGTCAAAGGTTGACATTGAATACGATCAATCGAGTTGAAATTTCAAATGATTTGTTCATTCATCAATAAATTATTAATTTCTCCATTTTGGCATGTAAGGACTTGGTCTCTTTGATGCATCTCCAAGGTATCCACTCAAGTTAGGCAAACTTTCCACATGCTTCATCAACTTGTTCAATGCAGGATACTTTTGAGCAAAATCATCTCCAAACAAGAAGAATTGTTCATACAATGCATCATACAAGACAATATCAGCCCAACTCAATGCATTACCGACCAAGAAACCATTCTTTGATTTTTTCCAAAAAGGATTCAAACTTGCCCAAGAAGAAGAGCATTCTTCCTTCCTTCCATGTTTTCATATCATTGTCTTTTGATTCTTCGGTCGTGTTTCTATGCAAACGATAGGCTTCAGAACGGAATTCATCTACTCCGAGCACATATTGCAAAGCAATGGCATCTAACAAGGCTCCTTGTTCGGATGAGTTTTCAGCTTGTTGAGATGGTAGAAGTTTTCCAAGCTCTGCCAAATATTGGCAAATGGCAATGGACTGAGCGAGTAAAGTATTGGAGGAAACAATTTCGAGCAATGGGACTTGTCCGAATGGAGCTTGCTTTTTCAACTCACTCTCGGCAAAGCTTGAAACGAATTTGCGTTCAAAGTTTGGAATTTGACCTTGGAGAGCGATCAAATAGGCAGCTTCTGCTCTCTATATATTTATTATTTTTTTATAATTACGATAAATAAATTTGTATTATTACACAAGCAATTTATAGAATGATTGTCTTCAATCTCTACACAACAACAAGATGTGAGTCGATGGGATACTTACTGCTTGGATATTGAAATAATGGAGGATGTATTGAGACATTTTTTTGTCGTCTAGCCCAACGATGCGCAAGGACAAAAGTTTTGTCCAACACCAGAAGCGAAAATGGTTGTTTGAACGACCTTTGTGTTACTCATGGTTCAGCACCAGACTACTTACTACTTTTTATTAAGCAATGAGAGAGATGACAGCAATGCCAAGCCAGACTTTCTCTCTTCCATTTTGAACTGTCGAACAAGAGAAAACTTTTCTTTGAGCTGCATCTTGAGTTGGGTCAACTTGCGACATGCAAGATATCTTCTTGCTAACGCTTGAACAAGTAAAATTTTTGATTGATCCTCTTTGAAATGTCTCATTTCTTGATTTCTTTGTTGAATTCCTCTCAGATATGCCTGCAATATGATTATGTTGTCTTTTTGCCGACTAACATCTGTTGCATGCTGTGTTCGAGTGATGAATGAGCGAGCAATAGCTTGCAACATGTGAATTCTGTTCGTTTCTGAAGCGATATCGCGTTGGCAAACGAGCTGTCTGCAATGAGCTTGAATGAATAAAAAGTTGTCTTGCAGTTTGTGCAAATGACGGCGAACCATATGACCTCTCACCACAGATTCTATCAGAGTCGCTCGATGCAGTAGTGAGAAATTGTTCTTTCGTTCATGAGAACTAATCATTGCTGATTGAATGATGGTTAAACGCTCGATGATCTCTCGGTTTTTCTTGCGAATGTTAATTCCTCGAAACAGTGCTTGAACAACTGGAACTGAGACAAGTTGAGCTTGATAATTCTTTCTTTCCTGTAATTGCCGAATTTTTGCTTGTAGTAAGTGACAAGAATACTTAATGGTCTCAAATTTGCTTTGAATTGTTTTTCGATGCATGAGGGCGTTCACACATTCAGAAATGGTTGTTTCCTTTGAAAGATTCGTTTTGAATTCTGTTCTGACCATGAAGCCTCTCATGCTTGCCTGAATGGCTGTAGCAACATCGTTTTTCTTTTTGATATGAAGAGTGTCCTTTGTTACGACAAGTTGCTTTCGACACAAGTATATTCTCGACATGCACTGCAACTTGGATAACATTTGTAATTGACACCTTTTTTCTTTTGATGCCACAAAAGTTCGCACCATGGACTGAATGGTCACAACTTGTTCTTTCATGACCTCATATTTCTTTCGGTCAAGATGTCCGAGGCAAATAGCTTCAATCTTCGATATCTGTCTCAATAATGATTGAAATTCCAACACAGTTAATCGTTTTCTTAAAAACGCCTGAATGACTATCACTTTGTCTAAAGAACTGGTCTTGTATTTTCGTTCCGCAACAGCCTTTAACAGAACTGAGAGCGTTTGTGCCCTAGCTCTTTCTGTGTTAAAATCTTTGCTACATTGATAAGATCTCATTACAGATTGTAACTCTTTGCAGCTGCGTAATTTGAGTTTGGTGTCCTCTCTCAATTGATGGCTCGTTATTCTGGACTGTAAGAATGTCACAGCTCGTTTATGAACTGCTAGCATCTTTCGCTCGACCTTTCCTTTAAATAATGCATGAACAAGTAAGCTCATTGAAAGCATTTGGCGTGTGGCATGACCACGCATAGATGCTTGAATCAGCATCATAGAATGATTAGCGTTATTAGTTTCACACCGGGTTTGTGCTGATCTAAACAGAGCTTGAATAGAATGAATGCTTGTGAAGGAGTCTTGTAGAGATTTTTGGAGAATGAATCGGCGAGAAAGCGCTTGGATTGTAATGATATCCCTGAGGTTAGAATTTTTTTGTAAAATTGCGCTTTGCTTCTTTAAAACAGCTTGTATCAAAACAACGCTGCTAAGGTCCTTCTCTTTTCTTATCCTTGCTATTTTCTGTTGTGACCATGAGTGTAATTTGTCTACCAAGTTCATATGTGTTTCATATTTTCCTGCACACTGCATCCTTCTTATTATTGCTTGTAAAGTGTGTACTCGTTCCAATTCTTTCTTGAATTGGTGAAAACACAGTTTTGCCCGTGCTACAACGGGTAATTTTGAAATTTGGTCAAACATCTGAGCATGTCTATTTCGTTCCAAAACCGCTACAGATATTGCCGAAAGTATTTGAACTGCTTGAATGGTATTCTCCATAAAAGCTAATGTCAAGTTACTCCTGAACAAAGCTTGAATAAGCTCAGTACGGTGCAAATCTTTTTTCAAATTATTTCTTGCAATACAGCCATCAATGAACGCCTTCATAATAGCAAATTTGTTTTGCCTCTTTTTTTCTAAACATCGTCGCAATAAGGCTTGTAATAATGTGACACGTTCCAATGAATTGAGTGTTGCTATAGCAAGGTGTGATCGGGCTACAGATTGTATCGTCATAATATTGCGTTTGGATTCTTCGAATTTTCGATTGCACCGAATAGAACGTGCTATAGCCGAAAGAGCGTTTGATAAGCGTAACTTGGATTCAATTTTTTGCCTTTCTCTATGGCCTCTAATGACACATTGAATGACGACAGTATTTTCTTGATCGGCATGGAGTTTCTTTCGTTCTATCGAGGATTTTAGAAATGCCTGCAATGAATATATTCTTTGACATTGGTTTTTGAAGTCTTTTCTTTGAAGACAACATCTCATAAAGCTTTGAATAGCCATGGTAGTCGAGTGCAAGCTGTTAAATTCTTGTCGTGCCAAAAAAGACTTGGCACATGATTGTATTGTTCGAGAGTCGTCCATGCAACGCATAAATGTCTTTCTGCATACAAATCCCTTCAGTAGTGCTTGTAGCATCTCAATAGTTTTAAAAACTCTCATCGAGTGAGATCTTACAATGAAGCCTCTTTGCAGAGCTTGCAATGTTCGAACACTATTTTCTTTGCCGAGTGAAAGTTTGGCAAGTCTAGTTCTGATTAGAGACTGTATTACTTTCACTCTTAAAACATCTTTGTGTTGTTCGTAGGTCGCCAACTTTCTTTGAAAGAACGCTTGTACAGAAAGAATGCTTTCTTTGCATTGTGACAAATATTTTTGTTGATATTTTCTTCTAACAAAGGTTTGCACTTGTGTAATGGCATACACTGCATTATCTTTGATTTTTTTCACATTTCGACTTTTAAAAACGTTCTGCAACTGAGCCAAATGTTCGAAACCAATGAAATGATGCTTTCTTTGAACGGATCCCTTAAAAAATGCTTGCAAATAAATCAACTGCGATATGGTATTGGCAATATTTGTTTTCTTCCTATCAAGTGTTGCTCGTGCCAATGCTTGTAAAATATGAATCGCAGAATGATCTTTCAAATAATGTATCCTTTGTTGGTACGCTTGTAGAGTGCTATTAATAATCGAAAGTGACTCTTTGGTTTCAATAAAACATTGTCTTTGCAACAATCCTCTACACAATGCTTGCAACAAGAGAATACGATCATGTTCTTGCTCACAAGTTGTTCTGTCAATTTTCGCACGGGCAGTTGCTTGCAAAAGACAAACATCATTGTCAACAAATTTCCGAAATGCTTTTCGCTGTTCAAATCCTCTTATTGATGCTTGCACGCATAGAATTTCATGATGATAATGTCTTAGAGTATTAACTTGCTTCTTCTTTCGAGCAGCAGATTGAACGGTAAGTACACTATTCATTTGTTGTTTGAGTTGTGTTCTTGCATTGAAACCTCGAATGACTTGATGAATATTTTTGGCTCTGGAAATTTTTTCTTCAGTTTCCTTTCTTGTGGTTTTGCCTAAAATTATGGCTTGCAACGTTGAGATCTTGTTCTGGAAGTTATTACGATTTTGTTTGGCAATAAAGTTTCGACAGAGTGCTTGAAGAACCTCCACTCGTCTTTTTTCAACTGACAAGTTGGATAGAATTCGTTCTCGTTGGAGCACTTGCTGTATCTTTTGGATGGCACTAAACACTCGATAATGACTTTGCCGAGTGAAAGACCCACAAAAGGCCGCACCTATTAGTGAGGAACTTTGTTGAGCATCTTTCATTTTCTTTTGGCTCAAATAGGTTCGAATAGTGGCTTCAACAATATGCACTTGATGAATGTTGTACAATAAGTCCCGTTGCTGAATGTAGGATCTTGCCTTAGCTTGTGTGATTTCAATTTGTTTCAATTCTATTTGAGCCTGTCTCCTACTTAGGAATCCTTTCGCGATCGAGGAAAGTAATGTTGATTTCTTCAATGTTGCATGGTATTGTCTTGCCAAGTAAGATTTACCTTTGGATTGAATGACTTGCAATAATTTCAACTGCTCATACATAGACTTGGTTGCCAAGTGTCTGCTAATGACTGCCTGCAAAATACGTAATTGTTTTTGTTTCCTTTCAAACTCTTGATGTGTAGTCTTTGACTGAATAGTTGATTGTAAAACCTGCACTGAATTTGTGACATGACAAAGCTGATCTCTGATGCAAGACCCTTTGAAGAAGGCCTGTAAAAGGTGGACGAGCTTAGTGGCACGTTTAAATTTGACACATGAATGAGCACCCATTAAAAAACTTTGAATATACTGCGTTGAATCAGCAACGCTTCTCAGTTGATTTTGCAAAATAGTTCCTCTAATTCTTGCCTGAAGTGTACGAATAGAATTTGCATTGTTAGAATAGTGTTTACGCACAATAGCTCCTCTAGATATGCAGGCGATGGTTGTTGATTGTTGAAGATGGTTCACATATGCTCGTTTGATAACAAATCCTCGAATAACGGCTTGTAATGTTTGAACTCGTTGAATATTTGCTCGTTTTTCATTTTGTGTGAAATATTGCTGTGCTAACAGTTGTAGTTTCACAATGCATGATTTTTGCCTTTCCAATCTAGTGACTATGGTTCTACTTTTAAGTTTTGCCTGCAATATCAATATGGCGTTTGCATGAGAAGAATATTCATGTCTTTGGAAAAGGCCTCTATGTACCGCCTGCAATTGAGATGCAGCTTTCTTCGTGAGAGTAAGGTTTCTTTCAGTAATGGCTTTTTTGAAAACAGCCTGCACGGTCAGGAGCTGGCTCTTTTCAATGATGAGAGTATTTCTCTGAATTGCTCCGGAAAATAATGCCCGTAAGACCGTACTTTTTTCGAACAAATCTGATGTATCACTTTGAGCATTGTGAGATCTCACTATGGCTTGAATTTTTACAACTGATCCTATAAAATTGCTCTTCAATGAATTGGTGTGGTTTCTTGCTGTAATTCCTCGCACAATAGCTTGAATTTTCTGAATTCTATGAACACATGATACATAATTGCCAGTAGCAATACTTCTTAGAGCCATACGTTGCATTGCTTTCACATTATTTACGTTTTTCATGAAGATTGATGTGGTGCGTTTTGCATTGATAAGGGCTTGCAGTTTTCGGATTTTTTCGAGACTCACGAAAAACTCATTTCTATTGCTGATGCCTCTCCAAAGAGACTGAAAAATAGTAATGTTGTCAATCATGTTTTCGGCACTTCTTCGAGACAGTATTTTTCTGGAGCATGCTTGCAAAGAAGTAATCAATTGTTTGGATTGGACAAGCTGCTGACGTTTTTTGGCCTGTCGTGCCAAACTTTGTAAAGTAGTTATTCTGTTCAAATGCTCGGTAAATGATGTCAATATGAGATGGCCACGAATTTTTGCTTGCATTGTAGCAATGGCGGATTTTTGAAGAGCTATATTCTTTCTGCATTTGGTTCCTTGAGTGACTGCGCTGACATTGCTAGAAAGAGCATGCAATGATTTCAGCCTTGTTCTTGCCTTAAATGCTTCGTGTAAGGTACAAAGTGTTCGTGCTGCGTTAGTCTTTATGACTTCAGTTGCGAACAATGAGCACACCCTTATTAACTCGATCTCATCGATTATTCTAGTGTCTTCCATTATTTCATCTTCTTCACCAAAGTACGGTCTCATTCGAGGTATTTCACAGTTTTCTGGATAGCAATCATAGTTAAACCTAATAACTGCTTCCATAAACTCCACAACATACATTGGAATGCATTTAAACTGCAAAGGAAAAAATCTAATTTGATCAATATAGTGAAATAATTGAATTTGTATCCATATCAAGATCAGTGGTGCTACAGACTTATTCTCTGCTGCGTTGGCTGTTTTTCTCAAATCTACTGAGCTTGAATAAAAATGTTCATTCATTTTGGTTAAGGCTGATTTCAGACGATCTGAATCATAGTGATGCAATAGCGTCTCTTTAAACAATGAAGAGAGTGGATGATCATCTGAGATATGCATTAATGACTTGTAGTTTTCTGCAAACTTCTCTGCTTCGTCTACACTTATTTTTTCTGTAATGAATTCAATGATTCCTCTCACTGCCTCGCCCCGAGCGTCCAACAGTTCAATTTCTCTCCTCAAAATTTTTGGTGTAATATTTGACACAGACAAGCCAAATTCAATTTCTTTTTCGGCTGTGACAAGCATGGCATCTGAATCGGAAGAGTCTTCTCTTGTCACTCTGGTCAATTTTGGTTCCTCGTAAGTCCATATTTGTGACATTTCATCAACAGAAGAAATTTTTGCCATGTCTTGGCTTGAAATGGGAGTAGCAGGAGTTTTCTCCTTCTTTTTTGTGAAAATGTTGAAAAATCCTTTCAGTCTTGATTTTTTCTTTTCTAAAACTTCTGAGCTAGCAATTGCAACTTGAGAATTGCTCGTTATATCCGATGTATCAGATGAAGAAGATATTTCTAATTTCTTCGGACGGTTTACCATAGGAACAGAAGCATTTGAGTAAATGCTGTGGCATGTAGAGATGTTGTCAAAAGTGTCTTCGCTTTCTTCAAATTTTGTAGATTTTCCAGATCGCCCTTCCATAATGCTGAGGCGAAAAGAACCAGAAATATTCATAGCAGGTGTTCGTTTGAGAGGTATATTTGGGGATTTTTCAGAGGAGTTGGGAGATGATCGTTGTTTTTTTTCCACATCACCTATTGTCTGTATTGTATAGGTACTTGAATTTGAAATTAGAGAGTTAGTGTTCATCATTTGGGAGGTCAATGCCCCTTCAGGACTCGTAGGTGTTTTAGAGCTTCTACTTTTTTTTCTTCTCAATTTTGTGATCATGATGGGAATTTTGTCGAATAAAGATTTTGTCCTACGTTTTTTTGGTTGTTGTTGCTGTTCTACCATCTTTCCTAAATTTAGTTTTGGTACGATAATGGCATTGTGATTTGTTGAAATTTCAGACATGTTCAAATCTTCCAAATCCGAATCATTTTCTTCACCATGCATATCATTTTCTGTCACATCGTCAAAAGAAATGGGATAGGATCTTTGGTTATGATTTCCATTATTAGAAGTTGTTGGCGTAGTTGAGGCAGTTCCATTTGGTCTTGCTCGTGGAGACGAATTTCCTCCAGTTGCAATTCCTCTGGGTGAATAAGGCATTCCATTATTATTGAAAACTCCTCTTGGTGACAATAAATTTCCTCCTCTTGGAGTCAGTAATAGTGTTGAATGTGACCGGTTTGTACGACCACCACTTTTAGAAGAAGATGTCGATCCCAATGAGCTCTTGTTGGAATTAGTTTTTCGAGAAAGTTTTGCACTTCTTTCGTCGTGACGAGGTGAAATGGGTGTTGACTTGGAAATGATAATTGCCACAGGTTCTTGTTGGATACTGTTGGAATTATTTGCCCATAGTTGTGATGAGTATGATGGAGAAGAGGATGAAATTATGGGTGATGCATCCAATGGGAGAATGTTCTTATTCACGTAAATAATTCTTGATGATCCATCTTTAGAAGATGCATCGGAAGTAATGGTATTGTTGTTCATGCTGATCGTATTGGATATTGAGATACCATAGTTGCTGGCTGTAGCCTCTGCTCTGTCTTGGGTTTGACCTCTTTTTGGACTTGATGCCATCCATGAGTATCTTGTTGGATCATTGTTTTGTGGAAGAGGACTGACTGAATGTGCATTGCTGCTGAGGGATGTAGGTCTTGGTGGTAGATTGAGAAGTGGGATGATGTTGTTTCTCTTGGTTGCAGAGGGTTGTTTTGGAATGTTGTTCGGAGAAGAGGAGATGTGGTGTAAAGTTCTTTGTACATTTGGAGATGATGAAAAACTAGCAATAAGAGAGGAGGCTGAATGTACATGAGGAGAATTGTCATCATCGTTGTTGTGGGTTATACTATTCGTCGTGGGCACAGCGATGGGTATTGGTGTGGAAGAGGAAGGAAAAGGAGAAGAGGTTGCTATTGATCCAACAAGACCACCATCATTCTCGGATAATGATGGGGATGCATGTTGGTTGTTGTTGTTGGTGGTGGGTGGTGATATTGGGATGGGAGAGGAAGAAGGATGTTTCTCGCTCAACAATGAGGATGATGATGGTTTGAGATGACTTTGCCTACTACAATTATTACTGCTATGTCTGCTCAGTCCCAAAGTTTGGCTTCTCTTTCGAGCATCCTTGAGGTTGTTGTTGATATCTATACCGGAACCATTATTATTGATACTACTACTACTTTTCATACAAGCAGCATCATCATGACCTGCCATCAAAGTAGTAGAAGGTTCTTCATTCTCCGATGAAGTATTGTTGTTGTTGCTTGTTTGCTGTTGGAGGAAGAGAGGAGAAGATTGGACATGACGTAAAAGTGGTGGTGCTTCAGCTCCAGAGGAATTGATTTTTTCGGGATTGATGTTATTCCCCATATGTGTTTCTAATGGTGATGATGTGTTGTTTCAACAGCATATTATGAATGGAAAGTGTATAAACTTGTGTGTTTATACGATTGCGAAAGTGCAGTATGTTCCTTCTTGGAGATTACGCACTTGAAATTGATAGTTGAGCCTATTTTTTCTGTCTGACATTAATTTGGCATTTGACGAGCAATTTTGAGTGCTGTCAGAAATGCTTGAGCTTTGTCGAGGGACACTTATGGTTCATCGAATGAAGAGCATCAATTACGTTCAAAAAGAATTCATGATAAATTTATCGATTCCTTGAATTCAAAAAGGATTGAAAAAAAATCACACTCAATTACACAAAAACGAGACAAAGGGTCGACTGAGAAGGAAATGCCTCACCAATGCTCTTCGATTCGTCCAAAATTTTCTGTTGATTCCAAAGGAGAACGAGCTTTCTATTTTCATTCATTTCTGTCATGTTCACTCTCATTCGTTTTTCCACAAACTTTTTAAATTCAGCCACTGTGGACTCAAAAGTAATGGCTTCACTGTCCACAATGATCGTTCTGCCACCTTCCATCATGAGCTTGACAAAGTATTGAGGTTTTTTGGTGAGAAGGAAAGTATGAGAGTTGGACAATGTTTCGGATGTGGGTACAACACAACAAGTAGAGTCTTTGAGCTCTTTTCCATTACTAATCAAGATTACATCTTCAACAAACTTGAGAGGATAGTTTGGGTTACCGAATAATCCTTCCATATATTCCTGGTTGTTTAAAAGCTGTTTTTTCAATTCTGCAATACTACTACAATTGCAAAAAGGCATCTTAATGCTCTTGCTGTTAATAATATTGGTAATGATCATCGTTGTTGGTGTTGTTGAGTGTGTTGTTGTTGCCTTCTCTGTTAATACCACATCTGTTGTTGTCTTGTTGTTGATACTACTGATGTTGACCAGAGAAGACTGCTTCATCATTTTCAAGCGAACATTGGAAAAGTCTTCTGCAAAACATGAAAGGAACAAGACATCATCATCTCTGATCTGTTCAAAGTTTGTAAATTCTGTGCCGTGTTTTGAAAATAGACGTAATTTAGAAAGTATAGTTTCATCGGATTGTGATGATCCATGATGATTCATGTACAACACTGGGCACAACAATGTTACAATGCTTTTCTTCAGTTTTTCAAAATTATCGGGATCATCACGCATGAAATCAAACAGGATAATCTTTCCTTCTCTACGTTCCCAGTCTCCATTCATGAAGCAGTGAAGTCGAAAGCAAAGATGGTTCTGCTGTGTTTCTTGGGTGAGAGGTTCTGTTGGAAAATGCATTTTGTTTTGTACAAAATAAAAATAGAAATAAATTGTTGTAACTTACAATCTGGTTAAGGAACAAGATTATTTTGCAAAGTATCGATCCTGTGATACACGACAAACTGTCACAGTATGCACAAAATCGTAAGAAGTTCTTTGTTTTTCACATGTTATTCCAATAAGCTACGTGCGTTATTACTTCACAAAGAACGCCCCTTAAAACCTCTTGAACCAAGACCAAACAGAAACAAACCACAAAAAATGTCTTCAAAAGTTCTCATCCTGGCAGCAAATGGATATATTGGACTAGGTGTAGCACAGGCTTTCAGTCGAAACGGATTCAAGATTTATGGTTCGGTTCGTTCTGACAAACATGTCACAATATTGCAACAAAACGAAATCATCCCAATTATTGCACAAAACTTTTCCGATCTCGTTCAACATCATCATCAATTATTGTTGGGTGTGAGTGTGTTGGTCGATGCGATTGGTTTAACTGATCAAACTCAACAAATTTACGAGCAAGTGTTGGAAATTGCCAAGGAAAGACAGAGTAAGCAATATCCCAAGTTGTTGAAAACTTTCACCTCAGGAATCATGACTCTTGGAAATGCAAGTCAAACAAGCGTCGATGAAAGTACTCGACCACAACCCACTCATGAATGGACTGAACAAAGAAGATTGTTTGAATGGAGACTTCTCAATGAAGAGCAAAAATCTTTGGACACGACTGTGATTCGACCTGGATTTGTGTGTGGTAAGAATGGAGGAACAATTTTGAAGGATTATTTCACTTCACACAAAAATCGAAATGACGGAAAGTTGGTGTTAATTGGAAGTCCTGAAAAAAGATGGTCCTGGGTTCATGTCGATGATTTAGGAGAAGGATATGTAAGAGCAGAAGCGCAAAGATCAAGCATCACACGTGAGTTATTCAACTTTGCAGCCCCAAATGACAATTCAACATACAAAGAAGTGGATGAAAATGGCGATAATTGCTGGCTGGAATGGTGATGAGTCCGAAATAGTGGTGGAGAATGTTCCACAAAATGATGCTGGTCTTGTTGTTTTTGAAAACACTGTCATTATTGATCCAAGAAAAGCTGTGCAAGTATTGCGGTGGAAGCCAAAGCATTTGAGTTTTTTGGATAACATGGAGGTCTATTATCATTCATGGAGGGCGCTTCAATAATGTTATTGTCTAATATTTGTCAAAACAAGCTTCCAAAGTAAACAATTGGATTTCAAAATATTAAAAACATCGTGATTGAAAAATATTTTTGGTGTTCTTCTATTATGGGGTAAGCTATGCAGTCTGCAATTGAAAATAGAAGATCACTAAAAATATTGTTCAATTTCACACACTTCAACACCATCAGAATGGAATTTTTCATCCCATCTCGAAAACAAAACAACCAACTATTGTTGCCTTGAAATGATCAATCAAAACAAACTTGTCACATCTTTTCGTTCCTTGTCACACTATAACAAGAGATGTTTTTCAACTCTCCAAAGCAAGTTGAATGCGACTGAACCTCCAAGAAATTATGATCCACTCTATCCACATGAACCAATTGTGACCACTTTGGGAGAGCCCTCAAAAGTGGATTTAAATAAAGATATGCCAAAGGGCCCAAACGTTAAGGAGCAAATGAAATCTCCAGGCTTCAAAATGTCCTCGCCAACAGGAGGAGGAATAAACAAACCACAAGAGAACAGAGATCCAGTCGAAACATCAAATGCAAAAGGAGGAACAACCTCACGACCAACCACAACCTCACAAAGTAGATTTGACCCAAACAAGCAAGAGAGTGCTACCATCTCTACCACCGGAAGAAAACAGCAAAATCTAGCAGACGAAGAATTCCAGAGTGGCTTTTCGGAAGGATTGAAAAATCAATATGCTGACATCATGGGTAAGAATTTGGATCAGGATATTCCCATTGAGAAAAACTTGGACCAGAAGGTGGGAGAAATGGCATCACCGGATACCACCTCATTCCGAACCATGAATGATGAAAGCAGGGACACCACCAAGAAGAGAAAAGAAGGATCCCTGAAAAAGGAGGATACTACTAACTACCAAGGATCCAAAATGAATTTGGATACCAGTTCCGATTCAGCAAACAAAATGGCGAATGAAGGCTACCACCAAGTAAAAACTGCCTCACAACAAGGCTCTCCTACCAAAGACATCCGAAACGACAACAGAACAGAAAGGGCAGTATCTGATTAGTGCATTTTTTTTGAGATAAACAATAATTAATAATAATTATTATTTCAATACAATACTATTATTTGGAAAACGTATGTATATCATTTAATCCATTTAAAGTCCATGAAACAAGCAATTTCCTTCTTTTTTCGATTACACTTAAAGAAACAACATTTCAATTCTCATGAGTTGAAAACTCCCAAAGGAACCGTTCAGATGTCAGCCTTCGGTTGGTATCGCTCGTTCAAAATCTTTCAAAAAAACAAATGCATCAACAACCGCATGACTCTCACAGCCTCCTCCATTCTGTGATGAGTGAGAGTCAAGAAATTGAGTTGAAGGATCATCATTACGGAGAGGTTGTTGCTGATGCCATAACAGAAATCAAGAACCTCCAACTTTCCGAAATGATGGTTGTGAAGGAGAGGATGAACCAACAACATGAGAGCTCTGATTCGGAGAATAACAACAACAGAACTGAGAGTCAAAAAACAACAACAACGATGGTTCGTCGTGATGACGTCGTCAACACAGAGAGAGAAATCGATAACAATTACCACAAGGAGGAGGATTTTATCAAGGATGCGTCAACGTCTCATGACGAAATAGAGATGAAACATCGACACTCCGTTCCAATTCAATTGAATTCAATTGAAACAGAGCAGCTGATTCATGGTGATGAGGGAATGGGTGAAGCAAATGACTTGGCACCCAATTCAATGCCTACCCTGGAGTCTCGAGAGACAACAGCAATGAATGAAGTATCCAGTTCATCAAGTTCTAAACAAGCATTATCACCACCATCAATATCGATTTCCTCAACGACAATGAATGACAACAACAACATTGTTGGTAAAACATTTCCAACAGAAGAATCGCTTCATTTCATACCTACAGAAGAGGAATCTCTTGAGGATGACCAAGTGATTAAGCCAAGTGACAAAATATTAATCGAGAATGCAAAGGAAAGAGTTCCTGACACCACTTTTTCCTTTGCATGGTTCTCAAACATCGCTCAAGATTTCAAACATGGATTCCGTTCCATTCGAGAACGAACAATGAATCGAATATTGTGCCGACCTTCACATGAGGGAGATTTCAGTGACGATGAGGAAGAGGATCAAAAAGGTGGAGTCAAGCCATCATCAGTTGCTTCTCCAAACAATCCCATCACTAACCCTTGTAACATAGAATTGAATCCCTCCATCCCAAATAATACGAAAGAACAAGACAAAGAAGAGGCTGATGAGAATCCAGAAATTCACACGGTGAGAAAATTTGAAACTATTTACTTGAACGATCGAGAAAAGAACAAACTCGCTCGAAAACGCAAATGGCCAACCAATTATGTTCGAACCACCAAGTACACCTTAATTACTTTTATTCCTCAGAATTTATTTGAACAATTCAGAAAAGCCATCAATATTTATCTTTTAATTACTGTCATTGCTGTACTTATTCCTGACATTTCTCCAATTTTTCCTCCAGCAGCTGTGTTGCCCATTACTTTCATTGTCTTGTTACAGATGGCAAAGGATGGTTATGAGGATTTTCAGAGGTATCGCCAAGATTTGAAAGCGAACAATGAACTGTGTCGAGTGGTGAGAAATGGCACCTTACAGGAAATTCGAGTGAAAGAAGTGGAAATTGGAGATTTTGTGTGTGTGAGACGAGATGAGAGTTTTCCTGCTGATTTACTTTGTGTATATTCGTCGAGAGAGGATGATTTGTGTTATGTGGAGACAGCTCATTTGGATGGAGAAACCAATTTGAAAACACGACGGCCTTTAAGCAAGTTTTTACCGAGTGGGAATTCCCGTTCCTCATTATCGACACAAAATGTCATGAACCACACTTCACCTCCTCCTCCTCCTCAACACAACAATGAAAAGCCTCAGGGAATTGACTCCATGAATCCTCATCCTCCTTCCTCAACAACACCAACACAAGAATATATTCATGCCACACTTGCAACTATTAAGGGCAAACTCAAAGTTGAGGTTGCCAACAAGAATCTTGATGTCTTCGAAGGAACAGCCAAAGCGATGCATAGTGGATCTTCTTCTTCCTCCTTCTGCTCAGACACTCCATCAAATCCTCTTGAACAGAAACATTCAGAAAAAGCTTCTAATGAACCTCCATCACTCCTCTCCCAACAACAACCAGTTGTCATGATTAAGGAAGCACTTTCTATGGACAATCTTCTACTCAGAGGTTGTACCCTCAAAAACACTCAATTTATCTATGGAGTGGCGATCTATGTTGGAAAAGACACTAAAATTCTCAACAACACCAAAGAAAATCGAGTGAAACGCAATGCTTTGGAAGTAACCCTCAACCAAATTCTTGCCTTGTTGGTGTTCATTCAGCAAATCATTTGTGCCATTGTCGCAGGCTTGCAAGGAGCTTTTCAAAATGATTTCATGCACCGTGCCTTCTATTTAAAACCATTGATTGTGAATGAGGCGGCTGGTAGCGATGGAATGGCCTCGTTTGTATCGGTCATGTCGAATTGGGTCACCATATTTATCTTGTTAAATTTGATTGTCAATGAGACAATTGTCATTGGATTTGAAGCAATTAAATCCTTACAGTCGTGGTCCATTGAAAATGACACAGAGATGAGATTTGAGAAGTTGAAAACAGAGGTTCGAACAGCGAGTATGAATCAAGCACTTTCGAAAATGGATATTATCTTTTCAGACAAGACAGGAACTCTTACTCAAAACGAAATGAAATACTCAGATTCCTATGTGGATGGAGTGTACTATTCGGAGCGAAGTCATCCAGGAGCCATGAAGAACTATTTGAAAGGTTATTTATCGTCATACTCATCGAAAAATGGAATGAAGGATCAGTCCAAAGACACTCATACTGAAGAACATTCACATCATCATTACCACCACCAACCACAACAACCACAACAACCACAACAACATCATCACTCTTTAGAGAATGGAGGTGTTGAACAATCAGGTTCTTCTAAGGAACAGCAGTCCATCCTGCCGAGCGAGTATTCAAAGTCCACGCACGCATTTTTCTTACGAGAATTTTTACGTTGTCTCTCTCTCAATAATAGCCTAATGCCAGAGGAAGCAGTCGTCGACTTTGAGCCTTCACTCAAAGATCCTCAAAGCCTTACATCATCCACACAACAAAGCCCTAAAAATACACGACCCACCACGATCACGACCACGACCACCACTCATACGACTACAAGTGGTGGTGGTTCTGCTTGTACAACAACTGAAAACCCTTGCGAATTGAATCATTCAAGTCGTGGGAATGATCATGGCACAAACACACATGAGGATACTCCAAAATACACCTATCATGGACCTTCCTCCGATGAAATTGCTCTCTTAGAAGCTGCTACGAATAATGGATTTGTTCTTACCCAACGTACGCATCATGGAGTCGTTTTAGAGGAATTTGGTGAGTTGAAACATTATGAAATTGTGGCGACCTTTCCATTCACTTCGGAGAGAAAACGAATGAGCGTCTTGGTGAGGAATCATGACGATGGGAAGTATGTGTGTTATGTAAAAGGAGCCGATAGTGTGGTTTTAAAACGGGCAGCAACAACAAATTCCTCCTCCTCTTTCTCTCATCATCACGATAATAGTCCTCATCACCACAACTTGAAATTAGCCTTACAACACTTCTCTATGCGTGGATTGAGAACTCTCGTGTGTGCTCGTCGGGAGCTTGCTCCTCATGAATTTCGTGAATGGTTCGAAGAATACACCAAAGCATCTCTCTCGACCAAGAATCGAGATCAATTACTGGCTCAATGCGCCTCCCTATTGGAGAGGGATTTACAAATTGTGGGATGTACGGCTATTGAGGATAAACTTCAGGAACAAGTGGCGGAATCCATCTCGTATTTGCAACAAGCAGGTCTTCATATTTGGGTCCTCACTGGAGACAAGACAGAGACTGCCATTAATATTGCCTACTCGACTCATGTCTTACATAAGGATAAAACTGTTGAGATTCGAATTCGTAATGCGACTTCTCATGCACAGGTGAAAGGAAAATTGAAAGAGGCATTGGAATTCTTGGAAAAACACAAAAACAAACCTAATATCGAATATGCTCTTGTCATTGATTCAAAGTCACTCGAATATGCTTTGGAGAAGTATGAGAAACCCTTACTTCGATTGGCCTCCCAAGTCCATAGTGCTGTCTGTTGTCGATTGAAACCTCTCCAAAAATCGACCATTGTGAAATTGATTGAAAAAAATCTCTCCAAGAAGGCACTGGCCATTGGTGATGGAGTGAATGATGTGGCCATGATTCAGGCAGCATCTATCGGTGTGGGAATTAAGGGCAAAGAAGGTACTCAAGCTGCTCGTGCTGCCGATTATGCATTGCCCAGATTCAAACATTTGGTTCGTCTGTTGGCTGTCCATGGTCGATATTGTTGTGTTCGAAATGCTGATTTTTTACATTATAGTTTTTACAAGAATTTCATGTTGCTCGTACCTCAATTTTTCTTCATTTTCTATTCTGCCTATTCTGGAATACTCATGTATGATTCATGGGAGCAACTCTTATTTGTGGCAATTTATTGCTTCTTCCAACCTATTGCGTCTGGTGCATGTGAAAAAGATTTACCAGAACATGTGATTTTGCAGCACCCAGAAATTTATGACACCTTAAAAAAGAAGCATAATAATTTATTTAGTGTTTCAAGCTTGGTTGGATGGGGATTGGTATCGATTTATCAATGCGCTGTTATTTTCTTTGGAATTGTGTTGAGTTATGGTACGGATGGAGATTTTATGGAAAATAATAGTTCCATACCCTCTTCGGACGTGTATCATTTTGGTAAATTAATCATGACCTGTGTGATAAGCGTTGTGACTTTACGGTACATGATTGAAGTCAAAACATGGTCTATTCCTGTGTTTTTCTCTATCTTTGGAAGTTATTTATTTTATTTCCTATTTAGTGTGTGCTATTCACCAATAGCGGACGTATTCGGAGAAACAGGATCTTATTATATTTATTACGAAACAGTCATTAGTGTGAAAGCGACTTTAATATGCATACTCGTGATTGTGATGGCCATTTTACCCAACTTTTTATATAAGGCAGTTCGAATGAACTTTTTCCCTCATGATTATCAGCAGTTGCTGATAGAGTACCATCGATCGAAACAAAACAAGAAAGAGCTAGAACAGAAAGCCTTAAATGTTGATCCAATAAAAATAGCGCTTGATTGATTTGTTCGAAAGAAAATTGTGACCCAATAATTATTATTTACATGGTTTAGTATTATGTGATTATTCAATCGATGAGGAATCAATTTCAATTAAATTTGACATGTTGGTCATTCCTTCAAAGCTCTTTTTCAAAACAGTTCGATAACTTGCGAGAGCTTGCCCCACTCGTCCTTCTTGTTTGGACTTTTGGCAAATAGTTTCAAACACTTTAAGAATTCTATTCGTCGTGACTGCATCCTCTGGATGCTGCTCCAAGTGTTTTTGGAGAATGACTTGAGATTCAAGGATTCTCGACATGGCCATTTCATCAGTCATTGAACTAAGCTTGTCGCTTTCTAAGACAGAAAAGGCGGCTTCGAAATCTTTGAACCTGCTGTTCGCTTTTTGCTGCTCTAATTCATACATCCATTCTAAGTAGATCCAAGTGTTATATAATGATTATAAATTAAGTTAAAAAAGAGAATATTCAGTTACATACCATCCTTCACAACATGATTTTCCTTAATGACATGATACACAGAAGAGACAATTTCATGGAAACCTTCATTCTCAATCACCAATCGTTCCACAGGTCTCACCACAAACGCATTCTTTGCATCACCCATACTCATGGTGTTTGAATCTGCCAAAATGGAGCATCCAGCAATGACTTGGCACAAGGCAGAAAGTTTCTTGGCATTTGAAATCAAAGGACCAACAATGGAATAAAATCTCAATTGATGAGTTCCCAAATTTCCCACATGAGTTCTTCCACTCGCAACTCCTATACATACTCTTACTCTGTCATTCGATAGACAATTCTCGAGAGTTTTTGAAATTTTAAGAGCTGCTTCAAGTGCTGCAATATTTGCCTTCTTCTTGTTATTGGTACCCACAAATGAACACTGATATTCATCCACACTCAAGATATGAAGATCTGCGTGCATGGTTTTTGAGAGAACACTCAATCCATTAGCAATCTTGGAAAAGACATTTGTAATTTCAGAGGCTGACATTTGTTGACACATTCCGATCAATTTGATATTCACAACGCTCACATCCTTTTCATTGAGTCCAAGTTTAAACAAATTTCCCATGTCTTGGTATTTACCACCTCTGTGACTTCCACTCAATGAGGAAAGATTATGGGCACTGCTTGAACTCTGCAAATCTCCTTGATACGAAGGATTATCCTTACTGTTTAGTTGGTGGTTTGAATCAGCATTATTTGAACCTTGTTGTTGCATTTTCGTTGTTGAAGTCATCTTTTTATGCTGTTCGTCGTTGTTCGAATCTTGATCCATATTACGCAACTGATTGAAAATTGTTTCAGGAAGAAAACTTTTAAATTCATTCAACCATACAACCATATCGTGTAAATCCTCATAGATGGAATCAATTTCTTTGAATCGACTTGAAGTGAAATGTACTTGATCCAAATCAAATCTCTTAATCTTCATGAATTGACTCTTGAGATATCTCAAAGGTTGTGTAATCAAGTAACCAATCAGCACACTTGTGATGAGACCCAACACAATCACCGCCACTGCCACACCAATTGAAATGGCTGTAGTAATCGTGGTGGTTCGTGACACGTCCTCCGAGTAGACAATTAGAAAGACATTCCACCGAATATTCTCGAGAGTGAATTGCATACGAGAGATTCTATAATCGATTCCCAAACTTGAAATTTGGAAGATATCAGGAGTGGAGGCGATACTTCCATATGTTGATTTCACTTGTTGCATCAAAATTCCAGCATTTCGATCAGTGAGTTCAAACAAGGAGACACGTGAAATACGATTCAAAGCAGTCGTATTGATACTTCCACCAATGACTAAATCATTTGGTTCAGAAACGAGCACATATCCCTTTCCAAGAAGAGACAATGTGGAAAGATAGCGCTCAATATTTGAAAGAGATAAATTCACTTTCGTAAAGCCAATCACTTTCTTGGTATTGTTTTGAGCGAGAAGTACAGGATCAAACAATTTGGCAGAATAGAAAATGCATGTAGTGGAATTCACAACCACATAGGGATCTCCATAGACACCATCGACGCCCAAGGAGTTGAAATATTTGAAACTTGTGATCCAATAGGGGAGTGAGGGAACGACAAAAGGTGTTGTTTGATTCATCACAAGACCAATCAGAGAACCGTCAGTTTCGTTGGCATACCAATGTTCAACTCCAATGTAATCTTGTGGTTTAATGTAAATGGTAAATTCTTGAGTGGGAACTCCATTGGGAAAAATCGTAAGGTTAAAGTAAGCATAAAACTAAACTCATAAAGAGAGAGCAACGAGTCACATTGGCATTTGACATTCAAGTTGTGAGATTTTCTAATGATCAGTTCAATAGTTCATTTCATATGCACTTACCTCATTAGCAAAGTAAATTCCAACACTACTTGGTCTGAACACTAAATTCTTCCTAAACAAGTACTCAAAGGGAGGTCTACGTGGAATGAGTCCCATATTAAAATCGTCAGCAACTGTCCACGCCAAATCGGCACATGGAGAAATCTCACCACTCAGAAATACCATAATCTTTTTGCCGACTTGTTCAATGAGAGAAGACGTGAGCTCAGTGACAGCCTGATTAGAACCAATGAAAGATGCCAACCAAATAAAGATGGAACATGTGAGTAGTAATACAATAATGAGAAGGATAATGACCACTCTCATGGAAAAACAACCTTCCATTTTGACAGGCTTCTTGTCCTTGACGTGTCCTGTATTGGGCTGGTTGTCTTCTTCTAATAATAAATCTTGTTGGTCTTCCTTAACATCTTTTGTCTTATTGAACGAGGAGACAATTCTTTCGTCACATCTTTCGTTCTGATTACGATGAGAAGAAGAATCGGCTGGAACTGGTACAACTTTGGCTGGCATGAAATCTTCTTCGAGTGTGTTTTTCTTGTTGAGATGTTTTTTTCGAATTGTCATTGTCGGGATCACCAAGATCGTCTTGATGGGATAGGAATGGCATGCCTCAGCACTCTCGTTGGTCTACAAGAATAATGTTCTGTGATGTGATGATAGAGAGAGAGGGTTTTTGTATCCCCAGTTCGCCTTCCAAAACACGCAATATACCTCTTATGTACAAGTATCACTATTGACCAATGATGGTCTTTGAAGGAGATACTTGCATCATTTCCAACTTGATCAAACTTGAACAAAGCACGGCCTTTTTAGACCACTTTGGCAAAACGTTTGCCATATACGTCAATCTCGAATGTTTTTAGATCTCTTGGAGAGAGCTGAAATTAATGCCAAATTGAATCAATCAATCAAGGAGGAATATCTCTTACGTGCGATTATTGCGTGAATTTGATTTCATCCTTTCTATTCATGGACAATGATGATTCCAAAAGACAGCTTCGTTCAACGAAGCAATGAATCCATTGCGCACACAATAGTCGTATCACAGAATGTTTTCCGACCATTTTCGTCTGTTTGCAAAGCTCTTCGATGAAATTCCTGAAAGAAGCGAGCCACTCTCAATTCCTTGATCATTGGATCATTAACAAACGGATAGTGATACAATTCAAAATAATATATTGCCTTGTTGAGATTTTGTGAAACAACGCTTCCAAAGTTGCCATCTCTATATATTATCCCTAACTTGTAAAGTGCTTTGTAATGATGTTGCTGAGCTGAGAGTTCAAAATACTTTATGGCCTTACCAAAGTCCTGAGGAACATGGCGTCCTTTTTCGTACAATCTTCCCATATAATACAGAGCCTCTTCATCATTGAGTTGAGCAGCAGCTCGTTCGTAATATTGCAAGGCTTTCTCAAGGTTTGTTTGTACTCTGTATTTTCCTTCCTCATAAATAGAGCCCAATTCCAACATGGCCTTTGTATGATTTTGTTCTGCAGCCTTCTCAAAGTACTTGATGGCTTTTCTATAGTTTGGATCGTCCATTCCTTGTCCTGACACGTAGATCTTTCCCAATTGTTACAAGGCTTCCACTAAATTTTGAGATGCAGCCAATTTACAATAATAAATGGCATTGGTAGCATTGGAAGAATTATAATAATAAATTCTTGCGCATAATAAATATCACCCAAGAGAATTTGTGCAACAGGATGAGATTTCATTTCCTCTGATGATTGCAGTATTTCCAAAGCGTTTTCATGCAACTCAACATTTCCACAAACAGCTCCACAATACATGTGGGCTAGAGTTAATTTGTTACAGAGTTCATTGTGAATCGTGGTGAAGCATGATTGGTTTTCTAATGCATGGAGCGCTTTTGAAAAGGATGGCCACCAGGCTCGATAAATCATCTCGAAACACTTTAATAAACGAGGACGTGATCCATGAAAGCATGCTCGGAAAAATTAATAAAGTGAAGAAGTTTTTCAAGAGCATGATCATAATTCTTGTTTTCAGTATCCATGTATACTGTTTGTTCTAACACAGATAATCCATCAGAGAAATTAACTTTTCTTTTTTTGGTCTTCTCTTCATGTTCTGGTGATTCACTCCGTGTTTTGGCAGACATTTTTTTGTCAAAATTCTGTCTTTTAGCATGTTCTCAGCTGATTGAATGTTTCTCTTCCTTACATTAAGTTTTTTAAAGTCTGCTGTGAAGAAGCCTCTGAAGAAAATGCACTTCTGAGCCTTCCTTCGATCGATCAGATGGTCTAGGTGCAACATTTTAGAATTGTTGCTGATCATTTATTCTTAGATGCATGTGTCATATGACGTACGTACACTATCAGTTTATAATGTAGTGAATAAGACTTGCATCAACAATGTATTACATAAATTTCTATTGAGGTGGATCCTAAAGTTCATACATTTGAAAGTTTTTTAAAACTATCAAACACTTGGTCTCGACTCATTCAATTTGTTTACCCTCTCACTCCAATAATAAATTCCATTTTAGAGTGTTTCAATAAGATTGTACATTAAGCAATGATACAAGCTTGTTTCTTTTGCCTTGGAGTTGCTGTTGGATCTTTCTTTCTTCCTAAAATGAAATCAATGATGGAAATATCCTTCTTCTTGAAGGACTTGTTTTGCCATACAGTAGTCGCTCTTTTTCTCTTGCAAAACGATTCCTTGGATTGCAAAGTAGTGGTGGTGCTTGATGCATTCTCCACCAACTTTTGTGTTCGAGAAAACTTGGAAAAGAATGCTTCAATTAGACAATGCTTTTCTTTGGCTTGTTTGGCGAGTAAGACTTCACCAGAGGCAGGAACTTCCACCTTGAATTTGTCTTGAATTTGTTTCTGAAATTCGGATCGGAATACAGTAAACCAATTAGGAGGATTCACTTGATAGGGTTTGTAGGAGAGTTTAGTCTTTTTAGTAATCTTCTTAGTCTCAGCAGTGAGTGTATTGAACATTTCAGGATGATAATTTTCAATGAGATAATTCAACACTTCCTTTCTCTTCTCGGCCTCAATATTGGACTCGGATCCACTAGCTGCAGAAATACTACTCGTTTCAGTCATGTCTGGATTCAATGATGAACTTGATATACTTGAAGAAGCAGTACTCAAATTACTCACAGCCTTCAATACAGTCTTACTATCGCCTTTCCAAAAGTTCTTCAACTCGACTTTGTGTTCTTTGAGATTGGTTGGAATCGCAATCTCAACAATTTCGGATGGATCTTGATTTGAGGAAAGAATTTGTACATATCTTGTAAAGTAATCTTCAGTGTTTTGTTTCAAACTATCGAGTAGAGTCGTTGGTTGATAGACTTGTAACTTGGGAGAGTATTTGGTCATGTTAATCAATCCAAAGTAAACTTCAGGGAATGTTCGATCTGGAATGAACTTGCGTCTCTCATCACCCTTCTTGAATGCTTTACCAAAAATAAGACATTTCATTTGGTTACATTGTAAAATACCATTAAAAATGTCAGCCAATGAGAATAAATATCCTCCAATATTATACTTCACTTTTCTGTAAAAGATGATATTGGTCACTTCGACTTGAGGTAAACTTCCAGAAATAATCAATGCATGAAGCAATAATAAATTGTAAGCATTAATGAAAAAGGTTAGCTTCTCTTCATCAGTCTTCAATAAGGTCAAATCGACATGAGCTAAATCATAGGATGAGTGAACAAATTTTTCCCAACAATCTTTTCCAGGCAATGATATATCGTCATATCTCAAATCGATTTGCACTTGATTCTTGGTGTCATCTTTCATACTTCCAAGAGAACCACTTTGACTGATAGCATACAAGTCAGTGGATTGATTGAGAATATCTAAGACGTCTTCGAGTAATTGTTGTAACCGTGGAATTGGGTGACCAACACTCAAATTCTTCATGGTATCGTTAATGATGGCTAAATGTTGTTGCGAAGAGTTTGCATCAGGTTGATTCAACACAATGGTGCCTTCAGATTTGTTTGCGTTCAAAATTCGTTGACGATGAAAGCCATCATCTCCTTGGCTTGACAAAAACAAGGCCACACATTCATAGAGACTGTCACTTGTCAAAAATCTTTGGAATGGATCCATCATATTTTTTAAGAGTTCAGTTTTCAATCCATCGAGAACAGGGAGTAAAGTATCGATATGTTGGTGCATGATTTTTGTTTGTTCTTCAACACTCACTGAGCATGTCTCATCTAATGCAACAATCTCCAAAAACTTTTTCAAATCCTTCACAAATTCTGTCGCTTTTAACATATTTGCCTTCATGGATGAGCTAATATTGATTTCATAAATCGAAGATGCATCAAAGTATGTGTCTGTGAACTTTTCAATCATTTTTGCGCATTCTTTCATTTCATTGATACTTGCCACACATCGATAACAATTGTTTGTCGAAGAAACATTGCTTGCGGAAGTCATGGAAGTTATCGAGGAATGGGTATCAGAGTCTAAATCATTCAATAATTCATCCTTGTAGACTTCAGAGGTGTCAATGACCCAATCCATCTTCTTTTTCGAATACAATAGAAAATCATGGAGTGACTTTACGTCATAATAGGCGATAATATTCTATTTTGTACATTGTTAATATAAAGAGAGACATCAACAACAACAATAATCATGTTCACACACAAACATTTACCAAAAATTGGTTTTAAATATATATATCGGACGATATTTGAATATGCGTGTCATCATTGGGATCGAATCCATGTTGAACTTTTACTCACCTCCTTGTTGAATTCTTCGGATAAGAATTTATAGAAATAGGAAGCACCCAAGGGACAAGAGAGAGCCTTCTCGATGCTTAGACCATTCTGTGCGTATTCATCAATTTGGTCCTTGTATTCTGGATTGGTCATCATGATGACACAAGTTATATTCAAGGAAACATGTTTGAAATCACTGAAGTTAGAACCATGGTTGCCACAACACAGTAGCTACTACTACTTACTGATGATGAGTTGGTCAAGTTCAACTCGTTCAGTTTCAAAACCTTGCAATTTGAAAGATGCTCGAGAGTCTGTGAGAGATGATTTACCAAGAGAAGCGGAGGACATTTTTTTGGTGTCTTTGGATGACTTGCCAAATGTCAAATTGAGGGGATACTAAATCTAAAATACTGAACGAGTGCGCACTATTGGTTGTTTAACAAGGCATGAGTAAAGTTAAAATAACAGCTGCGTGAGCATTTTTGTTATTCCGCAAGCACTTTCCGAAGTAATTGGTTGTGAATCTAAGAACATCTCACACATTCGTTGAAATTATTAATGCATCCTTTGGACATCCTGCTCATTGGAGCACTCACTCTGTTGCTAATGACTCATAATCTCGTACGAAACACACGAAGAATTCTCAAATAATTGTCATGTACGACTACAGTTCATTAGAAATACAACCTTTACTTTAGAGTGAAAAATCTTCCTCAACAAGATCACTCAATGTCTTGGTTGCAATTCCAATCTTGCCACTGGTTTGAATCTTCAATTCAATTGGATAATGATCTGAAACAAGTTTCACAAGATCTTGGGGAACATGAAGTTCATTTTCATATCGAAATACTTTTGGATTTTGAATTTCAAATCCTTGAGTTGAAAGTTTGCTATTCGCAAATGCAAGAGGAACCACAAATCGATCATAACTGCATGAACTATCAGCCACTGTGGAATCTTCATCGATCAACCATTTGAATCGATTTGGGTCATTGAGTGTGAGAGTTTTGAGAGCACTCTTTGACAAGTAAGAACAATCTGCATTAAAATCTCCAGTAATGATTGTGTTTGGATAGAATGCTTGTCCCTTGAAGGAATCATACACTTGAGTGAGATAATTGAGTTCCTTTGCAACAGCAGATGGACGAATATGACATCCAATAATTGCAAATTGTTTTCCTTTCAATTTGGCATCATTGGTAATGAATTCAAAGACAAAGGTAAATGGAGCTCTTTCGAACCATCCATCAGCATCTTCGAATTGAATGGTCTTGACAAATTTAACCTTGTCAGGATTATAAATAAATCCGTACTGTTCTTTAGAAGCGCTTTTACCTAATCGTTCACTCACTTTGTAATCATATCTTTTTCCAGAGGGTAACACTTGTTGATTCAATGATTTGACAAGTGAAGCAAAGGAATCATCGGAACCATCTCTAATTTCTTGAACGAAAATAATGTCATATCTTGAGAGAATTTTGAGTAACACTTGAACCACTTGTTGTTTCTCCATCTTGGACTTTCCGAGAATTTGAATGTTGAATCCACAAAAAGAGAGTTCATTGGATGGAGCAAATGCGTAATGATAGGAAGAAGTTTGTGTGAGTGAAGCATTGTTGTTGTCCACTATGAATGAACAAACAAGCAACAACGAGGCAAGAATCAACACAAGAGTGAAGATGTTTTTGTGCATTTTTTTTAACGATGACACTTGACAGCGTATTTTCCCTTCATTACAATTCTTATCCTAACAGGCAACCACAGGAGGTCGATCAAATGTCCCAAATTCTCTTTAGGATGGAAACGTTTCAAGATTTGGCCAAAGTGAATTGATTTCCACCAATATATTCTTGCTTGGACAAGATCTTTTCATAGACATCCAAATAATTGGTCAATTAGTGAGAGTCTCGATATGTTCTTGATCCGCTGCTCCCATTCCAAACAAATCATGAATATCAATTCAATCTTCATATTCACCTAAACATTAAGAGCTACAAGGTCAAGTGATCAGTCAAAATAAATTCTCCCATGAGCATGTTGGATTCATCTCGTACAAAAGCGATACAATGACCTTGTGAAATGTGTAAAGTCATTTCCTGAGAGGTCTGAACAAGATAGACATGCTTGTTGCACGTCGAGCAATAACGATCTCTCATTCCCTCAAATATCAAATTTTCAAATCGTAATGGACACTTGTAAATAAATTCACAATTTTCAATAAAGAAGGGAAGACTCTCTGGCAACACCGTTGGATCAATCTCAAAGCAGTTGGTAGTACTACAAATATTTCAGAGAGAGGTAATAACTCACGAGCATGAATTTGAATGTGTGAGACTCTTCTTCTCAAAATATGAAGCCAATTCTTCACGTTCAATGTTTTTTCAAATTTTGGAAAATAATAACACACCAAAGGTTTCCAAATTAATTTCTGAATGAGCTCAAATTGTTGTTGCGAGTGTTCTTCTTTTTCATATTCTTCCACGGCATTCTTGGTGGTCAAAAAATCAAGTTGAGATTTCTTGTGTGATTTCCGTAATTTGTTTAACTTGTCAATTCTTTCTGGTGTTTGATCAAAGAGTAATTTCAGCAAATATCGATCAGTCCTCGAAAATGAATATATTGTTCCAAGCTCCATAAAAGAGACAATATTGATTAACACTTCTTTCGGAAAGGTATCCGAGAAGATGTTTTTGTTCCGAGAAAGAGAGATTTTCTCTAAATCGTCCTCGACTGTCCGAGTGAAAATCTTGGATAGACTGAATTTGAACATTTTTTCTTGGTGCTGATTAGAAGTTACTATTAGATGTTGCACAGAAATAAATGGAGGGTTTAATAATCAGCTAGTTCGCTGTTCTTTTGTTCAAAAAGTTCATGAGAAAAATTTGTGTACAGATTATATTGATAAACAAGGTGAGGAATGCTTGGTTGATAAACCACAGGAGTCACATCCAACAGGTTTTTCATCAGGTCTGCATTTTCTGAAATTGTGGAACAAATTAATTTACATCCTGGTTTTCTAAGTTTCTTTGCTGCTGACGCATAATTTTCCCAGACTTCTCTCGTTATAAAAGGTGGATCAATTAATATTAATGAAAATTGCCCAAACAGAGAGGCATCAACTTTATCGGGTTGATTAAAATCCCAAAACACAAATCCTTGATCCTTCTCCCATTTCTTATCATACTATTTTGAAATGTTAGGTCAAAATGAACATGCATCCTCCGATCATCCATTTATTCACCTCAAACTCACCTCAAATAATTTTCCTTGCCGTTGCAATTCCGAGCTCATGGAAAAATACACGGAAGGAGTGGACATGAAGGCAACTCGATGATCCGAGCTCTCCAACAAGTGTTCCTCAATGACTCGTACAAACGTTTGTATGGTTTCCTTGGAGTACCAGTATTGGTTGTATTCCGATTTTTCTGGATTTCTTATGAGAAAACGATTGTTTTTGTTCAATGACGACATTTTTTTCTGAGGAAGTTATTTTGCTCGAATATTATTAAAACAAATTTGCATTATATGATATGTTGGAATTGCATGATTAATGTTTCTCGAATAAATTTCCCTACTCAAAAAAAATGAAGGAAATAGGAGGTCCACGTGGGCGGGAGAATCGCAACAACCGAAGAGGGTTTCCGTATCATCATCAGCAACACTTTCACCACCACCATCGCACTGAACAGAATTTTGATTATAACATACGAAGTGCTATTGGTAATAATTATAATTATATCGAAAATCAATCATTATTAATAATGAATAGAAGTAGTAGAAACACTGCTCATTACCCAAATAATGGCCGGAGAGATCCGAGAAATAATGACAATATTAATTATCATCCATATCCACAGTCAGCATCACACATTTCAACCAATCATAGATATTCTTCATATAGTAATGACAAAATAGAAAAACCATCATCTAGTGGAGGCAATAAGCAAGTAACATTTAAGGAAGCTCATTCTGAACAACCTAATGCACAAAACTCCGTACAATTTTCTTCAACCTCTCATTGTGCAGTCTGTAGAGAGTTGAAAGTAGACTTGATGTGCAAGGGTTGTTCAAAATGTATACATAGCCGTTGCTGTAGAGATGTCATTCCTATAGAAAAATCTTCATTCTATTGCCAGGATTGTTATACTGTACAGGTTCAAATTAAGAGAGATTGCTCTGATGTGGTTTGTTTGGAAAACAAAAGTAAAAAATTGATAAGACTAGAGAACGCGACCGATTTTCTAGTCACGTGTCCACTTTGCAACCGAAATTACAAGAGAAGTGCACTCGACAGCCATCTTTCTTTTCAACATGTGAAACATATTGAATTTGATCATGAAGATATAATACCGATACCTTTACCGGAAAATAATTTTAATCATTTATCAACATCTCCATTAGAGGATGAATGGAATATTACATTCTCCAAATATTTACTTGTGGTTGGATTTGACAAATCAGCTTTGGAAGATACTGTTCATACAGTACGCTTTTCTAATACCAAATTTCAAGACAACAAGAAAGGAGTGTGTCTTATTGGATGTGGCTCTTCTCGAGAAGCCTATCAACTGGGATGCTTTCTTAGAAAGCAACGTGTAGGTGACAGCAATCACCCAATGATTTATTTCATTAAGCCATACAGGGCGTTACAATTATTGGAATTAAGTAGATTTGGCGGTTCTAACGAACCTTCTCTCAGCCAAACTGAAACTACATTGAAACGCCTCATTTGTGATAACGTTAAATTTGTTGTGAAACAATGGACATGGAGAAAGGATAACGGTATAATAACGTTTGATGATGAAGACCATTGTATATTAGTGATGTGGTATTATTATCTTGATGACCCGAGATCAAACAAAGATTGTAAATTAAGGTTTCTAAAGGAGTCTGTTTGGCGCCAGACTCAACCTTCTACTTACTGTGAAATTAGGAATATTCCTATAACATTCAATTTAGAAAGTTTGTGGCATTCTTTAATGGAACAAGTTAGTTTGGTAATAACAAACAACACTGAAACTGAAATAGTTGAACATGCCCTTGTGCAGACGATGGAATGGACTGGTACTTGTATTAAGGTTCGTCTTCGAACAAAAGAGTTCGCTCAAGTATTCAAACTTGCATTGGATGGTATGTCATTTGAAGGATTTTTGCTTCAAGTGGTGTACCTAGAGTACATTGGATTGAGCAAATAAACTTTTTCAGATTTGCTTTTGTGCAAATTGATAAAACCAAATAATATTTCAATACTTCAATCCACTTTCTTACAACAAACATTTTGGTGATTAATGAAATTGTTTTTACAGTTTAATTGGCCTAGTTTAGTAGTCAGCTGGTTGTTCTTCAGCATTTGCTTCACCTTCAGCATTTTCATCGAATTCTCCATCTTCTTCAGCTGTAGCATCTTGGTATTGTTGGTACTCAGAGACCAAGTCATTCATGTTGGATTCAGCTTCAGTGAATTCCATTTCATCCATACCTTCACCAGTGTACCAGTGCAAGAAAGATTTTCTTCTGAACATGGCAGTGAATTGTTCAGAGACTCTCTTGAACATTTCTTGAATGGCAGTGGAGTTACCAATGAAAGTAGCAGCCATCTTCAAACCTCTTGGTGGAATATCGCAAACAGATGACTTGATGTTGTTTGGAATCCATTCAACAAAGTATGAGCTGTTCTTGTTTTGGACGTTGAGCATTTGTTCGTCAACTTCCTTAGTACTCATTCTACCTCTGAACATGGCAGAAGCAGTCAAATATCTACCATGTCTTGGATCAGAAGCAGCCATCATATTCTTAGCGTCGAACATTTGTTGAGTCAATTCTGGAACAGTCAAAGCTCTGTATTGTTGAGAACCTCTTGATGTCAATGGAGCGAAACCAATAAGGAAGAAGTGAAGACGTGGGAAAGGAATCAAGTTAACTGCCAACTTTCTCAAGTCAGAGTTCAATTGACCTGGGAAACGCAAGCAGCAAGTAACACCTGACATGACAATTGAGACCAAGTGGTTCAAATCACCAAATGTTGGTGTAGTAAGCTTCAAAGTTCTAAAGCAAATATCGTACAAAGCCTCATTGTCAATACACATGACTTCATCAGCATTTTCTACAAGTTGGTGAACAGAGAGAGTAGCATTGTATGGTTCAACGACGGTATCAGAGACCTTTGGCGATGGGAAAACAGAGAAAGTCATCATCATTCTGTCTGGATATTCTTCTCTAATCTTGGAAATCAACAAAGTACCCATTCCTGAACCAGTACCACCTCCCAAAGAGTGAGCAATTTGGAATCCTTGCAAACAATCGCAACTTTCAGCTTCCTTTCTCACAACGTCCAAAACTGAATCAATCAATTCAGCACCTTCAGTGTAGTGACCCTTTGCCCAGTTGTTACCTGCTCCTGTTTGACCAAAAACAAAGTTATCTGGTCTAAAGATTTGACCGTATGGACCAGCTCTAACAGAGTCCATGGTACCTGGTTCCAAGTCCATCAAAATGGCACGAGGCACATATCGTCCACCTGTAGCCTCATTGTAGTAAACATTGATTCTTTCCAATTGCAAGTCGGAATCACCATTGTATGCGCCTGTTGGATCCACACCGTGCTCGTCAGAGATGACTTCCCAAAACTTGGCTCCGATTTGGTTACCACATTGGCCTGCTTGAATGTGCACAATTTCTCTCATTTTGTTTATGAGTTGTTTGGTTTGTTTGGTTTTTTTTGTTGTAGTTTTTAAATGATGAAAGAGAGCGGCAAACAGAAGGCGGGTTGTATGGCGAGAGAGTTGTATTACCGCCAAATTATACAACACGTTTACAACATCCTCGGTCTTTGCTCAAATATGGTCAATTCTGAAGAAAAAGGCAATTAAATTGAATTTGGTTCGTCATTATGACATGTCAAATGTTGTTATTTGTGTGAGTAAATGAATCAAAATATTCTCAAAGTGAATAATGATGAACAACATTCTTATATCTTATTGTCTCTGTAATGTTCATGATATTCCTGAACATAGTAGTTTTCATCTGTCTGCTCATCCTTAATTCTGAAGGAGGCCAGTGAAGGAGCTGCACTCTCATCTACGGTAATGTATCGATTCATGAAAGCGTCAATCCAATTTCCAAAGCAACACAAAAATGCGCCCAACGAGATTATTACAAGAAGGTGGCCTTGCAAAAAGCGAAAGAACATTCTAGAACCAGAGGCTGAGAACTTAACTTTGAGTTTTTCTCTTCCAAATCCAGGCTTGATATTGGCTGCAGCAAAAGATCCCAATCCTCCAAACTCCATGTTGGGCATTAAGTGTTGGTAATAGTAACTCTTAATCCATGGCTCTGCGAAACCTAAAAGAAAAGTTGCTGAGAGCAAACGGCAAATCCATGTTATGGCTTCTGTGAAAATTCCAGGATAGGCGCTGAAGATTTTGAATTGACCTTTTCCGCTGTCATTGGGGTGCCAAACGACCTTGGATGCTTCGTTCGGGTCGACAACTTCTCCCCATGATATTCTTCTGTCAAACTCGCTGTAATAAAAGAGATGCATCATGCCACTAAAGTACCACAATCCAAACGTACAATCATTGATAAAGTTATTAATCACGCAAAGGATAGGCACTTTCATGTATGGGTCGCTCATATCAAACTCTAATCTTCTGCCTGCAATTATCATTTCTGTGACTTGGGAACGATACATGTTGAGAGCAACAAAAGCCTCAATAATGCCAAATGTAAGCTTACTCAAAATCCAAATTAAAATTTCCCAGCAACAATGAGGGCCAATTCCAAAATATTGAAAGGTTGGTTGTTCTTCTTTTGCAAGACAAGGAATAAATTGTGAATGCGTACTGTTGAATGGAGTTGAATATGGCACTTGTGGAGGTGGCTGAGTAGTTGGAATCGTATAGTTTGGATTATAGACAGGTGGTGTCTGATGATGATAATGAACAGCATCGTTTAATTGCTGTTGGTGATCCGCAACAACATTTGGATTGTAATTGGATAATCCATCAAAAGGGTTTTCCGTGGGAGCAAAGCGATCGGAGCTGGCAGTTGTTGTTGTTGGTGAGAATGGAAGGGCATGAGATAGTTGTTGTTGTGATCCTGTCAAAATGCCATAATTATTGTTGTTAGTAGTGTTGTTGGTACTGCTCGCGAGTGTTGAAGGAGATGAAGAAGAGGGCCGATTTTGCGGCTGATGATAAGACTGCAACGTTCGAGCATAGGGGTGCATGTTGGTTAATTTTTTTTTAGAAGATATTAGGAATGCTTGTGGAAAGTTACACTCGTGATTGAGCGAGGTAGGCAATTTCACCAAGAAGAAGTGTGAACAATGCATGAAATAGGCCCTGTTGTTTTGAAAATGATCTATTTTCAAGTAGTCTTGACATGAGTCATTACAAAGTCAACGAACGATGCATTGCCGGAAAAGGATATTTTAATTTCCATCAAGAACAAGTGGCATCTCAACTGAAAGAGTGATAAAAAAAACAAGCCAAATTCATTTCTCTCTCCAACTCTGACGCAACTCTCAAAACAAGTCAAGAACAAACGCATCGCATTCCATCTCTCGGCACAACCCTTTGAATCTACCAGTCTTGACTTTGCCTCAAATTGGAAGTAAACATTCAATGTTTGGCTCTCTCACCCCCTTTCATTTTCCTTTTTGTCGATGAAAAACAAATGTCTCTTCTGAATCCAATGGCTAAACTCTTTGCAAACAGTCGACATCTATCTATCAGTAACTCTTCCAACCATCTTCAAAACGATTCTCGAACAGCCACAAGCAAAGATGCATCCGATCATGAGTCCACCACCAACAAGAAGAAAACCAAGTCTTTATTCCCCTTTAAGAGAATTAAAAGCTGTGAGAATAATCTCCTAAAGAGAGACACACCCTCTCAAGCAGATTTACAACAAGAGGTCTCTCCATCTTCCTCTACAAGGTCCAATAATTGTCAATTACTCTCTCAAGATGACCTCTCGTTGAACCAAGTCTCTGATATCACCATTCCTGTAGCCCATTGTTGTCAGAAGGAAGATACCATGCCATTCCATTCCAATGTTGTGTTGTCTGACCCACTCCTTTCGGGAGATATTCCTGAATACAATCTTTCTCAATTTCGATTTGGAGATTGTCCCTTGAAGAACAATAACAAAGTCGACCTTACTCCTCATGTAGGCCTAAAAAATCAAATCAACAAGTCGGAAGACAGTGATGAATGTAACCTCCTGTTTAGCGATCAACCTTTGACCTCTCACACAAGAGTGCATTGTCCTTCATTTTCTAACTGTAAATCTACAAACATGACATCCGAAATCAATTATTGCAACCTGCCTTTCTGTGGCAATCCCTTAGATCGTATTCTTATTCTTGGAGAGCAAGTAAAACATGGTGAGGAAGAAAAAAGCTCAATCGTTCGAGACACTGGGTTTGGAGTTGAAGAATCTGATCACTCGATGGTGAGTTCAGTCTCCTCTCTGGATGATGCGGAGATATCCCAAAGCTCAAGTATGGAGCCTGTTTTGAATCCCAAGGAAGAGGAAGCGATACCAATTAATCGATATTTCAAGTCAAGAAATAGAGTCAGCAAGAAGAGACACACAAGAAAGAATTCGTCATCTTTGAAGGAAATTGATTTATTCTCGTTGTTGTCCATTGATGGATCTAACATCCAAAATCAAGCCAGACATCCGTCCATAATTAATCAAACAGACCGAAGAGTATCCATTGTCGAAGAATATGTTGACTTGTAGGTCCAACTGAAACAATTGAATCACTCACTATCCAGTGTATGAAAACTTTGTCAAAAAACTTTAATTGCGTTTAAATGCAAAATTGGTGAACAAGAAATTTAACATATATGTCCAAGTGATAAACTTCATCATTTTCTGAAACCCCTTTTCACACTAATGCCAAGGAAATCCATGACATGGTGAGACAATGATGTACGACTTTTGCCATTACTGTCGTCTAAATCTGAAATCTTCAAAGACTTTCTGCTAGTTTTTGGTTGTTTTCGCTTCTTTCCTGCAATCCAATAGTTTTGTGTCTCATCAAGTGACTCACCAATAGTCTCAGAAATGATTAAAGGTTCTTGGAGATCGTTATTTGTGGAGTCATAGAATTGTTTGCAACTCTCCTTTGGAGTGTCACCATATTTGTCTTTTGCTAAAAACAAGGATGACATCTTTGACACCTTGACAACTCCACAATTTTCAACAAAATCATAAATCCAATACAAAGCATTCATCCAATCCAAACTTGCTTCGTCGGTGTCTGGATCGAAAGCCATACCAGTTGAAAATACTGATTGTACACACAAATGAAGAATATTCTTTTGTTGAGAATCCACCTCGTTGAGAAGAATTGGAATGAGCCTATTCTTTGTGCTATTTTTCTCATTTTGTAAGTACTCTAAAATAGCATAGAGAGAGGACATGTCATTCTTTGCGATAGATTCCATGAGAACATTTCGTCCATGAGCATTCTTCTGAAGAATGGCTCTCTCAAATGCATCTGCACCAAACAAAGATGATCCAGTTGGTAAAAGTGTTGAAAGGAAAGAAGTAACAAGTTTCTTAGTTCTCATTCCTCTAAAGTCCGTCAAACATGCAAACAATGCGTTCTCTTCTTGTTGATTTTTCTTGAGTAAAATACCAGGTTTTGTCTTTGCCAAGTATTCAACTGTTTCGATTGACTTGTCACGAACAGCAACATGTAGAACAGATTCTCCCAGACCAACACCCATTCCGACAGTTGTTTCTAATTTAGCTCCAAATAATTGTAAAGTGTCACACATGTCAAAATCTTTTCTTTTCAGAGCAATATGAATTGGTAAAAATCCATAACGATCTGCATGCATATTCAATTGATCTTGAACAATCTTAAAGCTACACAAATATGTACAAATAGTTGGAGATCCTGCTTGAATTCCATAGAATAAAGGTGTTGCGTTTTGTTTGTCAACAGAAGATAAAATGACATTCGTTTTTCTTTGACAATCTGCGCTATGGAGTCCTGCTCCACATTTTTCGTCACAACATGCTTTTGAAATGATATGTGACAAGCACTCTGCTTGATTGGATTTTGCGGCCAAATGTACAATATTGATATCAAATTCTTCTGGATAGGTTGTTTTGAGTATGATTTGGTCGATGGAAGGGCCTCCTATGGCACCACGAGAAGATGATAATGAGTTACTATTATTCAAATTAGGAGTATTTGATGAAGCGGAGAGAGAACCAGGCGGACTTGATCCTAACAAGGAGGAGCAAGACGAAGAAACTGAATTGCATTGAGATGTGGATGATTGGTGTAATTGTGGAGTATTGGAGGTGGTGTTTGGTTGAGACTCGACCGCAACATCTTCTTCCTCATCCTGTGGATGATGGCCGATATGATGATTTCCATTCAAATGACTACTTCCATTGCTTGTATTGCTGGTTCCGGGAAGAGGCGATGAAACATGATGATTGCTGGGACTGATAATATTACTATTTGGAATGGGAGAGGTATTAGCAAAGAGAGGAGCCATCGTGGAGAGAGTTGGTGATTGAAGACCTCCATTGCTGATGCTGTTCGTATTATACTGTTGTTGGGCATAATCTAATAATTCATCCAAGATGGATTCCACTCGGTCAACCTGACCGTTCACAACAGCCTGATAGAGTTGTTGTTTCATCGGATGTGGGACTTGATAGGATGAAGAAGTGGAAGGAGCATTTAATTGTCGGGTCGATGAATGATGACCAAGTTTAGGAGAGGAGGTTCCTAATGGATACTGTTGGGTAATGGAAAGAGAAGGATCAAGAGTGGATGAAGAGGAAGATGACATTTTGTTTGATGGTGATGTGATGGCGGTGGATCAGGAATAGTTGGTTTCAAAGAGAATATAGTACCGATAGGTGCAACGTTCAACGTTGACAAAAGAGGAAAAAGGATGATGGCAATTTGAAGTGTTGACCAAATTTTCTTCTTTGGCGTCCGAAAGTGGTTTTGGGGGTAGTTGTTGTTGTCGTCAAAACGACTTTGGAAATGATGATGCTGTTGTTGTTGAAAGTTGCTGATTGTTTTTGAATCAAGCTGAACAAGTGAGACTCTCAAGTGAGTGACTTGTTGTTGGATGAAACAATGATGATGATGGTTTGACGTCAGCTAGAGATCTCTCTCTGATACTTTTGTAGCTTACAAATTTTAGGAGATGGCCGACAGAAACACAAAATGTAACTTTGTAGTTCTCTTCCTCTTGTGGGATTTAAAGGATGACTCTAACGAGATACAAGGATGAGAACAATAAGTTGTCAGAGAAAGTGTTTGCGGTTGATGTTGTTTGTGAAGAGAGAGAACACACACAGCAAACAATTACTCAAACGAAGACTGCAATTGAGCAAGATGCACGAGGAGGTGTATCGCACGAAAGTTTTTTTCGAGTCGACGACCCAAAGTCACTAGCTGACCTTCGAAATATTTCACGTGAAAATGATTTTAGGAATTGACGTGCCAATTCTAGAAAATGAAAAGTGGGAAGCAATTCATGGTTCGGAGCAGGGACGAAGAAAGGACGATTTTTTGATGATGTTGGTACCTGCGAACAACAACTCAAGTAGCATGTGCATTTCGTGGTTTGTTTGGTTACAATTAAAGTGTTTCACCAACAATGAACAACCAGGTTGAATAGGGCCGCCAATTTAATTAGTTGAATCAAGTTGATGGTGATCGCATCACCTTTTTTGGTGTGGTGGCACGATTAGTCTCACTTTTTGCAAATAATCTTCCAACGTGTCGATTGTATGTAATGATTGCTCTGCGGTCAAACCCTTCTCTTTCAAGTTTCGTCTATTCTCAATGACCTTAGTGAGCCCTGAATGAAAGGAAGTGCTTTGAGAGGTTTGAATTTTCTTGCAAAAGCTCTTGGGAATCTTTCCTCCGTAGTCTGCAAAGTGTATGGACGTGTATCGGGTTGAATTAGCACTTATTTGTTCAATCAATATACCTGCCACAAGAAGACCGCGAACAAATCCCTTCTCGACTGGTACCTCCTTTGGGGAAATACTTTTCCTTACCATGACATAATTATCACTTTCTGTGCCGTCATCATTCAGTTCTCTTCTGACAGAAGTTCCAACCAGAAATTCTCGTTTCGAGAGAGGCCAGGGCATTTTCATGGTGCAGTGATGATAACACACGGAATAATCACCACTTTTTTGCGGTGATAATTCTTCTGAGAATCTTAATGCAGAACTGTCCTTGGATTGAATGTATTCCATGAATTTGGTTTCCCTTAGAGTTGGATCTAAAATGTTGTTGAATCTAGTATCTAATAAAGCCTCCAGTACTTCCTTTGAAGTTGCGCTCACAATTCCAATGTTTTTAAGAATTGGAAGTCCTTTCTTTTTCGAAAATCCTGCACTTTTCTTGATTTGTTTTTGAGAGACCCTGTAAGACAGTAGTTTGGAAAAGTTTTTTCCATTGAGAATGGATGTACTCTTGGATTCTGAACTGAGCTCTGAAAGACCAAAGTTGCTAACACTATTCGTGTCAGAAAGTTTTTCATTGGATTCATCTGGCTGATCTTGTGACAACAGGGGAGAGTAGAATTTTTCTTTGCTGGTAAAACATTTAAGGGAGTCATGTTCAACTGTTAGGTCCCACATGTCATCCTGAGTAGTTAGATCGTAAAATAAATCGAAAAACCTCTCATTGATGAACTTGTGCTCTTGTTCCTTTAGAAACTCTGTGAATCTCTCCTTAATGAAAACAGGTTCATCTTTGTCGTCGCTGTACTGCGACGTGGTGTCAACTATTGCTTCATCAGTTATTGGAATTAGTGTGTTCCCAGATTTTGAATAGGCAGTGGATGGAAGTGAAAAAGAAGAGGTCATGCTTAACGAGTGAACTCTTGATCTTCGGCTGTTTCTAAAGCCAATATCTGAAAAATAAAGAACGAGACACTTTTTCAAGGCTTCTGCATTTGTGGAACCTATTATGTTGGGTATTTCTTTCTGTACATGACTACAAATGTGTAGAATAAATAAGGGGCTATTGGTATATCGCAGGAAACTATCAGTTTTCAAAGAAATATACACCTCAGTGAGAGCACTATCGAATAAATTGTTTGGGGTTAAAGAGATGGAGCACTCATGTTCGAATTTTTTGAGTGTATCCTCTTGAACCGTGTTTGGAAGATTTAGCTGTTTGTCACTCGTCAAAGAGTCGTCAATATATGTATCTATCATGGTTTTTGCCATTTCATATTTCTTGTTAGGATCCGAAACTTGCTTAAAGGAGTCTACAATTTCGATAAAATCAAGTGGTGCATCGTTTCTTTCCATTTTCAAGAACTCTCTAAAGCTTCGTAGGTTGTCTCCTCCTTTTTCTATAAATGTGTCAAAAACAATGGTAAATCGCTTCATGTTGTCAACCACAATTTGTTTAAGGAGTTTTTCGTCGATAGGTGTCGTGTTTGAACTATGGATTTTTTCTCCCAAACTGAGCGGTGAAAGCTCTCCGTTCATTGGATGAAACAGGCCCAAAGGAGTAGTAGGCATGGATCTCGAAGATTGAGTTGCTGCAACGTTCAACAAATTGCAACTCTTTCCTGAGTGTGGCCCCAAAATTGTAGAGGCACTGTATGGAGAGGTAGGAGAAGATACAAGACCACCTGGTGTGCCAGGAGGTGATTTAGGAGAAGTGTTACACTCAAGATTGCAGGAAAAGCTTTCTTGGGTTGGTTCTGATTTTCTGGATAGTTTCATGATGATGAACACTTGTGGTGAGGATATTTAAAGAGAACACACCAATTAATTCTCAGAGGAGCAAGATCTTGCGAAAGAACCAGTGATGACCCGTAAAAGACACGCGTGCCAACAAGTGATTGAACACTTCTAGTAATTTTTCAAAGTTGAAGTTGTTATTATTTACAGGGATCAATCTCCAACAGGTTAATCGCGAGAGAGAGATGATCCTTTCAAGTAAGTACTTTGAGAATTTCATCACATGATTAAATAACCAACATACAAAAGAGTGAGCAAGCCCAAGAGGTAATTATTGAAACGGAAATACAAACCTGCAGCGAAAATGGTTGTTTTCTTTTGGAACTTGAAGCAACCAACGAAATGTTACTGATGATTAAACAATCGCTTCATTTCCATTCTGGTACTGTGATTTGCATTTGGTAAGACAAACCCCATTCTAGAAATTGAAAAGCAATAAATAAATCAACACTCTCTGACATCTAGTAATTTTCAACTCCAATCCGAGTCTTGTAATAATGGAAAAGGCTTGTAAGTGTAATGGAGAAAGGAGGGGTTTGTTTTGGTCATTATCGTGGCTTTGATGTGACAACGAAGAGATGCAATCAATATGTACATAAAGTAAGACTTTTGACACTTTGCATGGTTTGGGTGTCCAGAATAAGATTATTCACAGAATTCGAACTGAAATTGATTTGGCCCTCCAATCGTTGCAACAAACATGAACGGATTTTCAAAAAGTGTTTCAAGGTCCTTCCAACAAGTCGTATGTCTTGAGTTCGAAGACAGAAACGCGAATTAAGATCTTTCTCAAGCACACTATCCATTATGAGACAGTAGGACAAGGTCACCTAATCTATATCGTCATTTTGTTATTTAGGAATGCATGACCTTCGAGAAGCCAATACTTTTTTAGAAATCAGGTGTTTTGGATAGAAATTGCTTTTGTAAAATTTGACCTATGGCGCCACAAGCTGTAAACAACCTATTAGAAGGATAATTGTATTATCGATTCAATAAAGTGATTGAGGTTCTTTTATTGTTCGAACCTTTTCAAAATTCACGCATCAGACAAGTTAGGAAGCACCGATCACTTTTGGCCTGATTTCCCAAAATTGAAGCGGTTATATCCATCGACATCCAAAGAGTTAAAAAATTATTGTTGTGGTGAGAAGAGAGCTCTCTACTGTTGCTTGCTTGGCATTATTACACACGCTCCGAGAGAGATATCTCATCCACATTTGACAAATTCTGTCATCTTGCAACGATATTGTTCATTTAAAATATTAGCCAACTCTTGACGCACCAAGTGTTGTTTCAAACGTTTTTTCATCATCAGAGCACACTATTGGACAACTGCTGACCTCTTATCTTTGTGAGAGTGCTTCACACAAACATACCATAGCTATCACAAGAACCATTTCAATCAACAACGCTAGTAATAACAACATCACCACTCATTCACTCCTATTGTGAATTCATTGATTATAACCTCTCTTCTTAATTTCTTCACAACATATGCCACCAACTCTCACAACATCAAGCCAGCAACAATTCTTTGAAAATGTTCATCATGCCATTCAAGAAACACTTAAAAAGTTTCAAATTCATTTGGAATTATGTATGAACGACCCTCCTTTCATGTCTGGTTTTTTTGAATTCCTAAAACAAGAACACAATGCTGCAAGCCTTGAATTTGTGTTGAGTGTGGATGACTTTGCTCTCGGAAGGATGGTTCGTCCTGTGAAGAGCACTCTTTTTTCATCAAATTCCACCTCCTCGTGGTCTCCATCCTCATCACCACTGCTTCCATCCTCCTCGTCTAACGGTTCTTCATCACCTCTCAGAAACTTCAAGATGAAAACAAAGCCCAAGAATAATAACGGTGGTGCATCCTCTGCATCCGCATCCTCATCTGCGTCCTCCTCCTCTTCATCAACGTCCATGAATAGTACCGTACACAACAGTGTTACAAATATCAATTCAATAACGGTGAATCGAAAACAAAAAGCTCGGGAAATAATTAGTCGATTTATCAACGATTGTTCTCCACATCAAGTGAATTTATCCTATCCTGTCAAGGAAGCAATAGTAAGAAATTTTGAAAAGGAATGTTTGAGACCTGACAATGATATTGATCCTCACTTGTTTGATGAAGCTAGAGTGGAAATAAGTTTACAGCTCAATTGTGATAGTTTTGTGAGATTCTTGAAAAGTCGATATTTTGTTCAATTCGTTACTGAAATGGTCGAGAGAGACGTTTCTTCACATAATATGGATCTCATTTACAAGTATCTAAGTTCATATTTTTCAAAGATTGGAGAAAGAAGAGAATCTGTATCACGAAAAGGATCGCCTCCATCGATGAATTCTCCTTCCATGTTGTCTCCAACCTCTTTTGACACTTCTCCCAACAATATCAACAACAACGACAACAACGAGAGCGACGACGTTTCTTCTCAAACAAATACTGAGATGGAGGAATTTTCCATCGATTCATGAACAATTCAATACACTCATGGAATGTATCAATTGTGAAACCGCAGATGACCGACATTTTGATCTAGTACATGCTTTAATTAACCTCGACAAGTTATGGATATTGGTTTCCGAAAACCCACAGTCCCTTATCTATATCTCAGAAAAGAAATTCTACCACAACAAACGAGGACTAAAGATTATCAAAGAAGTAGGCATCTTGGATGCAACACCAGAAGAAGTACTCTACGCACTGTTAGATATGAGAATTTTACACATTGTCGATGACATGATGACACAACCAACCTGTGTCAAATTTGCCCAGAATGACAAGTATGCCATGTCGTATTTAAGCTCTCGATTAAAAATGGTGTGGCCAGTGTCAGATCGTCACTTAATCATTGGTTCCTCGATTCGAGAAGAGCATAAACCATTTACTGGATATACAATTGTAAGAAAGTCGTTAGAATCCAACGACATTACAGTACTTAAGGGTTGTGTGAAAACAATCTTTCTGGGTGGAGTTGTGATTGAGAAAATCAATGAAAAACATACTCGCCTTACTCTCTCAGGATTTCTCGATATGGGAGGTAAATTTCCAGTAGGTCTATTCAACAAGTTATTGGCCATGAGAGGGTCTAAAAACGTTGAGAATCTAAAGAAGGGAATTTTAAAACGAAGAGAAATGAACGACGAAGAGAGGAAAATCAATTCAGAGAATTCGTGTCGAGTGATTGAAACATTAACCTATTGGAAGAAGTCCCAGAGCAAACAACCAAACCATTCAAGCAATTCAACCAACAACAACAACTAGATGTTGTCGCTATCATGGCGTCCATTTCGAATATTATCATCACACTCTGCACAACCCAACTACAAGTTAGTAAATTCTGCATAGTTGATCCCAAGAGAGCGTTTTACAGTTTTTCCTTCCGTCGCAACAAATAGGCCTCTCTATGATGTGTGACAATTATGGCAATCTGGCGTTCATGAAATGCACACAAGCCCAACCAAGACCCTCTGGCGTTCATGAAATGCACACAAGCCCAACCAAGACCCTTCACACAGGCAATGGGCCTTTGCCTTTTTGAATCGTTGGCAAGTCCAAACTAGAGAAGGACATGACCGTTGAAAAGCCGACCTTCCGGATTGGATTCTTCAGTGGGTTGATTATGACGTGTTTAAAAGCGCTCAAAAAAAACTATTGTTGTTGAAGCTGAGCTATCTTACGACTAGTATTCACATCCAATATTATTACCCAACAGTTGTTGTCAAGGCACTCTTTTTGGGGTTTCTTTGTGGGACTTTTGAAAATCATTGATACCAACTGAATCCATTCAAATATCCTCTGATCCAATTTCTCTCTTTCATTATTGAGAATCTCCAACAAAGAGGTACTTCCGAATTCCTCACCACCAAATTATCCATTTAGTTTCTCATCATCCGCAAACAAGGTGTTCTTTTATCCTTCCTATAATACTACTACTAGATCTCACATCGGTCTCAACCATCCATTATTTCTCTCTACACACGCGCATACTCTATCGCACACACACTCACAACATGCCAACTCTAACTTCCTATTTTACCAGTGTCAATAGTGACAACGATCATTTGGATTTCATTCCATCCTCAAGGTCACGCAACAATATCCTTGCACACAGAAAACCATCACCAAGAAGAACCACCTCCACTGTAACCACCATAACAACCACAACGAGTGGTCAGTCGGACTCTCCATCTTGCTCACCTCCTCCCTCTCCTCATGGTAGTAGCTTCAGAGGAGCAGTCAGTTTATCCATCAACTCGGAACGTTTTCGGTCCAAAAGCTGTTCATCAAGCCCAAATTTGTCACCTGACAGCCATAGCGCATCACGAAGTAAATGTTCGAGTAGTAGTGGTAGTAGTGGCAGTGGTTTCATGTCTGTTCATTCCCCTGGATTTCAAATAGTGTATAGTAGCAGCTGTAGTAGTGGTTCTATTGGATCCACTGTGGACAATGGTTCCATGGGCACAACAAATGCATCATCATCATCCTCCTCACCATCACCTCGTATCCTTGTCGATGGTTGTGATAAAACAGTCAAAGAGATTCTCAAATGTTATCATTTCAGTTTTGAGAAGTTTATAACGGCTGGACCTGAATTTGTGGAATCTTTCAAAGAATACTTAAATTTGGAATGTAATTTGGCTCCTTTTGAGTTTTTTGAAAAGGTGACAGAGTTTAAATTGTTGAGTTTGCCACAAGAACGAACAAATATGGCTCACACAATAATTGACAATTTTGTGAAAATGGCAAGTGACAAGGAAATTAATATTTCCAGTAGTATACGAGAGATGATTTGTTCTGAATTTAAATCGAATCAATCGAATGGTGATATTCCTCTTTCACTTTTTGATAGAGCCCTTACTGAAGTTCAATTCTCATTGAAGAATGACACTTTTCAAAGATATGTCACATCGAATGATTTTGTGAAATTGGTCATGCACCAACTTCAAGATACCACTCATTCTCCAACTCTAATTCATGGCAACACGACACTCACAAGTACAACTCTTCGAAGAATCAGTACTTGCAGTGAAGATGAAGATCTGACCTTTGAAAACAGTATTCATAATTTTTGTACTTTGATTGGAAACAAACTTTCTCCAACACCACCAAGAGGAAGAATTATATCATGTGCACATCAAGTACCATTCAAGTACCAACAACACATTGAACACAAGTAATGATCATTTGTAGAATGTTAGTAGTGGAGATATGAACATACTTTATGACATATATATTCACATGTGAAAATTGCACACGAAATGTTCACTTAAAAGCACAGTTTTGTAATCAAAGAGCCTCTCACTCTGATGCATCACTGAAAGAGTTGCAACTTTCCCCAACCAATTGTATCCCAAATTTCATTCATTGATTGCAACCTCAAATCACACACCTGCCGTGAAAAATACACATCCAAAATAAACCTGATCTCATCAAGCATGCTTGATCTCTTTCTCAACCATCCAGAAGAAGTCATGACTTTTAGATGTCGCTGCTGTGTGAATGGAATTTCTTTGATTTTCGAGAGCGATAAAATTAAATTTTAATTAAAAAATTAAAAAAATTTAAAAACACACTCTCAGTGTTTGTCTCTTTGCTTTTTTTCGGATCCACAGCAAGAGGGAATAAATCTTTGAAGAGCGAAGATTGATCCTACAAGATTGATATCAACAACATCTCCCAATTACGAGACCTATCATTTCCATGAACATTCATTCTTTCAAAACACTTGTTGTATTCTTTTTGTGGACTCTATTCATTCATTCGGAATTTACATCAATTTTTTTCACAACCACCATCCATCCTCATGTCCATCATGGAGTGAAAGTAGTGGTGGTGGTGATGGGTGAACTGATTCAAGTTCAAGTCGTTTCACGGCATTGTGATAGGACAACCATTCATGAAAATGAATACATTCCAAACGATCGATTTGATTGGTATTCACAATTAGGTTTAGCTGGCGGGTAAGTGAGAGATGTTGCAAGCATCTAATGTCCAATCAATGATATGTTTAATAATGATATAAATGATATCTAAATGATATATAATGTGAATGAAAATGCATACTAGTCAACTGACTGGTCTAGGTCAACAACAATGTGTCAAGATGGGAGATGTTTTGTACAATCGATATTTACATCCCTCTTCCAGTAATAGAATTAGGGGAATATCCTCAAGTTATAATCAAACTCAATTTCATTTTAGGTCAACCGATTATGACAGAACTCTCATGTCTCTTTTTAGTGTGAGTATGGGGTTATTTAAACAGGGAAGTGGTAGTTTAGCTATCATTAATAATGAAGAGCCAAATTTAGGATTTTCATTGCCTAATGGAACTCAAGCAATTCCAATTCATACTGAAACAAAGGATATGGATGCGCTCATTCGAGGATTTGAATTGTGTAACACTGTTCAATCAAGAATGAAACAAGTGGAAGAGGGACCAGAACAAACCAAAATTCTTAATGAATATCGAACATTTATTGATCAATTATATAATGTGACAGGATGGCACAAAAGAGACTCTGAATTACATATTTTGTTTGATTTATTACTCACACAACGTTCTCATCAAGCACTAAATTTGGAATGGGTGTTAAATAATTGGGAAACATTGGAATCTCTTCGAGATAAATTATTGAGACTCAAATTCAGTTATGCAACGATTGGACGGGAAGGATGTAGTAATTTTCATAAGACTTTATTGGAACAAATTAAGTCACATAAGGACAAGTATATTCACTACAGTGCTCATGATACGTAAGTGTGTTCATGTGAGTGTGTGATTGTGTGTGAGAAGAAGATGAGCCTCTATGGTATATTTCTATTTTAACAATTTCCTTAAATCTTGCCTTAATACCCATGTCAATTCCATGATCTTTTAGTACCATGTAAGTAACACTGAAATTGTGAACATGTTCACTGAACATAATAACGACTAATACTACGACTATTGTACTACACATATTCTCTCTCTCTCTCACTTTGTTAACATTTATATCAGACAAGCACTTGCAGCAAGTTTAAAACTCACACAAGACTATGAATTTATGGGAGCTCATCCTCCTTACGGTTCCAACATGGTATTCGAATTGCATCTTCTTGAAAATAACAAGAAAGCTATCCGTGTCGTCTACAATCATGGATATAATGATAGTAGATTTACACCACTCAAACTTTCCAGTTTTGGATGTTCACAAGAGTTTTGTGATTTGGATGTTTTTGAAAAATTATTACAAGAACAATCCATCACTACCAATTGGTGCATTGATTGCAATAGCCGAGATCGAGAAGTATGTTGTGGAAAGTTCAATAAGGGAGACAATGATATTGCCATTGCTTTTGTGTCCATTACACCCATTCTTGTGGTGTCTAATTTAGTGACCATGTTGATTTTGTTGGTGGTTTGTTTAAAGAATAGAAGGAAGTATGGATATCAAGGAGTGTGATTTTGCCATTCAAATGAACATTCACTTTGCCATAGAACCCCCCAATTAATGTTGCAATCTCTATTGTTAGAATAATGATAAATTTTGTTTTAATATTCATAAAAATGGTCAGTATGTCTTTGGTGAAATGAACAATATAAGGAATCAACGCCGCCTTTTCTTCCAAATCAAGGTGTTTCTCCATTTTCAATAGCTCGACTGGCGTTATCCCGAAATAAATTTAAAATCGTTTTAAAAAATCAAGAACCGAGAAAACAAGAATGAATTCATCTGTGATTGATACTAAACAGAGACAACAATTACTCCCTGATCGTTTTATTGAATTTTGCAAAGAGCTCACTAATTTCTCAGAGGCCAAAAGCGAGAGTTCTTGGCGTTTGGAGGCCTCCAAGGATGGTGTTTCAGTCTACACCAAACCAGTGGAGAATGCAAGTACAGGCTCCACTGAATTGGCCTTCCGGATCAGGTAAGTCATTGCATCACAAGTGGAATGCGTTAGATGAATAATGATGAATATCATATAGCGGAACCATCAAGAGCACGATTCAGGAAGCTTATGAAGCAACTCGACAGGTGCATTTCAAAGCAAGAGAAAAGAATAGTGTGGAAGAAGCGAGTATTTTAGAAGAGATCATGAATAAGGACAATGGTGAACGATTGGATATTACCTATCAACGAACACACTCACCTAGTACATTCCTAGTCTACAAGAGGGAATTTCTCTCTGCGAGATATTTCTTTGAGGACTCTCCAGAAAAGAAAATTATATTTGAAAAGACAATCGATCCAAGTCAAATGTCTGAGACAGCGAGGAAAAACTTGAACAAATTGAATGGAGTGAATGATTATGGCTGTATCTATGCTACTATCTATTTTCAAATTATTGAATTCCAAAAAATCAACAACGATACGACACAGTTTGACATTATAAGCAAAGTGAATATGAATGGATGGATTCCCATGAATTTGATTAATGCCTTGATTAAGATTGCTCCACAAAAAGCAAGAGAAGATATGGAATCATGCATCAAGTTTTACAGAGAATCAATAAAATCCAGTCAATAGTAGGTCATCAAGACTGACGTATCGGTTGTCTTAACTAGTCATGTGGAAAGTGACACAACATTCTCACCAACGCTCTAAAATCCCGTAGAACAGATGAGGATCCAACACACGTGATCTATTTAGCGAAATAAGGAACAGCACAACCAATTCCTTAAAAAATGTTCATACTCGGTATACCTCAATCTCTAAAATCATCACCTTTGCCAACGAGAATATTTCATTTCAGTCGAGTTCAGTTTCTTCTTTGCCAAGTATTCCTTTCAATTCTTATATCCGCAACGATCCTTAATTTAAATTTGTATAGTACAACAAATGCCGAACAACTTCAAAGCAGTGAACAATACAGTTTCGGAGGAAGATTAGGAACCTATGATCTGTTCATGGCAAATATTGTGAAGAGATCCAACTCTTCCTCTCAAGAAATTGTAGATCAAACAAAGAAATATCTGGCACGATCATTCAACTCTACATGGTGCGATATTCCGTATGTCCACAAAGAGACTGGCGAATTGTTGCGGCGTCGAGAAATGTGCCTAGTAGATAATAAGAGCATGAGATTCTTCTCAATATGGGATGGATACAATGTTTACCAATTCAATACAGAATTCACCTCAACACCAAATTCATGGCAATTAGAAAATGGAAGAATTAATCTCACAGGGAATTTACCTGAAGCTTGCTCTGGACAAGTATTCGTTATTGGAAACAACAATTACGCCTTATTTGTGAATCATCAAAATATTACGAGTAATTCTTTCTATACAAGCCTTAACAACACGACGTCCACATATCTGATACAAGGAAATAGCACCATCTTTTTAAATTCTCTTGATGCTCACAATAATATTATGAAAGACTCAAGATTCTATTTCCGAATAACCAACCATCCATCAGGAAGAGGAGTAATTATACGCAGTGAGAAATATAGTGACTTGTGTTTTTGTCAGCTCAAAAGATATCTCACGGTGGACAAAATGTTCGAAGTGGGCTTAGCTCCTTGTGATAGTTCGGATCCTTATCAAAAGTTCTATTGGACAGGAGCAAGTATCATAAGCTCAGTGACTGTTGATACTAGCTTAATTCAAGGAAGTGAAACTATGAAATCCACTTCGTATACACTGCGGTTTTTTAAATTAACGTATGGGCAGTCCATAGGATTAATCAGATACAATGAGCGTCCATCCAGTATTCTCACTCTTTTACTTCTCACACCAGAGAATGCATTGAAAAATCCCTACCAATTCAGAGAAAAGCACGTACTAACTTCATCAACAGTTATTGAATCATTTTACAGTAACCATGACATTGTTGAGCAAGATGTCACTCTGCAAAATCAATTAGCAACAGCATCAATGCCTTTCCGCTATTCAGAGGCATCTGTGAGAACAGAATTCTGTATATGTATCAATGTGTTCCTATTGATAATTGTACTTGTGGCAGTACAAAATCTCGTAATTTAACTCGTCGTGCAATTATTGCAACTCAATACACTTGTGGTCTGGCATCCATCTCTTGCCTCCATCTGCCTGTTCTTTCATTTTGAATCGCTGTTTGATGAGGTAAAATAAATTGCGATTTTGCATTTTGATTTAAAACCCAGTGATTTCTAAGTGTGTTTACAGTCTCTGCATGTGCCTGTGCCACTCGTTCTAAAGGATTTCCATTCTCTGATCTTATGTATCCTCCTCCCATCATTGACACAATGGGAACTGTTTCTTGAGCTTGAACATTGGTGTGTTGTGGGTCACGGCTTTTTATAAATTTTTGATCGTACTGAGCCATTCTTTCGGCAAATTCGGCCACCATTCTATCACGTCTTAACACACCAGCTGGTGACAAGCATAGTAGTCCCAGTCTGTCACCTTCTAAAACATCCACTCCTGATTGATAAAATATACAGTCAATTTTTCCTTTAAATTCTTGTTCAAGCGTGAATAGACTTTTTTCAAGAATTTTCAAATACTGCTCATCCCTCATTCCATTCTCAAGTTCAATATCCCAATCACTCTTTTCCTTATGCTCAGGAAAATTATGTTTACAATGCATTGAGAATGTGAAAGACTTTCCTTCATGTAAGTCACGTGCAAGCCGAGCTGTTCCATCTCCTTGATGAACGTCAAGATCAATAACTAAATACCTCCTTCCATTGATGCACAACCCAGAGTTAATTAAATACTGTCCTGCAAGCACAATGTCGTTCCAAATACAGTATCCTCCACCTTTTTCATGAAAAGCATGATGTCCACCTCCTGCCAAATTACTTGCTCTTCTCGAATAATTATGAAACACTGCATCTCGTGTGGCCTTTACTGTTGCGCCTATGGTGTGCAAGACGCGATTTCTTACAAATTCATTCCATCCACTCTCAAAACCCCAGCGTTTCATTTCCTTATGTGTAATGGTACCATTCAAAAACTTGTCGACATAGGTATGGTCATGCACTTGTTTGACAATTTCAATTGGAATTTGTTGTGGAACTTTAATTTCACTCTCCAACACATAATTGCATGATTGTAATAGTTGTGGAACTTGAATCCATTTTGGTTTATGAACGTGAGTGGTCGGTATGGCAAATTGAGCTGAAGAATAGCATGAGAAAAATTGAGTGATCCTGGGTGGGTGCAGATTTCCATCAGACTCTCGTGTGGAAGAGTCTGTATGAAAATAGAATTGCTCATAGACCAATGAAGGCTTGTTCATGAAGGTCCGAAGAAGCACTGTTGATGAATTTCTATACATCAGTCTGGATTGAATTTTAAAATTACTTTTCATCATTTTTTTAACTTGAAGATTCTCCTTGAGGATCAATCACAGAGAAGAAAAACACATCAAGTCCATACGCGCATGCGCGAATGATTATCGCATCATCATCATCATGAATAATCAATTAATTCCATCGCCGTAATTTCCTGGCTGAATTTGGTGATGATCAAATCTCTCTCGTGTACAATTTTTCGTTTGAAATTACCCTGTATTTTGGCATAACGATCGTTTTGCTTTGATTTGCTTTTGATAACTTGTGATTAAGCAGCGCGATGGAAATGCTTTGATTTCTCGTGATGAAGCGACTCACCTTTGAGAAGAAGATGAAAGCGAACTTTTGTCCATCTACAGCTCTGTTGGCCGCACAAATCCACTGAAAAAAAGTGAGAGGACAACTCAAACCCTGCACCACCTTGATAAAGCCTAGCTCTCCTTCTATTCTTACAACTCGGCCAACGCATAATCATCTCTCTCTAATTGGATCTGAATTACAAATTACATCATTCAATGCCTTCGTTTAATCCTCAGCTGCCCGATTTTGTAGAGCCCTTGTGGCTGCCATCGTTATTTCGGGTTGAAGCAAAAACAGATTTGTGGATGCGACTGGAGCAAGAGGACGCAACTAATTGTACAACAGAGCAAGAAGAAATCACTTCGCCCACGAGCGATGATGCCTTGTTCAATATTAAACGATCAAAAAAAGAGTACAGCGTTCATGAGATGAGAGATAAGGCACGACAATATATGGAAAAGGTAGGTCTACTGTAAAATATAACTATGATAATATCTACTCTTTCATATTCAAAACCGACCATTAGAATAACTATGTCGACGCGCTCGCTACCTTTGAAAAGTATATCATCAAGAGAACCAATGTAAAAAGCTCCCTCAATAGCTCCGTGTCATCCTCAATTACGACCAATTCTTCCAGTTCACAACCATCTGGAGCTTCAGTCGCTAGGTCAGATAGTGTGGCGTCTCAACGATCGGACAGAGAAGAGAGAAGCGTTAACCTCTCATTCAACAGCAACTCTTTGAAGATTTACGTTTTAATCGGATGCAATTTGGCCGTTGAGTACACACTTAAAGGAAATATTTCAACAGCAATAGATGTTCTTACTAACACGATTGATATCATTTCCGAGAATATTAAGAAATTGCAGAAAAGAGCCTCGTCAAGCAAAGGTGAGGGTCGTATGAGCAGATCTAGCTCTCGCAATTCACTTACAGGGCATGTATCGGATGTAAAATCCAAATTGAGAGATGATAAGGATCAACTTAACTTTATGAAAGCAATCCTTGCCTTTAATCTTACCAATTTACTCATCAGAAAAAAGAAATATTCCTCTGCTCTTTCATACTGCAAAATTGCTTTAAAAAAGTTCTCTTATTATGGAAATTCAGAATATGCATCCTTCTTTATGTTAACAAGAGCGGTCATTCATTGTCTAATGAAGAATTACCAAGACGCACAAAATATTCTGGTGGATTGTCTTATCCTTATTCGATATATGAAGTACCACAAAGGAAGAGAATATGCTGCAGGTTCGGGCTCCCTCAAAATTTCATGGCTATACATTCCAGCATCATCACCTGACACAATGAATGAGGATGATGCTTCAAGTATTTCTCGATTTGGAGCAGTTTTTCGAGAAAACTGGGAATCTATGATGAAAGTCCTATCGTATCATAATTTGGCTCTCTGTAAGGCGTATTTTCAAGCTTATGGGAAAGCGTTTAAACTAAGCGAGAGGGCAATTGAGCTTGCCAAGTCAATTCCAAATATTATAGATGTTGGATCTTTAGTTTCAACACTTGCCAAAACATTTAAATTCTGTAAGAGAATGAATGAGACAGCTTCTGCGTATGCAGGAAATATTCTTTTGAGGACTAGTTCAGAACCAGAACAAGTGCTTCAAACCCTTAAAACAGTTGTAGATGTTCGGAAGAAACTTGTTTCCCTACTACCATTTCTGGGGAAAAGTGATGATTTTAAGGATTTAAATATGTCAATAATTGAAGACGAGGATGATTTGATGGAACAAAAACAATCTGTGAGCTCTAGTCAATCTAGTAGATCAACACAAAGTGACGGTAGTGAAACAGATAAATTTTTGCTCAAATCGTCACTTAAAAATACAATTATTGCTGCACGACACGAAACAACTGCGTCAATATCTCATACAAAGAAAAGAACTCCTCAGAAGGTCGTGAACAACAGAGTCGTACTTCCTCCAGTTAAGCGAGTATTGACCTCCCTAGATATGTTAAACATTCATAACACCAACGAAGATGTAAATAGTAAGAAACCAAATGACAGTAGAAAGGCACAAAGCGCGCCGAAACAAGAAATTTCAAAGAGAAAAGAGAAGAATCAAAAAATTATTAAGGCAGAAGAGGTGGTTGCTGAAATGGTGACATCTGTATCATCAACAAAAACAACAACTGAAACCAACCTTACCAATACCTCTTCCACACCTAACATTACCAAACCAGTCAATGCAGACCAAGACCCAGCTCTGCAGGCTGTTATGGAAGACCCAACAAAGATGAAAGCATTGCTTATCATTCAACAAGCTTTCAGAAAGAAGTTAGCGCGAAACAAAGCCAAAAGGATCAAGATAGAAAAAGAAAATGCCCTTAGAGATTTCCTTGCTGAAGAGCGAAGGTGGTTCGAAGAGAACAAGGACAAGTATTTCGATTTGCTATTGGAAGAGGAGAAATAAAAAATCTAATTAGTTTATTGTTAGCACCATTGGTGCTGGTAAATCCGTGAGGATTGGGGATTGTTTTTGAAATGGTTTTTTGAATCTTGAGTTTTCATAGTATTTGGTGTGACATTTACCAACTAGTAAGGTGAGAATTATTTGGATTTCAGGCCAATTTTGGTAAATATTTGGTAAATTTTTAAGGTTGGGTATTTGAGTATCTCGAATCATTACTCCGTCATGGTGGATGATGAAAACTTTTCTTCTATCACAGTATCTTGATTCTTGATAATCGTTGAGGATGCATCTTATTGATGTAATTTCTAGGAATTTTGTGTAGAAAAAGTCCCTAAAACATTGAGTGTTAGGGCAATAGTATATAAAATGTTTTAGGGTTCCGGGGCATTTGCAGTGAGCGCATTGTCTTTCCTTATGTTGTTTGATATGATTACTTGTCAGATTTCTCCAGATTGACCATTTAGTCTCTGTGTCAATTTTAGATTTGATGAATTTCAGATTGATAGATGACCAGTTCTTGGTAAGGTGTAGACTGGAATTATCTCTATCAAATTGGCTAAACATTACTTCGTACCGAAGCAGTTAAACATTCCATTATAGGCTTTGCTTTTCAAGATGTGGATGGATATTTCACTATCTGTGTGAATTTTTGCCTTGGATTTAGGTGGATATCTTTAGTGATGTGAGTATAGCTGACAATTCAGCGACGTTATGTGAAGAAATAAAAAAAATGCTTCGAAGGAATGTGTCTTTGACTTCACAAACATCGGATTCAAATAATTCGGAAACTGACGAAGAAACACATCATACGATATTGTCATCTCTTGGAACAAAAAGTAACACCCATCTACACTCAAAATCTAATTTAAATCGAATCAATCATGATGAAATGGAATTACTTAAAACAATTCTAGCAAAACGGAAACAAATTTATGAACTAGAATTAAAAAAAATTCATTTAGAAAGAGAACATACTCGTAAATCAATGATGATGACGAATGAGGAGGATGGAACAAATTTTCTAAATAGCTCTCCAAACTTGTCCTCCGCCCATTCACATGCCTTTGATGAAGACACCTCTCCATTCCTTAAATATCCTTCTTCTATTTTACTCACTTTACTGCAACAACAGCAAGTGAAATCATCACCAACTCGTTTATTGACAACGTCGAATCATGACGAGAGGAACAAGAATGAGTCACAAAGTGAAGTGAATAGTATCAAAAATAATGACATCACAATGCTTACAGAAACAAACGTTCCAAAACATTGCGTTCCAATACGAACAGATGTCAGGAATATGGATTGGAAAGCACTTGCCAGTGTCACACAATTTGATGTCATATTAATGGATCCACCCTGGCAATTAGCAACTTCGAATCCGTTACGTGGAGTAGCGATTGGCTATAAACCACTCTCAGATAAACATATTCAAAATATGGATATCAATTCTTTGCAAGAAAAGAAAGGAGGATTTTTGTTCATTTGGGTCATTAATGCAAAATATACAAAAACATTGGAAATGATCGAACAATGGGGTTACAAATATGTTGATGAAATTACATGGGTGAAAAGAACAATACACAGACGTTTGGCAAAGGGACATGGTTACTACTTGCAACATGCAAAAGAAAATTGTATTATTGCTATGAAATGTAAATCAAAAGAAAAAGAGAAGGAAATGCTTGAAACTGCAAGAAACCGTGTAGCCAAGCTTAGTGACGTGATATTTAGCGATCGAAGAGGCCAGTCACAGAAACCAGAAGCTCTCTATCACTTCATTGAACAAATGGTTCCAGATGGAAAATATTTGGAAATATTTGGAAGAAGAAATAATTTGAGAGACTATTGGGTGACAATCGGAAATGAATTGTGAAAAAGAAAGCAATACACCTACTTGCCAAGGCATGAATCGATATAATTAATGATTAATGTTTTAATGTATTACAATGTGTGACACAAGTGAAAGTTTTTTGATTTTCACATGGTGGTGAAATATCGAATCTTGTTCAAGCATGAACAGACGCAGCAAGCTTGGTGTGAGATTTACTTTTGTTCCCACAATGCAGATTTTTCCTTCATCTTTTGTCTTCCTTCCATCAACTTTTTCTTTTCCTCTTCTTCTTGTTGTTTTTTCTTTTGAGCCAATGCTTCACTTCCGCTGTGTTTCAGCGCCTTTCTCTTGGCAGCATTCAATGTCATTTCCATTTTGTTTGTTTCAGTTTGATCTTGTGCTTGCATTTGTGCCAATTCATTCTTTGCTCGCAAAGCACCAACTCCTTCACCGTGTGACTTGGATTCGAGATCTTTAATCTTATTTTCACGTTCACGCTTGGCAGCATAGAATTCAGAAATGGCCTTTTCTAATTCTTCATTCATTCCTTCTGGCATGGTGAAAAGTTCTTCCAACAAGGCATAACCAACACCTGTCACACCAATTGCAAAGTTTTCTAAATGGTCCTTTGGAGCAGTAAGTTCAGTGTGTCTCTTGTAATATTCTTGTAAAATCATATGCTTGTAATGGAGAAGCAAATATTCAATGAAAGCAATGTGCTTGTTAAAGTCAAGGTCAATGTCACGAATTTCTTCACGACGTTGAGTAGCAGTACGAGTACGACCATTCTTTTGTAAGAAGTCAGCAGCTTGGGCTATTATAATGCAAAGGAATAATTTGATGGGTATTTGAGAATGACATGATGACAAATGACAGTCCAAAGAGAATACGGTTTTGATGGATGATGATTTTTACAAAACAATTTTCAAATCACCACGGAATGATCAATACCATCCGCATTGTATTCATCACCGCATCATCATTATCAATAATATTCATAAAATATGATTAAGAATTCATGAATGTATCGAATACTTTACAACAATAACAAACACATACCTTCATCCAATTGTCCTTGGAAAGCACTACTTGTGTTCTCAGAAATATACTTTTTAAAAGCATTTGAAAGTTTCACAACTTCTGGCCAATCATCACCCAAAGCAAAGATAAAACTCTTTAAAAAGAATTCACATTGTTCATCAATGGGTTGATTGACAAGTTCTTGGAAACGTTGGGCGTGTTTTGGATCAACTTGAGGCATGATGTGAGGAAAGAGATGTGTGAGAGTGTGTGATGTGAACGGATAACTGTTGAGTTGCTGGTGATGATATTTTTTTTTTAAAAAAGTAAAATGAAAACCTACTTGAAGTAGGTTGGAATTTCAAGTCACTTGACATTTGGCGTGACGTGTTATCATCATGATTGACAGAAAGTCAACTCCCATCACTTATCAGCAAAACATTGGTGAAAAAATTTGAGAAATGAATCGAGGTTGTTCACTTTGCATTCCTTGTCTTTTGAATAGCAAAAGGTTCAACTGTTCTGAAGAACTCTGAGCTCTCGCTTGAACTCATTATGCGAATCAAGAAACCCAACTTGGAACAGATTCAATTTCCATTTTCCATAATGACGCACATGTCATTCTTTTTGATCAACAAACAACCGTTTGACAGGGTTACAAGAGTTCTTGTCGTTTGCTTATGAACAAAGCACTCACCAACAAACATTCAACCAATGAACTCATAGGATCCCATGAACAGTTTTCTGCTTCAAATATTTCAATCATATTATTAACGTTGAAGAGTTGAAATCTAAAAGAAATATGTCAATAAAAGTACTGGAATAATTGCCCTCTTCCAGAAAGTCGAAAAAGTCGCTTTTTTACATGACACGCACTGCGCAAGAGTCAAGAGTTGATTGATGGTTACCTTGATCAATATTATATAAATGCTACACAAACATTAAAGGCAAAGTATTTAACCGGTGAAATTTGTGCATTCGAACTTTGTTTGGAAGCATTTCACTTTTTTCAATCTTGAAAGGCTGGGTAAACAATTGAAGGCAACCTTCAATGGAAGCATTTGAGTACTGATTGACTTCAAAGGCTCATTACAAAGAACAAACAAAAAAACAATAACACAAGTGGGAGAGACCCCAATTCTCTTTTCAATTTCACTATTATTTCAACAAACTCTGTGAAATCAAAGCACACATGAGCCCTTCACGTGTAGACTCCTCCTTCTTCTCGACTCGTTCAGTCGTCCATCTCAAGAACAATTACCACCATCGTGGTGCTGCTTTCTTTTTCCTGACCATCATCTGGTTCTTCATGATGATGACAACCTCTCTCTCCTCTCCTCGAGTACTAGTGCTGGCACAATCTTTGCGTTCTCCTAGTTTTATTAAAGCCGTTGATGTTGCCACTTCCATTTACATTTCTTCACAGGAATGGAAGGATTATTTGATGTCTTTCAATATTGTCTTTCCAATACCTTCCTGTGCCACTACGAGTGCCAGTGAGTTTCCTCCTACTCTCGATTTGTTAAAGAATGGAACCACACGAATGCCAGTGTTGAACATGTGTTATGAATCGAATGCGTTGCATCCTTGGCCACTCATTCACCAAAAGGCAGGACAGTTGTTGGTTTCAACTTTGAAAGCTCAATATAAAATTCAAGATTTAATGGCCAATTTCACAACAGTGAACACGAGTTTGTTGGGATATTTTGGATCTTTGAAAGCTGCTGTGGATAGTGGCGCTTGTGATGTTGCCATTGCATCGACCAATTGGGACAATTCAAGATTGAGTCAAGCTCATTTTCAATGTAAGTAGAGATGTTTGTTGATGAGGTCTGAGGTACTATGTATTCATGTTCACAATTTGGTTGTTGTGATATGTACGAATAATTGTTTGAACGTGGCACAATTTGACCAATCATATTCTTGATGTACATGAATCCACACGATTGAAATTGACACAAAATATTGTTCAAAACCAACTAGGTGCCTACGGGTCAAGCTTCAATGGATATTTGCGTTCTGGACTTGATAATGACACAATTAAAGTGTCAACAGTGAATGACCTCAATCAAGCATCTGTCAAAGTTGCTGTTTACAAAGCGACAACTTATGATCAATGGGCCACAACCAATCTTCCAAAAGCCCAAATTGTTCGTTTTTCTGGAGGTTACTATGAAGCCTGGCCTATGATTCTCAACAATCAAGTTCATGCGTTGATTACTGATGCTGCTGACCTTTTCTCCTTTTTGGCTGCAAATAAGGAGAATTGTACAGCTTGCAAAGCAGATGCTTTCGGTGAATCATTTTCATATGGAAGTTTTACCACAAACAAGATTGCGAGGTACTCACTAGCTACAAGTTCTGTTGTTATTAATTTTACATACATGATCGTTTTAATTATGAGTGTAATTATGTTCATGTGGTAATGAAAGAATTCACATATATGGTATACACAATTTTGCAAATAAATTCATCAAGTGCAATGTTTTGCACTAGTTCGTTATAATTGTCACGTCTGAAATGTAATTTTGATTTTCATGTGGTGTGAGTAAATTCTTCATGAATAGGAATGCCTTGTCAATTGATTTGGTATCCGGAAAGTATATGATAAAGCCATTTCGTAAAGCACTAATTTCCACTTTTGCATTGGGGTGAGGCAGTTCAAATTCGCCAGTATATTCATCCACTTGTTTTGCAGAGTAACGATGTCGCATGAAGACTCTTCCTATTGAAGAGTTTGTGTTTGGCTGATTCGTAACAAATACAACGTAGTCACCTGCACACATTGCAATAATGGAGTCCTTGTGGTCGAAAATACTTTCAATCGGCGCTATATCAACACCATGTGCACCAGGCGTAAGAAGCCACGTAGATTTTGTTTTCACTGCTGCACAGAAATATCCACACGTTATTTCTTGAACAGGATCTTCACAGAATACTCTTCGTACTTTGGGACTATTTTCATGACCGCCTTATTGAATAATAATACTTGTCATGAATTTGGTTTACTAAGGTGAGCTTACCTTGTAAAGGCGCTTCAGGCATCTGCCCTGAACTATTACAACCCCATCCATAAACAGCCCCACTGGCACACAATACTGAAGTGTTGTCATATCCTGATAAACGCATGTGAGCTCACTAGTTCAAGCTCGAGCGATCAACTTACCACATTTGGCAATTAGAGGTATTTCGTTCACAGGAAAACTTGTAATAAGAACTTGAATGTTGAAGAAATAATGTTGAGATGAAAATGATGAATTGAAAAAGTAATTTCAATAATGAAATTATTTCACGTTTCCATTCAATACAACATATTCCAGAGTTCATACATACCTGGATAATGAGATCGATAGCCAGCACAACTGCCATTACTATCACTTCCACAGGCATACACACCATTTTCTGTAACGAATATTGAGTTAGAATTGCCACCAGCAACTGAAAGAATTTTTGAATTGTTGAAATAACTACCACTCAAAGCTTTTGGTGTGGGAATGCTGTCCAGATCTACAACATATCTTGTAACCATACAATAATAACGAAACATAATGTTCACATACCAGAAAATCCACATTGATGTGAACTATTTTTTCCACACACATAAACAATGTTGTCTTGTGTTACAAATATTGAATGATAGCCTCCACAACTACCATCTATCACAACATGATTTGTCATTGGACCAACTGTAGCGACAAGTCCACGTTTTTTATGTGCTGTGATGCCAACGTTGTCATCTAATTCAATATCACCATCAAATCCACATCCTAAACAACCTGAGGAATTTAGCCCACAAGAATATACTCTTCCGAGGTCCGTGATGATGTGAGTATGTATTCTGCCCGAAATGACTTTTACAATTTTAATGTTCTCTATCACAATCTTTTTGCAAGGTTGAATATTTGAATTTGAATGATCCTCGAACATATTTGGTGGATCATGATGTGTTTGTTTTCGGAATGATCCAGCCTCATAAATTTTAGGGCCAAGCAACAATCCACCGGAAACTTCTTGTTTGTTTTCATAGTCGAGGGTGTAGAGGGTGGAAGAAGGCATTTTTTTATCTTGAATACCAAAGATTACTCTTTTAGAATTTTGAATTAAGATTGGTTGTTGTTTACAAAACCTCATATTCAAAATATTAAAGGAGAGATTGTCTAGTTTACAAAACATGTAATCGACGGGGAAAATCACTCTTGATCCTTTGTCTTTTGATCTAAATTCATCATCATGGATGTTTCACCATAATTAAAGCCATCTGAACTATTGGTACCAGTCCTGGAATGAGGTGAAAAGGACACCACTGTTCCTGTGGGTGACGAAAGTGCTTCGCTCATGGTGTCAAATAGTTCGTTCTGAACCTCATCTTTTTGATTTTCATTGGAAGGTGGTGATGCTGTGATACGTTCGTCTCCTAAGGTGTATGCCTTAACTGTACTATGCTCTACTTTAGTGTTAATTGAAATTTCATCCCTTGGTGTTAAATTGTCTTGAGTTGTGACAGTGTTTGTAATGTTGGCGTGCTGATGAGTTTCGTCTGGGTTTGAACTTGTTGATGCATTGCTTCTATTTCGTTCTCGCGATAATCCAATTGCTGATTGTACTCTTCTAAAGCTATTTCCTCGAGATCTTTGCATTTTCCATAATGATGGTGTTACATTTTGCAAAGTGAAAGGATGCATTCCACTATCATTGATCATCAGAGAAAGCATATTGGGAGTGTGATAATTGGGATGAGGAGGTGTATTAGAAGAATCCATATCATAATGAAATGCCGTATAGGTTCTAAGCTTTTTCTCCATTCTCGAGTCTTTCCAAAACAACATGAATGGTTCATCTTTTGCAATGCTTACAAAAGCGTTTTCATTAAGGGCTATCAATGACACAATTTCCTGTGTATGTATTTGAACTTTGGCAATATGATGAAACACAGGAGATTGAGCTTTTGGCCCAATGAATATACTTTCAATAATACTGTTGGAAGTTGAGGTATCGGATGTGGAGGCATTACTGGAGGCATGTGAAACAACATTGTTCGTGAGATATTTGGTGGTGTCCCATAACGCAATGCTACCGTCCTCAGCTCCAGTGACAATTACTTTACCAAAATGAAGCGAAATGATTGAGGTGATGTTGCAAGAGTGAGCATCAATTTGTTCTAACACGAGTTTACAGTCTTTCTGTGAAGAAATGTGTTCATCTGTGAACGATAGCATGACTTCGCTAATGTCGAATATAAACAAGCTACTATCTAATGAAATTACCAAGAAGTGATTATTTACAGCTAGTTGTGAGCATTTCTGGTACGGTTTTTTTGTTTGTTCATACAACTCGTGAGCTCTTGAAATAGTAACCATTTTGTTAAATTTCATCTCTCCATGATGGTCAATGTAGGACTTCCACAGGTCTACTTGTCCTATATTGTTGACAGTGCTTACAATCATGTCAAATTCAGAGGAGCCAGATTTTCCAAAGGAGGGTGATGGAGGATTTTTCTCGACCAATCCTGAGGTCAAGCTTGGCTCTGAGTTCACAGGGATACTTGTGAAAACGTTAAATAATTTAAGTTTTGAAAGGACATGGATGCTAGGAGGTGATGGAGCGTCTTGAGTGGTGACATTATTTGCGTCGTTGGAACCAATTGAACTAGTTCTTAATGAGTATGGCCTTAAAACAGTTTCTTTAGAAATAACTTTGTTTTCGTCACAATTGTGCTCTTCAACATTTCCATCTCTTGTATAATTGTATACGAGTAATTCTGGAGATGTTTGAGCGTTAGTGAGAATGGCCGTTCTTGAATATTCATTTGTTTCCAATTCACCATTATATGGAAGTGAAAGGGCAAGTATTTTGACAATAGGCCCGCTATCTGGCCTTTGAATATCTTGCAATAATTCACCAGTAAACCAATTCCAAATATATAACTTGCCATCAATTGAGCTTGAGCAAAATCTTGGTGATCCATCAGAAAAAAGCTCAATGGTGGTCACACTTGTTTCATGAGCAAGCATGGAACGAACAGGAGAAAATATTAAGGGTTGTGATCCTCCAAAGCTCCAAACCGTAGATATATCCCATAATTTGATAGATTTATCCTCAGATCCTGTTAAAATATATTGTGCAAATGGAGTATATTGGAGATATACATTTGCGTCTTCAATGGGAGGTTGAGTTAGAGCAGTTCCTTGAGAGAAAATTGGTACAATACAATTAACAGGTAATTTGTGGTGTTGTAAGCAGGCTATTTTTCTCGAATTTGTAATGTCCCAAATGAAAATTCGTCCATCTTGCAAGCATGCAGCAGCCGGTGAGCTTATTGGATGAACTATAGTTGAATGATACTTTGTTGAACGACATCTATAAAACATATATTCCTCATTAAGAAAGAAATAATGATGAGGAGGCTTCTTTTTCAAAGGTTTGTCAGTGAAATGATGGTCACAATACTGTTCATAATTCCAGAAATTTACATAGTATGGTAAACAGCAAGAATAACTAGTGTCTAAATTTACATTTCTATCATACAGAAGTACGAGTTTTGTAATACTGATCTTGTCATCAAGAGCTGTATCTGCAGAGGTATCTGTAATGACTGTAACCTCCGAAAAAGGATTAGTATTATATTTTGCAATATTACAATTTGGACACTCCTCACAGTAAGCGTATTCTCCATGATGTAGATGTCTATTATTTCGATGATGTGAAGAAGCATTGCTCAAAGAAAGTCCTGTTTGATTTTTTGGAAGTGAATAAACTGTGAAAGGTCCTAATTGTTGAGGAATACCTAATGTGTGAGTAATACTCGAAGAATTATTAGAAGCATTGCTGCCAGTTCTCTTTCGTTGTGGACTGTTGGCCGTATTGAATGATTTAACAGTAGAGGAAGAAAGAGCACTGTTAAAGGAATCGTTCAACTTGCTTGGCAGCGTTGGAGAATCGATAGGTCTGGCCATAGGCGGAACACTCACTTTTTCTCTTTGTGGTGACGAATAATATTCATTGTCAATGGTTTTTCGTAAAGAGTTTGAATAGAGAGCAACAGAAATTTCTTCATCACTCTTTGGAGAATGGCTCGTAAATGGTTTTTGCAATAAATTATTATTACTTTCTACTCGATGATCAAGTGATGTGATAAATTGTTGATGATCATCATCATCTCCATAAGAAGATCCCGGAGGTTTTGCCCGTGTTTCCAAAATTCCAATTCCACCTCCTCTTATTAAATTCAGTGCTGCTTGTTCCAAAGGTGAAGAAAAAGTATTGTGAGTGCCACTTCCACCACTGCTGGCACCTTGTGTGTTTAAAGGATTATTCGATGAAGGGTTTTGTTCGGAATCGGACTGAACAGAGACATCATCAAGATGATGATGTTGAGCCATGGATGGTAGTCCTTCTTGTGATTGAACAGTATATTCATAATAAGTGGAGGTATTATGTAAATGACGATTCATATTCAAATTTTGATTCTGATCGGAATTCAATTGATGTCCTTGCTCCACATTCGGAACTGTTGTTTGATGATGAGAAGCGTCCATGCCACTATCATTCAGAGTCGTAGCTCCAGAATGTGTTGTTGATCTTGTTGAACCTCTTTTGTCATAAAGCCATCGTTTCACATTATTCAACATTTTTTTGATTCTTATTTTGTTCAATTTCGAACTTTGCGTGGTCGATGGGGGTTCATGAATTTCATGCTAATAGTAACCTCTTCACATTTAAATGAAAAAGTAATGTTACAATTTAAGGTGCATTTGGATTTTGTTTTTGAATATGAAAGTATTTATTTCAACAAGAAATTATTGTCAAATTAGGATTTGCCAGTCCAAATTTCGGATAAGTAGGAAATATAAAGATGGTGTGAATGTTAAAAGGAGTGGATATTTCGATCAGTGCTGCTCTCTGCACAGATTCGAGACTTGGATGAGCAATCAAATGTTCAATTTCGAAACGACAGTGATGAGTGAAACAGTCCAAATCTTGTGGAGTGTTTATTGTAACTTTTTGGTTACAATATAATATTACAATAACAATATAATTTACACATTTGCAAGACCAGCATAAACTTGAGATTCAATGCCTGACTCATTAGATCCGAGAGCAATTCTAAAGTATCCTCTTTCTCCCCAATTGGTAGACCATGAATTAACAGCAATCCAATATGGAGTTCCATTTTCACTTCCCCATCCAATCAATGCGACTGCATGACCACCCAAAGCAGTGGTGGAGACATGCTTGTAAACTCCTGACTTGTAATTCAAGAAATCTCTATAAACAGTGAATCCAGCTTGCACAGAACCATAAGTCATGATAGCAATCTTAATTTGGTCAACACCTCGAATAATACTTGCTGATTTGGCCTTGTAAAATCTGAGTGCAGATCCATCCTTGCATTGGGATTGACATGATTGAGCAGAACCAGCTGAAGTTGTTCTTCCTGAAACATAAGGAATGCAAGTATCAGGAACAGTTCCAGTATTGGTCAAGAATCTCCAAGTACTACTCAAATAACCTCCTTGACATCCTCTTTCCAATGAATCACAATCGACTTGATATTCAGGTGAGAGTACAGTATAGGAATTAGCACCAGTGGCCACACAATATCTCTGAGCCAACACATAGGCACTAGAGAAGGCCCAACAAGCACCACAACTTTGTTGATCACGAATTGGAAGAACACATCGTGGCCAAGCAGTTCTAGCATCGAACGAAGCTGGCAATTGAACTCTTACTTCACCTTCAATTCTAGGTGTGTCTGGATCGTTGGGTAACAAACTCAAACCAAATAAAGAATTTCTGAGGTGTCCAATGGTCATATTTTCGAAACGAGCGTATTTGGTGGCTTTCCATCCAATGGTATGATTGGTGTTAATTCTTTCAATGAGATCATCATCATTGGCAGGTGTAGTACCATTTACCACTTCAGGTTTGTGTGGTTTTACAGGTCTAGTGGAATTGTTGTGATGTTGTCCACCATGATTATGAGAAGGTTTGGTCTTCTTGGAGGCTGGTTTGCCATTCTTTTGTGTACGTCCATAGATGGTAGTGGCTGATAAAGACAAGTAGCACAATGCCACAATACAGGCAAGTAGGAATAGATGTAGAGCTGATTTTCTGATGATGGCTGAAGTTGCCATTGTTCTCGAGTTATTGGTTTTTTTTGTGATGTCAGTACGAGTGGCAGCAACACCCAGTTTTATACGTTTTTCAACATGCGCACATGAAGATGAAAACAAAATACGGAATTATCTGTTTACGTAATAAGAGTAATATTGCCCATGTTTGAAAAGGAAGAATTTGCATAAGGAGAAGTGTGGGTGACGTTCGTCATCCATTGGTGTCGCATTTTAGAATCTCTTGATGATTTGTAATTCGACAATATCTCTCTGTGCATGTCTACAGTAAAATATAAGTTTGAGAATTGTCACAAATCATTAATGCTAGCATTAGTAGCAGTCAAATGAAGAAAAGCCCTATTTGATACATGAGAAAGAAATAAAAAGGAAAATATTTTACTTACTGCATCGATGTTGACTATTTTAATAATTATCAACATCAACTACCATATTTCAACACGCTAACCCTCAGAGAGGCTTTCATGTCCATCTTCTCTTAAAATGATGTAAATGTTTTCAAAAATTCAATTTCCTGTGGAGTACTCTCTCGATTCATGATCTTATTTCGATGGGGGAACCTTCCAAATTGTTGAATTATGTCTCTGTGTTGCTCTGCAAAACGTAAATAAGGTTCAAAGGTAGAATCTTCTTCTACGAGAGAATTAAATAATTGACATGATAATTCTTGAAGAGAGAGATCTTCTGAATGTTCGAGCGGAAAATAGAACCACATTCTTTCTAGGGGTGTGTGTAATTTCTTATCGGTTTGATTCTCGAGACACCATTTAGAAAGCTTTTGTGCAATGTGGTCGAAACTAAAAGCTTGGGGAGAATTGCGATACATATTTCTTGGAAATTGATCGAGCATGATGATACAAGCCAAGAGTGTTCGTTCGGATTGTTTGGAGAGCACTTTTTGAATGTCATGCTGATTGCTCTTTTCAAATACGAGCTCTAATTTGTATGCCAAATTTAACAACATGGGCTCAAAGGATGTTTGAATGTGACGATCAATTTCTAGAGATGATCGAAACCACCAACCAGTCCGTTGAGGATCATTGTCAAACCAAAATTTCAATATTCTTTCCTGTAGAGGTGGAAATAAAAGCATGTCATCCATTTGTGATAGCAGTGAGAGATCCACTGAGGTGGGAAATGTGATTCCCTTAAATCCTGCATACAAATTGAAAGGATTTGACCATGAGGTTGATGGTAGAAGTCTCATTAATGCATGTCGAACCACAACTGGCATTGTATAAATGGTTTTCAAATTTTCACATAGTGTTCGATGGTTTCTTTCGTCAATCCAATCTTCCAAATAGGTCACTAAACAACCATCGTCGTCGACCTGAGTGTAGTTTCTTGGAATGTTACTTTCATTTTGTGTTAAGATTTTCACCCATTGAATTTGTTTGGCGTCATCTGAAGCTTGACCATACACTTGATTGTTCTTCTCAGACATTACTATACCTAATACAGTGGAAATGATGAAATGAAATTGAATTTTGATATTTGGATCACCTGCTTTCATTCTTCTCTTCAGTTCTTCATTTAACTCTTTTCGAAAATGAATATCATCAGAAGTAGTTGATATTTTCATGGTTGCTAAATTTTCTGAATTTGAGTCGACTGATTCTGTTTTGTTGTCAACACCAACAACAGTATTTTCATCTTGGTGATAATAGATAGAATCGAGAGAATAAATTGGAGCATATGTAAAATAAACATAATCTGACTTAATTCCAGTTTCTTCCTCTAATTCTCGTAATGCTCCCTCTCGAATCGTTTCATCAACATTTAAGTGGCCTCCTGGAAGAGCAAGTAAGTTCTTACCTGGAGGCTTTCCTCTTCGAATCATGAGAATTTTAAATGCAGAAACATCTTGTGTGGTTTTTTCAAGCTCCATTTTAAGGAGAAGCACGCTGACAGCAGGCACAGGCGAATCTGGAAACATGCTTTTTGGAGGCTTAGTTGTGGATTGATTCGTGTTGTTTTTAGCTTGAGAAGGAGGAGAATCAAGAGTTTGAGTTGAGTAGAATCGTAGCACTGTATCGGAATGGTGATGACTTGGGATGAAATGCTTTCCGAAAAAATTTTTCTTCAAGCCAAATCCCGATAATGATAAGAATGGTTGCAATAATAGTGATGATGAACAACTGTGTTGTTTCGTAAGCAGCACACGCCAAGATAACATTTTTTTTAATTTAATTTTCAAAATTTTAGTGGACTTTCAAAATAGGTTCACGAGCTCGCAATCCATCTTTAAATGACATGTGTGTCTCCCTGTGGTGATCAATGTGTTTTGTAATGATGATTAAAATTACAGAGTGGGTGGATGAATGACATTTGTCATCATCGCAGCTGATGTCCCACTATACCTCATTAGAAAGTGCCCAATTCTTTCGAGCGTGCCTTTGAATTTTTCCATTGCCACTGGGTGCTTATTAGCTATGATCGCAATAAATCGATGTACAATGGCCAGAGAAGTTAATTGTTTTTGGAAAGCTTCGTTTGTGTGTAATGAAAATCCATTTCTCATTGCTTGTACCTCAATTTCTTCCAACTGTTTAAAATACATGACTAATAAATATAAAATTCCCAAATTTAAATATGAAATGTTGATGGCGTCTTCGGGAATCTGATGAATAATATCTTTCATTTGGTCTGCATACTGGAACATGACAGTGGTATATTGCATTTGATCAGTCTGACCATCATTGTATAATTTCTGATTGCGCATGGTCTCATGAAGCATAAGGATACTACATGACAATGAAAAGAGATCAGTCAACATGGCCAATGGTGAAGAAATGACTGAGTTTTGATCTCCATAAAAGTGCTGAGGTCTTGCTTTAGCATGGATCTTAATCTTCTTTCTGATAAGGAAAGAGAGCGTGAGATAGATCTTAATATTGTCTGACGTGAGTGGTTGCATGGTCACAGCTAAAACCTCTGCTGGTATTGTACCTGTCAAATAGAAGAAAGAAGTAAGCATTGACATTCCCACCAATGACTTGAAGGAAAAGGTGGTGTCATCCCACAAGCACGCAGATGTGATCGGTCCATTGAGTGAACTTGACAATGAAGCATGTGAAACAGAAGGTTGTGTAAAGTCGATCAACCCGTTCACGTATTCAAGTCCTCTCTCCATCATAAAACTAATTTCATCTACTTTCATTCCCATGAATAGTCTCATTTTCATCAACACCATGACATCATTTGGAAGATTTGTAAATACTGAGTATTGATTAAGGGTTCCGGTTGTATCTTCATCATCAGGCAACGTAGGACAGTTCAGGAATGATCTGTTTGCGTAATTTGGAATTTTCTTTTCTAACGATTTATCAGCCATAAATAAATATCTTTTTGCTTTTTTCACATTTCCAACAAAATAACAATAATTTGCCAAAACAAGATTCCTAGCCAATGCATAATTTGAGTCATAAATTTGACTCTGACGCATTGGAGCAGATTGATCTAAATTATCAACATTAGAAGGTAAAATAAATTCTGATTTCCTAAATGCTAATTCTGCTTCCTCATAATTTTTAAACACAACACTTGTCGTAGCGTGAATGGCATATAAGAGTGACATTAAATCTTTTCCAAATGCCGTGTTCATCGCCTCTGTTCCGAATAAATACGGGTCGAATACCTCATTTGGGATTAAAGAAAATCCGACCGAAACATATCTGAAGAAAAATTCGAATATTGATTTTCTGAAAAAGGAAGGATCAATATTTGGTGATTGTTGTTGAAGTTGTGGTGGTTGTTGTTGATGAAGAGTGTTCAGTGTACCTAATTGATTGTTATAGAGTATACTCGAAGAATTCGTCACGACCACACCTGGAGAGTTTTGAGTTTGTGCTAATAAGGTCAAATGTTCGAATTGTTGTTGATTATTGGTCAAACCTTGTGGCATGATCGAATTACCCATAGATGTCTGCATTGTCGAAGAGCTTTGAATTAGTGATTGTTGATCGGAAGATTTCTTTTTCTTGGGGAACGAATATGCTTCTAGAGTCTCATCACGTCTGTCATTAATCACAGGCATTGCTGATGAAGAGCTTGATCCAATGCCATTCTGTGAAATATCATGAACAACAGTTCCTGGTAATGAATTTCTTTTTGTGAGGCTTTGTGGTGACAATGGACATTCTGAAGGATTTTGTGAAACACTCTTTCGTTTTTTCTTATTTGAAGAGGAAGTTTTTGAATTTGAGTTTGAATTTCCTTGCCATCTAAATGTGAAAATTTCAAATGCGTTTGTGGCTTCATTGGAGTTTGATCCTCCTGTTGAGCTTGACATGCCCGATGTTGCAGAAACGGAAGAAATGTTTGAATCTACTGATCCTCTTCTTGGCAATAATGCAGAACTTACTGCTGAAAGAGGAGTCGATGTGAAAAAGCTTCCCGAAGATCCTCCACCAGTGACCATTGTAATACTTGATACATCATTGCCTGCTGGTACGGGTATCGCTCGTTGATACACTCTTCGTTGTTTTTTTGGTGTTGTGTAATTGCATGGTAATCCTTGTTTTTCACAATATCCACAGGATGGTAATTTTCTATCACTGTTGTGGTCGTGCACATCATCATCACAGATATTCATCGTCATCAGTGGAAGTGTCATCATAATTGTGTGATCACATATCAATGAAATCATAATATGGTGGTTAGAGAATTTAAAACATCAACATACCATCGTTTATGTCGTTCGCGACACCGTGAACAAGCAATTGGATGCAGATTTGCTTCTTTGCTTTGATTGACAGTGTTGTCCTCCGTGATTGCCGTTGATGACGATGTGGCTGATGCAGCTATGGTTGTTGTTGAAGATAAATTTGCGTTCAAAGAAGGCACTGTACTGTTCATGCCACAGGTTGATAAAATGGGGATGTTTTTTGATGTTGTTGTTGGTGACAGATTCATTGTTTGTTGTTGGTGCGTTAGAGCTAATTTTTCCGCAGTGTGCTGCCTCGGAGGGTGATTCTCTCCAACGTTGGAAGTGGTAAGTACTACGTTAGTGCTGTTATCTGCACCACGGAGATCGTTGGGTTGTTGAATCAGGAACTGCTGAGATGTGTTATTGGGAAGGTGAAGGTGTTGTATCATCAAGGGATGACTCACTCCTTCAGCTTGATTCATAGAGGTCATCATGAAGGAATTTAAAGAGTTCATCATATCCTCATCATTGAGAAGTGAATCCAAAAATTGTACGTGATACACGGAAGAAGAAGAGGATGTGGTTAATGTTGCTACTGAAGAGGCTGAAAGTTGTTGTTGTTGCTGCTGCTGCTGTTGGATGTTGCTATCGTGATGTTGGATCGGAATGGGCTGTGCGGAGTTGCTATTGCTTGGTGATTGAAACACATGCGCGCTTTGTGGTTGCATGTAGGCATTGATGTTGTTGTTGTTATTTGGAGAGCTGTCGGCCTGTCCAAATAAGATGTTGTTGGCTGATGGTGGTTGATTCATGATGGAGGCTCTTTGCTGCAATTCTTGTTGTTGGGAAATTTTGGATGTTGTTGATAAAGGCGCTGTATTGCTTTGCATGTACATTGGATGGTTGAACATGTGATAAGAGGAAGGTGGTATTGGTATGTAGGGGTTTTGGGTTCAGCCTGCAGAAGTAAAAGAACAGGAATGAAAGAAAGAATGAAAGAAAGGACAGATAACAACAATAACTCCGCGTTGTTGTTCTTCTCTTGCGTAAAATAATCTTCTTTTCAAGTCTTTCAAGGTGAGCTGGTTGTGGAAGGGTCTTGCTGCTTCGATGATGATGAAAACATTATCGAACCGGAAACGAAAGGATGGCCTCTGATTCTTGTTAATGAATCAACCCCCTCAATTTCAGTAAATCATGAATCAAGCTGTTGCTGCTTGTGTGTGTTCACGAGCTGTTTTTTCTTGCTTGTGGAATGATTTTTGGTATTCACCTGAGCTAGAGTGAATATTCAATGTTATCCGAATATTCAATGATTCGCCTGTTCTGGCTTGGTGGTCTATGCACAGAGAGAAGTCGATGAAGAGACAAAATGTAACAGACAGTAAATGAGTGTCTTCAAAAAACAGAGGATGGAAGTAAAAGAAGAACAACCAGCAGCAACAAGGATGAACCTGTTTTTTTGATTTTTGTAGGCACAAAAATGTAGAAATCGAGCAACCATTTTCTCTTCGCTCAGACTTTTTAAATCGGGTCATGACCAATTATGCTAAGCGTACGATTAGTTGTGAGTCCCATCAAGACAACTCGGAAGAGAGATAAGGGTCAATATTATCAATAACATTGCTCTCAAATTTTTGCCGATGATCACTGACACACTTATGTGCGCCTTTTCATTGTTGGGGAGTTATAAGTGTTGAAGGAATAGCCATTTCCAAAAAAAACAAACGCAATAGCATTGTTGAAACAACAATCGTTTACAAAAAATGTTGCGAAAATCGAGAGGAATTGTGGCTGCCAAACGGATGGCTATTATTTCCGATACCTCCTGCAAGAGAGATCCTCTCATTGTGAAGAATAAGAAAGATAACATTTGCTTTTTTTCGTTCCATAGAATATTGTCATCCACCCAATCGACTAGACAATTCTCTTCAAGTACAATACATTTAAATAATCGTAATCATCATCGAATGGGACCAAATAGTAGAATTAAAAAGATTCGGATTGGCTCTATTGAATTATATAATTCAAGCAAGGAAGAAAATAATCTCAATGATGATGACACATTATTGTCCATACCCAATTTTTCATTGTTCGGAGAAGACATTTCTGAGCTGGAACACCAGCAAGAAATTCTCTCTCATTTAAAATGGATGGCCATGAAGGACAAATTGGGGCAAGACATGTTTTTAATTGGTCATTATGGTGAATTGAAGAGACATCTGGCATTTACCTATTGCCAACTCACAAAACGAAAAGTTGAATATGTTTGCATCACAAAAGACACAAGCGAACACGACTTTAAACAAAGAAGAGAAATTGAATCTAATTCTGCATACTATGTTGATCAAGCTGCTGTCCGTGCTGCTAAGAATGGTGCGATCTTAATTATGGACGGCTTAGAAAAGGCAGATAAAAATATTGTAAGTGTGTTTGACAATCAATGACTGCTGTTTGGTTCAAAACAATTGAAACATTCTATTGTCCAAAGTTACCAATTTTGAACAATCTAATGGAAAATAGAGAAATGGCTCTTGAATCAGGAACCATGTTAATTTCTCCTCAACGATACAAACAATTAATCGAAGAAGAAGGTAAAACAGAAGAGGAATTACGATTAATGAAAATTGAACCTACACACGAGGATTTTCGAATTATTGCAATGGGATTACCAGTGCCTCCTTATGAAGGCAACACTTTGGATCCTCCTCTTCGATCCAGATTTAATTGCAGAATGATTGATCTGCCAAGTATGGAGACAATTTTTAACGCGCTTGCGAATCACCACAAAGGCGACCCTGAAAAGTTCTTCTCGTTTTTAACCTTAGAGCAGAAAACTGAATTATTTTCTACATTGATAAGATTTACACAGTCCATTGTACAATTGGACAATATATTAATGAGTAGCAAGACCTCGATTAATACGGACAGTAAGACGGGTGCAGTCGAATTATTACCACGATTTCCAATTGAAAATCTGAAGAATTTATTGGAAATGATTCATGACTATCGTCATGACCTTGTGAAATCCAAAGATGAAATTAAGAGGCTGCTATACCTCCTTTATCCAGCTACTTTGTTCTTATCGAGAGGACACAAAGATGAAAAACATGAGAATCATCACAAAATGATTGAGATTATTGAGGAACATTTGGACCAATGTGCATCTGCCATTCATCACATTCTTTCGCAAAGCTCCAGTGGCGATAATGATCATTCTGCATCTTCTCATTCCAGTACATTTGATGAATGTCTCAAAGAAACTACTCTTGAGGAATTCAACACTATTGGATTTACGCTCATTGAAAAACACAAAAAGTTATTGGAGGACATGCTGAAGTCTCACAAATGTCACAGAGATTTATGTCTTGTTGGTCCTAAAGGATCAGGAAAATCACTCATAGCTCACGCCTTTGCGTCCATGTTAGGTTACAAAACAATTGTGGTGTTTCCAATGTACAAAGAAATGACTTCAAAAGACTTATTGCAAAAAAGAGGAACCACTATGAGTGGAGATACCGTGTGGAAAAATTCTGTGTTGATTGATGCCATGAAGGATGGGCAGATTTGTGTCTTGGATGGAGTTGATCGACTGGGAACTGACATTTTACTTTCCATACAATCATTAATTCAAGAGCGGGTGCTCTATTTGTATAATGGTACTCGATACATTTCACACAATTATTTTGATAAGCTCATGTCAGAGGGTAACTATTCTGAGAAGGATTTGAACGACAAAGGAATATTCAAAATACATCCTTCATTCAGAATTATTGCTATTGGGTTAAGCGAGCAGCTAGATTGGCTTTCTTTGGAATTGTTTAACATGTTCCATTTTCATGTGGTTTCCAATTTATCTGTAGAAGAAGAAATCTCCTTATTGAGCTCTAGAGTGGAAAATACCCAAAAATCTCATCATCTTATTCGTTCTCTTGTTTTGATTAAGAACGAGTATAATTCTCTGGAGCAGAACGAAGATCAACGATTAATTTCAATGAGAGATTTAATTCGAATTGCTAAACGAGCCATACGTTTCAAAGATGAAAATTTATTAACCTTGTTAGAACGAACCACCATGACCTATCTTCTTCCAAAGCACCATTCTGATTTATTGAAGAAGATTGTCCAAAAATATAGCGATATCACCACTACTTCTCTAAAAACATGTGAAAAATCTGAAATTCAAATCGAAAAAACATCCAATCATTTAAGAATTGATGATATTCAGGTTGAGCTTCATCACCATGCTAATTTATTACTTGTACCAAAACCATATTTTATAGAAAACCAAAGTCATGCGGCAGTTATGAAAGCCATGTTAAAAGACCACCTATTAATGGATCACACTCTGCTCATTGGTTATCAAGGTAAGAAGACACATACTTAAATATTATAATTTTATTTCAATGCATTTATATTTGAAAGGTGTTGGAAAAAACAAAATTACGGATCAATTTATAAATCTAATGCAAAGCGAACGAGAATACATGCAGCTGCATCGTGACATTACCATAGCATCTCTTACTGTGGTTCCATCTGTGGTTGATGGTGTGTTAAAATATATTGATTCTCCGCTCGTCAGAGCTGTGAAATATGGCAGAATTTTAGTATTGGATGAAATTGATAAATGTAACATTGAAACTGTGTCAATTTTGAAATCACTCATTGAAGATGGAAATATGGTGTTGGGAGACGGCAGAAGAATTGTCACCATGCAAGAGTACGAAAAAAGAAAGTATTTGAAAGATGCCAATTTAGATCGCCTTCTTCCAATTGTGAAAGGTTTTAGAATTATTGCCTTAGCAAATCCTCCAAATTTTCCTTTCCATGGAAATGAATTTTATTCTTCGAGTGGAGATATTTTTTCAACTCATTTTGTCAGCAATGTGGACGTTGATAGTGAAATCAAGCTCTTGCAAAGCTATGCTCCAACTGTACCAGAATTAATCATTAGAAAATTGAGTGCTGTATTTAATGATTTACGAGTGGCAGTTGAAGACGGAATTATTCAATATCCTTATTCAACGAGAGAATTGGTACACATTGTGAAACATTTGCAGGCTTTCCCATCTGAAACTACTCTTCAGGATGCCATTGCCAACGTTTTTGATTTTGATTCATTTGATCGAGAGACACTCGAATTTATCAGTAAGATTTTCCAAAAACATGAAATTCCAGTTTCATTCAAAAATTCAGGTAAGTTATTATCATTATGCGATCTCTTCTCATGTGATTCATTCGATTAGAACAGTTTTCGATACGGATCGCCCAAGAAATACCACTTATCAAAAGCAATGAAGGAAAGAATATGTGTGTACTTTTGAACAGTAAGTAATATTGTGCTAGAAACTTTTGTTGACACTGATTTACAAACAATAATAACCGCACTGTACGAATTTATTAATCAGATGCTGATCTAACAAATGCTTGTGAAATTCAACAGGTATCCTTTTTCATTAATAATTACAGAAGTCCTCAAATGTACTATGCAGCCTATGAAGAACCTGATTCAGGAGCTTTTGCAACCAAAAATCCTTCCAACAAGTACACAAATTTAATGGAATTTAGTGAACTTCGATATGTCATTAATTTACCTTGCAACAAGGCAAAATATATTGTCTCGTTGGAAGATTCTGTTCATGTGCTGTCAGTATCGAATCCTTTTGGATTGATTCATTTTGAAAGTAATCAATGTGACTCTTTCACGATCACAGAACTCTATCCACTACATTCTCGACTTGGAACTAATTCTCAGTTCTTTTCCTTGAAGAAACTCAACACCATTGCCTTAATGTCTGCCAAAACTCAACGACCAGAAAGATTTTCACCTCTTTCTTCAATCATGATGGAAGCTACGGACAGTACCACCATGATGGACGTAGAGTTATATGCCTTTTTATATTGTCCTAAAGGAAACAAAAAATTTGATGTGGAAATTTCATATCAAGAGAAGATTTACAAATCAACGGCCAAGAGGACAAGAGAAATTCCATTCCAAATATTGACAAAATTTGCAAATTCTCATTCCATGTGTTTGGTGTTCCAAGAAGGATCCTTCACCATTGCAGTGTTGAATTTTTCGACTTGGGATTCTTCAAAATCTGTTCGAAAAGGAACTCTGCCTCACACTGCACATGTGTTACATTTTCCATTTCCTATTCGTACAATCCATTGGATTTCACCAAATTCATTCCTTGTATTGGAACATGATGAAGTAGCACCAAACTGGAAACTTGTTGAACTTGTTATGAATGGAAACGAATTAAGAACTTGTATTAAGCTCGTGAACGAGCTTTCAAATGTGACTCTCAAGAACTTTGATCTATTCACATGCATTGGAAATGAAAATAATTTTTTCGCTCGACCCAACAGCCAGTTGCTTTCTGAAAGCATTCTGATTAGACACTTGATGAAAAACGATGAGTATCTCACCATTCAAGCTGATTTATCTTTGAAGAAAGGAAATCCCAATATTTCAAACGTGGACATGACCTTCCTCAACAAGACAAACCAATTACTCATGATTCATCACCGAGATGCATCCACCACTGTTGGTGCCACAATGGAAGTTTTGAATTTTCAACGAAACACTTACCGCAAAATTACACCTCCAGAAAGAATGCTCAAATCCATCTCCAATTCGAACACTCCTTTGATGCAAAATTCATTTGTAGAGCTCAGTAATGGATATGTGGCACTCCTCCACGCTGAAAATCAACTGCTTCTTTTCAACCTCAATATTGACAAATTGTCAGAGGAAGCTCTCAGCTGGCAACAATTTAATACATCCAAAACATCTACAAAAGAATCACTTGAAATTGAATACATTGATCAAAGTAATAGGGAAGCTACTTTTCCAAAGCATGGAAAAGAAGATGATTTACCGCATGTAGGAGGTAACACATTTGCTGGAGGTTCTGGTGGCAGTGATACTGCTGGTCTAGGTGGATTTGGTGGTCCCTATCGATTAGCAAAGAAGGGAAATCCTGTCCTACAAGTTTCAGATGAAGTGAAAAAAAAAGTGAGTAAGGAAATATTGGAACGAGCTCGAAAAATGGCTGAAGAAGCTTATCAAAAAAGACTTCAAGAAATTGACATGTCTAAGGATGAAATGAATCTCTACGCCCAATACAAGAATAATGTCACGCAACAAATTGATCAATTAAGAAAAACATTAAGTTCACTAAAATGGAAGGATGAAGAAGAAGAACGTGTTTGGGTTAAAAATCAAACAAGTGGAGAAATTGATGATAATAAGATTGTTGAAGGTATAGTTGGAGAGAAGAATATTTACAAAAAGAGAGCTACCGAAGATGAAAAACACAAATCCAAACACCTTCCTAAAAAGAAAAAAATTCATTTTGTCATGGATGTGTCTGCCAGCATGTACAGATTTAATGGACAAGATGAACGATTGGACAAACTTCTCGAAATTGCAGTCATCATTATGGAGAGCTTTAAAGGATTTGAGGATCGATATGAATACAAAATTACTGGTCACTCTGGTCAAACAAGTTGTCTCGAATTGGTTCACAGAGGAAAACCCCCACAAGATGAAAAAGAACGTCTCAAAATTCTCTTGAAAATGCATGCTCATTCTCAATACTGTTGGAGTGGAGATTCCACATTAAGGGCCATGAAAGAAGCATCCAAACAAAAAGATTTTGATTTTGTGGTTGTTTTTTCAGATGCCAATTTATCTCGTTATGGAATTGAACCTCAAGATTTAGCACAAGCTCTCAAAAAGAATGTATATATTGTGTTCATTGCATCCATGTTTAATGAGGCACAACAATTAACACAAGCACTTCCCTCTTCGAATGGATTTGTGTGTCTGGATACTCGAGAATTGTCCACCACGTTCAAAAAGATACTCTCTCAAAACATTTTAAAGTAAAAAGAGAAGTTGCGTTCGAGTCGTTTCGAGGCGTATATCTTTCTCAACACACAATATGTTCGTTTAACGCCTTTTAAACGGTAACATAACTAGAAAATTGCAGAAATTCAATCGATTCATTTTGATTGAGCGATCAATAGAATCCTCCGATTCCAAGAGATTGTGTGTCTTTGTTCTCAGAATGAGTGCACATTTTCTCCTTTCGGTAATAGAGCGATGCCTTTAGGTTCATCATCATTGATCAATCACTCTTTAAAGATCAAACTTTTGTAAGAGAAAAAATAGAACAGCACACAGTAAGAGTGGAAATACACTCCCATCATTATCATCATTATTGAATACAAGAATAATCATCCTATCAAATGAAAAGAACAAGTTGGAAGATGATCCTCTCGACATGGTCTTTGCCTTCATCACGACATGTCACGATCCAAAAACACCTCACCACACCCACCATCACGACCATCACAGCAGCTTTAACACAACGATTGAACTTTCATGGATGGTCTTGTTCCGAAACCTCCCATTCATCTTCTTCAACAACAACAACAACAACAGCAAATGGTGGTGGCGTTGCTTCAACAACAATCAAAGACGTGGAACCGCCCGTCAATGTGGAAAAAGGAATTCATGATCGACAAGTGTCATTTGCAAAATCCATTCATAAACCAAATGAAAAAAAGAATTTAGTAATATTAGGAAGTGGATGGGGAGGTTTTCGATTGTTGAAAGAAATTGATATGGACAAGTATAATGTTTATTTAAGGTAAATTGAAAAGAATTGAAATAATGGAAAATATTTAAAAACTTTAAGCACACCTCGTAATCATTTCCTATTCACTCCTTTGCTTCCAGGAGCAGCGTGTGGTACTGTCGAATTGAGATCTATCATTGAACCAGTACGACGAGCAGTTTACCATGAAGGTACAGTATATTTTTAATATTTTCCTAAATTTAGAATCACTATTTGTGAAAACTTATAAACATGATATTGCAAATCAATCATATTAACGTAAACCATTGTCAACAACATGGTAAAATCATCATCCAATAGATTATCATTATTTTGAAGGAAAGGCCATTGCCATTGACACGGAAAATCAACGTGTCATTTGCAAACCTAATTATGAACAAGATCCAAACTTTTGCCTTAATTATGACGAACTTGTCATTGCCATTGGATGTGATGTGAATGATTTTGGGGTACCAGGTGTGAAAGAACATGCTTTTCCTATTAAGGAAATTTACCATGCTCGAACCATCCGCAATCAGATCATTCAATGTTTCGAAAGAGCTGCCAATCCGTCAACTCCTGTTCATCTCAGAGAGACATTACTACAGTAAGTGAGTTCACAACACACGTATTTTAACATTCTTGTGTCATGCGGGCATTCAATGAATCATTGATTTTTAACAACATTTGAAATGATGAATGTTTATCATCAACAATGACACGAACCTCTTGAATGCATTGAAATTCTCTTAAATACATTCAAATTCTCATGCTGATAGCTTTGTCGTGGTTGGAGCAGGACCCACAGGCATTGAATATGCTGCAGAATTACACGATCTCATTCGAGATTTATCCAAACATTTTCCTCCAGATATTGTCGAAGAAGTTCGATTAACTGTGATTGAAGCTGGAAGTACTGTGTTGAGTGCCTTTGATACTTCACTCCAAAAGTACACACAAAAATTCTTCCGTCGCAATCACATTAAAATTCGAACGAATCAACGAGTGAAACAAATCTTATCTCCAAATGCTGTAGAATTGCATGATGGATCGATTATTGAGTGTGGAATTGTCGTTTGGAGTGCTGGTATTCAAGTAAGTATTTATTTGTTGTTCACTTGTCTCTTTGAATTCATTTTAAACTTGTGAATTGATTTTTAACTTGTCTCTTTGAATTCAACATATAATTGTAATGAATTCATGAACTAATTTCTAATGACAGCCTCGTTCCATTCCAGTCACTCAGGGACGTCCACTTCCTATTGATCCAAAATCAAAGAAAATCCTTGTCACTGATCATCTCAAAGTGAAAGGATTTGAGAATGTTTATGCAATTGGAGATGTTTCCTTAATTGAAAACATGCCATTGGCAGCTACTGCTCAAGTGGCTCAACAAGAAGGACTCTATTTAGCACGTTCTTTGAATGGAACAGTTCCAAAAGACACACCATTTGTTTATCATCATTTAGGACAATTGGCATATATTGGAAATTATAGAGCAATTAGTCAAGTTGGAGCTTTGAAGAGAGGAGGATTTCTCAGTTGGATGTTTTGGAGATCTGCCTATTTGACACGATTAGTCTCCATTAAGAACAAATTTAATGTATTGATGAATTGGACAAGTACCTTCTTCTTTGGGAGAGATATTAGCAGATTTTAAATTCCATTATGATTCACAGTTTCAAAAATTCCACACAGAGAGAAAGCTAATAAGAGTGAATGAGTGAGGTCTTTAGAGTCATTCCTCTTGAGGATGGGTTTTAGTGTTTTTTTGATTTTTTAATTTGAATCATCATTTATATCAATAAATATTTTTTAAATACATTTCAATATGAAATATTAAATCGTAGTATATGTATAAATAAATATGAAATATTAATATTTTCTTTTTTAAAATTGTATTGACCTTGTTGAATTAAAAAATGCACAAATGTTCTCGATGTGGAGCTCAAGTAAAAACCATTCGATACGATGCAAATCCGAAACATTGTTTATTCATGTGTGTGAATGAAAATTGTACCTTTCCTTTTGATTTGGATAATTTTGAGGATTATCTATGTGAGGATGATATTTCTCATCAACAGGAAAAATCATCTGTTGAATGTGTTGATGATGATGGTGGTGTTCCGAACGACGTCATCGTCCATAAGGATGACAATGATTATTACATGGATGATTCATCATCATCAACAATGAATAAGAGAGAAATTATAGAGTTATCTCCCTTTCAAAATCAATCCTCTCAACAGCACTCTGATAATATTGTTGATTTATTCAAAGAATACTTTTAACTGAAATTATGGTCCAAATTTACATAAGAAATTCTTTTTAGGATATGTACATGATCAAAATGTAAAAGAAACGCAATGACTTTGATGGATATGTGAAAGCGATACAATGGAATAGAGAACACGCGTGTGACTATGAAAAAATTCTTGGAGTGGTGATGGGTTGGGAATTCTCACGGCCAAGAGATTTAAGAGGCCAAAAATAACGATCAATCTGATCCTTATAAGCTTTTATGTGAAAACTTTCGATTTTACCAAAACAAACAAAATAACTGAAATCAACATGCAAAGTATTGATCAAACCCTCCAAAACAAATATTTGTGCAAAGATCTCTTTGATCTTGCAAAGCGAGTCAGCACTCACGTGGCACGAAATGAAACACCCTCTCAATTCGAACGATGGCAACAAGAATTCGAGAGTGTAATCTCTAAATTGGAATTCATGCCATCAGGAAATACACTCGTTGCAGGAACCAATAAAACATTGCAACCTAATTGCAGTGTGATGGGTGAGGTGAATGATGACAATTTCGAACAAGTGAAGAAGAGATCGAAATGCCTTTGGGAAAAAAGCCATTGGTATTGGCTACTTTATTAACACGTCCGATCCTGTGAAAACATTGGAAGAGTTGTCACAACTGAATGATTCCATCTCACTGTGGGAGAATCGTCCAAAAAGAGGAAATATGGCAGTGATATCCGTTGATCATCCACGATTTGCTGAAGTTGCTGCGTATAAGGCCTCCAATTTATCGAGACTCTACAATTTCAACATTTCTGTTGCATTGAGTGATGAATATATGAGATCATTGAATTCTAAGGAATCAACATATTGGAAGAACAACAATCGCACTCCAAGAGAATTATTGCAAATCATATCTCAGCATTGTCATGCGTGTGGTGATCCTGGTTTGGTCTTCATTGATCGTGTCCAGAGTGCCAATCGAGAGCTCACTTCAGATCTTGGACCCATTCGTGCTGCAGTTCCCTGTGGTGAGTAATTTCTGCATGACAATGAAACCTGTAATTTAGGAGCAATCAATCTCAATGCTCCAACTCTCTTTGATGAAAGTTCAAAAACTATTCACTGGAAACGTCTAAAGCGTGTGGTTTCTATTGCCATTCGCTTCTTGGATAATGTGGTGGATTTGTTGGAAATTCCTGATGAACAAATGAGAGACGTTTCCAGGCAACTTCGAAGAGTTGGTTTGGGTGTTGCAGGTTGGGCTGATTTGCTCAAGAAAATGGATTATCAATACCAGTCACAACAAGCGCTACGATTGGCGGATCGCGTATCGAGAACCATCACAAAGCAAGCACGCAAAACAAGTGCTTCTCTTGCTCGTGAGAAAGGTGAATGCACATACAGAAAGGGATTCAGAAATATCTCTCTCACATGTGTTCAACCTACTGGTGGCATTAGTGCTCTTCTTGGTAATCAAGGTTACTGCATTGAACCCTTCTTTGCAGAGGCAAATGATCTTTCCTCGAATGCTCATATTCAAATGCAGGCTGCATGGCAGAAGAATATCGAACAAGGTATTTCAAAGACCATTAATATGCCACACAGTGCAACAGTTGAAGATATCTTTCAAGCCTATGTGTTGGCATTTGAAAAAGGCTGTAAAGGAATCACTGTGTATAGAAATCAATGTCGAGAAACTCAGCCAATAAGATGTAAAGCGTGCGAGGAGGATGTTTGTCCTAAATTGTAGATTATTCCCTAGTAGTGTAAAAACGTTCTCTCTGTAAATATTGTCACAACGTCAATCTGAATAAAACACCAACTAAGCCCTATTCAAAACTCAATTTTCTTGCTAGTTTGTGAAGCTTATTTTCTTCAATGAGTGCGGTTTTTTCAGCTTGCAAATGACACTTTTCAGCGCTCAATGAGGTAATATCAATTTGATTTTCGATACATCTCTTTTCTAAACTTTTCACACGATGTTCCAATATTGAGATCCGTAATTTTGCTTCTTCAACTTCTCTGTCCTTTTCAATGAGATCTGATTCGTGATGGCTCACAATTTTCAAATATTGCTGATTAGTTAAATAAATATCTTTCTTTAGCAACTCATTGGTATGTTGCATAGTAAAAAATTGCTCTTTCATAATCTTATAGTCTTTTGTGTCCATCTTTGCATCTTTTTCCAACGCCAAAATGTACATTTCATGAGAATTGAGATCATTCAGCAACTTCTCATTTTTGTTTTTAAGTTCCTCAAGCTGTTGTTCATAAAGATCCACAGATTGTTGTAGTTTGTCTTTCTCGTTAATTGATGCTTCAAGTTTGTCCTCCAAGACCTTGATGAAGCTAGAGTGTTGTTCTTGCATCGGTATCACACGGTTTAGCTCTTTTTTAAGCTGTTCCACTTCGGCTTCAAGCTTGGTTTTCATGTCTTCCAATTCCTTGTTGTTTTTGAGTATCTTCATGTTTTCGGTCGAAATATTGTGTAGCTCGTCTTCAAGGTTCATCAATCTGTGCTCATTCTGCTCTGTGGTTTGTGTGTTAAGGCTGCCAATTGTTCTCGATTCATTTCGATAATTCTCCATCTCTTTTTGTTGTTCAACAATTATTTGATCTTTTTCCTCCAACAAGTATTGTTGTGATTGCATTAAAGATATTTTCTGATGAAGCTTGGCTAGTAGTTTCTCACATTTGTCAGAGATACCTTTACAGTCCTCATAACCGAGTAAATCTTCAATACTTTGGACAAATGTTGTATAGATTTCAATATCTTTCTTAAATAAACTTAAATCTTTTTTCAACTGAATAACTTGTTGTGATCTGTCCATTTCACACACCTCTTCAGGAATCTGATTATGGTTGGTATTCTCATTATTAGTACAAGTTTCTTGGTCTGCCAACTTTAGTCTATCAACTGTCCATTGCAACTGTTCTAAATGCAAAGATTTCTTAGAGGTTGGAAGATTCGTTGTGCTTGACCATTCAGATCCGTGAGGTTTGCTCTTCATTCCCCCAGAGATCTTTGTCGACAACATTGAGTCAATTTTCTCTAAGGCTTTGTTGCTCACTTCCAAATCCATTTGAAATTCTTTACATTTACATGATAGCTCGTTGATTCTATCCTCTGCACTATTCAAAGCATCATTCAATCTAATTGTTTCGGCAGTCTGGCTTACTAACGACGCTTCAAGTTGTTGTGAAGTGGACTTTTCTTGCTCAAGGTTCTCTCTCAATCTGTTGACAAGAGATTGTAAATCGTCAATTTTTTGTTGCTTGTTGGCATTTTCCCATGATAATTTCCTATTTTCCTCTTTTAGCACTGTCTTTTCTTTTAGATACTTTTCCTTTAGAACATTGGTGCTATTCTCTAATTCTATTGTTCTTTGCACTAGCTGTTTTATAGTTTCTTCAATCGTTTCGTTCTGTGTGTCATTCTCATATGGCTTCAACACATCTCCCACATTGCGAAGAGTTGCCAACACCTTCTCATACTTTGAGGAAAGACTATTGGCCTCCTCAACAGAGTTATTAACAACTGCGTGAAGTTCTTTGAGCCTCTTTTCTTGCAAAATAAACGATTCCTTCAATAAATTTCTCTCATTTGATGTTTCTTGTAAGTAGTTTTCAATTTTGGCGATTTGAGCTTCTTGATCCTTAGAATATTTGTTTATCGCCCTGAAACAACTCATGTGTTCCTCTAGAACCTTGTTCACAATCTCTAATTGCTCTCGCTGAGTTTTGCTTTGTTGTGACACGGCACGCCAATGATCTATCATCAAGTACAAAACAAGAGCAATTCCACACAGAATTGTAAACGAAATACACAGCATAACAATATTTGGTTCTTCATTATCATTGTGTGTCACCAATTTGATCTCCATCATCGAAAGTAACGCTTCCATATCTTTTGGTATTGAGGTTGCCATTTCATTGGCCACTTCATATGCAACCCGTGTGTCGTTCTTGCATGCCTCAGAGATTTTTCCTTTTAGAAAAGTCTTGATGGCATCCTTTTCGAGAGTGTTGACTGTTTTGTTGAGCTTTGAGAAGGTATAGAAGAGAGCTTGACGTCCAATAGCGGCTTCAATCACTGTCTGAGAACACAATCTCGAAAGAGATTCCAGCTTATTACTATATTTAAGAGGTCTAGGCTCTCTTAAACATCTTGGAGATGTCAAGTTAAATACCAATTCCACATTCATTCCAAAAAGTAGACATTGTTGCACGTAAGAACATTCTTTGAATGTACTTTTTCTAAATTGGGATTCCATCATTGAGAAACAATTCTCTCTAAAATAGGATGTGGTTGAGCAACCTAACATATCATAGGCTTCATCGAACTCAATGATGGTCTTGTTGAAAATAATATTCTTAACAAATTGATTGTAACACCGATCATTCAAATCTTTAAACAAAACAATTTGTGAACTTGAAGAATAGTCCAAACTTGTACCATCGTAATGGCCAATCATCTCGTCGGGGAGAGCAGAGCCTTGAACACTAAGTTCCGACAGGATCATGACCATGATTTGTATAAACAAAATTGAATCCATGGTTACTCCAATCATCGTTGTAGTGATACATCTCATCCTTTTGGTTGTTGACAATTCATCAGCATGCGAAGCAAGCCTCAACATCATTGGTTCAATTTTTTTCAATTTACAAAACCGAATGGAATTGGCGCAATCGAAGAATTTAATTGTTTCGAAAAATGAAACGAGCGACTTGGATCTGTCGATATTCATACGATGCTAAACACCAACAACCACGTCGAACGACGAGTGATTGTTGTTGTTGTTGTTGTGCGTCTCCAGCGAATATTTCAAGAAGACGAGAACAGACTTTCTATAAAAATGGTTCAATTTTTGATCATGACCACAAGATTTCAAGTTCCGAGAGTAATGTTGGGATCATCACAATTTCAAAATCATTTTCATTTCATTACTCTCACAAACCACACAACGATGGTGGTACTGATAGGACTCTTCTCAGCAATTTAAAAATTTCAAATGTTAAAATTGAGCGTGACCATCATATTGAGAGTCAATGGATTCGATTACAACGAATGTATTACAATCAAAACGGATTGCAAAAAACTTGGGATATTGCTATCACTCGAGACTCGGTTTCGTGTCTCATTTACCAAAAATCACAAAAAGCATTTATTATTGTTAAGGTAAGAGAATGATGCTGTTCATGGAGTGTGGAATGTAAAAAAAATTGAAAATTAAAACACAGCAATTTCGACCAGCAATATTTGCACGACAAGTGACGGAGCTGAATCAAGATCCAAGCGGACCTAATGTCAAATTACCAGATCAAATTAAATTCACATTTGAATTATGTGCTGGAGTTTCAGATAAGAATATGTCACCTTTGGAAACCATTCAAGCAGAACTCGAAGAAGAATGTGGATTTAGAATTCCCAAAGATTGCATTCAACTTGTGAATACATACTACACAGGAACGGCTTCCAATGCGAGCATGCAATATTTATTTTACGTAGAAATGAATGACGAAAGTGAAAAAACATGGAAAATTGGTGAGGGAGGAGGCCTCGAGTCTGAAGGTGAAATCATTGAGGTCTACAAATTGCCACTCGAGAATATTCATCGTTTTTTAACAGATACCACAATTCCAAAACCTTCCACACTTTGTTATGCCATCCTCTGGTGGTTCATGGAAAAAGCAACCGTGCAAGAGCAACAACATTACTATTTCAATAAAAGCAATTAAGGTTAAAATCACACAATAAAGCCGGAAATATATAGTGACCGTCCCATTTTAAGCAATTTTTTTCCCGAGCAAAAACCTTCCAAATTGATTTTTCCTAAAACGCAAATTTTTGACCCAGAGGAATTGCAAGATGCAAAACCCAAACACTAAAACTTCTCAGAATGGATTAACTCTAAGACTATGTGATCACATCGATGTTGTTTGAAAGAAATACGTTGTGTTGCCTTTCCGAACCTTGCAAAAAGTCGCTCCCGATCCGAGGATTGCAGATGCAACTTCCTTTCTAGATCTCAAGAGATTTTTTTAAAAAAAAACTTTCCGAGAGTATATATCACTGTCACATTATTCATCCACATTATGAATGTTCGCCCAACCACAGCAAGCTCCTCGTCAAAGCAAGGATCTCGAAAACAACAGCTGACACACGATCAACCAGCACAGACAAGACAACAACCATTGAATCAATCACAACCACTTCAACATCCTCATACAAATCTTACTGTCAATCCAATCTATCTTGACGACAACAAGAAAAAGTCATCAACCTCCAGTCTGACTGTCGAGTCTGCAGCTCTGGACATCACCACTCACCAACCACCGTCTGCATGCTACTTGATGACGCACACACCTTCGGACATGCAAAAGACAAGTCAAGTGATCACACCATCAGTCTCTCACCTGACTCAAGAAGTGATCCAAAACATAATCTTGACCACCACTCCAAATCACAACAGTCAACCATCAAATTTCAAAAATGCCGTATTTGGAAGTACAAGCCCAATTCTCATGATCCCAATACTCCCTCCTAGTTCAAATGCATGCTCCAACCAAACTCCATGCATGACCCAAAGCAGTCCCCTTCACCATCACGATCATCCATCCTATTCAATAATGAAAGCTTCATCATCACCGAATAAGAAGCCCGAATCGACAGCGCAATTTATTTTTCCGATTCGCAGCACCACAAAAATTTACGATACGCCATTAGCACCTTCCTCATCTTCCTCCTCGTCGTTAGCCAGAAGTAGCAGTAGTATTGGAAACAATCATCATAACAACAATACTACAAACATCAACAACAATTTGTTCTACAACCAATTCGGAGATTGCTCAATCACTAATTATAATAGTTCTACAAGTTTTGGTTTTATGGGGTTTGATTCAGTTCCCAATAGTAATTTTATTTCCAACAACAACAACAATAATAGTAATGAGTGTTTTTATTATCTGAATCCATCATCATCGCCACCAACTGCCCATGTCGGATTTGTAAATAACGATCTAGATTCTAATTCCATAAACATGGGCATAGAGACCATGCAGCAACAACAAAATATTAATATATCGGGGTTACTAAATTCCATGCTGAGCCAAATGGCTCATGACAACACAAATTCGTCATCATCTGCAATATCAAGTACCAACCAGAACAACGTCTCACAGCAAACAAATTCTGTCCCTCCTTCTGAATTCGCGCAATCTCCGAACCTTTTTATCAACACCATCAACAACATAACCAGTATTCCGATTTCACTCTTTGGCATGAACACCCCCCAAACACATCCGCTTTCTCAACGCCAACAGCAACTTGGCGAAAACAAGAGCAATGTCACGATTTTTGCAACAGCCAATGCACATGATAATTTGACTTTGAACGCTGCAACAATGCAACAATTTCATCTCCCTCAAGCAGGCATTCCTATGACCTCCAACTCTAGCCTTCCTATTTCCACAAATTCTTCTTTCATTAACACCTCTCCAACTCCGATACTAATGAATCCGCCAATAATAGAGAATCCTTCAAACTCGTTGAATTTAACACCACAATCTTTATGTAATTCCAGCACAGACATAACAGCAACAGGTGAAGTTGATCTACCCAATCAATTCGCAGTTCTACCCAAAAAGCCAGCCAAAGCAAGACGAACTTCACAAAACACTGGATCAATGGTGGCAACAAATTTTCATCCTGTTACTGGCTCTACAGACACTACAGTTGGCCTGTCCTCGACACTGAATTCACTCAATAGCTTATTGCTAAAGAAAATGGCTGTGGATGTATATTATGATATTACAAGTGCAGGCCATCCTTTTTTACCTAGAGAAGAGTTGGAAAGATTACCTGTAAATGATGACCAGAAAAACAACCTTGCCTTCATGTTTTCGCTCCAAGCATTATGCTATCAACGTTTTGGAATGGCAAAGCAAGCTACTGAATCTTTTGAGAAAGCCAAAAGCCTTGCTTTAATTTCTGCGAACGAAAGCAATGTTTTTAACACTGCCTGTACACTCTGTAATTTGGCCATGTACTGTAACTCAGCTGGCGATAGGGAAAACGGACAAATATTTTCCAAGTTCATAAACTTGAAGATGTTGAGAGATCCCAATTTTAGAGAACATCAAAATCCAGAACAGTTGAAGGCTCTCATTCAGATGAAAAAAATTGCAGATATTGCAGGAGGAACAGGATACTATGGCGATGACACAGATTTGAGCGAAATTTCTAAGCTTATTCTTTCAATTTATCAATATGCAACTGGAGGAGAGAGACAAATTCCTCCTGAAATGATGATGATTGCGAAACAGCCTCTCAATATGGAAACTCTTCCTCAATATTTAAGCTTATTGGATTGTGTGATGAAACTGATGCTCATTTACGAATCAAAAGGTCAACATTTTTCTCAGACCCAAAAGAAGATGACCAAATATATTTATTATGGCATGTCCTATGGCTTGAAAATAGTTCTCCTCAAAATTTCTGGCTATGAAGGACCAGAATTAGAAGAGGCTGCAGATAAAATTACTCAGCTCTGTCGAACATCAACCTTCACCTTTGTACCAGCATTCTTAATTGAACCTGTAGGCGCCGCAATGGATGTACATTTTCAAATACTGAAAAAGGTTGATCAAGGAGAAAGAAGCAGTGTAGATGGGCCTAAAGCATCAAGATTATTACGAAGAGATATCGAAGCGATCAAACTGTTGAAATTACGATATCCTTTGGTGTGCGCAAAATTTGATACTCTTGTTGAAGAAGCTGAAAAGCTACTCGATCGAAGAGGTAAAGACTTGACCGTTCTTTTGGATGGCGAGTTTTATTCGTCTAATCCAGGTGGTATAACCATTATTGAGGATGAACTTGGTCAAGCTTATTGAAGGAGAGGTACCTGCTTCTGTTTCGAGCAAGAGAAAGAATCATAATGATGAAGATGAATACTCACCCTCTCGAGGTTATTCTGCAAATTATGTACCTCCAAAGAATCAAAATCCTCCCACATCCAATCTCCATACCAGTACTTCTGAACAACCTTCATCATCCTCAAATGCAGCTAACTTGGAAATTGGCAATTTTACATTTACTTCTATTAGCAACAATCACGTGATATCAGGAAATAGCAACGATATTGGTATTAATCCAATAACATTTTTATCTGCAGAGGACTATGAGCTTTTGTTTGGAGATGACGACACTGATGACGAGCAACCATTTGAGCTGTAGCATCGTGTCCAATTGCACAAGCATGCAATGATCGACTTAACTCACTTTGAGCTTCAGTCATGGGTTGAACACCTTTGCCCAAATCCGCCAAATGAAAAAACGAAAATAAAAAATTGAAAAATAACGAATGATAAACAACAACAACCAGACATCTGGACTTGATCAACACACTAATGTACCGCCATCATCAGCCGGTGTGAATCATCATCATGCTCCGAATTCAAACAATCTGTTCCTTTACAAAGGATTTCTTCCGTTGGATCGAAATGAATTTCCAGTTCACTTTGTTCTTCATCAAAATATGATCACTGACAAACATTTTCTTCCTGAACAACTCTTTCAACTATTTACACAAATTCTTACATTTGAATATATTAGAAAAAGACATACCATTCCGAAGAGCCTCCTTTTTTCATTAGAATATTTTTATGAAAGAGAACAAATGAAACGACGAAATATCATTCCAAAACAAATCGATAAGCCTTTCAAGCAATTATTTGACAACCCAAGTCTATTTGATGCAGTAGAAGCGGCAATTGTCAGAGAATACATGCACGGTGATGACCGACCCTTGACAGAAAATGAAGGGACTATCGAAACAATTCCTCAAGTTTTATCTTCCTCAAATAATGCCACCACTTCAACCTCCTCTCCAGAAACAATGCAATCAAGTGTGGAATCAACCTCTTCATCGTTACCAACCCATTCTCAATCAAATAAGAGTTTGACAACTGTGGTAACCTCTGAAAAACAACCAGAAAATCCATCAAAACAAGTCACAAGCCTCAACCTACCATCTTCGAATTCTCCCAACAAGAAAAATGAAGACCTTCAAAAGGGAGATTCATCTCAGCAACAACCTTTAACCAAGGCATTACAAAATAATCAACCTAATAGCTCACAAATTGGTATCATTCCAAGCTCTACTCAAATTACACACAAACAAATTCCAAACAATACCCAGAAAATCGTATCATCAAATGCCAGTAATCCTCTTTTAAAACAATTAACTCCAAGGCGTGTTAAGCAGCAAGCTAACCTACGAGACACACAACTAACATTAATAGGACTCGAACTTATTTCATATACGTGTGAAAATTACCCAAAAGGAAATCAAATATTTAAATCCTTAATTGAAGAGCCTATTCCAAATCCTATGTTAAAACGCCCAGCATCAACAATGGAACATAATGTCACAAATAATTCTATACCATTAATTGTGTTGTCTGATGAAGAGAATGAGACAAAGCCTCCTCCTGAAAAAACCAGAAAACTCGAACCTCCACAAAATTCATCTCAATCACAAAACGTTGCAACAGTGACGAACAAGACCCAAGACAATTCTGTCACATCTTCTAAAAAACATACAATTAATAATTATGATCCGAACAAAGAAGCCTCTACCCTAATGGAATTATCTCCGTCTGATGATGAGGAATCGACAGAAATAGTTTCGAAAAAAACATCAAAGAAAACCAAGAAGCACCGTACCAGCAAGAGAAAGCCCATTCAAAAACCAAAACAGCAAAACAACGATATCTTCTTTATTGAGTACATAATTCGGAAAAAGATTTTGGAGAAATCAGAACCAATTTATTTTGTGAAATGGTTAGGGTATGCAGAAGATAGTAATAGCTGGGTTAGGGAAAGTGACATTTTAGACGTCAACTTGGTAACAAGTTTCAAAGGTGAGGTGATATTTGAAAATGAACGTGCCAAAAAGAAGTATGAGGAACAACAGAAACACAAAGAATTTCAATAATCATATTCATCTTCTTTGTTGTGATGTTCATTCATTTTCATCATGTCCACACCTTCTTGGCCATACATCATGTAGCATAAAAGCATGTCTTCGTGTGTCAAACGACCAAAATCTCCAGGTAACTCTGTGTTGGATGCAACTCCAAAGCCCATCATTCCATAATTATTAATCTCGTGGTCGTTTTGTTCCAGGCTCGGCAGTCTGATTAAAGATGAATTCGTCTCACTTGGAGTGTTGTTTTCTGCTTTCTTCTTTAAAACATCCTTCCGAATAAAATTAACAAGTTCTTCCACGGACTTGAAATGAAATACTAATGACCAAATTTCATTTGCATAGCAACTTATTCGTTTCAGCAGTACCTCATGAATTTTTGCATTTTGTAAATGGTTCAGATTTTCCTCATCGTAGGAAATAGAAAAATCAATTTCATCCTTCTCGTTTATGTATTCTGCAAAACAATTCGCTAAAATGTGAGAAATATTTCCTTCATCATGTAATTTACAATTTTTGTCAGCATAACGATTATTGTGTTCATCCCAATATTCAACATCAATTTTCATTCCAACCTTGATCCTCGATTTTCCATCCTCAGTCCAGTCATCCTCATTAGCAACCACATTATAATAATAATTATCAGTTATATTTTTAAACTGTGATGAATCATCAACACCACCTCCATCAGTCAATGAATAACAAGAGGATGATGATGACTTAAATTTATATCTCCTAGATTTTGCTGCCTCAAATCTTCGTTTTGATTGTTGAACACACTCCTCACACCCATCCTTTCCGAAGGGTGCATCCAGAAAGGATCCATGAGAACAACCATAACGGATGACGACATTCGTCATTTTTTAAAAATTTATAATATTCAAATGTTGAATTGAACAATGCTGTTGTTGTTGATGATGGATTGGGTTGACATTCCTGAATGATATTGGCATTAAGCCTCCGAAAGGAGATACGGAAACGTTCTGTTGATTTGTCGATTCAATAATATTTGAGGTGTGAACACTGTTGCAATTTATACAACACCAAAAATGACTTGATCACACACAATTGGAGAGTTCAACATTTACAGCAGATTCATGTGTTTTCTGAAAGGTCCTTCCACGAATCGATCTTTTTTTTCTAAATTGCATCGAAACAGTAACTTGGGATTACGCAGAATATTTCTGACAACGATATATTTGAAGACACACTCGAGCAACTACGTTTCCAAAACCTCAAGAAAAAGCTTTGAGGTTCATTCATACAATTTCTTCACTTTTATGCTTAATTGTAAACCACTTTACAAACCCCATCAATTACACTGCACTTTTCTTGTGTAAAATCCTTTAAATAGTAAGTTTAGGCTTTGAAAAATTGAGAGATGAATTTCACGTGAGATTAAATTTAGGTCTTCACGCGATCCTATTTTCGGGAGTTTCCTAATCTTTTCTTTCCAAGCCCAAGTCCTATTCAACTTATGGATAATTATCGGTTCTTTTTTCATGGTTTGATTAAATTTTTGTGTGAAAATTGTTTGATGCTTCTCTTTGAAACAACACCGGTTATTCCTCCTTTATGATGGAGTTTTCAAAACGATTGTTTTCGAAAAAAGAGTCTTTGTTGTGATTGTAGTCACTCGTGAGTCCGTCACAAGATCGCACACGTTGTGTTAACGAATTCGTTGTCAAGTTGTTGTCACTCCACATGTCAGTAGTCTTCTTTGATCCATCATCTCCTATGAAGATGATGAATCACAACTCCCCATCTGCTCTTCCTGTTGGTGATAGAGTACAATCCCCTCCTAAAAAGAAGATTCTCACTAAACTCAAGACAACCGTTTTGATTCAAAAAGAATCAATACTTGCCAATGAGAATCCATGCGATCACCACCATGTGAATAATTATTATAATAATGGTGGCCATTATCCAACAACGACGAACTCTCAGACTTGTCCTCCCAATACTCCAACGACTCCATCCAACACCAGTCAATGCAGTAATCAATCGAATTCAAGTGCAGCTTCGGGTCTGTTGTGGAGTTTCTCTCAAGAGTACAACAAGAAACAACTTCCAACTTTTAAAAACTTTAAGGTAAGTGTTGTTCATGGTGATGATTAAGATCTTTTGCTGATCGTGTGATGTTGCTTTCCAATCTGATGTGGTTGCTGTTGTTTCACATGACACGGCTTGATTATAACCACGTTACCCAATTTATATAAATTGGAATGTCTTTCGTGTTGACACGTTTGCCTTTTCATGCAATGAATAGACCAAAGCTGTGAAAGGAGGTTTTCAGTCAGATTGGAAAGCAACAGGACCCATCATGACACACACTCTGAGTTCTTCATCAACAACAACCTCCTCAAGCTCTAATAGTTGTTGTTCAACTCCAATCACAACCACCTTGATGACACCAACCAATCATGTGTCGATGATGACCACAACAATCGCCACACCACAAGGAAAGAAAAAGAAGAAGAATCAAGTCATTCCTCAGCAAGGGCTTGTTATTTCTCCATCTCAAACAAGCATTTCTGATCAATCGCCAATTAGTCTCGAAAGTGTGGATTCACACTCGAGCAATGATTTGATTTGGGTTCCTCATTCACCTACCATGAACCAAGCTGTTGTGTCCATTCCAACATGCACTGCCTCTATTGCTGCTACTTCTACTACTAGTGCTTCATCTACTAACCAAACGTGTCATTTGATTTTTTCTAACTTGACTTCACAAAAGAAGAAACCCCTCGCAAAGAAGAGATTGGAAAATTCTTCCAAAGTTTCAACGAGTGTTGCTACTACTACTACGACTGCCATGAATGCAAATCCAACTACTACAATGAATTCATCACCCAATTTTGCAAATAACATTGTTCAGAAGGATGAGAATGCAACACATCCAACACAATATCTCTCAGAGAATCCTCATCCTTCCTTAGCCAGAATTGAAAAACCGGCTCATAAAATGTCTTCATCCTTACCAAGGAAAACTAGAGAACGAATTACCATTCAAGAACTATTGAACTAACTGCTGATTCATTTTCACTTGAAGAGAGTGTCCGCACAGATGCTTTCTTATTTTGCCTTATAAACATTTTAATGTTGAATGATCGAGCGATAAAAATCCTTCTTGTTGTTTCAAAAATGCAATCTTTTGACGTGTCATCCAAACGCCATTGATGTGATAGAGAATGAGTGTGTCCTTGAATTGTTTGCTCCCTTCTGGACGATGCTCATTGACAAGGAAACTGAACTGGCACCGATTGGGAAAGAGTCGCACAGGGAAAAATCCAATGAGTGAGGTGATGCTCGTTTTTTGAGATTTTCTCTCATTCGTGATGAGTGAATTTAAAATTGCTTGGTCATTTGTTGTTTCAGTTCGTGTGAGTTGATGTTTCTTTGTGATAGTTTCATCTGTTGGAACAAAAAAGTAGAGAATGTCAAATACAATTGGTTCAATCCAAAATTCTAAAAAGCGTTGTGCTTTGTGAGTGGAAGCCACATAATACACTCCCGTATTAATTTTGACATTTTCATGCCCCATGGCCTGAACGACATCCTCATTATCTCCACAACTCTCCATTTGAAATATGACGTCAAAATTCTTCCTTTCATTCGATTGTTGCAAATATTGAATTGGGCTTTTGAAAATTACAACATCTAAATCAGAGAAAAATATATCAAAACCAAGAGTGTTGCATCTCCAAACAATGACTGGTTTCAATAAAGTAATAAATTCCCAATGTGTTGTAAAAAATTCTTGAGGAATGACATTGTCGTGTTTGTGTAATTGATCCAAGTAATTCTTGTAAAGTAGATGATATTTTTCATGGAATTTTGTGTTTTTTGAAAATGAGAGAATTAATTTAGAAATGTCATCGGTTGTGAATGTGATAATGCTCTTATGATCATCGGAAATATCCTCCATGGGTACATCTAAAAGTTTGGAATAAATTAATTTTTCAATGTCTTGTCTCTGTTTCAATGTCTTCCATTGGCTAGGATCGATATATACAAACAAGACAAAATTAGTAATTCCTAGTTTCTTCACTCTGCAAATCCACTGCTTTGCCATGATCCAATAGGTGGGCATTTCGCTTTCAAAATTGTCCTTTTTCATCAATAATTCATGTAAGTTTTCAACAGTCATCAAGGCCAACAGAATATTTCTTCCTTCAAGGTCATGATCCGAAACTTGTTTCAATCGAGAAAAATTAATAAATTCATTTTGAGATGAAATTGGCACTCGTTTCTCATCACCTTGTTGTTGTTGCTGCTGAAGGGTATCACTGTTCAATACTATGGAGGCCCTTGGCACAACAACTCTTTCGACATTGTAATAATAGAAAAAAAAGACAACTAATATGGTTACAACAACCAACACAAAGATTACATGTTTCCGATTCCACTTTCGTAAATTCAACAACTTGTAATTAGGTCCTTTTGGGTGTTCATGATCGTGCCATTTCGAGTGTTCGACATCCTTGTTGAATGAAAGCAGCATTTTTGTTGGACTTGCTCGTACTTCAACAATCGTCAATCTATTCTTGTCAAGATAGTAGAGTTTGTGGCATTTGCCAACCAAAAGGGGAACGAGGACTTGGATTTCTGACCATCCATCACGAAAAAATGTCAAGAGAATTCTTGAAATTGGTACCTTGGGAGCCTATAGGTAGGTAGGAGTTATATCCAACTCCTTTTTTTGAAACCAATATCTGAAATTATTATTATCTGAATCCACATAACATGCATTTTGTTGCCACAAAAGCACCATTTGGTGTCATGGGGTTTGATTCGACATCAGAAACTGTTTGGAAGTGATTTGGAACCACCTGGACAAATCATTACTCTTGAATCAAATCCTCTTCGAAGTAGCTCGTGAAAATATTGAATATGCAGGACTTTCATAATTCAAGTGAGAGAAGGCAACGCATTGAATTGTCTTGAGGATATGTGTCAAGACACGACAAATATGGAGCCTTTTGATTTCATTTTCATTGATGCCGACAAGCCAAATAATCCAAGCTATTTAGAATATGCTTTGAAACCCTCTCGCGTTGGAACTGTACATTGGTGATAACGTGGTGCGTAATGGACAAGTCTCCAACAGTCAAAGTCAAGATGCCAATGTGTTGGGATTTCGCCAATTCTTGCAAGACATGGGAAATAGGCACTCCAAGTTGGTGGCAACGGCATGCAAATAGTGGGATGTAAAGGATATGATGGCTTCTCGATGGCCAATGGTTGTTGAACCATAAGTGCAGTCCATGAACAATGGATCACCTTATTGAATCTCATGAATTGTTCACTCCAATTCGATTTCAGACATATCATGTTTGATTAAATAGTAGTATGAAATATAATTCATGATTGAGTAATATGAAATATAAGACCTTCAAGAAAATTAAATAATAATGTGATGAATCATCAAGGAAATTCTAGGATTTATTGACGAGTGGAGGAGAGAGGTCTTTTGTGACAATCATTAACCTGCAAGCACTGTCGAATCTGCCTTTCCTTCCCTCATGATCATTGTACTTATTTATCTTGAGGGTTGGATGAAGAAGATTGAGAAACTCTGGGAATTGATGAACTTGCTGCATTCAATGGTTGAGATGAAATTGAGTGAGAATTTGGAGAGAGGTATCTGGAGCGATCACTGTGTCGAATTTTCTTTTCTTTTTATATTCAACAATGGTCTCGTAATGTTTCAAATAACATACATGTCCAGAATCTGTTTCTTGTTCGAACAACATCATACAAACCTTAGTGTGACCCAATAATTTGCAGATGGGAACTTTATTCAAACAAAAAGGCAAGTGTGAGATGATCCATTCTCAATAGCAGCAATAACGTCCTTGCGTCATTGACTAATGGAATCGTTTGATGTTGAAAGACTACCTAACGAGGTGTGACTTGGAGAATAACCCACTGACATTTTTCATCACAATTTGGATTCAAGAAAGTATGAACGAAAGGACAAAATTGTAACTGAAAAATGATTGGAGTGAACGCACGACAACCCTTATTGTCATTAATTATTTAACAATACAAATTCTCGTAAGGTGAGATGGTCGAGCGGTCTAAGACGACACGTTAAGGTATGATTAATACCGTGTTCCGCAAGGGCGTGGGTTCAAATCCCACTCTCATCAATTTTTTTTTGTCAAATTGAAATATCAGAAACTTCTATTTAGCAAATACTCTTGACGTATTATAAAGGTGGATGTCTGACCTACTTTTGGTATGATTGGGTCTTGGAGTATTTGTTGTAAGCACATAGTTTTAAAAAGTCAACAAATTACTTAAATATATATAATAATAATTATTCTTTATGTCAATTATGTCGATACATTTTACACATCGTTGCTTTTTCAGACAGAATATTGTGCCTCATGCAACACGTTGAATTGGCCACCGGAAAAAAAACCATTTTGTCCTCCTAATTTATTGTGAAACAGTCATTACACTCTTTCAAACCTTACATGGTATAGTTAACGATAAAGATGGTTTGTGGCATGAATTGCAATGTTTGAATGTTTGATGACGGCAGATCCACTTTTTCAGATCAAACGATGAGCTCATCACCATGGGCCCACATTCATCCCAGAACAAAAACCTCGTCTTTGAGGGTTTGCCGTTCTTGAATTATAGCTCTAACTTCATGTTTGGGATCTTTATGGACTGAAAGGAATCATTAACTTTGTTAAATGATCTATTAAAATTTAGAAAAGGTGTTTTTGATAGCTTTTCATAGTTTGTTACACAAAACCAAAAGAATATGAAACTAGAAATGTAAAAAACCAACGCGGTCGGCAGGATTCGAACCTGCGAAGGTTGCCCCATTGGATTTCGAGTCCAACGCCTTAACCTCTCGGCCACGGCCGCTTACATTTATTAACTAATATAGAATCATCATCATCAATTCTATGGGAGATCAAGTTCTTGTGAATATGACCTCCCGAGCACTCGAAATTTCGTATTTTTAATGAAATTAGTGAGCAAACTTGCATTCGAATTCAGTCAGAAAAAAAGCCAGTCGCAAAATCAGTAAATTCCACATTTTCATACTGATTCCGAAAAAATCAAGACGAATTTTAAGGGAGAAAATGTTTTTGTTTATTTATTTTATGACAAAGCAATCAAGTTCGGAGCCATTATTTGTGAGTATTGAAAAAGTTGCTCCACTGGCGAGTGGTTTCCTTGATTTCCGTGTGCTGGTATATGAAGGAAGCAACCGCATGCTGGAGTTTGGCGTTTGTTTTCAATTTGTCAATGCTCCAATTGAACACTTGACAAAGGTAATCTACACACACTTGCCAAATTGGTTCCTCTTACAAAAATTAACAAATTCGTTTGAGGCCAATTCCTTCTTCTCGTCCCCAATTATAATGGTTGTTGTGTTAGACATGCAGGTTATAATATTTCCAAGATCAACATACATCTTACACAAGTTATCACGAACGGTATTCATTCTCTCGGGATGCTGATCAACCTTGAATTGCAACTTGATTTGTTCATCCTTCTCTTGTTCCAATTCTCGTTGAATCCTTTTCATATTGAATTGGAGATCATGATTAATGTCGACAATTCTTTCATACTTCTTTTTCAATTCTTCAAATTCATGGATCGTTGGAATGGTGGAATGTGAGATCACTGAAGAGGAGAAGACTGGAGTCAAAACATCAGTTTGAGAAGAGAGTATTGTGGTGTTGGTCGGGTCTTTCTGAAATGATGAAGAAGCCAAGGGTTGAGATTGCACTGACAGTTGTACTGACGGTTGAAATTGCATTGGTGGTTGAGATTGCATGGATTGAGGCAATACCACTTCAGACAGATCTTTTTGAGTGGAGAATGCAGGCACGACCATATCTTTTTGAGAGGCAAAGATCATGGACAAGGGATCCTTTTGAATCACAGTAGAAGAATTCAACACATCCATATAGCAGGCTGCAGAATTATTCTGCTTGAACAAATCATTTTCAACAGAAGGTAATACTAATTGGTTGGTGTTTGCATTGACAAAGTTTTGAGATGTGATTAATGGTTCACTCTTATCCCACACCATACAGTCCATACTCCATTCATGCAACGAGTTTACATGAAACTCGTCGGGAAGAGATGTGACCAATTTCATGGCTTCTGGTAAGACTTTTGTAATGGTAACAATTAAGCAGCCTGACTTTTGTGCATTCAACGCCGGATTGGTGGTGTCATTGGCAACATGAATGAGCTGGGACTCTTTTCTACTTCCTAAACAAACCGAACGAACGTGAGAAGGATTACATGTCACTTTTTCAGTGGTAGAAAGAACATGATTCTCAATAAACACTTTCAGCTGGAGGTTATTTAGGATCTGTTGCAACACCGTCATGATGGTCTCATATTGTGGGTAATTAGTGAGACAGTCAATCAATTGTTGCTTTGTTTTTAAAGCCTTTTTGATTTCCAATGGAGGTGGTAATTGACCGGACTCATCTTGCAATGTTTCGTCCTTCAACCGAGCACTGACATTCTCCAGAATGAGTCTGATGTGCGGAACAGTGACATCAGGCAAATCAGTCTTCTTCTTTGATGACCTTTTCTTTTGATTCTTGGTTACTGAAGTGGAAGCCTCAGTTTGACTGTTCTTGGATTTCAATAGCTGAAGAACTTGCTTTACAGAATTATAGTGTTCAGCTTTAAGGACTTCCACTTCCTTTGGGGTATGTTTCTTCTTCTTACTTTTAATAAGGTCAACTGAAGTTGATGGCAACCGTTTCTTCTCGTGAGAAGAAGAGCCTAGTTCACTTGATTGTTGAGACATGTGTTGTAAAGTGGTAAGAGAAAAGAACTTGAGTTTTTTTTTTAAAATGTTGCAAAAAATACCGCTCAAACGCCAAACCAAAATGCCACGGTCAGTCTACTCTCACAAGAATATGGTTTCTGCTCGTGCTCTTGAGCGAGCTATTTTGAACTCCAACATGGAATACTCGAGTATTAGAGTTGGCAGAATGACCATTCCACAACAACGTGCCAATGTATCATCATCGGAAGCTGTTGCTCCTTCTTCTTCACATCATCATCACCACCCTCTCGCGACCAATAATATATTCCCAACTCACGTACTCCAATATCCACTCATTCCAGTAAGACTTTGGGAGAATTAATATTTGATATGCTACAATTATATGTCAAATTTAAGGCTAGCAAAGTAATGATGAATGAAATTTTCAGAATCTTGAATGCACTTCTTCCAGATACTTGTAAGTTGCCTTCCAATGTCAATACCTTACTCAAAAAGATTATTAATGTATCCAAGCAATATCAAAAAGTATATCATTGCTGTGATCAAGTATGTGAAGCTTCTAATCATTGCTGTTCCAAATGTGGAATGGATTGTTCTAATAGTTTTTTCTGGAGTAAATCTATTGAAACTTGCACTTCAGAAATGGTGGACTTGATTGGATTGAGAAATTTTAAAGCTCATTGCACTGTTCAACCAAGTATCGATGAAATTAATGACTGTATAGACTCGATTGAATATGAACGAGTTGTGAGAGGCTGGAAAGAACCGGATGCCGTGTGTATTACCCTCATTGGTGGAGGTGATTCAGGTTCTGTTAGCAAAAGCAGCAGAAAGAGTGTGCTTCCTCTTGTAGCGTGGATTACTGAACTGCCATTGCAATATAGATATTCATTTCCACTCACCATGCTGCTTGCATATAGCAACAAACCCATTCCATTCAATACTCTGCTTGATCGATTTATTTCCGAATTATTGATATTGAATCAGGGAAAGGAATGTAAAACAGAACAAGGTGTGATATATCGTCTCAAGGCAAGATTGTTCACCTTTCTAGTAGATCTTGATGCATGTTACGATTTATTGTGCATGACCAATCATGCTGGAACTTCAAGTTGTCGATGGTGTAAAAAGAATGGTAGAAAGATTCAAGACCGAACCATTTACAGCTCGGGTGGAAATGAACAGGAACGGGTTTGGTCTGAAATTGTTGCAAATTACAAATTAATGCTAAAGGGAGAGATTCAACAATTTGATGGTGTTAAAGGCTTGTCCATACTGGTGAGACTACCATACTTTACATGGACCACACAGATTGCTTGTGATTTGTTACATAATTTACTTGAAGGCCTTTGTGCAAAATTGTTGAACTTTATCAAAAACAAGTACAATATTGATACTATTAACAGTAAGTTAAGAACTTTTACTTGATAAACTACTAAAAGAACGATAGACAAGCTATATGAAATCAAAACACCTTCGTTCTATCATCGAAGAGTCCGTGGATTGGATGAATTGAGTTATTTCAAAGCAATTGAATATTATATAATATTTTCATATTGTATTGAGGTTTTTCAGGATGAAATATCAGACAAACATTATCACATTCTCAATAGACTTTCTACTTTTATACGCACCATCATGCATCCAGTAGTGAGAAGCCTTGAAGTTCTATACAATATGAAAAAGGAAATTTTTGAAATATTACAAGCCATCGAGACAGATTTTAACATTTTTATTTTAACACTGGTTTCACATACAGTCGTTCATTTTCCTCTGTAAGTCGGCTAAATGATATAGCTCCTTTTCACATATTATCCATCATGTAATTATTTTTATATATTATTCATCATGTAAACAGTTCTATTTTCTATCTTGGACCACTATGGTGTACGAGTACTTTTATGCTCGAAGATCTAGTTGGATCCATCACTAGCTCTGTTCAAGGAGGAAAGAATAACATGGACCACAAAGCACTGGAGAACTTTTCATTACATCAAGTCATTTCCATGAAACGAGTAAGAACTTTTCATTTTCAATTTGAAAAGGGTGATTATTTTCATGCTCAAGAATTTGGTCATGGTCTCGTGACCAGTAAAAAGGATGGCTTGTATCACGTTAAAAGTTTAGACTCGAATCAAGTCAAAATATTGGATGAAATGCCAAAAAACGTCATACCATGTTTCCAAGTTTGTGGTAAATTTAAACAAGTTCATAGGAATGACTTGTTCTTGATTTAAACAATACCAAGTTTATTCACGTGATTGTGATGAGTATGAAAATTTTTTCAAAGACTCAACCAAACTCATTAATTGTTACAATCGAACATTCCTACCCTTCACTACATTCAGAACAATTCATGAATCAAGGTAAGTTGGTATTACTTGACCCAATTGAACACAAGGTGTCATGGTCATCGTCAAGGTATGCATTGAATCATTGATGATCAGCTTATTTGAAAAGATGATACGATGATTGATAACGAGAAATTATAATTACACTGAATTAGAAGTGGATTACTCAAGCCTTCCATGGATTACTATGAAATACGATATTGGTGATTTTCATTCCAATGAGTGTCTTATCCGTAGACTAATTTCAATACCATAGTATGATTTGGAGACTGATTTTAATTCAACCCAGAGTCTTATTTTTCAACTGATTTTTATTCAACCCAGAGTCAGATTTGGATACTGATTTCAATTCAACTCAGAGTCTAATTTAGGTACTGACTTTACTTCAAATCAGTCCCTTATTTTTCAACTGATTCATCAATAAATTTTTCTTACTGAATTCGATGAAATATTTCAATGCTTATTTAAATAAAATCAGATATCGATTTAAGTGAACTGCAGATTTGGAACAGAGCAGAGTAAACTTAGTAGGGATTAAATTCAAAAATCCGCTGACTTTTCGACTAACTTAAAAATTTTCTGTTTTCAAACACCAACTCATTTACTTGGAAAGTCAGTGAAAAATACTGCAGAATTTCGAGTGCTCGGGCTGCATCTCATGATTCATCGATCCTATGACCGTTCCAAAAGAGTTGAAAGCACTCCTTCTTCTGACCCGGTTGATTTCTTTCTTAGGCCAAAATGACATGAAAATTATTGGTGAATTATATTCCAATTAACACATATTTTCCAATTATTCAAACCCACTCTGTTCATGAACAACAGGTTGAACACCAGTACTAATCAAAATTATCCTCCTTCCAATAATCATCATTATCACTGAAATGGAGTCAACATGTATGCCGTTCCATCACAACAGTTCAATTCATTTCACAACATACCACATACAACCGACCACACCAGAAACGGTGGACAGCCAAATGAGCTGTTCAGGAATGATAATGTCCTCGTCAACAAATGCTCGAATGTCGTCCTTAGAAGTGGAACACTCTGATGTGGATGTTTTGTGAAAAAGCATTGTTGGATGAATTTGAGGGGATTTCACATAATGGCATACATACATATTTTGTTGAATTGACCAAACCTACCCAAAACCCAAACAACAACCCAAACCAAAACCACAACTATCATAACCCAACAAATAAACCCATCCAAACCAAGAACAACGTTTTTTTGATAAGTAGTTGTTGAGATCAGACTCAAAAAAAAAGTATGTTTGTATGCCATTATCTGTCACCTCGAATTTGAGAGGGAAGTGGAATTGAAATATTTGGAGAATAGGAATTTTGAGAGACAATTAAGATTTAAGGCACTACTCTGCATATTGGGTAAAACATGAAATATATACATTAATTTGATTCAAAGGTTCACAATTTAATCTTTATTTTCACGGACAGATATGACAGCCAGGATTTGTAAGAAAAACCTCCTCCTAGACTTTCAATATTGATTGCAAGCAAATTAAACGTTTTCGTTGTGTTTCTCTTAAAGTAAAATCTCCCTCAGTTTTCTCCTCTTGTATGTGGTGTTGTTTGTTGTTCTTGAGGTGGTTCTTGAGAAGTTTTACAGAGCATAGAATTGTGGTTTTTGAAAGCAGCATGTGTTCCCCAAAGCGAGACAACCAATTCATAGATGTGCGAACTAACAAAAAGCGAGGGTCTTGACTGCGGTTTCATTATTATTGTAGATTCTTTCTGAGGAAACAATAAGTCCATCTATTATGAGTGGATATCTCTTTAGAGATGTTAATTTGAATTTTGTGTTCTAATTGAAACATTTCGCCCTCTTCTTTGGGTTTGTAAACCAAACTCTTTTAATGTTTACAATCGAAACATTCATGCCCTTCACTCCTCCAAGGGGATTCAAAAGAACTGTCGGAATCACTATACAAGACGATGATTATTTAATGAACTCTTCACTGTTATCCTCAAGAACGTTCGGGTGAGGGTGATATTGTAATTGTGTTGGAAAATGTGTTATCTAAAGATACGGATTCGTCAGGTTTTTTATTTGCAGCGTAAGCTTTTGGAAACAATGCTTAAAATTACAAGTCAGACATGTGTGGTCGATATAACTAATCTTGTTCCTGGTTATGAAATGGTTAAAACAAATATTCCAAAAAGAAAGGGTTACAAGTTGAACAAGATTAAAGAAAAAGATTGGCCTAAAACTCAATCTCTATCAGATACAACATCAGAACAAAAAGCATTTGATCTTGTTTCAACTTCAGAGGAAATGATTGAGAAAGCTAAAACATTATTTCATGCTCTTAATTGGCAATGTGTTATTGATCGACAGAAAGAATTTGTGTGTTCTCCGGACCCAATTCGGTGAAAAATCATCCTCACCCTCCACCCCCAAACAAGATATGACTACATTTATGGTTCAAGGAACCTCATCAGTCATTTCATACCGTTCCAAATCATCCACCCACTCCTCCAACAAATGTTTACCTTCAACATCAAGCAAACAGATGGAAGAAATTTATCCATGGGAATCAGCATCCAATACGAAATCGAATGATGAGACTTTCAATGTTACGCTTTCTGTTAAATCAGAAAGATCAAGAATTAAAAAAGAAAGATCAAAGATTGGAAGACAAAGATCAAGAATTGAGAAACAAAGATGCATTGATCGAACTATTGATTAAAAATTGCTCAGAAACCCAAAGCCAGATTGATCAGTCTCCAGATTTTATCGGTTGTGATTGGTTGAAGCGGTCAACAACTTCTCTGTTCGCTGTGGTTGTAGGTTTGATAAAGCCCTCGCACTTTCCTAATACTACTGAGGATGATTGTTGTTCATAATGAATGTCCATAAGACAGATAGCATGAATGGAAGGAGCAGTTTCAAAACTTCAAAAAAAATAATGAGTGGAATTTCTTCGTATCTTTCACAGAGGTCTTCATTCAGCAGAGGCCTAAATGCTTCTGAATCGGGTGTGTCTGATGGAGTCAATACTAATTCATCTTCTTCCCGACATTACGAGAGCAGCAACCATCGATCAAATTGGAGAGACCGTGGAGGTAGTCGAGGTCGAGGTCGAGGGAATTATCAATCATCATCCTCATTTCGAGGCAGAGGAAGAGGACGATATCACTCTTCGTCGTCGGGTCATCGTGATGATTACCAAAAATCACGCGTGTTTAATGATGACCATCACAACCATCAGGATCTTTACGGAATGGAAGAAAAAGATGAACGAGCAAGTGCCGAAGAAGAAGCACTCGCTTTAAAATTGTTAGAACAAGAGGAATCTTTACAAACTGCAGGTTCCGAACTCTTCATTCCTGTCGAACAAGAATATGACATGTTTTGCAAAAAAGTGATCAATTGGAAGAATGATTCACATTCCATATCTCAACAAGTATCAGACGGAGAGCAATTAAAACAATTTCGCTCCTACGATGTGGAGGCTACTGAACAGTGTAAGAAAATGCTGCAACAAATTTCAAAGCCCACGACCACAGACGTGTCAACAATCAACACATTGACTGTCTCAAGTGATAGTCTTCTCACATCAGCATACAGAGATGTTGTCAAGAAAATACAAGAAGAGGTCTCACAAGGTCAATCCAAGCATTATGCAAAACTAGACAAAACAATTTTGCATTATGAAGACATTTTATACTCCCTAATGAAAGTGCCAAAATTAACATGCATTCCTTCCCATTCCTCTCAATTCCAACATACCTCTGACAATAGTTCAGAATCCACTAGTTGCACTCAATTTGAAAAATTCAAAAATATTTTTGAAAGAAAACAACGAGAGAGACGAGAATTGAAAGATTTTCCCAATTTTGCCGATAATTTATTCGAAAAATGTACAGAATTGTTTAATATTGCAGAAGAAGCACCAGTTTGTGAAATTGAAAATGATGCTGACGTGCAGAAAGCTATTCAACAAGTGATTGACTCAACTCGAAAAACAACAGTTTATCAAAAAACGAATGGACCCTATGATTATGGAACTCTGCTACAGGCATTATTAGATTTTATGGGAAGGAAATCAAAGCATCAAACATCACAATCATCTCGCGACAAGATGAGACACTCGGAACGATCAAAATATCAATCCATTTCAACTGGCGATGAAGAGGAGGAATCTTTTCATAACAATGAATCTGTACTCTCAAAAAGAAAACGCGAAAACGAGAGTGATGAGAGTGACAATGAAGAAGACAACGAGGAATCGTCAGAAGAGAATGAAGAAGAAACATCTGAACATGAGACTGAGGAACATGAGCAAGCTTCTCAAATTACTCAATCAGAGTTCACCAAATGTAAAACTACGATTGAACTATTAGGTGATCGATACAAGTTACTTCCTCAAATTCACAAATGGCATTCCCTCCTCAATCTTTCCATGGGAGCGAATGGAATTGATTTCCATATCGATTTGAAAACGTCATTTAAAAAACGACAGAAACAAATTCGACACGACCTCTCTGTGGCTCAACGACCTGACTGGAAACACAAGGAAGCAACGCAGGTGGCAGTATTGGCATCCTCCTCCACACCCTTATCAAGGAGTATCCTATCGAGTAGCAACAAGTGTCTCGATGTGGTGCATCATAGTCTTCTGTAAGCCCATTCTTAAAGATACGAGCAGTCTTAATTGGCTCTAAATCCCATCACTTTGACATAAACGACAAACGCACGTTTGGTCAAATCTCTTTCCTTTCTTGTAGAAACCAAGCGCAAGAACTCGACACTAAAAAAAATCATTTCTCACCTCACGCACAGCGATACGTTCTGTAGTGTAGTACAAAGATTTTCGAGAGGGAATCTCTATCGGGTCATTTCGGTTGTAGCAACAGCGCAGTTTGTTACAGGATGGCTTCTAATAAGGAATACACTGCTCCACCCTTCACCCCAACATGTGCTGAAAGGGAGCATCACGACGAGATAGCTTGGAGAGCTACAACATCCATCCGTCATAGACTCAACATGGACCATGCATGCATCAAAATGAAGAGAGAAGAAGAACCAATGCAAACGGAGGATGGGGTTCAGTGCATGGATGGGCAGCATGAGATTCATCATACAGGTGATTCAACAAGAAAACAACAACCTCTCACAATGCCCTCACGGTCCACCTTCTCCATGCCGACGAAGAGTTGTACAAACAATGACGGTGGAGATGATCAAACTATTTTTCCTTCAACAGGTCACGAGATAAATAACAAGGAATTTCAAGGTCATGGTCAATTCTCTCTCTTTGAGGATAGGGATCATACACTGAGGTACTCTGTGTACCGACCAAAATATCCCAAAAGAATGTATGAAGAACATGTCTTTACAAAGAGTGTTTCGTCGATGCATGCACATGTGAATCGAGTGATGAATGAGAACTGTGATCATGAAGAATCTCAAACTCAGCCATCGCCAAACATAGACTCATTGTTGAAAACAGTGAAGCATTGGATTGCTCTTGATGTTGGGTGCGGCAGTGGACAAGCAACTTTTGATTTGTCACTTTATTGTAAATATGTTATTGGAGTTGATCCATCACAAAATCAAATATCCATTGCTCGAAGGCACTTGAAAGAAAGTCATCATGCTTGGAACAATGTGGAATTTGAGGTTGGTGTTGCAGAAAATTTGGAATCGCTCGCAAGAAAATACAAATATCTAATTGAGGGAAATGAACAAACTAATCATGTGGATGAAGCATCGAAAGAAAATGTAAATGATGAAAATTTGGAGATTTTTGACCTGATTGTCTCCAGTTCAAGCTTGCATTGGTTTGATTTTGAAAAGTTCTTTCACAGTGTTGACAGAGTTCTAAAGAAAGGAGGTAATCTTGTTTCGTGGTGTTATGGTCTTCCTAATTTTGAGAGTGAACTCGCTCAACAATCACTCCTCGAGTTTTATCACTGTGAAGCATTGAAAGGTTGTTGGACAGAACGAAGATTTCATATTGACACAGAATACAAATATATTCCTCACATTCCATATCCACAAAATAAGGAATATGTGGTTCACACCATTTCCCAAACACTCACTTTGGATCAATTCATTGGTTACATTGGTACTTGGAGTGCATTAAACATCTATATCGAAAAGCACGGAAAAGAGAAGTGTAAAGAGTTGCTAAATGATTTTAGGACCAAACTGAGACACGCTCTGTGTAAAGACAATGAAAGTGGTGAAGAAGACTCGATACGTTTTGAGATTCATCTGCCTGTATGGATAATAAAAACATGGAAACCCTATTTCTGAGAGTTTGAGACGTTGTTGTGTGAAATGATCGTTTTCACCTTTTTGGTTTCATTACTGCAAACAAACCTCGCGCGGAGTTTGGAGAATGAGTTATTAAAAAAAACTTCTTCTTCGATATTAAATTTTGGGTTTGCATCATCATGGCCGAAGAAGAAGAGGAGGAGGAAACACACCTCGTCGAACAGCAAGGTCTCATCATCACCCACACGGACGAGGAGGTCGTTATTGAGCAACATGAAGAAGATTCCGAAAAAATCAAAAGTGAGCAGGAAGACGATCATTTTAAAGACGGAATTGATGTGTCATCCCCCTCCGATTATGAAGCGGGCAGTTCTTTGTTCTCATGGCTGTTTTTTTCATTTGTGAGTCCATTGATACATGTCGGATTCAAAAAAGCAGGAGGAACGTTTTTACTTTCAAATGTTTTTGAAAGAATTTTGGAATGTTTGCGAATACGTTCAAGTCATGTCAATGAGGAAGATGGTAATCATGAAAGTCAGCTGATTAAAGGAATGTCTCACTCAGATATTCCTAAATTAGGTGCTGACTATCAATGCAAAAATCAATTTGAAACATTTAATGAATATTTCAAGTGGAGTTTTGAGCATGAAAGAGCTTTTTATTCCCATGATGGAGGTATTCGAAGGAGTAATGGAACATTACTAATATTATTGTTGGAGAGAATTTATAGATGGAAAGGATTTTATCGTAATGCATTGTGGAGATTGATTTCTATTTTTGCAAACTATTTATGTCCATTAATTTTTTATGTCTTGTTGGAATCGATTCGAACACAATATTTACAAAATGGAGAAAATCAAATGGGTGACGCTGGTAAAAACAATAGTACTTGTTTGAGTCAAGTTGTGACCGATCTATATTCGATTCCACTACAAAATCAACTTGATTCTATTCGCAGTCATTTGCAAACATCGTCTCAAAACAACGGGACGAGTAATACTTATTGGATTATTGCCCAACTTCCTCTCTCTAATATTTATTTTCAATTTGGATTACTAGTTTTGCTAATAATTCTTAACATTATTTCTCTGATATGCTTACAACATTATTACTATTCTAATTGCAAATTGTGGTTATCGATAAGAGGATCTCTGCAAGCATCCATTTTTCAAAAACTCACAAGAATTACTCCAACCAATCGAAGCAAATTTCAAAGTGGAGAAGTAACCAATTTGTTCACAACAGACTCCAATCGATTGAGTGGAATGACCATAGATATGCATGAACTATGGATTATACCTCTTTCAGTTTTATTAGGAATGGCAATAGTTTTTATGTTTTTTGGATACAGTTCACTTGTTGGATTTGTTGCCATGTTGGCTATGAGTCCTCTTTTAGCTCTTTTGGCAAGATGGCTCTCAAAAATAGAAACAACTGTCTCGTCCTTTAGAGATGAGAGAGTTAAAACAATGAGTGAAATTTTGAATGGTATTCGAATTGTGAAATTCTTTGCAATGGAAGACGGAATGAAAGACAAGGTGCATGCATCAAGAAGTAAGGAATATAATGGCCTTCAAAAAGGAGGAATTGTTAGAAATCTTCAACAACTCGTCTCTGTATTTGTCTCCATTGCAGGAAGCAGTGTCACATTTATTTGCTATCACTATTTTGGAGGAGAACTAACCATTTCTTCCATGTTCACATGTTTAGTACTATTTGAGAACATTAGAAATCCACTCTTTCATTATCCAACGTTTTTATCTTTGGCCGTGAGCTCGTATGTGAGTGCCAAAAGAATTGGAGACTTTTTATATGCTGATGAATTGTCTCATCTTCCTCATGACCACAACAATGTTGCAAAATTGCAAATGGATGGACATGATTCTACCTCTTCTGATATTGGTGAAAACATTGCTATTCAATTTAAAAATACAACCATCACATGGAATGATGAGTCAGATGCAGTGCTCAAGAACATCAATCTGACCCTTAAAAAGGGGAAATTATATTGTATCATTGGACACACAGGAGTTGGAAAGTCTAGTCTATTTTCAACCATTTATGGAGATACCATCATCAAGGAAGGATCTCTAACTATTCACCCAAATTCTAAAATTGCGTTAAGTGATGAAAATCCGTGGATGATTAATGGCTCAGTTCGAGATAATATCATTTTTGACAAGAGACTTCCTTTTGACAATGAAAGATATCAACAAATTCTGGACGTTTGCCAATTAAGAGAGGATCTTGAAGAATTTCAAAATTATGACATGTCAGAAATTGGATATTCAGGTATTAATCTATCACTTGGACAAAAGCATAGAATTAGTTTGGCACGAGCTTGTTACTCCAATGCTGACATTATTCTTATGGATTCTTCTCTCAACTCTATCGATGCTCGTTTATGCAAGAAAATATTCAAAGAATGCATTCAGGGTTACTTGAAAGATCGAACTCGAGTTTTAATCACACATTCACTTCAACTGCTTGAAATGGCTGATGAAGTGATTGTATTAGATAAGGGAACTGTTGCTGCCCAAGGACCTCTTTCAGATGTCACGATACATGCCTATGACTTTTCAAAATTAATTAGAGAAAATGAAGATTCAACAGATCAGCAGAAAACACAAGTTCCTGAAAAAATAACACCAGCAGCAGCAACATGTAACAAGACGCCCTCATCTCACAATGATTATCCTTGTTCCTCTTCAAAAGGAAAATTAGTATCCATCGAGGAAAAACATTCTGGAGACATTAGCTGGAAAGTTGTTTTTAACTATCTCAAAGAATTTGGTCTCATTGTATTGATCATTTGTGCCACAACTTCTCTTTTAGCTATTGGATCTAAGCTTGCCTCAAGTTTATGGATTTCTCTCATGAATATGGATGCTTTCAATATGAGTATTTCGTCTTATGTGTGGATTTACTTTTCTATTGGAATTATAGATGCTTTAATCATCACTGTGAGAGGTTCAATTTATGCATTTGCTGCTCTAAAGAGTTCCAATCGAATTCATGACAAGATGTTACACGGAGTATTGAGAGCTCCAATTTTATTTTTCGATCAGAATCCAGTGGGTAGAATATTGAATCGTTTCACTCAAGATCTCAATGTCACTGACAGTGAAATGTTGTTCACATTGGCCAATGGTATTAATACTTTCTTGAACATTATTATGACACTTGTATTGATTGCCATTATCACTCCACTATTTTTATTGGTTGTATTTCCAGTGGCAATTGCTTTTTATATCATTCAAGCTTATTATAGAACGACTTCTCGTGACATTAGAAGATTGGAATCCATCTCAAAAAGTCCAGTTCTTTCACATTTTTCTTCCTGTCTAAATGGTATTAATACCATTAAGGCACTCTTAATTCATGAACAAATATTTGAGGAAAACTTTATGAAAATTGATTTCACATCCAAACATTCACACTACAGATATTTAATTAACAGATGGCTTGGTGTCAGAATTCAATTTGTGGCTCAAGTTGTCATTTTCTTCACTGCTGCCTTTTCTATTCTAGCAAGACATATCACACCATATGTGAGTCCTGCATTTCTTGCTCTCTCCATAACTTATTCATTACAACTTACCGAACATTTCACACTAATGGTTCGATTATTTGTAGATTTAGAAAGCTCTTTGACGAGTGTTGAGAGAATTCTTCATTATTGTCATGGAATTGAAAGAGAAGCTCCCGAGTTATTGGAAGGAGATCCAATTTCCACACAATGGCCAACACAAGGACATGTCAAGATACAAAATTTGTCTGTAAAATATAGAAATGATTTGGATCCAGTGTTGAAATCCATAAGCTTGGATATTCGACCAGGAACCAAATTAGGACTTGTTGGAAGGTAAGTGTGACGCCTTTCATTTTGTTGATGGTGATTATCATGTTCATAATGGATATTGTTCTATATGTTTGTGTGAACACACATAATTGGTCATGTAATTCTTTTTTTTGAAATGGAACAGAACGGGTAAGTGGTAACTTGACATTCTTTAGAATTCATATCCATAATAATCTTGGATGTAATGAATTAGGATCTGGAAAAAGTAGTCTTTTAATTACCTTATTTAGATTTCTTGAACCATTTCAGGGAAGTATTTGGATCGATGGAGTGGATATTTCACAGATGGGTTTAAAGACATTACGAAAATCACTGTTAATTATTCCTCAACAACCAGTTCTATTTTCAGGAACATTAAGATATAATCTTGATATTTTCAATGAGTTTGAAGATTATGAGATTTGGAATGCATTGGAACGAGTTCAGTTGAAAGAAAAAGTCAAACAATTCAGTTTGCAGCTTAGTGAAATAGTTTCAGAGAACGGAAGTAACTTTTCAATTGGAGAACGACAATTGCTTTCACTCTGTCGGTGTATCCTTCGAAAAGCAAAAATTATTATTTTCGATGAAAGTAGTAAGTAGTACACATGGTCAGTGTTGAACAAACGATCCTAATTATTGAAAAAAGCTGCTTTTGTGGATCACAAAAGTGATGCCCTAGTACAAAAGATTATTCGTGAAGAGTTCAAAGATTCAACCATCATAACGGTAGCTCATCGATTGGACACCATCATTGATTCAGATGCCATTGCTGTAATGAGAAATGGAGAAATTATTGAGCATGGAACCCCAACAGAATTACTTGAAAATCCTCAATCTCATTTCTCCAAGCTTGTCAGCGAAACTGGACACAACTATGCTTCACACCTCATCGAACAAGCGTTCAAAATGCAAGGTCGTTGCGATGAGATCAAGAAATAAAACATTTATATATTAGACGAACGAGCATAGAAAGTTTATAACAAGACTCGAGTTGTCTTGACAACGTACTTGTAGAGAAACTCCTAGTAAAATGGAAGCATAATTTGTGGCGTTTATTGTGTGATATTTACAAGAAAAAAGATCAGGATAACAACTTCAATGATAAGAAAGAACATTCTTCTTTTTTGGTTTTCTCCTCTTTGAGATACCTATTGGACTTTCACTAATGATCAGAGTGGTCGAATATTCAGAAGTATTTGGAACATAGGTGGTTGGAGGACTAACACCAAGCAACACAGCAGGACTTTCCGTTAAATAGGATACTTCTTCACGAAAGTCGTCTGCCATATCGACCAAAGAAGAAGATGATTTCTTCCTAATCTTTTTTCTTGATGTTCCTGATGATTGCAATTTTGTAGCTGGAGGAGCTGAGTTTGGAGTACTTGGAATTTTGTTTTTAGATGACGCCTGTTTTTGCTTGAGATTGCTTTTTTTTCTTTGCTTGTTTGAAAAAGAAGAAGAGGCAAATTGGGAATGATAGTAACTTGAGAATGGAAGCGCATATTCGGATTGTTCGTAAAAATTTGATCCCTCTTGTTGTCTGAACTGCTTTCTGAGCTCTTTGAGCTCATGTTTGAGATCCGAAGACAATTCCTTCTTGTAATTCATTGTTTTTCTTACCTTTGACATGTTGTGAACTATAAAATATGTGCATGTTTCTCTCAAATGTTTAACGTCGTAAGAATCAGCAATACCGAGTATTGTAGAAACGTTGCCAGGGTGAATTTTTTTCTCGATAACGCTTTGGCAAATCAAAGATAATCTTTCGATTTGGTAAATTTCTGCAGCAATCAGTAATTCCACAGATATATCAAAATTGACCGATACATTTCCAGTATAAAGATAATGAAGGACCAATTTGAATACCTCTGGTCTAATACCGCTCAATTCGTATAAGTCAACCTTTTGTAACCCAAAAGTAAGTTGGTCTTTTGCCTTTGACGCAAGCATTCGTCTAAAGAATTTTGATCGTGACATTAAAATACAACGGTGACAAGCAATTCTTTCCTTCTCTGTACCGACCTCAAATAATACATCACAAATTGAATGATCAGCCTGCTGCAAAGTAGTGTTGCTCAGAATTGTGCTGAAAATGTTGCCACCATCTTGGGTAGATACTGACATGGGAGAGTTAATGGAATAGGAGTCGTCATCATCTTCAGACTCAGGTTCATTGTGAGAAGCAGAATAGTGGCTAAAATCAAAATGTATTTTCGAGCCCGGAGAATGCATCGGAGAAGATAAATCCGTGTCATGCTCTTGCTTCTCCAAGAGAACGCTTTTTTCAGTTGTCTCAAAAAGCTTCTTCATGTCAGAATACAAAGTTGGAGCAGGAATGGAAGAAGTAATGGTTGCATCCAGATGTTTTGAGCAAAGAGCAAACAATCTATTGATGGAAAAGGCGACTGCAAGGAATACCAGTTCAAATATACAGCTCTTAATATCGACATCTGGAACCTCTTCTCCATCCAGAAAACCAACTCTATCCGTATAAAGGTACTCTAAAAATCCGTGGAATCCAATGCTTTTAACCTTTTCATCTTTTTGCTTCAGAGACATGAATTCGTCAGTTTTAGCCTTTTTCTTTTTCATGAGAGCATCAGCTGCATCTCCAACATTAACTATATCATTCGCCACACCTTTTATACATTCCCTGTATAATAGGGGCGCCCTGACGAAGATTATTGGCTTATGAGCGTGGTAGAATTGTCCGTTGTACTCTAAAATAGTATCAGAGAACTCTTCATTGTCAATCAAAGAGCTCAAGTCAGTCGTTAGTGTGGATCTTCCACAGTCTATAGGTTCAATGCCTCTAATACCTGTCTCCAAAGTGTAGACATTGGTGGATATCTCTGTATTATCTTGATCATTGTTATATTTTCCACCAACAATCCACAACTTGGTTCCAGCTAATTGGGTAGTATGTCCACAAAGTGAGGGAGGGGAAGAAGAATTTCTGTCGACATGGGGATGCTCAATATCCCATCTAAAGTGTTCCAAGTCCAGTACCATGAGATCCTTGGATTGAGAATGAGTGCCCACTAATCCACCAAAGACAATCATCTTGTTGGCAATAACATTGGCAGTGTGATGAACTCGTTTGGCGGAATCGGTTGTGCCCTCAATCTTAATATTCTTCCAGGTAAGGGTGTCAAGGTCAAGACTGTAAAGATCATTAAACAATGATTGATCATTTCCACCTCCAAAAACATAAAGTGAGTTATTGTAAAGGACACAAGAATGGCCATATCGTGGTTGAGGTCTAGGGCCATTTGTCTTTTCTCTGACCCAAGTGTTTGTTTCAGTATCAATGACAACGAGGTCATTATAATATTTGGAGCCATCTGTACCGCCAAACACATAAATCTTGGTTCCATCTACAACGTTGGCAGTATGTCTATAGATGATATGCAACGTAAATGTGTCAGTTAGTAATTGAGCAATATTTGAACTACTTACCCGAATAATGCTGGTAAATTGGGCTCAGTAGAGTGGCGAGCTGTACACTTCACTTTAACCCATTCCATGCTTTCGATATTGAACTGATAAAGAGCATTACTTGGGGTACCCTTTTCTAATTGGCCTCCATAAATGTATAACACAGATTTGGAGAGGGCTACCATAGTGTGTTGAAAAAGTTTTGGTAATTTTGCATTTTCGAAAACTTCATAATCATTTCTAATTAGCTTTTCGTGCTTGTTTGAACGTTTGGTAAGTGATGTTGTTGCTGAGTGAGATTTAGTAACTTTTTTCTTTCTGAGTATCTTGATAACATCGTTTAAACAGTGATATTCACCTGATTCTAAATCATAAACTACGAAGGAGTTAGTAACTTGTTGACCTTCCACTTTATCCACTCCTCCGTATATGTACATTTGCTGTTTGTTAATGATTACAGAGGCGTGAAAAAACCTCTGTAATTGATTGTCATTGTAGCTATTCCAAAACGATCCTAATAATCTTGCAACCCATATCATATTATAATAATCTAAAAGAGAATATAAAGAAAGTTAAAAGTATGAAACGACAAAGAAAAACAAATTTAGAATTGGGCTCTAGAATGTAATACAAGCATATGAGAACAAGTTGATGAAAAAAGAAGATTAAATCTTGTCGATTATATGATGATGATGGTGATGACTAACGTATCAAAGCGTCGTGAAAGCTACTCCAATCAAGAACACTAAACAGTGGTGATGATGGCGATAACGGATTCAAAGAACCAGGACTACTATGGTGGTGATGTAAAAATAATTCAATATCAGAATTCACTACTACCGACTTCTCCTACTATGATCCTGATAGGATATTAACCGAATTTTTGTATTTCTTTCGAGATGCTGATGATGATGGTGGTTGAATGAAACAATACTATATTGGTGGTTGTTGTTGGGATGATGGTGAGGAGGTTATGATGGAGGCGGCAAGGGAATAAACAAACGTTAAAAATTTTTTGTTGTTAAAAATAGATGAGAGCGAGCGAACAAGGATGATGAATTTTCACTTCGCTTTTTACCCAAAACACACACACACTGTTTCAATTTGAATGAGTACACAGAGGTCCTCAAGCAAGCGCTTCTTCAATTTGAGGGATCATTTGGGTTTGGAATATGTTGCAGTAAAATGTTGAGATTTGAATTCAGGAAACCTGGGAGAGTTGCTTGCAAGACAGAATTGACTTCAATCGGATTGTTCTTCATGTAGCGATTTCAAACTTTGGAAATTCGTGGCGAATGAGATGGTAATTATTATTGTGTGTAGGGGATCTTGATATGTTGAAGAACTCCATAAATTGTGGCATCCACTCATGAGAAGTGATACATTGTTGCTTCTAAAATTTCTCGTTAAAGAAGGAGAAAATCAGGAAGCCAATTAGGTTTTTGGCTCTCAAGTTTACAACCATCAAGCAACATGAGCTCTCTTGTTTCAGACTGTTTCCGTACATACACCCACAAAAAAATCATCCGATCATCATTCCCAGCTCCCTTGTGTAAGTATGCTTTCTCTTTCTCATCATCATGATCATCGTGATCGATCATGGCTTGTTATGATCAACAACACTTGTTCTCGTATGGATGATCATAATGATGATGAAAAACACATCAAACTCTACTCTCTCTCAATATGCATATTCCTTGATGACATTCTCAAATTCTTTCAACAACGCGATTATACATTCATTCGCTCTAACTGTAGTGTAAAATGAAGAAACTCTCCACTCAAATCCTTCGTAATGCTAGCATTGTTCCATCCACCACCAATGCTGCTTCTCGTCGCCTCTTCTCTACATCAACCGTTGCCAACAAGAAGAAGGTCGACATTAAATACACCAAACTCTTCATTGGAGGTCAATTTGTTGAAGGAAAGGAAGGAAAGAAGTTCTCTGTGATCAATCCAGCTACAGAAGAGGAAATTTGTCAAGTGAGTGAGGCTACCAAGGCTGATGTTGATGAAGCTGTCAAAGTTGCTCGTGCCACTTTTGAAAATGTTTGGAGAAATTACTCTCCTCATCAACGTAGTATTTTGATGAACAGATGGGCTGATTTGATTGAGAGAGATGCTGACTACATTGCTGATCTTGAGTCTTTGGACAATGGTAAGCCAAGAGAAATGTCAAGAAATGTTGACGTTGCAATGACCATTTCTACCATTAGATACTTTGCTGGTTGGGCTGATAAGATCAATGGAGACACTATTCCATTGGAAGGAGATTACTTTTGTTACACTCAAAGAGAACCTGTTGGAGTTTGTGCTCAAATTGGTAAGTCAAAAGTATATGAATGGAGTACATTGTGTTTACAATCGCTCACTATTTATTTGGCATGTGCAATCTACCTTTCTCTTCTTAACATGAATGTCTTTGACTCTTATTTCAGTTCCATGGAACTTCCCATTGTTGATGGCAACTTGGAAGTGGACTCCTTGTCTCGCAACTGTAAGTTTCTACACATGGACAAACGGATTGTTTGTTCACTTGTCAATTAACACACATTAGGGTAACGTCTCTATTTTGAAAACTGCTGAGCAAACTCCATTGTCTGCTCTTTATGTAGCATCTTTGGCCAAGGAAGCTGGTTTCCCAGATGGTGTTATTCAAGTTCTTAGTGGTTTTGGTGAAACTGCTGGTGCAGCTTTGGCATAGTATGTTTCTTTTTCTAAATGATCACTCAATATTAATCCTTATAATAACCATACTTCATCCTTCGATCAATCCTTGTTTCATGTTTGTATTTGTTCGTGCACAGCCACAATGATGTTGATAAGGTTTCATTCACTGGTAGCACAGAAGTTGGTAAGAAGATTCAAAAAGGTAGGTTTGTTTCTACTTGTTCAAGTGCAACATTCAATCTCTCTTGCGTTCACAAAAAACAGCTTCTGCTGAAAGCAATTTGAAGAGAGTCACTTTGGAGCTTGGTGGTAAATCTCCACTTATTGTTTTGGGAGATGTTAAGGATCGTGAATCTATGAACAAGATTGTCGATATTGCTAACTTTGGTACTTTCTTTAACCAAGGTCAAGTCTGTACTTGTAGCTCTCGTGTCTTTGTTGCTTCAAGCATTTATGAAGATTTCTTGAAGGTTTCAAAGGAAAAGGCTGAAAAGAGAATTGTTGGTGACCCATTCGAGAAGAAGACTGAACAAGGACCACAAGTCAGTGAGGAGCAATTCAACAAGATTATGAGTTACATTGAGTATGGTAAGAAACATACTAAACTTGTCACTGGTGGTGAGAGACTCGGAAACAGAGGTTACTTTATCAAACCAACAGTCTTTGCTGATGTTGATGATACTCACAAGATTGGTAAGTGGTTGTGAATGGAGAAGAATATTTCTTCTTTTTAACAACAAATCATTCACTTTTGACTGATCAATAGCCCAAGAGGAAATCTTTGGTCCAGTCATGAGCGTTATTGTAAGTATCTTGCTTGAAAACGTTCTTTTAAACAAATATTGGTATTTCACAACATAGCGTTATGATGACAATGAAGTTGAAGAGGCTATCAAGAGAGCAAACAACAGTGAATATGGATTAGCAGCTGGTGTTTTGACTCATGATTTGAATAAGGCCTATCGTATTGCCAGTGGATTGAAGGCAGGAACTGTTGTAAGTAAGAAATTTTTGGTCATTGATCAATGACAACTTGTATTTTCATTTCTTACATCTTTCCATTCTTTCCTATTTCATAATGTCTAGTGGGTCAATTGCTGGAACGCATTCTTCCATAACGTTCCATTTGGTGGTTACAAGCAAAGTGGTATTGGAAGAGATTTGGGTGAAGCTGCATTGCATGAATATACTGAGAACAAGTCTGTGATTACCTATGTTCCAGGTTTGAAACGTCCATACAAGTTTTAAATGATGAATGATGAAATGGTTTCATTTCGTCATCCATGAACCACCACATGAACATTGTGTAACAATATCATTTACAACGACTCCATGTCATGTATTGTACTTTAAAAAATACAACAATAATTGTTCATGAGCAAAATACTTATCATAAGTGACTCTACAAAATTAATTCTCATTACTTGACAGTGTTTTGTCAAATCCTGCTGAGGTGTGTGGATTAACCCTTACGTTGGAATTCGTCGACGAAAGCAACACTACTTTTATCCAACACATAAAAAAAAGTCTAAAATTAAAAATGAATCCAGCAAGACCAGCAGGCTCAGTGAATCAACCAAGACCGACTGGTGCTGGGCAAGGAATGTCGGCTATGGCCAACCTCGGAAAGGAACAATTAGCTATTACCGATATGAGATACGAGCTTTTGGATCGAGAAATCAATAGATTGGGACTGCTGATGGAACAACTGGTTGATGCTTCCCGAGTGATGGATCCAAATCCAATTTCCACGAAATATGTAAACAAAACTCAAAATGAAAAGGATGAATTACAATTATCAGTAACCGCAGCATCAATGGTTGATGCCTGTCAAAATCTTCTTCGGCTAACATCGGATTTGCAAAATAGCTATTTATTTTTTGATTTTGACCGCATTGAAAATACACAAGCAAATTATTTGAGTTATTTGGAGAAGCAAAACAATAATAGCGAACAATCTCAACAATTGTAAAATACATTATTTATTTTAAATTTTATGATTACTTTTAATGCAAAGGAAGCATTTTATCACACAGCATGAGGAGTGAAATTGCAGATGGCACACAAGCTCATCAATGGATTGGCAACACTCACTCTGTCTATATATTTCTGATCCAACGTTTGGGATCAAATATTGTTGTCAGTACGTTCGAAACATAGGTGGATACTCGAGAAAGAAACGTTCTGTCATCAGATAGATTCAATAGTACTGGATAATGCACATATTCGATGTGATCATTCTCTCGAGATGAAACAGTCAATATCAACGCAATGGGTTTGGTATCAAAAAATTCATGGCTGATAGTAAAATCTGCTACTCCAAAAGGCATATCATCAATTTGCTTACAGAAATTTTCGCTATTTTCTGCCAAACTTGAAAAAATTAGTGACATTTGGTCTGCATGTTTCATAAAGAATTGCCGTAATGAATCAGTTGATTGATGTGTGGAAGTAGGAAACAATTTTTCGCTTTGTGTATGATCATACCTGTAAATCTTGTAAATATATTCTGTGCATGTGCGGTATTGATACTTTTTCAGAGTAGTTGAATAATAGAATTGTGGATGAATCACTTTTCTATGAAAATCAAAATTTCCAGCCTTGGTAAAAGAGAACCCTTTCTTGAACAAGTCAAATCCATTTTGTTGAATTCTTATTGCTGTCACAAGCTCTTGATGTTCTGAAACTCCATCAAGTGTATGAGCGAGTGGCACCATGGCTGAATATTTGGTAATGATATGATTTTTCGAGTTCTTCCCAAAGGTAGACGAGGATGGCACCAAAATCTTTTGGTGAGAAATTTGTTGTACATGCAACATCTCTTTTGGGCTTACTAACACCTTATTGGATTTAAATCCTTGACATACAATACTTGCATGAGGAATATCGATAGAACTCAAATAAGCAATATAATAATTCACACCCTGTTTGAAGGGAGGTGTTGAGAAGGATGTAATGGTAATTCCAGGATATGCCGACGTTCCATTAGAATTCCACATGGAGCTTCCATCTGCAATCATTGTTGGATCTGTGCTCACATTCAAAGTAGTTACAGCTGGAGTACAACCACCATCTCCATCACACATGATTGAAATTGAAAAACCATGATACGTGGTGTCATTGGGAGGCATGACTAATTCAAAATATAAAGGTTTAAATGCAGTGACAGAGATTGGATAGGTTTTAAATCCAATCTGTGTGAAAGATGGAAGAGCTTTGGTTCTCAGTAGCGAAAGTGCAGACACAGAACCACCATAATCCCCAAAATTACTACAATAGGAAATAAATAGGAAATAAATCAAGAATAATAGTGAATATGAAAAAGTGTTCATGGCGTTGGTACTTTTTGAGTGGTGTATTTGTTGGTTTGTGGTGATGATGTTGTTATTATTATTAGTATTGATGATGAGCTTCCTTCGTGATGGAAAATAATTTCCGGATTTTGTTGGCAGCAAATTTCTCATCATCATCAGCAGTTGCTTTGTTTGCTTTTGCAGTCTTTATAGGAGTGGTGATGTTTGGGAGATGGAATATTGAAATGCAGCCTCGGATCTTATCACCACAGAGTTTTGATGTGATTCGGCTTTTTTTGAATTGTGATTTTAGCGGAGTTGAGGAAAATTCTTCTCCGGCTCAAGGGAATGCTCCACGAAAACACGAATCGAATTTATTTGAAGTGAACGTTCGAATAATTATTACTTGTTCTCATTGTTGTTGGAATCATCTTTGAGTTGTTCCTCAGGAACTAGTGTGTGGAGATGAATATTGCGAAATATTCAATTTTAATGCTTGTTTCAAATAGGTTCATACTTACTTCCTGCTTGTTGCATTAACTCTCCGATACTCTTTTCCAAATCATCTATTCTAGTCCCCATTTCATCAACTAATTTCAAATAAAATTGGTAAAATATAATTATTGATTTTGTTCCGAACGATCGTTCATATACATACTCCTCTTTATGATTGTGTCGGACATGTCTTGGAATCTTTTTTGCTATTAAAGTTATCCATGAATGTGATGTTATTCAATCATCATGATTCGAATAAATTGTTTGAAGCGGTTGATGGAAATTATGATCCACAGTTTTGTATATCATCCATCATTATCATACAACAAGGAACATATGAATACAAATCCGAGATCTGATTTAGTTGTTTTGATATCTTACCATTTGATGAAGTAAATTTTGAACAAATACAGTGAGTTCTTGGGTTCCTTGTGGTGGTACACCTCCTTGATTGTCTGACATTTTTTATTGTTTTTGTTTTGGAAGGCGCGATCACCTGCATGCAGTTTCCTTACTATTCAAAGAAGGATTTCGAGAGGGACATGGAATCCAAAGAAACAGGTTCATTTTCCTTAGTGAGCGACCTATAGGTGGGAAGTTTGGCAAGATGTAATCGATGATATTCTTCTCGAATGGCGTCAATTTGTTTGTAAATATCACACATATCATTCTTGATACTCTCTGAGAAGTCTATCGTGAAGAAAGGATGTGACAAGAGCTCGCTTGCTTTTGGTCGTTTTTCAGGATTTCTTAATAATTCGTTAAATGTTGATTAAAATCTTGAGATTCAAATACCTACAATTCAAGACATCTCAAAATTACATCGCGCAAGTCATTGGAAATGGAGGTAGGAATATTCTGGTGTATCAAATGGACATTGTTGATCATGAACTCTACATATTGATACTCGGTTGTTAAGTTTGAAGGATAGAAAAGAAACCAAATGTTTTTTCCTAAAAGCATTTCAAGAATGGTCATTCCCAGACTCCATATATCAGGGGCATGCGAACGTTTGAAATTAATTTCCCCTTTCAACTGCTCAATGCATAAGAATGGAATGGTACCTGTGAGTGCTCCTTTTGTTTTTGATAACGTTAACGATCCCGATTGCTTCGATTTATCTAAATGGCTCTTCTTACATATAAGTTTCGACTCTCCAAAATCGCACAGCTTTATAAGCTCTGCATTCTTTTTCGAAGTAATGTACCATTCTTTGATAATAAATGTTCTACTCACCTTTAGCAATATGTTGTCACATTTTAGATCTCTATGAAAGATAGGCTCGTCACGTTCTTCATGGAGATACTTTAAGGCACTGAGAATTTGTTTCAAGTATAGCTGTATAACTCCTTCTGTCAAACCTCTTCCCATTCGTTTTAACACCTGTTTCAAAGAACCTCCGCTCATAAATTCCATCATAATATACACCCACTCTGAAGAAAATTCAACTCCCTTAAATTGAACAATATTTTCATGCTTTAAACTTTTCATAATTGAGGTTTCCCTTTCAATTTTTTGCTTGACATTTGTTTCTGGAGAGTAAAGTATTTTCTTGACAGCAATCATCTCGTTATTAATGGAATCATACACCAGTATAACTTTTCCGAAACTTCCTAGGCCTAAGGATTTCATTACAATCCAACCTTTGGACATTTCAAAAGACTCACCAAACGGAGACAAAGGACTTTCAGCTGGAGACTCTGAGATGTTCGGCGACTTGTTGGATGGAGAGGTATCAGGTTTGTTCACAACAAGTTGTACTCTCACTTTAGCTCCTTTCAAATCTTTGATAGTGTCCACATCTAACCATTGTTTATACTCCTTGTCAAAGTACATGAGAAGAATTTTCTCTTTTCTATTGATTTCAAATTTTTCCTTAATTTTCCTTTCAATTGCACGAAGAGTTGTGATTGAGTTGGACCCAGCAACAAATTCAACTTTCTTTTTTCTTCCTTGATATTCTGCAATGAAAGAACTAATTGGAGGATTGATTATGGGAGACTGTGCAGAAGATCGAGTTGTAGCAGCCTTAGCATCTCCCATTTCAAGTGGTTTTTGATTAGAAGACTGCTTTGGTTGTTCTGTCGTTTTGTTTTTTCTTGAAGAAGCCAATCTTTCAATTGGCGGCTTACTAGTCGGAGGTTTTGGTGCTCCTATTGAAGGAGAGGATGATGGAATAACAAATGATATACTTTTCCGTTTTAAAAATGTATGTGTTGCGTTAGGAAGTGACAGAGTGTTGGTCACAGATGAGTTAGAAAGAGAATTTGTCGGTCCACTTCTTGTTTGATTCGATACACTGGTTACCACTTTCTTTGAGTTTTGTTTCCGATTGTTGTCACTTTCTTCACTACTTCCGTTATCTACCTGTTTTGTTTGCTTTTTCTCTTTGACGACGGTATTTTGCTTGCTTGTATTGTTATTTGTGCTAGGTTTGTTTTTCTTTATCGAGGGCTTCTCAATTACTGCATATTGAGAGACATAATGTTCTGGTTTGGTGAAGGTCGATGATGGAAGAAAAGGAGGTCTTGTGGAGGTGTTTGAAGAAGGTTTTTTCTTTGCCAAGTTCGGCTCTGACGGTCGTTTTGACCAAAGGTTTTTGACTCCATGATTTGTCTGATTGCCGCCAGAAGAAATGGAGTTAAGGGATCGAGGTGATGAGGGGTGTTTTGAAGCAGCAGAAGAAACAGATCGAATGGATGAAATCGAAGAAGAGCTTGAATTAAGGTTGGAAAGAGTTTCATCACAATCCGTGAACTCGGTTAAAACTTCAACCATGTCCAAATACTGAGCTACTTCTTCGTCATAATCATCTGAATACTCATCACCCACTTCTTCTCGATCAGAATGTGAAGCTGTCTCGTTTATCATTTCTAAGCGACGAGATGATGTCGGAATTTTCAAAGGAGGAATAAATACTTCATCATCCTCATACGACTGATTGATTGCAGAAGGAATTCTTGATGGTGCTGTTTCTTCTTGAAGGAGGGGAATAGAATTGGAAAATACAGATGTGTTTACAGAAAAGGGCATTGGTGAAGCAGTAGTTGACGAATTGGCAGAGTCTGAAGAGTAATTATAGGCATCTTCTTTAAGGACCAGAAAGTATTGAGGAGAATAGTTGGAAGGAATAGTTTCTTCATGAGATGGGTCATGGGTGGTGAAGTTGGAGGGTTGTAAATCTTCCAAATAGTCCAATACCGTTTTTTCATGTGATTGGAGTTGAAGATTACTTGTGTCTGGATTACAGTCTTCTTCCAATCTTAAATTCCTTATTTCGGGATTGGCCTCAGCCTGCTTCACTTTAGAATTTTCATTATCAGTATTACCACAGTTCAAAACGTTATTCATTGTGTTGATTGATTTCGCCTCTATCATTCCTCTCCGTTTTTTGAAATATTGAATATTCTTAATGAAAGTAGGAAACAAGGAATCAATATTGTTGTGGTGGTTGAGTTTTGAAAGCGCGCGGAAGCAAAGATCTTTTTTTTTTAAGCGGAACTTTCCCATGCCAAGGAGATCTTCTTCTGACAGAGTGTGTGTGTGTGTTGAAGGACATGGACCTGGTGCATCATTTGTTGTTGTTAATGATGGTGATGGTGATAGCACTCGAGATGATGGCAATGCATAAGTAGAACATGGTCGATTCATTTAGGGAAGTGGGGATGAGCACTTCTCATGAGAACAACATGTTGTTGGAGGGATCTTTCCTAGCCCATTTACAACCACTAAGCGCATGTTCAATCATAATAGGGGGTTCCAATAAAAAATGCATAGCAGAAGCCTGCTGACAGGAGCAGCAGCCACATCTTACTCTTTCAGTCCATCATTCACCTCTGAAAATGGCACTGCCAGTGGACTTGACTTGGAAATTAACAACACTCATCATCATCACAATAATACCAATCATAACAACAACTACACAAGCAAGCCTATGATCGTTCGGAATGCCCAAAAATCTTCGCCTCTCATCACTCTGATCCGAAGAGTATGTTGTTTTTGCTGCAACATTTCGAGCAGAACATCACGTGTTGCTTCCGATGGTCATATTCGAGGAGGCATCAACAAGTCCCGTGTGACCATTTCACTTGCCATTCTCTTTTCCTTGTTCATATTTTTGTTTTTGGTTTTGCAATCAAAATTTAGTGTGAATTACAAGAGTAGTGAATTGTTGGAAAACAAATTAGGGAAACATTCTCTTCACACGAAAGAAGGCTCTCATCAAACTCTCAACTTACACACTCTCTCTTCTGATAAACGATTTTCATGTGAAGATGGTGGAGGATTTGAAGTCACAGATTCAAAACTCACCATTGTTGTCACACCATCTTTGAGAGAGAGTGATTTCAGATTTATTACGAGTCAAAGCATTGGAGAAAATGTCATGTTGGAATGGATGTTATTTAAAGAAAAGGATCAACCAACACCCAAGTTTTTGAAAAAGCTCCAAAAGAAAGTAATTCTAGTTGATGAGATCAAGAACGAAATGGAATTATTGAAAATAGGATTGGAACATTCGACAGGAGAGTATTTATTCTTGCTTCCTTATGAGGTGCATTTATTTGGAACATCCTCACATGAAATATTTAAATTGAAATTGAGTCAATTGAAATGCAGTGCTCAATCTGCAATGTTAGGTTCCATGCTCATTTATCCCATTCATGTCATTTCGCAAAAACCAAGTTATAATTACACTAGTGCCAATGACCCTAATTCGTCTTTTAATATTTATAGTATGACCTACAGACTTTCAAAAAGAGATAATAACATTCCAATACCGTACCACTACAGAAGAGGAAGAAACTACTTTTCACTTCCAAGTTCATCCAAAATACATCTGGACAATAATATTTGTGTGGCCTTTGCTGGAGCGTTCTTCAAGACATCAAAATTCAAAAATGTGAAATTGGACGTCGATTACATGAGTCGAGAGTTGAATGAGATACAAATGTGTCTACAACTGTACAATCAAAAGAAAAACATTATGTTCGACCATCAACCACAAGTCGATGATTTTGCTGTGGTAGTTCCGTATATACTGCCAAATGTAGAATCTGTCTCTGAAGAGGAAAATTCAAACTCTTGGAGTTTTGTACTTTCTCGTGCCCCATCATCAATGAACGAAGAACAATCCTCTCAACCTATCAATACCTACGAACAGGCACCACCAACCACCAATCGATTTATTCCTTTCAACACCTATTCGATTGGAAATGTGAAAAAATTTCTTAAAAAACATACAAGTACTTTAAATGAAATTCTTGAAACAGAATATAAGAAACGTACAAACAATCATACGAGCATGTCATTGGTATGGGATTTCGGAGCTGGCTCTTGCTCTGGCTGGTTCATGGAAACTGAAGAATTTGTGACAAACTTGGACATGGAATACAGAGCTACCAATTTGAGAATAATTACTGGACGAGAAGACACGTGCCTTGGGTTGGAGTCTTACAAATTTGAAAGTTTAGATCGATTAATTTCTAGAGAAGATATTAGCTCTAAAATTGACGTTTTTATTTCACACAAACCTCCAACAAGGTATCCAAAATCATTTCCCTACAAAGGACTTGTTCATTTGAATGGTATTCCCAAATATGTCATTGGAAGAAGTATGCATGAATCTGAAAAACTACCTCAGGAATGGATTTCCAATTTGAAATTAGTGAACGAGGTGTGGCTACCAAGCAGTTTTCTTGTGGATGTTCTCGTTAAGAAATATCACGTGAGCCCTGAAAAACTCCAAGTCGTGCCAGAACCAATTGACACAGACTTCTATAGTCCATACTATTCAAAATATTTAGGAATTGATCAATTGAAAAAGATTGTGAAACAACTCGACTATGAACCAAATCATTATCACTTTTATTCTGTTTTCAAATATGAAGAACGAAAAGGGCCAGAGTATTTATTAATGGCCTATTTTGATGAATTTGCTAATGTGAAAGATGTGACTCTTCATTTACAAACCTACATGTTTATGCATCCAAATGGAAGGGATAAAAAAGTGGTCGAACAAGCCATTGATGACGTTCGTGAAGAATTTCTGAAAACACGAAAAGATTTGAAACGAGAGAATTTACCATGTGTGAATATTATTTCACAAGTCGTTCCAACTACAGTCATGCCACACATGTATCATCATATGGATTGTTTTGTATTACCGAGTCGTGGAGAAGGATTTGGATTACCCTATGCTGAAGCCATGTCCATGGGATTGCCGACAATTGGTACAAATTATGGAGGCCAACTTCAATTTATGAATTTACACAATTCGTATTTAATTGATGTCATTGGTGAGAGAGATCCAGATCAAGAATTTGTGATACCCAATGTCAAACATTTGAAGAAACTCATGAAATATGTTTACTCAAATAGAAATGAAGCAAAATTAATGGGAAAGAGAGCTCGACAATATATTGAACAGAATTTAACACATCAAGTGGTGAATCAAATATTGATTTCACAGCTGAAAAGAATTGAAAAAAAGATTCAACAATCGAAATCTTCACAACAGCAACAACAACTGGACATCAAAAAAGAAAAACCAAACAGACCATTGAAAATGGAACAGAGAGGAATTCGACCACATTAACCCTCAAAATATAAATAGGGAAGTTTTTTTCAATTCAAATTGACAAAGTTTAAGTCAAAATTTCAAAAAGTTGTGTTTTAAAAAATACAGGAATGGGTTTATTGAAAAATAAACAAATTATAGGTACTCAATTGTCCGACGATAGTGTGTCTAATGGGTGTGTAGGTGTGAGGTGTAGATGTTGTTGGAGTTGAGTTCGCCAAGCTGACTGCTAAATGTTTCCCAAGCAGTTGCAAATTTTGCAGTTTTGGGTTTAATTATATATCTTCTAGCCTTCTTGAGTACAGTTGAACTGTTCCAAGTGGCGTTTTTGTAACAACTGCCAACATAGGCAGCGAATGAGAGATATATTTCATTTAGCCAATCAGTCAAAGCTGGGGGAGATAAGTCTAATTGTTAAGTTGTGTTTTAAAAAATGATTTCTTCCAAACTATTGATGGTTTGCTGCTCTTTGAGGAGTCTTGGTTGTTTCTCTGCAATGCACTTCGGAATTAGAAAAAATCATCATTGGCTTCTCAAATTAGAAAATCATCATCATGATTTAAAGTTCTTTTCAATAAGTCATGATAAACTTCAATTCAACAACACGAATAATTATTTATTAACATCATCATCTTCAGGTAAGAAAGAAAACCAGGAAGAGGATGATGTACAGCAAGAGGAAGAAGAATTTGATGAAAATATTGAACATTCAGATTTTGAATACGTGCCTCCAAAATATGTAAATCCAGAAGACTTGCATCCAGATCGCCCAATATTTGATGGACATATCCCGAAAGAAAAATTGATTATTTCATTTTCTAGAAGCTCTGGACCAGGTGGCCAAAATGTAAATAAGGTCAATACCAAAGTTGACATTAGACTTCCCATAGATTCCTCTGATTGGATTCCTGACATTGTTAAGGAGAGACTGAAAGAGCTCTATGCAAACAAAATTAACAAGGAAGGCGAATTAATTATTCAAGCATCTAGTTTTAGAACTCAAGATCAAAACATGAAGGATGGACTTCATAGATTGAAGGGATATATTGCAGAAGCGTATAACATTCCTAAAGAATGGAAGCCAAGAGAAGGTAGAACGGAAAAAGGTGATGCTATTCGATTGAAAGACAAGAAAAAACATTCTGAAAAAAAGCAAAGAAGGCAAGAAGGAAAGAGAATTAGAAACATTTATGACATTTAAACATGTTGTTAACAATATTTTACGTTCGTTCTATGTACATATTCTCGAACAATAAGGAATTTCTCTTTTCGTTCCAAGTTTGCTCTTTGTTCAGCCGCTAAATATTTCAGTCTGAACATGCTGGTAAACTTTGCAAGGAAATAAGAAACAATCAGAAATAAGACAACAAGGGACCCAAGAGTTATTTTGTGAGTGGCATAAAACAAAATATTTTCCCATGTCATGGCAGCGTTTTCATCCTGATAAAAAGCAAATGCCATCGATAACGAGTTCATAGCTGCCTCTACAGGCATTTGTTCTGCAGCAAGAATAGAGGCTCTAAATGGTCCACAAACATTACCGGTTGACTGGAATAAGAAGAACCCTAATGGTACCAAACAAAGGACAAAGGTCACAAACAGCATGTTCAGGTTAAATGGGCTGCTTCTTCCTCTCTCGAATGGATTGTCTGGGAATTTGCATACAAGCTTCATCACCAAGTATTTCGCAAAATAGAGAATAAAGTTAGAGATCAATCCAGCAATTGGAATCATTGGCGACATAATCATACCAACAAAAATTAAACTTTGTCTGTAAAGGAGCTCAATAACATGGTCTGGAACAGAAAACTCCAATTTACCTCGCCTATTCGCTTCGTACTCGTCTGCGCTTTTTTTGGCAGTGCATTGGCGTCCAATCTTGTACATGATGGGTATGAAAACAACTGTCTTGAAGATGTTGACTCCAAACTCGATCCATATCATCTGCCAAAATACTAACCCTGCTTCTGTCTGAACGCATTTACCACCATCATTCGACATGAATAATTGTCGTATCATTAGAGCAACTGTGGTTGACATTTTAACAATAAAAGTTCTAATAATGATATTCCATTCGCTTGTAGATCTTTCAGCATATGCCTCCAACATAACCATGTATGAAATAATGATTGGAAAGAATAGGGAAATGAATGAGGTCAGCAGTGACGTGGTGTAAGGAAATGTGGAGTTAATTTCATTATAATATTGGACGATGAAAGACACACCAACAGGGGTACCTAAAACTATGATTCCACTGACAGAGATTCCAATCAATCTTCGTAAGACAAGAACGGCAATTTCTTTCTTGGTCATGCTGGATACCACTGCTTCCTTTGCAAAGTCTGCATTTCTATACTCTTGGAGTTTAGCAGCAATATATCTCTGTAAATCCTTCACCCCTTGTTTTGTATTAACACTAAATGAAAAACTATTAAAAACAGCAGACAAATATCGAATGTTACGCTCTAGTAACATTTGACATTAACTTGTTGTCTATTAAAAGTTGCATCCACTTACCGTCCATACGCCGCACGTTTGTTACTTTTTCTCCAATACTTCTACAAATAATCACAATTGCAATGACAAAGTTCAAAATCACAACAAATATATATACAAAGGCAAAAGGCCAAATAACTGTTGCAAACAGCACCAATCGATCTTCATATCCTCCAAAGAAGAAAAAAGTCTGTCCAATCATGTTCGATTTGAACCCAATAAGGCCAAGGAATAAATCCAAATTCCAAACATCTGGCCATTCTGATGGTTTTCTCAGCAACCAAGGCAAGATCAGCAAAATAAAGGATGAAACTGACAAGAAGAAATTCATTCTAATCACCGAATAGAAAAAATCATAGAAGGTTGCAATTCCACTTCCAAATCTGTGTTCTATCACCGACAGAGATCTAGAGAAAGGGTTAAACCGAGAAACGTATTTGTGGAGTCTGTTTCCTCCCCACCATGATCGAACGGAGGCAAACCAACGAGCTAATTTGGACCTCCTTTTCAAAGCCTCTTTATGATCTCTAGCCAATGACCGGAGTCTCTCTCTCATATTCGTTAAATCATCATGCTCAAATTCTTCCTTCACCAGCTCTAAAATCTCGGGTTTTTGAGCCTCAATCCATTCCTTATTATTTCGGTTAATCACTGTTTTCTGTTTGTTGTGGATGTATATGGAGGGGGAAAATACAGAGGAATCTTGTGGTTGTAGTTGATGTGAAGACGGAGTACTTGTGGTGTTGTGGATATTACTATTGTTCATTAAACGGTTACTTGAAGAAGGGTCCTGTCTGGGAGAAGAGAAATCTTCTTGAGAAAGCTTGCTTGGTATTGGAATTGGAATTACAATATCCTGACCAATGCTTTCAGAACTTTCATGATGTTGGTGTTTCATGGATTTCAATTCAAGACTCAAATCCGATGAATTCAATACAACATTTCTGAATTGATCGTATCGGATTTGCATGGGCATCTCCACCTCTAAATCCTCATCGTCATCCTTTTGAGGAGTATTTCCAATAACCATTCCCCAATTTCTGTTGTTTGAGGCCATCTTGTCCAAATGTTCACACAGGATATTGTTGCGGCACACACAAATCAATATGATGATAAAAGTTTTTTGTGAATGAATTTTCAAAACCTTCCAATTACCGTAAATTTCACGCTCAAAAAAAGGAATTGCATCTGTTTTTCTGTCTGTTGATAATACGAGGGAAGATTAAAAAGGCACAACCAGCAACACAATTGGGTCGTGTGTGGCGTTCCACTTTGCTTGTCATTTCAATGCAAAGTGAATATATTAGTCAGTGATCGCTGTGTTATGTGCTGCCATCAAGTCGCGACAACACGGAGTTATTTTAAATTCCACAGTCGCGACAAACGTGTGGTGGTTGTTGTTCTAATTCCATGTCTAATAACACCTTAAAAAAATGTCCAAAGTTCCTACAGAAACAATCGAGCTCGGTATTCGTGAGTTGAGTACCTATGACGGATGGGTCAAAGACAGCGAAGAGAATGGTGTCACATTGTACACCAAGATCTTGTTCTCGGATCGCTCCACTCCGAGTATTAAAGTATGTAATTGAATTTGATTATTGTAAGAAGAAAATGCTCAATTCTGATGGTCGTTCGGAATTGTTTCAATTTTCATCATATCACCATCATCATCACAATTAATATGTCGCATGAATTATGACTATTAAATTTTGAATGATCAACATTTAAATTCCTCAAAGTTTACAGGAGTAGTAGATGAACCTCTTGAAGAAGTCTTTGAAGTTGCCCGAAACATTAACTACCGAATTCATATGAACGAAACCACCGTTGAAGCCAAGTGGATTGAACAACCTCAACAAACTCAAGATGGAAAGAGCTATGATGTATTCTATACTCGCCTTAAAGGTCCAAATTCACTGGTTTCCCATCGTGATTTAAATATTGCTCGTATTTGGTGGTACAATGAAGCTGAAAAGGCTTGGTGGATGGTCATGAGAAGTGTCAAATTGGATGGTCCTCAAGGAAAAGAGGTGAGCGGTGTGGTGAGAGGAGAATTCTTGATTCAAGCCTTCAAATTTGAGTCTGTGAATGATGGAAAATCAACCAAATTCACCATTGTGGCTCAAGTTGAATATGGTGGTTGGTTGCCATCAGGTGTCATTTCGTTCTTCCAAAAGAAAATTCCAATGGACATGAAAACAAAGTTAAAAGCAGGTGTCCTTGCATTGAGAAAGGATCGTAGCAAGCAATAACTTGTAGACTCGTCTACAACACTACAACATTCTTGCGATAAAAGCTGACCATCTGTATTTGTAATTTCAAGTTATTTATAACGTAGGGTTGAAAATGATAGATGTCCAATGTCAACACATTGTTGGTTGTTTCTGATTATATATTCTTGAGGAACAACAACCGAAAAAATGACAATCACTGCCGACGAAGCTCATGAATCCTCTACCGTCGGATTGAACAAGAAGCAAAAGCAATTGTTTGATCTCGTAAAACCATATCTCTTCATGTACGTGCGATAAAGAATGTCACATCATGGCGGTGAAAGAAACAAGAAATTAATACATTATTTTTTTAAATAATTTTTCATAAAATTCATAATTATTACAATACATCATCAACTACAACAACAATCGGAATCCAATATTTCAATTGAAATTATTTGAACAATGATTACCATTATTTAGATTTGAGATGATATGTGCTTTTGAAGTTGTTCTTCTTGTATTTGTATTACTTTCAGCCATCACAACATTTTTTGATTCATTACCAAAACTGGACAAACAAGATCACGATTGTTCGAGCAACAGTATTTATTACATAATTTTATCAATGGGAATTATGGGATTAGTTGAGATGATCTTACTTGCAAGCACGTTTCAATTGTCAGCTTTAGAAGAAAAACCACTCTTGAAAAACGAACTTCGAAAAACTGCAGGATCAGGCATTACGAATTTCTTCACCATTACTTGTTTTATTATTCGTTTGGCTTTGATCATTGCAAGTACGTCGATTATTGAGGCACCTGCATGCTCTAAAACTACCATTTACACGACTGACCTGCATTACTTTGTCATTTGTATGTGGCTCTTTTGGTCCTTCTCTGCTCTTCTCATGATTCCAAAGGCGTACACATTTATCAAATCAAGAAGTATCACGAGAGAATTTTACAAACACACAGAAGCAAGTAATACTTTGGAGGTTCACCTCACCGATGATGAAGAAGAATTATTGACCAACAACAAGTAAAACATGTTTCCAAATATATAAGAGAGTGTGCGTGTGTGAACCTATTGGCAGCAGGATGATCTTTATTGACTCTGAGTCATCCGTATCGAAACACCAACAACAGCAGACACACCAAAGTGGCCAATCCATTCAAAAAGGACAAATATTCCAACAACAACTGACTTTCCACAACTTCCAAATCACTCGACCTATCCATCACTCAAAATGTTCAAGTCCTTCCTTCCTGTCACGTTTCATCCAATTAAAATCACTCACAGCGATTTCCATAACCAAAATCCTCGTCCGAACTTGACTCCATGCTGGCGGTTGAGTAAAAATGAATACTTCAAGTGCAAAAAAAAAAACAAAAAGTTTCCTCCTCTCACGTCGTCGTATTCACTCCTCTTCCCGAAAGAGAACGCGTCAGAAAGGTTGATTTTTTTGTGCTTTGTATCTTACAGCGGAAGCAGGGTTTTGAATTAGGGCCGCAGCAACATCATCATCATTGGTTGCTTTGTACTTTTAGTAGTATTATTAGTAGTATTATTATTATTATTAAAATTGGAAAAATCGGTTGGAACTGTGTGAGCTCTGTGTTTTTCGTGTCTTCGGAAACTTGTATTTTCTTCTTTCACTTTCATCACACAATAAGAACATTAGAACAGCGAAAACCACAAACTAATAATACTAATTTTGCCGACAACCACCAATGCACTCCTACACTCATCATCATATGATGGCAACTCTCACACGAGAGCAGCTGGAAAAGTTTGTGGAAGAGAGACCCCATATGCAAGACAACCTCCGATGTCGCAACATACTCCGAGATTATGAAAACAATCAAGTTTCCCACACGCTTTCTTCAACCATAGAGAAGATTCTGTGGAAAAAAAGGCAATCCAATCTCTCCCAAAAGTTGGAAAACAGACCTAACTTGGAACAGTTAGAACAACGAGGGATTTTGCCATACCACATCAGTAGTGGATATACGACATCTTCCAATAATTCAAATCGTTCTTCTTCTGATCAAGACTCCTCCAATTCTCCTTCAACAACTACAACACCCTCGTCTAGCAATTCTGTGAGTGACAACGCTTCACAACACCAAGACTTTTCTTACTATATTTATGATCAAGAACAAGCCTTATCTGGTATTGGTCTTGGAAGAGAAGAGAAGGAACGAAAAAAGAGACACATAGAGAACTTCCTAGTGAGAAGACCTTCAAAGAAGGATCTTGTGGAGATGTTGAGGAAGGGAAACAACTCTAGTTCCACGCATTCCAATCTACCACATGACAACGAACCAACTTTAATCTATGATGTTTCTGGTAATTCCAGTAATGATCTCTCTCACTCTTCTCCCACCACTTTCCCATCCTTTGATCCTGTGTGTATTTTGTTAGAGCCTCATGTTTTACAAATTCATAATCAGCTTGAGAATTTACAATCTGTCACAGATACAGAGTCCGACGATTCCAATAATTCTGAAGGAGAAGATGAAGAAAAAGGTAGCTCTCAATAGCTGTATTTGGTTAGTATCATTCTGATACTCCTCAATACTTGAATCCTCACTCCTAACATGGTACTAGAACAGTGGTTCTTGTACATTTAAACGTTGTTGAACAAGCTCATTCTAACATCAAATCAGCTTATCCACGAAAACAAGTATTTTGTTGGTAATTCTGAGCCTTTGTAGTGAGCTGCACAAGAAAATATATCCTATTGCAACAATAAACTTGTTTGCTAGATTTACTCTCGAGAAGTTGTTACAAATGGAACGTTTGCACTTGTCTTTTCCCAATGAGCATATTGTTTTGTTTTTTGCAAACGAGTGAACGTGTCATAGATATTCATAAACAACTCAGGCCATAGAAGGTCCATGACTGATTTCACATTCACTTCTTCGTTTTGCTTCTTGGAGATCTCGTTTTCAACGGATTCAATTGGATTCGCATGAATCACACTTTCTCTTGTTGTTGCTATGGAGGCATGTTTTGACAACTCTGAATTTGGCTCTATCAACGAGTAGAACTTTTTCTTGCAGTCCGATGAAAAATTAATCTCATTGGGTGCACTTGGTTTCACATATTCATTGTAAATTTCTCGTAGCATATCTTTGTTGACCACTGCATGCAGATTATTGAAATCAGAAGACAAATTCTTAATCTTTTCCCATAGCAATAAATTTTCACTTGCATATTCTTTTTCTGCAAAAACTTTGAGAATGCTGTAAAAGTATCCATCTGAAAGCATGAGAGTTTCGAGATCATTTTCTTGTGATTGATTTCTACGAGTATAGGAATCCTTCTTGTTTCGAACCAATTTGGTTGCCTTATTCATAAATTCATTGTCATATTTAGCTCCTTGCAATTTCGCTCCAGCTACACAATATCCAACAGAGGCTGGATCAATACTTGTTAAATCACAATTTCTCAGACTTGAATTCACGAGTTTAGCTCCTGTAATATTACATCCAGTAAAGATGCATTCACTCAGAGATGACGTACTGAGATTGGCATTTGCAAAATTAGTATTTGTGAAATTACTTTGTGAGAGAATGCAATTCGATAAATTGGCATATGAAAAATCGAGTCCAGAAAAGTCCATCTTTTTGAGACTACATCCACTCAAATCAATACCAAACAAACTTTTTGATTTTCTCAAAAAATCTGCATTCACAATGGCTCGATTCAATTTTGCATTTGCTAAAATATATCCTGTAGAGTTGGATGAAGTGGTTGTGAGATTACATGCTTTCAAGTTAGCATTGGATAAATTACAATTTTCAAGAATGCATCCATCCAAAATACTACCTGTCAGAGAAGCATTGGTGAGAGTGGCATTTCTGAAATTGACATTGGTCAAATTACATCCACTCAAATTGACATTGGTCAAATTGCACTTTTCAAAATTACATCCACTCAAATTTGTTCCACTGAAACAAGCTCCCACAAGATTCATACCACCAAAGTTAGAATATGTAATGACAGCATTGGTAATTTGAGAGTCACGTAAAGAGACACCTCTCAAATCCACATTGGTTAATGAAAGTTGAACATTTTCTTTCATGGAATAACTCAACAAGTGATCCATTTCATATTGTTTGATCTTGTTATAGGTCTTGTTGATATTTGAAAGTCCAAATTTAGAAACTGACTCTTTGAGCAATTCACAGCTTTCAATTTGTTGTTTTAAATTAACAAGTCCAAATTGTTCAGCCACATCCACAAGAAGTTTACCTGTGGATGTGTCCACTCGAATATTTCCATATCGAAGCCAATGCAACACAAGAGAAAAATGATCAGGATCACAATCAATGTAATGATGACATGGTGTGGATTCTTCATCCATACTAGAATCATTATTGGATGAAAGAACATTTTCGAACATGCTTGCAAGCAAGGACTCGGGTTCAAATTCTCGATTAATGAGTGTTGACAGTGATGTCTGTATAATTTCACCTCCTACATCCAATGTCACGATTTGAGAGTTTTCTTCCATGAATCGTCTTTTGGCAAGATCAGAAATCTTATTTTGAAGATTCATCTTTTGGCTTGTTAATTCTTTCAGATCGGTCTCTAATTTGGTGATTCTTTCTTGAGTTGAATGAATCTTGATTGTAAAGTCATTGTGTAATTCTTCCATTCTCTGTTGTTGAATTTCTTCAAAATTGGTTTCAATTTCACTTTTACAATCGTTCTGTACATGTTTTTCAAAATTTCCTCTTTTCACATATTCATGACATTCGGAGCAACGTCCAATCATTGCTTGATAGTGTTCCAATAAATTCAAATCCAAATTTAAAGTCCATGGAATCATCACAATGTCATGATGATTGGAAAGAGGACCTTGTGAATTTCTCGTAATGGTACTTGGCATGACATGAATAAAGAAAGGTTTTTGTATGTCCTTACTCTTAGGATCATCATCACGAACATGACAATTATCGTGAGAAGAGTGAACAAAATTGGTAGTGTGTGATGATGATGTTGAACATGTAGAGTTGAAAGTGGGAATAGTATTGCTGATGATGGTTGTAGTAGTAGTGGGAGTTGTAGTGGTGGGAGTTGTAGTAGTGGGAGTTGTAGTGGTGGGAGTTGTAGTGGTGGTTGAAGGACATTGGTTTGATGATAAATGATGTTGTTCTGAATGATCATTCAATGATATGGAAGATTTGTTTTTGGTGGATGTTGTTGTTGTGGTTAATGATGATGATGGCTTATTCTCATCATCTTGTAATAAAGACTGATTTGGAGTAGTGATGGAAGTGATGGAAGTGATGGCAGTGGTGGTGGTTTCTGACGATGACGATGATGGAGAGGACGAAGGTGTTTCTTCTCGGACCGATTGAATGGTTGCCACGTGTTGAGATTTAATTGCTGACCTTCGAATTCGATATTTTGGCACGACAGTTCCGTTGTTGCCTGGAGTGGTTGAGGACATTTTTTCAAAACAAAAACATTTGAACTTTGGGGATGAATTTTGTGGAATTTTTTTTGGCAGTTTGACAACTGACAGTAAACAAAGACTTTTTTTGTCCAAAAAAAAATTAATTAAGCCAACACACATTTGCTCTCTTCCTTAACTTGCTTTCTTTTCAGGAGCTCCTCTTTCGAATAATTTGGAGATTGAACATTATGGTGTAGAACTAAATACTTTTCCCATGGAACTGTTAAAAAAGATTTGTAAATGGATTCATCAGCGTTCTGTTCCTTAATTCTAAATTCTTGAGGACCAAACATCATGATCTGTCGATCTTGCTTCCAAGAAAATAAACATGCTCCTGCTCCAATGTGGAATGGATTTAATTCAATCACCATGACTCCTCTTGTTGGTGAAACAAAAAAATCAATGACAAAACTTGAATGTGTAGTTGAGGTTAATACAGTGTGTTGAAAGAATTCATTGATTTGCTGCTGAATTTCTAATTTTCGATCACATAATTCTTGAAATTTAACATCACTAAAATATTGTGAAATTGCATTCAAATGATTCTCATGAACAAAACATCTAAATTCATACTGAGGATTCTCAATAACTTCATCAATCCACTCTCGAATGATAATTTTGCTGTCATACAATTCCTCACCAAATTCAGTATTCTTTTGTAAATCTTCATAAATTCGTTGTGAACGACCAAGCAGCTCAAGAGCCTCCTTTCCATTTCGAACTCTCATGCTCTTATTCATTGCTTTAAGGAAAGCAACGTAAACATTGTTGGGAGTTTTTTCATTCAATTGATTCATTTCGATTTGGACGAGTTGTTGATAGATGGAATTGTCATGCTCTCTCCAAGGAACATCCTATTTTCATATTCATTTCCGAAATATTTAGTACCAAAGTGATATCATTGAAATTAAATGAAAGTTCACCATATTTCCAACAGAGTGGGCTAATTGATGCATTAACATACTTTTGGACTTCGAGTATTCAACTTTACAAATGCTCCATTTCTAAACACATCTTGATGTTGTTTCATACATTGATCGATTCTCTCCTCAATTCTCTTCAATAATTCCATCTCTGAATCTGTTAATCGATGATCAGAATTTGTGACTTGAGGATGCTCTCTCGTTGTCCTGTTCCACTCACTTCTGCTACTACAAATACTTTGGTTTAATTTAATGAGAGAGATTAAAGCCTTTGCTTCCTCAAATTTCAATTCAGTGCTCATGGTACGAAATGTATACTTGTCTAATTGATTATACCATGTGTCCAATGCAAAACAGTTTTGATAATGCCTTCTTCGATACCATTCCAATCGATGATCTTCAATTCCGAGTTTCCGAATTTGATCATCACTTATTGTGAATTCAATAATTGTTGAAAAGATTGATCAAGCAATCGGAAACTCACATCAACTGGACTCACCTGAGAAGAAATGGGCTCGAAAAGGAAGATGATGAATCTGATGAAGTATTTAGTCCTTCGTGTTGTTGTTGTTGTTGTCGTGATAATGTATTGTTGTTGTCGTTCTTGTTCAAAGAGCTCCCTTCGACGGCACTCTGAGAGGAGGAAATTGTGTTTGGTTGCATTTTTTGAAAACAAAAAAAACGAAAACAAGTTCATGTGAACTTCTAAAGATGTCAAGTGCTGACACGTTTCACAACATCTTGATATCTTAGCCAAGTTGCAAAACACAAACAAGCCTTACAAATTTTTACCGCTTAAATAAGTTACAATCATTGTTTATGACTGGGGTAAATTGCTGCTTGTTTGACAAATGTCAAAACTTCAATCAATAAAAAACAAAGTCTTGTCCATATGTATGATACTGGTGTGTGGTTTGTAATTGCAAGCCGTTCCACGAGAATATTGGAGGATTTTGTGAGGACCTTGAGAGAACATTTGAGCTCAAAAGGCTTGGAGTACATATACACGTTTCATATTCTTTGGTCCCTTTGATTGCTTTTAAATTGTTAGACATTCCGACAGGATGAAAAACATTCCGTGACAATTTGTGTAAGGTATTTGTTGAGATTGGATTAAATATAATACTTCATGGTGCGTCGGTGCATCTTTTAAAACGAAGTGAAAAATTCCAAGTTCTTCAGAAAGAAAAAACGAAACACACATCTCTGTGTTCAACACATCATCATGTCGATACTACTGCCCTCACAAAATCCTCCTCATCGATCGGAATTGGAGACTGGTGTGTTTGTGGAACAGGAGATTTTCAAACTAGGAAAGAAAATTCAATGTTTCAATTTGAAAAATCAACACAATGATGATGAAACAATAACCGTGTTGGACGAGCCCATGCTTCAACAACAATTGAATGAATTGCAAGCCAAAGAAGATCTTCCTCTCTCTCCGAATGTTTATAACATGCTCTACAATTTGAATATCATAGAAATTGAAGAATATACCATTAACGATATAATTCTATTAAATCATGATGAAAAGACTCTTCGTATGGATCAATTGTTTGATTGGATGGAACGAAAAATCCATCAAGATCAAGAGAAAATGATGAACTATTTAATTCAACCAAAGAAAGTTTTGGAACAAGGAGAGAAGGATGCATTTGAACGTGTGCGCCTTGGTGCCATTTGTTTGAGGAAAGTCATGGAGTACATTGATCCTATTTTGTTTTCTTGGATTTCCGGATTTAAAGATTTTGAAGAATTTCGATCCTTCTTTGGCGATTTTGTGAGTTTGTGTTTTTTACCTGAAACAGAGGATGCATCATATACATCCACATTACAACTAGTTTTGGATCTCTATTGGAAAGAACAATATTACACTTGTTTCTCTGTGGGAATTACTTTTTTAGAAAGAGTATTGGGTGATTTGCTTTTACTCACAAAAAAGAAAACAAGTAATGACTCGAACACTAGCTCGGACGATGTAACCAATCTCGTCGAAAACTTTCGAGAGCTTAAAATCAATGAATTACTCATGGTAGAAGAAATCGAGTTAATTCTTGGAAAAGAATTTGTATTTATTTTCAGATGCTTTTCTGGGCCATTACAAGGTTTAAATCTTAGAAATGTTGTTTGGCATGGATTTTTAGATTCAACACACTTTTCCAGATCATTTTCATCATTTCTCATTGTATTGATTATTACACTTGCAAAAAGAGAGTCCGTGAAAAACATTCTTCAAACTTCGAACAAAATGAGAAGATCATTTAACATGATGATGGACATTCCACCAGGTTCAGGAAATCCATGTAGAAGCAAGATTTCAAATTATTTGCTAAATGATGAAAATGCCCAACAGCAAGTTGAACGTCTCATTGATTCGAGCTACTTTATTCCATTCAGAAGTAAGAAGGATTGGAAGCTTTCTTTGTCTTACTATCGACAGGGAAATTTCTATCTGAGTTTTGTGTTACTTTTTCCTCACTTGGAACATGCTTTGCGACGACTCTTTGCCTTTTCAAACCAAAACTTTGTGAGACTTTTTTCTGCTGAAACAGATCAAGTTTATACAACATTTGATGAAATTTTACATCCAAGTTTGGACTATGAAACAAGTACAGATCTCACTGATGGAGAAGCTGTTTCATCAGTTTGGACTTTTGAATCAAGAAATAGAGTGATTGAAGAAATGGGAGAGGAATTAATGTTGTCTCTTTTTGACATTCTCTTCTTTAAGGATGGTCCAAGAATTAGAGACAAGTTATCACATGGAGTTGTTGATCCAGTGACAGTTAATAAGAAGGTCAATAATTTGTGTGAACAAGTCATTACTATTGCATTATGCATGGTTTATAGATATTCCATATTACCACCTTCCCAAGTTAACCCTATCAACAATAACAGTGGCAACACTCATCATGTCAACTGCAGTACTCGATTATTCGATTATCTTCATGAAGCATCTTCTCAATTTACCTTTCAAATCTACCACCCACAAATGAGCCTGCTCAATGAATTTGAAACAACTGTGAAGAAGTTCAAAACATTTTCAGAGAACACTCTCTCAAAGGCTTGGGAATATAGATTTTCAAATAACTTGACGAAACATCTCTTCGTAAAATATCCTCTTGAACGAGGAGAGAAACGATTTGTGGTAAGGGAGTCTTCAGATCTAGAGGAATTAATTGAAGTTTACAATAACAGGATGGAAAGAATGGGTCATGAATCTGTTGTGTACAATTCTCTATTCCTTAAGAATTCACATATTTCTAATATTTTAAAGCTGAAAGCAGATGAATCAGTTCAGAATGTTTGTATAGACAGATTTATTGACGAGTTTAAACAACTTTCCAAGACAAAGTTTAAACCTCGCCTACCTCTTACCTTTTGTGGAAAATGTGGAAACACGCAATCCATTGAGTTCACAAAAATTTATAGATTGACTGACATTTTAAAACATTCTGGACTCTATCTTGACGAAGTACATAATTCATTCATCGATCTTGAAAACGTAGTTTTGAGTAGAACTGCTTTTTCAAGACATCGTAAGCGCTTTGTAAAAGTTGTGGAAAATATGTATGATTTTTATTTAAACTTTATGGCCGTTTTAATGGCTGTGGTAAGTTTAATTCATGTTTGTCATGTTTTCATAATCGATGCCATTCATATTTTAGGAATTTCTTTATCTTAGCCCAGTTAACAAGGAAGAGTTGGACGAGAGAGGAATAGTACTTCGATTGAGCAGAGCTGCTCCATCTTCGATTAAGGCCACCACTTATGAGAAAATCGAAAAACTTAATTCAGAATGGAAATCTTACGTTGATAAGTCACGAAGACAATATTATTAGCAGTTAATAATGGAATTCTCTTCCTGGCATTTCTTGACATTTGACATCTCCAGTTGATGTCATCACAGCAAAGACAAACCATCTTCATCAAGTACAGGGTATGAGGCTCACCCCTTGTCGTTATGATGACAAGTGCACCAATCCAGTTTTCAAGTTTCTTCATACAAAAAGGATGAAATGTCGCCAAGAGCAATGTACAGTTACTGAATGTACTTTTGATCATCAATCCTCAACCAACAACTCATCGCAAAATAGATCGATCAACCTAGAGTCAGATACCTTGGCACTACAAAAACTGCCATCTGCAAAACCAACGATGACTTTTCGCAGCGAAAAACCATGCAGGTACGGCGATGATTGCCGAAATATTGTCTGTCGTTTTAAACATAAGAACAGAAAGAAGTGTAATTTTCTCGTAAATTGTGTCAACTTGGCTTGTACATTGGATTATAGTTCCTTGACAAATCCCAGTATCTACAGTAGAGTTCAACAACGTTATCTTGAAAGCAGAAAGCAACAAGAAATGATCGATGATTCATCCGATGACGAAAGTGACAACCAAAGCACAACAAGCACGGAGTCTGCAATGAAACATCACTTTCATTTGGATGACTTCAGTGATACTGACAGTGTTACGTCTGTTGATTCTGTGAAATCTGAACGAAAGGTTGCCCCTCAAGTATTGAAAAACACAAGTTTTCAACCGGCTTAGTTTGGAAGAGATGGAGGAGAAAGTCAAAATCACAGAAAAAGAGGGTGAATTAGTGTTTCTGAAGTTACAGAACCAAACAGACAAGCCAGAAGTATTGTTCAAAGCTTATGAGAGTTCAAAAGAGCAAAGTCATTATTGCCGTTTTATGCATACAGGCAAGAGATCTTAGATGTTGTGGAATCTAATGACGTAGTTTTAATTCAGGGGTATTGGTTCAGGTAAAAGCACACAATTGTGTCAATATTTACTTGAATCTTGCATGTTTGGAAAGAAAATTGCATGTACTCAACCGAGAAAGGTCGCTACCATCAGCTTGGCCAAAAGAGTGAGTGAAGAGATGAACTGTGAGGAAACATACTTCAAAGAATGGCCCGAAAATACCAAAAGAAGAAGCTTGGAAACACAAATTGGTGTTTTTAACAGACAGATCCCTTTTGAATGAATTTTGTCGAGACAGAACTCTAAAAAGGTACAGCTGTATTATTATTGATGAGGCACACGAAAGAACTGTTTTTACAGACATCTTACTTGCAGAACTCAAACAGCTTTCTCGAAAAGAAGGGAAGATGGAAATCCATTGAAAATAATTATATCATCAGCGACCATCAATGAAGATCTCTTCTCAAAGTACTTTGACAACTGCCCAGTCATCAAAGTTCCCGGCCAAATGTATACAGTGACGGTTTATTGGGAAAAGTCAACCGACGATTATCTTAGACAGGCCATTAACAAAGTGCATTATGTACTAAACAGAAGAAAAAAAGCCAATAACAATACATTCAGAGGAGACATCTTGGTATTCCTAACAAATCCTGAAGAAATCGAAAAAGCATGTTCAATGCTTAAATGTCAACTGAAGAAGGATAGTGACTGCGACATGTACGAAGTTCTTCCATTGCACGGTAAATTAGCTCCTGAGTATAGACTATGACTTTATTGAAAAGCCAAGTTCTGATTCTCTGGAAGCTCAGTTTAACAAGTTAGAGTCTCTTGGCTTTGTAGAATCTATTTATGGCTGTGATCAAATTACAGTGACGAACAATGGTAAAATAGCAGCTCAGCTCTGAATGGATCCAACAACTTCGAGAATGATTATTGAAGGCATGAACCGTAATATTACCAATGAAATCCTCACAGTTGCTGCAATGATGAGTGTTTCTGGTATGATTTTCGCAAAGGGTAGCGACGCTAAGACAAAGGACACAGTTAAGTGCCCCTTGCAAAAGAAGAAGGAGATTTATATTCCCTATTCCTATTGTTTGAGGAGTTTTGTTCTCAGAAAAGTTTCAAGAAAGAATGGTGCAAAGACAAGAGTTTAAACTATGTTGCTTTCTGTTTGGCTGACGCTACAAAACGAGAACTAACATGTAATGTGAGGGTTTTGAGGGAGCAGTTGGTAGAATGCGTGTCTGTTTTGATACGAGAGAGAGAATTTATATTCCAAAGGATGTGTATGAATATTTCAAACAGGAAATTACACGTACGATTATGATAATCAGAGAAAATTTTGACTGTAAAGTAGAATACAAGATTGTCGAAAATAAGCAGAGCTCAACATCTAAAGCATGAATTTGGAAATTCTGGGTTTTTCCAATTTGTGAATGTGAAAGACTTCAAACAATTTGAAAAAGCAAAATCTTGTCTTCTTTCAGTGATACAAGGATTAATGTTCCTCAATCCTTCTCTCGTTTGCTCAATACAAAGCCATGGAATCCAAATTTTCACAACTGAAGAATGATTTGAAGGTGATTGTTTCTGTAGATTCCAGAACAAAGCAAATTAAATTTTATGGAGACAAAAGAGAAATGGCAGAGGAGGAAATAAGAATGCTCATCAAACAAGACTCTACTCGGTATATCACTGTGAAATCTTTGAAATTTATATCAAGGACATCAAAAGAAAAATCATTGCCATCCGAACCACAGACAATGAATTTGAGATGATCAAAAAAGAAATTCAGGATTTGGATACCCAAAATGTGTCAGAGAGTGAAAAAGAATGTTGGATATGTACAGCAGAAATTGACGATCCTCAGCTCCTGGAATGTGGCCATCCCTTATGTGTCTTGTTTTTCAATTCAAATTAATGGGTATGACATGGATTCAAATCCTTTGCAATGTGCAGAATGTTCTAAAAAGGTTTCAATGTTAGAGCTGTTCCAAGACAATATCAAAGAGTTCAAAGCAAAGTTTGATTGTGCCTTAAATAAGTATTTAATCTCATTCAACCTCATGGACGCACTGCCAAACGTGCCAATGTTTGTGTCAAATGTTGAGCGCTACTGTGTTTGAATGTTTGAACTGTGAAACAAAGTACTGCACAAAAACCTGTCCCAAATGCAAGGTTAGCATCGAGAAGAATGAAGGGTGCAACCATATGACATGTCGAAGTTGTAAAAACCATTTTTGTTGGAAGTGCGGATTTAGCGCAAACAACCAATCAGATATTCACAGTCATCTTAACACAAAAGGGTGCACAAACAAGTTTTTTTAACATTTTAACCTTTGTTTGAAAATTGAGGTTCAAAAGTAATGTCAGTGTTGCTGTTGTTTAGTCCTTAAAAGCTGATCATGCTGTAAAAAAGGAAGAGAAGGTAAACAAACATAAATGCAAGTGCAATAAATAATAAATTGGAAATATTTGCCAATGCTCTCAAATTCACATGCTTCCCAAATTTGTTGAAAATCCATTCGGACCATCGAATGGTTGGAACAACTAGCCAAGAAATTTCATTTGTTTCTATGGGTCTATAGAGAATATTGTATTTGAATGCTGCATCCATCTTTTGACATTTAAATCTTCCATTGATGAAATGATCTAGATCAATAGGCGATAATTTTCTCATACCGTGAGTGAACGAAAACGAGTCTGCTTCATGAAAAATTGATGTTGTTTGTAAAATATTTTCTGGTATTGTGTCGGGACTCTCAAGTGGGGAAAGGCCTGTTAAACTGCGAGGAGAGTAAACGGATGGAGTTCTGAGTGGGTCGTTGACTTGGTCATCCAAATCAAAGATGGCCGAAAGTTTTGAAGCTATTTTTGTGATTAACGTTAGTCTGACGTTTGTATCTGCACCGTTTTTTCCTCTATTGGTAAGTAAGCTCATAATTCTTGGAGAGCTGCTCAATTGATGAGATTTAGTCACTTGCATTTCTGTTATCTTTTGATTCACCAGATCGATAGTATCCAAAGAAAAAAGGTGGGCAATCCTAGAAAGTTCTGTTTCACAAATGTTCATATGAGATAATAGAATTCCTTCTTGTACATTAATTGTGGAAATGATATTGTCAATTTGTTTCAGCAATTCCAATAGTTTTGGTTCTTTGAAGACATCAAGAAGCGCAGAGATACTTTCTAGATCTAACAAGGATGCGCTAGAAAAATCAGAAGGAAATCTGAAGTTCAAGAAATAGTAAAATAATGATGAATAAAAGCACCAATTCGAGGTAACGTAAAGAGGCCATGGATTTTGATTGCTGTTATTCAATAATCTCCATGGCATCATTAGACTTTTCCATAAACTAATAGTGTACTTGAGAGGAAATGGTTTGTCATATGGGAAATCTGTAAAAAGTGCCTTTAAAAATCGATATGCAGCATATTGAATATGTGAATAAGGAGCAGTTTTTGCTGCAAAATTTTCATCCTTGTAGTTTACTGCTGCATGTGGCTCATCGAACAGTTTGTAAATGTCTGATGACGAAGAAAGCACCTTTAGACAATGTTTCACAGTAACAGACGCAAAGTAAGAAAATCTAGCAGGGTCTGTCAACATTTCCGATGAAAACTATTGCGAAGCAACGATGGCTTTCTTTGTGGAAAAATAATCATTAATACTTACTGAGTAAGGTTGGCCATATTCTTGAATAATCTGATTGAACAAATAATCTGAAAGAATAGACAAAAACATATTGGAAATTAGGGCGTCTCTGGAGGTGTGCCCATCGAGAGGAAAAAAGAAGTTCAAATATTTGCTTAACAAATAAACAGTAACAGGTTCTCTTTTGACCTGTCTCGATGCCTCAGGTCTTACTGGAGCTAATTTTGAAAAAAAACTCTATTCACAACGTTATTCACTCAAGCTTGTACACCTATAGAAACAACTTACATTATCAGACTCAAACGAGGGCTGCTTGCTTTGAGTTTTTAGGGTAATCCTAGTGTTGGTGGTTAAAAAGTAGAAGAAGCAAAACAAATAGTACTCAAAAGTATCTAGTAACAAGTATGAACGAAAATATAATTTCCGAATAAACTTCGAAAACTTACTCAGGACAAAGAAGGAACCATTATCTCGAGTAGAAGCTGAATTAATCTTTCTCAAAAAGTATCGATAGGAGAGTGTGTGTTGATACACACCGAGAATATTATAGTCATCGCTAGTAGCTTTTGATTTTCTTTTCAACTGTTGAATAAATGATTGCATCCCGAAGGAAAGCCTGTTCATTGGAAATTGATACATATTTTGATTATTTCCGAGAAGAACTTTAAAAAGAGGTCCATGTGGATCCAATAATTTAACCACGGCATCATAAATCATCTCATCAGTTTCGGCATCCACAAGCCAACCTCCCGTATTATTTGCAAATCCGAATATTTTAATCAAGAGTTGATGCAACCAAGCATAACATTCATGATCCGAAGCTCCCCCATTCAACAGACTTATTACGCCGTTGATGGACGAAAGGGTGTTTGGATTCTGCAGACAATCTTTGAAGCCCATTTTTTCTTCTTGGCACACAAGTGTAGCTTCATCATTCCTTTTTGATTCTTCATGGAATTACATATACTGCTTCTGAATCACTAGAAGAGGTTCCAATAGTCAATCAAGGTAGAGAGACGACTTCATTCGTTTCAGTTCCAAATATCAAAAATCGTAAATTTGAACGTTAAAAAAAATGTCTCAAAATAGGAAATCCAGAATCTTACACCACCACACTTCTTCGATCCTCAATGCAGCATCCTCATCTTCAAACAATACACCCAGAAGATCCGATATGCAACATTCAAATTTATTCAAAATATATGACTATTCCGATCAGGCCAGGCATATTAGCTTGAGTACATTTTATGAAGGAAAACCATACTCGTCACAAATTCATTCAAGGGATCATAAAGCTCATTCATCGATTGCAAAAATAGTTGGATCGTTTGAATTACTAGAACAAGTGGAGATTGACAAGAAGGATTGGAAAGATGCAATCAAGTCATTGCAAAAAAGGTTTGTGTTCGATTTGCTTAAAGATATGTACTGAATTGCTATATTCTTCCAAAGAGGTGAGATAAGAACAGACTATGATGTGGCGCTTCTTGTTTCGTTAGCAAAGAGGTTAAAGTTCTTCTCTGATCCATCTCTCGAACTTGCTGACCAAGACATTGAAGAATGCATGAGATTTGCTTCATGTGAAACCTTGAAAATTAATGACATTATTTGTGAGCTCGAACACAACACAAGACCGTCCTTTTTTTATGTTGTTCTTAAGGGAAGTGTTGGTGTATTATTATCATCCTATCCGGCTACATCATATTACTCCAAAATGGGGTTGAAACCAAACCAGGTGATGTCTGCACCCACCGAATCTGTTGCTTCTCCAAGGAGTGGCTTGTCCTACAAGAATATTTGTTCTCTCTGTACAGGAGATTCCTTTGGAGAGCCTTTTTTGAATGACATCTATGCAAGAGAAGGTGCTTGGAAATGGATATCAAACGAAGAAACTGAGATACTTAAAATACCGCATGACGTTTATACCAAAACACTAAGACACAAGCATGAAAACGAATTGAAATCTCGAGTGAAGTTTTTAAAAACGTTAGTTCTTCCAATATTTGCTGGGTACAAAGACTCTACTTTATATGAGCTTGCTAAAGCTTTTTTTGTTCAACATTTTCCTTCCAGACATACAATTCTTAGACAAGGAAAAGAAGGAAAGGTAATGTACTTCATCAAGTCAGGAGAGACGGCTGTTCTAAAGAGACTCAAGTTTCAGGAAAATCTGGGCCACAAAATTTTAGAATATGTGAAATTTGTTGAGTTGTGCAGACTCAAGCCAAAGGAATATGTAAGTAGTATTTATGTTATAGAGATGATTTTGGGAATGAACTGTCCTGTCAAAGTTTGGAGAACGAGTTTTAATTTATGGAGGAGAAACAACCGAAGAGGAACAACAGCAGACTAACAGTGAGTCTAGCTCGGTCATGTCTCCAAAAAATAGATACACCAGGCTTGCATCCATTTACACTACCTGTCCAACGGTTCTATATTGTATCAATAGAACATGCTTCACAAATTGTAAGTTGACAGAATGAGTATTTTTTTATGCTAAATAAGAACTAATTAGTTTTCAACAGGGAAGCGGTCTCTCGCATGCAGAAATATGCGAGTACATATCCAAAAGAAAAAGAAATCAGGAAAGTGTTTTCCCAACAACAATCATGGGAAAGGTTCAAGTCTAGACTTGTGGAAGAAATCATTGAAATGCCAAAAGACTCGTTAACGTCTCCACGTAGTCGAAAAATATAAATCGGCTTTACCTTGTTCATAGACCTGCCAGTGCCAACAAATAAACCCTCAAAAACTTCTGTACAAATCACGTGTTATTTATTTATTCTTCTTTTCCAAATCCAATTTTGAAAGGAAATCTTTTGCTTGTGGAGGAAGCTTCTCATAAACAACAGACAATTGTTCCTTTGCCTTTTGACAACCAATACTGACGGCATGATCAATTTCAGTTTGCTTCCACTCATAAATTAATGGAAGAGTGAACAAGACATTCAAAGCAACATATAAGAAAGTAGTTCCTGAAATCTTCTTTCCGAGCCAGCAGATAATTTGCACAACCAAAGCAAACAAGAGTGACTTGGACAAATTCTTACAACTCAAAATGTCAACGTAGTACTTTAAGACAGCATTGACGTTTGCAACGACTCCGCTGACAATCTTGTTGACAAGGGCTTCACTGATTTGAACATCTTCGAATGGGAATTTGAGACTGTGATTGTTGGGTGCAAATGTTCAAATGTTGGTAATCATCACAACAAGATTAATTGACAACATTATCATCAGTCAAAAATCAAAACTTGATGAAATACATACTTTGGATTATTTTGGACAATCTTGAATACAACCATATATACAATGGAGAGAATAACTTGAACTAAAATAATTCTACCGACAAGAGTAACAACGGAAAATTCATACTTGACAATGAGAAGGAAGAGAGCTTGAATGGTAAGGAAGATTGGAAGAGTAACCAAATAATTTCTCCACATGATTACATCAACAGCACTCAATTGGTCCATTGGAGTTTGGTCGGCAAGACCCAATCTGATTGGAAGTGGCTCTCCAAGACTTGTTCTCTTTGATGATGGAGTAGTAGTTGTGCTTGCCTTTGCTTCTGTTTCCAATTTCTTTGATTCGGCTACAACAGGCTTCAAATCCTCGGTTACAGTCTTTTGAGACTCCTCTTGTCCTTGTTGTCGTTCATCACCAACAACATCAGAAAAACTGGTTTGTTCCAATTCCTCAGATCCTTGCATCTTGATGGTTTCGAAAGAGAGATAATAAGTTAAAGCTGTGGTGGGGCTGGCTTGTTTGGCAAACGGAATGTTATTTTTTGATTTTTTTACAACAAAAATTTAAGCAGACGATATTTTAAGCTCCTTCCGTGCTTGTGGTGATGTGTCACTTGTTGAGATGATTGTTCGTTAAAACAGGACACCCTGTATCTCTTCATTCGACTCTTCATGACCTAAAATATCATATCCAAATGCGCCTTGGTAATTGGTTCAGCACTTCCGATCAAAACTCGCATGAGAGTGAGATTAAAATTAGTGATTTTTCGTTTGGTTCCACCAAGAAGATTCCTTTTGCTCATCGAAAGGCTATCGCCTGTGTCTTGTAAACTTTATTGGAGGGATTTTTCAATTTGAAAAAAAACAACAATATTGCATACCCTGATGAATGTAAGTTCTGGCAAATCGATAAAAACGGTTTCAAATAACGACGATGCTTGAAAGATTGAGGAAATATTAGGCAAATCGCCCTCTAAGGCCTGCGCTCTTCTTGAAGAATATTATAAAGAGAAAGGAGATATTAGTAAACAAGATACATCATCATTCAACAGAGAGCAAGCCCAAAAGCTTTGTGATCTCTTACTCAAAGTAAGTTACTTTCATGTCCTACTCAACCAGAGAGCCTAATCACAACTTAATGCGCCAATGAAGGAAAGCGAGAAAGAGAATGTTAGAGTGGACAATATTAGAGTCATCCTTCGCTTGATGGCCAACATATCTGATCACGATGAGGCTGTTCTTCAACTTCTTTCAGTTGACTCTTTGTCCTCTTCATTGATGATTTTATTCCAGGCCATTGAAAAGTTCCTTACGAATCAGCTTCCAGAGGATGAAATGAGCGCTGTTGAAGCACGTATTAAGGACGGCTGGGAAAAGCTTTTTACCAACTTTTTAATCACCATACATTCTCTATGTGAGAGAGTTGAAGGTAAACAAATATTTGGAGAAAAGTTTATTCCTGCTTGTGTTCGTGTGGTCAAAGAGAAAGGCTATGATGTTTTCGTGAGAAGGCACGCCGCAGAATGCATCAACCAAATGATAAAACATTCAAAAGAGAACAAGAACGTACTTCTTCAAGAGTCTCATCTCATGAATCAATTGGCAGAAAGTTTAATTAGTTCCGGAGATTTTACCTTGCAAGCCAATATCACAGAGGTGCTGTTTCGTCTATTGAGTTGGAGTAATATGAGCGATTCAACTCTCAAGAGCGTGTTCAGCTGCTTTGAGGATCTGTCAGATAAAATCGTAGTGATATTTAAAAAGATCAAAGGAGATGACACATTTGTCGATTGTATTCGATCGTTTGTGATGGAAATGAACGAGCAAATCAGTGAAGAAAAGAGAACTGTCTATTCCATTAAGACATCAGAAATGAACATGGGATCTTTTACTTGCTTCCCTGAGTGGGTAGATTTTGGAACTAAATCAATGAGCTGCTTCATTCCACAACCAGACGATGAAACAAAGGATGTTGTTGATTTTGAATATACAAACATTCGAACATTAAGGCTCTCCTATAAACAGCAAAAGCTGATTTTACAGCTGTTCAATGAAATTGCAGGATTTGAAGGATGTTACGACGCAACCAAGGATGATCAAGTCATTGGCATTAGTATGACCAAGGAATCACTTCAGCTCATCAAAAAGAATATTTCAGGCTTGATATCAGTTTGCAGAGAGAAAAACAAACAGAAAGAAGACTTGCTGAATCAGCCACCTATTCCTGAAGGAATTGTCGGTGACACTCCAAACTCAAGAAAGGTCTCCATTACAGCCATTCCATTAAGAACCAGTGGTTCTGCCTCTACACCTCCCACGGATGAAATGAAGCAAACTGTGAAGGAGGTGTCCATCCAGGCTCAGCAGCCTCAGGAAAAGAATGAAAGTGTGCAAAAGAAAGAAGCCTCCGAAAAAACAAGCGATGTGAAGGACAAGAAAGAGAAAAAGGATGAAAAAGAGCCATCCTTAAGGTCGAGAGCCAAATCATTAAGCTCGGAAAAGAAGGAAAAACCACAATCATCCAAGAAAAGGGCTGCCACAACATCAAAAAAGAAAACAAAATCTGTTGAGATTGCTCCTCAAGTTACTGAAATACCAGAGATTACCACAAAGATTGGCGATTTGCTTGAACAAGTAGTCACCTCACCAATACCAGAAATTGAAAAGCAAAGAGATGACACATCCTCTGTGGCTAATAACGATAGGGTGTCTGACTGGGAAAATATTTTCGACAGGCCTCTTCTTGGCTTCTCAGATGCATTCTCCACCGCAACCACTAGTACTACTGTCTCTAACTCTGTACTTGATGATCTTGACACAATGTCCCACGACACCGAAAGATCACCTCTTGTACCACGAAGGCTTTTTGAAGAACCTAGTGAGATAGACACCACTTTTGGAGGATTTAATCTGGATGATACAAATATGGAATTGGAAAAAACTCCAGTCAAAGCCAAGAAAAAAGGAACAAAGAGAAAGAAAGAAGATGCTTTGGATGACGACGATGACTTTTCGAGCGAGGTTGCAGCAATGATGTCCACAATCATTAAGAAGCAGCAAGAAAAGAAAAATAGAAAGATTGAGGCCATAAAACAAGCTTGTGCTGAGAAGATTAAGAAGATGATAAATGACACAAAGAAAAATAGGTTGAAAGAAAGAGAGGCCTTAGCAACCTGTTACAAACAAAGCGTCCTGGAAATTGAAGAGTCACAAATGAGACTTGCAAAGAAAATGAGAGCTACATACACAAAATTCCAACAAGACATGGCCAGTTATGCTCAAAAGCATCAAGAGCTAGACGCAAGAAGAAAAACTGAACACGAGCTGCACAAAGAAAGGTTGTCTTTATTGAGTAAGTAATATTTTTCTGAATGACAAATAGTTTACAAATTCTTTGTGTTCAGAAACCAAGGACTTAACCGAGTGCTCTCTTTTAGAGAAAAAGGTTAAGGAAGAAATTGCTAAAACCAACAAGGAAATGGATAGTGTGATGAGACCGTCCGAGACCTCAGACAAAGAGAAACAGCTGAGAGCTCTCATTGTTCAGCTCTTCAAGTGAATCAAATGAGTGTGTCAACAAAAAAGTTGAAAACAAAAAGTTTGCGACAATAAAAAAATCCATCCGCATCTCATCATCATGCAACAAGATTCATCATCCACTCCAACAACATCGACATCATTCGGAGTGTGTTGGGAACCCAACAACAATGGAAGTATTTGCAACTTTGCAACTCTATCTCAAAGCAAAAATCAAATTAATGTATATTCCGGAGAGAATTCTCAACTCTTGTTGCAATTAACACTTCCTCTTGATTTACAAACAAAATTTTCTTCAATGAGTTGGATTTCACTCACTAGTAATTTGGGACTCAGCGAAGATGAAAAGAAGAGAAAGAAACCAAACAAATCATATATCCTTTCTGGTACAATGGATGGAAAGGTTATTGCTTTTGATACCGAAAGAGGAAGAGTTGTAAAGAGTATTCAATTAGCACCAGCATCATCTGGCTCTCCAATTTTAAATGTAAATTGTCCCGATGGTAACAGAATATTTGCAGCCCTTTCTCCGAATCTAATTGCAGGAACTCACTTTCTAGTTAAATCTAACAACACCAAAGTAGATTTAAACAAGATTTGTTTCGAAGATATTACTTGTTTGAGTGATAATTGTGGACATTTGAACGGAGCTGATGTTTTTGCTATTGCGAACGCAGGAAAAACTCAATTATTTCAAGTCAATACTCAACAACGAGTTTGTGATTTTCAAGGCCATGAGAATGGTGCACACCAAACAGTATTTATTCATTCCGATTTACTCTTGACTAGATCCAACGATGATAGATATGTCAACTTATATAATTTGAGCAACGTTATGGCCAGTACTCATACACATGGATTGAACACTTCTAATTTTATTGAACAATTAATGAGCACATCTTCTAGCTCATCGGATTTAATTGCTCCTAATAAGGTATTAACATTGGATGGAAATGTAATCGCTATTGATGGATTCTATCGATCCAAAAAATACTTGGACATTCTTGCAGTGTCACATTCGGGACTATTAACTTTGTTTAGACTGAAACCTGCAGATAATTCCTCCTATGAAATAGCTTCAAAGGCCACTGTCAAGTGTCACCAATCTAAAGGTTTTGGAAAGGTCATTTCAGCTAAATTCATTGATGAGTGTCGTTTAGTTCTTGCAATGGGCTCTCCTCTTTTCCCTAATATTCAAATTCTGGACTACTCATCCAATGAAAAAGATCAAGAAGGCTTTTTGTTCACTGAAAAGGAATTGGTGATTGATGATCAACCAATTGTTGCTGGTTCAAAGGATAAATTAATTGGATCTAAGGGAAGTGCTTTTTCGAGCAATATTGTTTTAGGAAGTGCAAATATGGAGACTCCAAATGCCCGATTTGCTCAAGGTCTCTCAAAATCTGACGGACAAAAGACATTCCAAGATATTCTTTCACAACAACAAACAACATCAACCAAGAAAGAAATGACACTTTCTGAGTCGGGAGTTCCAGTTATGAAATTGAATTCATCTCTTATCACTGCACTAAAGAGCCACGATGTAGGAATGATTGCCAAATGCTTATCTCATTCCGATTTTGATTTAATTGAATCCACAGTCCAAAATCTTTCTTCGACATATGCAATCAAGTTACTAGACGTTATTATTGAACTGTATGGAGATTTTTCACAGACAAGAGATACACTAATCTACTGGTTACGATCACTGTTGGTTAATCATACTTCACATATCATGTCACAGAGGGACATCATTGAAAGATTATCACCAATTTATCACTCAATTGATACAAGATTGAGAATGCTTCCAGCCTTAATGGATCTTTCTGGAAGATTGGATCTTTTGCTTTCAATTGGAGGATATGCAAAAGTTGATTTTGGAACATCAGACAACATCTCAACATCAATCACCAAATCTAAGGCAAAGAAATTTACCATCGTGGATAATGCAGATGACAGCGATGAAGAAATTGTTGAGATGATTCAAGCATCATACAACAAGAAGAAACCAAGAGGTGATGAAGAGGATGATTATGACGTTATTGATGATGACGATGTTGAACGTGATGATGAAATCTTGAAGGGACTGGAAAGAAGAAAATAAGAAGGGATGGTTTGGTGACATGGAAAATGATGAAGATTTTAGTGATGAAGAAAAGAGGCTCGAAGAACTCTTGGATAAAGAAGAGCAAAAGATGAAATCTAAGGGGTCCTTTGATGATGAAGGCGATGAGGAAGAAGAGGATGACAATGATGCCATGCAGGATGAAGACGATTTTGAAGATGATGAATAAACAATTTTAAAAATGTCAACAATCATCAAACGATTCACGATCTTTGTGTTGTTTCTCTCTGCTATTGCCATTTCACATCACCTTCGGAATTTGAATAGTAACAACCACTTGACACAAATCATGACACAATCAACAACAACAACATTAACCAACAAAGATTCCAATCAATCGTATCCAATCCATATTACAATTTCACTTCTGACTGCTCCACGATACATGTCACGTGATAAAGAACTCACAGAGACAATCTTTTCCGATTGCCAATGAGTTGGAACATTTATGGATACAATCCAATCAATCATTCATTCATCCAGGTGCTACCACTGCTACAACTAGGCACAATGATGACAACCATTTTTCAACCAATATTCTCTCCTCAAATCTTCTTTTTGAATTCTTTATTTTGAATCATCATGGATCTGAACATGTCAATCTTTATGAATTTATGGATGATTTAAGAAAACAATCACGATACTCCATTTCTCAATTTATTAAACAAAAAGGATGGATTAATGAAACTTTATTGAGAGAACAAGTCGAGGCCGAAGAGGATGAAGAAGAAATTTTCGAATTTGTGGGAAATCAAACCTACTTTGATCAATTCAAACGAAAAGCCAAACTTCCAAATGAAACCATTGAATTAGAACCTTTCATTTCAGAATCCATTCCGTTGTATTTCAGTTATAAGGAATTTTACTTTCCTCTCAAAGATGCTCCAGTGGTTTTTAAACAAACTCATCATGTTGCTTCCTTATTGAGAGAGAGTTATTATCGTTTATTGAAAATTTATCATGGAGATGAGAAACGAGTACGTGACAAGAGTTTCATCTTGTTATTGGAAGATGATTTTCCAGTGTGTGAAAATCACATGAAAAAATTAATTCAATTACTTCAAATTTCACAAATTCAATATCCTGAAAATTTATGTGGAATATTTATGGGTACTGGAGGTAGTTCCATATTAATCAACAGTTCAGTTCTTCCTCATTTGTCTCAAGTTCTTAGAAAAGATCCAACCTTTGAAAATGGAAGATTATTTAAGAATGAAGATGGAAGTATTCGACCATTACCACATGATGTAATGATTCAATCTTGTTTATTGGGTGAATTTGAAGATTGTCGAGAGAATCCAGTGCTTCGAAACTGTAAATCCATCGTTTCTGATCGCCTCTTTTTTAGACATGCAGGAGAAAAAGCTCCAACAGATAAGTTTTTGTCACACAAAGGAAATAAGTGGCAATGTGGATGGAGAAATCCATTGACTTCTTCACCTAGCTTACCACCCGTGGTGTTGTATCAGTTTTTGCAATAACGATGCTATTATGATTTGAATGTTTGAATGAGCATGAGCGAGTATATTTATACTTTTCTACCACACAAATGGACAACCCTAAGATCATTCAAGAGAGCCACTTTCGAATGCGACATGCCCATCTTTTACTGTGTGTGAATGGTTCTCTCTTCCTCATCGAGAACCCCAAACTCTTCAACAAACGAAAATTGTGTGAAATATTTGTTCGAACACATTGTAAAACCTGTGTCTGACCTTCTGAAGGTTGAATGAAAAATTGGAACAAAAAAATTTTGAATCCTTTGTGTCCTTCGTTGTTGTTGTTGTTGTTGTTGAAATTTTCTCTCTTCTTCACGAACAAAAAGCCGAGCACGAAGGGTTTTTGGATTTTTCAATCTCTCTTCTCATCAATTTTAATTCTCTTTTCAAAATTGATTTATATAGAGTAGCAACATTGTGTGTTGTTGGTCTGACTTGATTACAACCAGTGAGAATTCATTCAACAGCAACGGTAATCCGGATTGTTGTGCTATTTTCAGAGTTTCAAAGCATTCGTAGTAGATAGTTCGTACGCACGGCTCTTCAAGCTAAATCCTTCATCAATACTTCTCATCATCATCATCATATATTCTCTTTTTATATTCTTTTTATATTCAAACAACAATGAGTACATGGACACCTGATCAACGTGGTCTTCTTGAAGTGATGGAACTTCTCGCTAACAGCAGGAAGGGAAATACTCAAATTCAACGGGAATGTACCAAGAAAATGAATGAACTCAACAATAACGTTCCCGACTTTAATATTTATTTGGTTCATATTTTCGTTAGATGCAAAGACATTGAACCTGCAATCAGACAAGCTGCTGGTCTGATTTTGAAGGCCAATTTGAAACAAAAATTAGTAACTCTTCAAGATGCTGCAAAGGACCACTTGAAATTATTACTTTTGGAAGCCCTCGGTGATGAAATTCAATTCATTCGATCGACTGCTGGAACTCTTATATCCTTTATTCTATACTGGGATACTGTTGAAGCTTGGCCAACATGCATTTCTCAACTTGTTTCAATCCTTACAAACAACACGAATAATGTTACACTGATCAGTGGTGTGATGGATTGTATGTCCAAAGTTTGTGAGGATAACTATTCTCAATTTGTTGGATCTTATGCCGACCAACTGGCATATCTAATTCCTACTTTAATTAGATTTTTGGAATATCCTTCAGAAAATGTGAAAAGAGATGCTTTAGGATCAATACTTCACTTTTTCCAATTGGACCCACTCCCAACACACTTATTGAATAATATGGACTCATTCCTCAAAAACCTATTCAACATTGCAAACGAAAATGCAGTCGTTCTTCGAAAATATTCATGTCGTGCATTTGTCATGCTATTGGATACTCCTGAATTTTTAAGAAACGCAATTTCAACTGTTTTCGAATATATCATCCATTGCATATCTTCTGAGGATGAAACTCTTGCTTTGGAGGCATGTGAGTTCTGGACTGTTTTGTTGGATCTTGATCCAAAGAACTCGTGTCAACAATTTTATCCAATTCTCCAAAATTATTTGCCTCAGTTGGTTCCTGTTTTGTTAGAAAAGATGCAATACTCTGAATTTGAACAACAATCTCTTTTACATGACTCGGAAAGACCAGATAGAGAGTCTGATATTGATCCTTCAGTATATCATGTGAAACCAAAAGACACAATCGAAGAGGAGGGCCAATACGACGAGGATGATGAAGACTATGAAGATTGGGATGAAGAAAATGGAGGAGATGATTGGAGCTTGAGAAAATGTGCTGCTACTTCTCTTGATTTATTGTCTAACATTTTTGGCTCTTCTATTCTCCCATTCCTATTACCTCAAATTGAGAAAAAGATGTCTCCAGAGATGCCTTGGCCAGTTAAAGAAAGCGCAATTTTGGCATTAGGAGCAATATCAGAAGGATGCATGACTGGAATGTTGCAACATCTTCCTAAATTAATTCCATACATGCTCACTTTAATCGACGATGATAAACCTTTAGTTAGAAATATTACATGCTGGAGTTTGAGTAGATACTCCAGATGGATTGTAGAACAACCATTGGATAGATACTTTGAACCAGTACTAGCAGCCATTCTCAAGAAAATGTTAGACAAGAACAAGGTCGTTCAAGAAGCAGCAAGTTCTGCATTTGCAACACTTGAAGACCATGCTAAGACTCTTTTAATTCCTTATCTTAAGCCAGTGTTGGAAACCATTGCGAGCGCGTTCCAAATCTATCAAAAGAAAAACGTATTTATTTTATATGATGCTATCAGAACATTGTCTGACTCTGTTGGAGCTCATTTGAATAAGCCAGTGTTTATCCAACTGATTATTCCACCACTCATTACCAAATGGAACTCATTATCTGACGATGATAAGGACTTGTTACCACTCCTTGAATGTTTAACAGGTGTCTCGACTGCTCTTCAATCTGGATTCCAATCTTTTGCTGCTCCAGTATTCCAAAGATGTCTCAGAATTATTCAAAACACATATGCAATGGAGACCAAGAATCCAGAAGAGGCTGATAAGGATTTTGTCATTTGTGCTCTTGATCTAATTGGAGGAATATTGGAAGGTTTAGGAACATCAGCCACTTCTTTAATTCTTACTGGACCAGAGTTGTTAAACGTTTTATTTTTATGTATTAAGGACAAAATTCCAGAAGTAAGACAAAGCGCATTGGGTGTCATTGGAGATCTTGCGAAAGAAAGCGTTGAATATCTTCGGGGAGCACTTTCAGAATTTTTGCCTATTATGATTGCCAATCTCAATCCTAAAACTGCATCTGTGTGTAGCAATTCTTGCTGGGCACTTGGTGAGATTACACTCAGGATTGGTACTGATATCACTCCTTATGCTACTGAAATGCTGGCTAAAATGATTCCAATTCTCAACTCGTCAACCACTTATGCCACTTTAGTCGAAAATCTTAGCGTTTCTATCGGCAGAATAGGATTGGTTTGTCCAAAGATAGTTTCTACACAATTACCAACAATTTGCAAAAACTTGTGTATGGGATTAACAAAGGCCAGAAACAAAACAGAAAGAGAGCATGGATATGCTGGATTGTGTGCTATCGTTAGAGAAAATCCACAAGGTGCCATTACTCATTTCCCATTTGTTCTAGATGCCATTTCGAATTGCCCTGATCCAAGTGCAGAGCTAAAGCATGAATTTATTACCATTCTTCAAGGTTTCAAGCAAGGCATGGGTGAACAAGCATGGTCATCATTTTTATCTACAATTCCAGAAGATATAACCCTCAAACTTAGACAAGAGTATAATATTTAAATATCCGTTAGTCCATTATTTGGAATTCTTTAGAGACCCACAAAACCAACTATAGCATGATCAACCAAAATTAATCATCAGCCTTACAACAAAATACCATTTATTCACAACAGCCATCATCAACAACCACATCAGCCTTAACAATATCCACCAACAACATCATTCATCATCAGCAACCACCATCCCAACAGCAACAGAATAAACAAATGGTTTTTAAAGACATTTAATGAGAACTCATTTGGTTTTTAGTACGAGAATAAATTAAGAACAGTTAACCTATTTACAGACAGTTAGAAGTACAGTCATGCTTAATCAGAAGATATTTGTGCCTTATTGGATAGTCTTTTCTCTGCAGCCATTAACAGTTTCTCTCTTCTATTTAGAGTATTTCCTTTTTCTTCATTTTTCTCATAATATTTCATCTCAGATTCTTTGGTATCGTCTTTTGAAAAAAGAGAAGAGAAAAATCCCTTGTTTTTCTTGTCATTTGTTGTCACAGTTTTTCCACTTAGCGTCCTGCCGCTACCCTGAAATGCTGTAAATGAAGGGGCCTCGTCACCAGCCTCAGTTCCTTCGGCAGATGAGGGGACAGGTGTGTTTAACAATTGTGGAGGCATCAAGCACTTCAGCTTTGAACCCCACCATGCACTTCGATTGACATATGCAGGGATAGGAACTGCTGATTCTTTCACCTGTCTGCCGCATCTGTCTAATATTCTTTCATACAAAGCCTTAGCATAATGGTTGCAATTTCTATCAAGCAAATGATATCGCAATTTGTTGAATTCTTTTGACACTTCATCAACGATAGCCATAATTCTGTCTCTTGGAAGTTCTACACTTGTCAAATAAATTGATTCTCTCAGTGGAACCATAGGAGCCTTCTTTGGTTCATGACTAAAGCATCCTTCTCTTCCGAAAGTAAATTCAGTAGCTCCAATTTGCAATCCGCTGTGATAGATTCCAAGTCCATACACATACAGTGTGTTATTATCCTATTTCCGAGCAATAATAATAATATTTATGAGAGATCATCACTAACGACCCTCCACCTACCTGCAAATCGTAAACGTTCAAACAAATATCAGTCTTGATGGTTGCGGGTGGCATTTTTTTTACGGATTATTCATCATAAAAATATCATTTTCTTTTTATTGGTCACTTCTTCTTCATTCACCAGTTATGATGATGAATGGGTAATGCGATATCTTCACACTGAAAAAAGAGTATTTCGAGATCTATAGAGATAACGTAAAAGACTGTACATTCAATTTGATGAAAGCGTTATAAGGTATTTATTGAAATAATGATTCAACCACCAATTTGGAATTGAGAAACTTGGAATCTGTTTGAGAGCCTCACTAGCGCTCTCTTCTTCATGCGGGAAAGGAATTGCACAACTCGTCCGAACCACATAACCAAGACACTAAAAAATGAGCCTTTTTCGAGCAGAAGAGCCTCTGTTTGATCCTCCCAAACCGGCAGCTGCTTCTTCATGGTCGGCTTCTCATTCGGAAAGTGATTTTCATCATCAGATCAACACTCATCCATCTTCGTATCCATTCTTGTACGAAAACGAAAACGAAAAATTAAAAACATGTTTACTGAATTTTCTTTCCGTGCATCAATATGAACTGGCAAGAGCCTTGATGATTGAATATTTTAATAATATTTCACAATCAGATGCGTTATTCTTATTGAATCACTGTATTGACAATTTGAAACATCCGAAGAATTATGTCACTTCTCGTTTCAAGTGGTTTTGCTATTGTGTGTACACTGAATTATTACAATCCAAAAGCTGCACAATCACTGATCATAAGAAGTACAGCACAGAAATTTTATCATTTGAAACTTTACTCGATTGTTGTGTAAATACTTTTAAATTATCAGAAAAATTTTCAGCAGATATCGTTAGTCAAATGAAGAATATCTATGCTTTTAGGTTTCTATCGAGAAGAAAACAAATGAAGGATCAAAATTATATCTCCACTCTCTCCTTGCATTATTCTACCAACCCTGTGACACAACAAATCGAGGATTCAATACTTGATCTATTAAGTGAAATGTATGACAAATGCCCTCATTTAGCATCATATCTGGAAAAGGATGTATTGGAGTGTGTGAACAACAGATACATTTTGATAGAAAAAATCAATCAACTACTTAATAACGAAGAGTTTGAAAAAGCTGCTTACCTGCTACGATTTATGCCAAGTAATTGGTGTGAAGACGTCACCATTTCAAAAATGCTAAAAACAATTCTTACAACTTTAATAGCCAAAAAGAATTTACAACTGAGCTCTCGTTCTGAATTAATGCTTGTTGATCTCATATATGAATCACTAATTTTTAGCGACACAACATTGAACTCTTCATCCTTGGAGTGTAAAATGCTCAAATATTTCTGTCAGATCGAAGAAGAAATTCTTTCAGGACAAGAAGGTGCTGTTTCCAAACCTGTAAATAATCAAACATTCTGGATAAATTATATTGAGTTCGTGCGAGTGACAAATAGCCACGTTTTTGAGAGTAGACTGACCAAGGCATTAGATTTAATTAGAAGCAAACAGTTTGACGACTTGGCTGCCTTGCTGAATCATGATAATTTCAGTAGATTACGCCCATTAGTGTTACTATTAAGCTGGGACGAGCTGAAGTGTGACGTGCACAATTTAAAATTGGTCATCGACAAGCTTTGGACAACACAACCTGTTACCGGATCCTTTACTCACGATCCATGGATTGAGTTTACATGCAATGAGCTCGCATATTTCATTGACTTTTCCACAAATGCCTCTGAGCTTATTCTAGAGGCAAATAGGTCTATGAGCAGTAGTGAAAAGAAGCAAGCGAAAGAGTTGGTCAAGATTTCCAAATTCAAGAAAATGACTGACATTGATTTCAAAGGTTCGGACAAGAAGGATATAGCAAATTTAGTAATTGAGTATATTCCCAAGCATAGCGTTTTGTACTTACTGATGCCTTGGATTCCTGCCATTCGAGAGAATGATCTTATTGAGCTGGTAAGAAATCGTCCAACTCTATCCGATTCAGAGGAATCAGAGAAAGTTATTGATGTAATACTTATCAGAGCATATTTTGCTGTCCGTGAGACTCTCTTGTTGGTGAGAAACAAAACGCCTTCTGTTGTGAACTCCCTGAAAAGCCTCGAAAACTCTATTTTGAATATCCCCAAACTGGAATATCGATTGAGTGTGTTGGAAACAGTATTTCAAATCCTGTTTACCAAGAATTCAGATACGCTGAAGCAGGCTACATCAATTTATACAAGCGAACAAAGACATATTGTGTCACCAACCATTTTGGGTAGTTTATTAACATTTTTAAAACAAAGAGTTGTAGAGATTACGAACGAAAAGTTTGATACAAGTCTAGAATATCGATTGCAAAGGTTTCAAAATATTTTGGATGAAGGCCTCTGGAGATTTAACCTTGTCAAATTATTTGTGACAGATATAGAAAAAGCCTCTAACGTTTCTCAGTCTCATTTTGTGCAGCTATGGACCGCCTCTCCTTCAGTATTATTTATTGTAGCTATGAAGAAAAATCTTTTTGGACAAGCTAAGGATATTATTTCAAGGTTTGGCTTAGGTCTGGAGTATCAAACTAAAGTGACCAATGCAGAGCTTATGCATGCCATCCATACTGAACATGATAAGGAGATACATGTGCAACAAATAATTGAACAGCTGCCAAATTTTGTGATACTCTTCGATCTACTGTTTGCTCTACGAACAGAAAGCAAAGAGTGCTATCAATCCTTGATCAAGAAATTAAGAATTTTGGAAAGAAGAAGAACACCTTTGCTTGACATGTTAAACGAATATTTGGAATTTCCTTATCAAGGACCAATTTACAGAGTATTCAGCAAGATATTTAATTATAATAACGAAAAGAACTTAGAAAAACTCAAGCAAAATATTGAACTTGAAAGAACCAAGTCTTATTCACTTAAAGCACTTTGCTTAGCAGAAAACAAAAGAACATTAGAGAATATTGACATTGCAAACCTAATAGAAAATTTGAAAAATAGAAATGAAAGATACAGTTATATCTCTTACGTACTGGCAAAAATATTAGAGAGCCATAAGATTTTGTCCGCCACAGATGACAACGACCCATTGGGTACATTTTCCTTGCTCAGAAAGGGATTATCTCGTGTACTATCAGAATTAGTGTTTGAAAACGAAGATTGTAAGTATTTGAATAGAATTGACTCGATTCTATTATCTATCAGATGTCACCGCCCAAAAATTGTCAGAAGAAAATAGAATACATTTGTTAGGATTTATTCTAGAGTCAGCTAACATGAACAAACAGAAACAAACCATTAGCATTTCATTGAACTTAGCAAAGTTTATTTCATCGAAATCTGAAATTGTAGGAAGCTTGTCCGCTCTATATTTCACTGATTTTTCAACTGCAAATCAAGATGTTCTGGAATTAATTTCTGGTAACTGCAAACGTTATGATATTTTAAATCGTTGGATAGAGAAGAAGATTGAACCTATCAAAGATGCTTTTATTTTCTCTAAACAGGTTGATATTCGAAAGGCGTTGAAGAAGTTCAATGCGACTGCCATTGGCCCAGAGAATGATGACTCTCTCTATCTTACTGTAAGTTAACAAATTTTGTGATTTATACCTTTATCAACATTTTGTTTAGATTATTCAAAATTTAATTGAGATTGATGACTATGATCATGCACTTCAATTGGCCGAAAAAGGATTGGCCAATTTTACTCCTGACTTTTTGTTAAAATTGTATATTGAGTGTCAAAATGATCATAGAACATGTCACTCATTGATTTCAAAGATCAAAGACAAAGAACTGGCTTTTTCCTTGATTGAGGTATACATGGAAGAATGGGATATTGATGTCTGCATGTAAGTTCCTAGTTTTTATTTTCAGATCATTTCAAGTACAATAATCATGGCACGTCAACCACAGTGAATTGATAAAAATGTGTACAAGCTACTTTATTAATGATAAGACCAAGCTAAAACTCTATGAAAAGTCAAGCAGAATTCTTGAAAGGCTTTACATATTTAAACAAGTCATGTCTTCAGAGCTGAAAGAAAATTATGAATCATGGGTTGAAATGAAGGAAGTATGTGATAACAATCCCTACAGATTTATTTCAGATCTAATTACTGAATGCGAATTTGACTTGGCGAGACGTGCTGCAAAAAATCTATTAGAGGGGGTTTCCCAAAACTCCAGCAACTCGGGCGGTGAAACCTATGAATCCGTGACAATTCACATTGAACAAGAATATTGTCTGTACATGCTTCAAGTTAACACCATCACGGACAAGATAAGGACAAAGGTAATGCAAGCATTATCGAGACTGAGCCCAGAAAATGCTCTATCGGTTTGCAAACACGTGCTCTTGAGATTGGATATTTATGAAAACAAGATGTTTGTTTGTGAATTTATTCTCAGTTCTTTCAAGGAGTTGCTTACACCAGAGCAAATACACTCATATGAAGCAACTTTGATAGGAATGAAGGTTATAAGGTTGCTTGATGACGAAAACAAGAAGAAATTAGGACACTTGTTGCTTAAACCCACACTGATCATTGAAAATTTAATTATTCTCAATGAAATTGGAAGAGTGGCCAAGATACTATCCGAAATTCCAGAGCTCAGAGAGGATCGTTTACTTGTAGAATATGGCTTGAAAGCTCTCTCTTTGAAAAACTTTGATCTTGTTTTCCAAGAAGAGGCCAAGAAAAAGACATCACGCACGTTTAGTAGTGACAATGAAGAACATAATGCTGCCATCAGAAAATATTTCACCTTTCCACAAGCTCCAAGCATTTTACTTGCAAAATCAATTCTTGACATTTGTAAAGATTACAAGCTGGCTGGAGACTCAATTTTGTCACTTTGTGATGAAATTAGCAAATCTCAGCACCTATCAAGAACTAATAGAATTTCATTGGTTGGTCAGATCGTTAGATATGCAAAAATATGTTTCAGCAAAGATGCAGAATCTCATGAAAGGTTAGGTTTATGTGATACCATTCTCTCTCATGTTGAGATTTTGAAGCAAATTATTTACCAGAATTGCAATATTGGAAGTATCTCTTTGAGTGATTTGAGTCAGCAAAATAGGGCTAGACAAATTCGTGATACTCTTATTCAATTGGATCATTTGAACCTTGCACTTAACGTGGCAACTCGATGTCAAATTGAAAGTGATCCAGTTTGGACTCAGTGGGGCATTACATTGCTGACACTTGGCAAGTACAAACAAGCAAGAGAAAAGTTAAAATATTGTCAAAGTAAGTAGCAATGTTTTATTGAGTGTTGTGAAATTACATTTCTCTCAAAAGCATTAACACCTCAACAAAAGCAGCAGCTCTTAAACAGAATACTTGCAATTCTGGAAGGTACTCCTTCGGTAGTAGCCATTGATCAAAAGATGAGTGACAAGCTGAAAGAAGCTGCTATGGAATCACTAGCCACATCCAACTCTCCTTCAAAGAAAAAGAAGAATGATGAACCAACCAATCAAGATAAACATGATCCACAATCTTCTCTTCATACTCATCTTGACGAAGAAAGAATGAGAGAAGCTCAATATTATATCAAACATTTTGGCTCAAGTGATGTTTATCTTTCATTTCTAGTAAGAAATGGCAAAATTGACGCTGCAGTGCTGTATTTATTTAAAAAACAAATGCCACAAGGGCTATTTGTGGATGTCATTGTTCAATACTGTGTCAAACATGGATTGATGTCATTTTTGCAAAATGTTATTCGACAGTATGACAATACTTTGAACAAGTGTTATCCTTACTTGACTGCCACCTGCAAGTTTCTAAACCAAAATCAATCTCTTAATTTATTATACGATTTTCAAGTATTCATGGATGATAACATTAGAGCTGGATTAACTAAAATTAGACTCTTTCTAAAGAGCGAAGATCAAACCACTCAATTGGCCCATTTAGATGGTGCAAAAAAACATTTCATTCAAGGTTTACAAAATATTTCATCACACGATTCTAATGACATACAACAAAAACAAGTATTGAAGCCAGATGAAATTTCTAGATACATCAAAACAATTAATCTTCAGATGGAAGTCACAAAGAAATTTGGAAATATTGTGAGTCCAACCACAAATACAAGATTAAGTTTGTTCGACTCGGCCAAAGGAAAGTGTGAAATTACCGAATATCTCATGACTCAATCCTTTGATCTTTCATTTAGGATTGCCTCTGAGTATCATTTGCCAATTGTAAAGTTATATATTCGAATACTGTGTGGACTAGTGCGAAAGAAGCAAATTCCAATGATTGAAAATCTCCTTAAACAAATAAGGGGAACTCCGATAAGCGATGAAGATTGGGATGTTATCATTAACAATATCATCAAGTTGTGCATCAAAGAAATGAACGACGAAAAGAATGCTGAAAAATTCATTGCTAAATTGAGAAACGATTCCAAGAAAGTTAGAGCTTGCCTTCTCTGCAATAGATTTAAGGCAGCCTATCTGATTGCTGTCAAGTGCAACAATTTGGACGATGTGAAATTGATCTATGATTATTGCAGTCAAGTTGCCGATTCAAAAGCAACTTCAACCATTGCTGAGCATTGTCTGAAGTATTTGAAAGATCATGGCATTGTCATAACCCCTTCCACACCCACCAACAATGAATCCACTCAAACTATTAAAAAATAATAAATAATATACTTCTTTACTTCTTTCTGATAAATGTGCTAATTAATCTAGTGAGGGCTCCAAGAGTGCCAGTCCAGGGTCCATACAATAAATCTACCAAATGAGCAACAACCATATGAGCATATTTCTCAGTTGGGTATCGAATAAGCTTTGGTGGAGGTATGTTAATTGGGAATCTGTTGGTGACAAAAGACTTTTGAACCGTAAAAGCACGCAATCCTTCAGGACCGTTAAATCTTCCAAAACCAGAAACCTTAACTCCTCCGAAAGGTAAATCTTGAATGAGGTAGCTCAAACCATAATCATTAATCATGGTCAAACCAGCATACAAACGACGACCCATTGCCTCAGCACGCTTAGGATTACCAGAAAAGACATAGGATCCGAGACCATAACAAGTTCCATTAGCCATTTGAATGACTTCATCATCATCCTTCCATTTAACAATTACAACCACTGGACCAAATACTTCATCTTGAACCACACTCATATCATTTTTGACATTCACAAGTACAGTTGGTTCTAAGAATTGACCCTTCAATTTTGGATTTCGTTTTCCACCGTGCAACAATTTTGCTCCTCCCTTGACAGCTTCTTCAATCACTTTTTCAATCTTTTCAATGGATGTAGTCATGGTCATTGCACCAATATCGTTGACTTCATCATCCGAAAGAGCACAATCTTTTGGACATGTTGGTCTTTGTCTTAGTCCCTTAACAACTTCAAGGGTTTTTGCAACAAATCGGTCATGAATCTTTTCATGAACATACAATCTCTCAGCAGCAACACAATTTTGACCACAATTGTATAATGAAGCTCTCACAGCAACATCAACTGCAATATCAATGTCTGCATCATCACATACAATGAGTGGATCTTTTCCTCCCAATTCTAATGTCACTGGTGTAAGATTTTCGGCAGCAGCCAACATGACTCTCTTTCCAATTTCTGGTGAACCAATAAAGAAGACATGACTCACATTCTTTGACTTGGCAAGAGCATTACCAGCTTCACCAAATCCAACAATAAATTGAACAATATCAGGTGAGAATCCAGCTTTCACTAATGCATCTTGAACAAGTTCTTCATACAATTCAACACTCGACCAAGTGGCCCATTCGCTCACCTTAATCACAACACTGTTTCCAGCAAAAAGTGCAGCAATAACAGCATTGATTGCATTTTGGAAAGGATAATTCCATGGAACGATCATACCAATAACTCCGAGAGGAAGATAATGAACTTGACCAACCTTATAAATCATCATGAGTGGAACATGTCTTGTTTCTGGTTCAAGAAATTGTTGACCTCTTGTGGTTAACCATCTAATCTTCTCGCAAGTCATCACAACTTCTCCTAAATGAGCTTCAAAAAGAGTTTTTCCAGTGTCTTTACAACTCTTTGCAACAATTTCATGTTTGTGCTTTAGGATATTGTCTAACAAGTGTAATAGAACTCTCTTTCTATCATCAAAGGAAGTCTTTGACCATGTTTCAAAGGCCTTCTTTGCAATTCCGATTCTCTCTTCTACATCTTGAGCATTCATGGCTGGAACCCTCTCGCATAATGGTTCCATAGTTCCGGGATTGGTACATTCAATCATTTGTCTTCCTTGTGGATTCTTTCTGGTTTTTTCAACCCATTCCTTGAGAGGAGTGGAAGCACGAAGCCGAGTATCAAAAGGCTTAACATTCTTCCACATGTAGCTTCTTCCAAAAATTAACTTGTACACAAAACTAATCACATAATAACCAATAATTGTGTAGAGAGCATATTGACCGAAGGTGAGGACATCCATACGAAGAAGGTTGGATATCATTCCACCCGAAGATGATGATGATGATGATGAACAAGTGCTTTGAAATTGAGACATTTTTTCACAACAAATCGCGACTAGTGTTCGAACTGCGACCAATAAACTTCTGTTGTTGACCTCGCAAGTCTCTGTCAAAGTTGTTTTGTCTATCTCATCGATCGACATGGGTTGTAGAGCTAGCGATGCTTTGATGAAGCTTTATTGATGACTTGGCAATATTGTTCATAGCAAAGGTCCTGAAATTTTCTGCTTTCAGCGAGATGGAAAATGAGGCTGTTGATGAAAAGTTCCTTCGATAAAAACTGTTTGTTCTCAAAGTGTTCAGCAGCGCTTTCTGCCAGGCTGTTGGCATATTCATCAGGTATTATTTGACCAGATTCTTCTCTCGCCACCAAAGACTCATCAACAAACGATGCACCGTACTTTGAGTGATCATGGTGGTTATTAGTTGATGATGACCCATTGCCATTACCAATTCCGAGCATACTTTTCAGAATAATCGAGGCCTCTCCATCACCTGGTGAAGTTGATGTATCCACAAAAGGTGACGTGCTTCTTTGTAACGAACCCGACGATCCTTGGCCATTGTCTCCCAAGTTCTGATTATATTTCGGTGGAGCTTTGTTTTCCTTGGTCTTTCCATAAGCTTCCTCCTTGAAAGAAACAATTAAATCATTAAATTCGATACATTGCAGAGGTTTGTAGAACCATATTCCGCGTATCATGTTTTTCGTCTTATAAAATACAAAGGGATGATGCACTTCTAGCTCTAAATCTTTGGTGATATCTTGATGAAAATCAGTAGCACTCTTTCTATTCATTACAACAATGCGATATTTCGGTGATTTGGGTTCGTTTCTTTCTACGATGAACATTGCCCCTTCCACGTCAAGTTTTTCCCATTCCGATTTGTTGTACTTGTATAACACTACATGATCATATACTGTGTGAATTGTCATAATATATTTGTCTTTTCTTTTTAAAACCTCCATGTTCATTTGTTGTCGAGAACTAAGTCTACTCGGAACAGGTGATGTCCATCCGTGGCCATTTGGAAGAGGAAGATACGTATTTGTTTGCAAAGCTGATAATTTGTTATTTACGTTGCTGTTGGTGTTGTTGTTCGTCTTGCTACTACCAAACTGATAGAAGGCTTGCGTATCTTCGTCAGACATTTTTTATGATGATTTGTATTCCGAGAATAGATTCTCAACACCCATCAATATTTCTACAAATATTCATTTGCGTAAGGTAAGAATTTTGTTGCTGATTGGTTCATTATCATATCCCCTGTTCAAAGCAAAGAGTGCTTCAGGGAGCGTTCCTCTGTCTGATGTTCACCGCCCAATTTCAACGGATAACTTTTTTGCACGGTATAAGGAAACGAGGTTTCGCCCCTAAAAAAAATTGTGTGCATCACGTCCAGTTGAAACTGTCCAAATTGTTGAGGCTTTTTTCCTTACTTACGATTTTGCAGAGGTAAGATTGAAAGTATTTGAAAAGTATTAGAACTATTATTTTCCATTTCATGTATTTAATAATATTCTTTTTGAAGTCTAGCCTGAGCACCAACCGGACATATAGTTGAGAATCGCCTTGGAACACTCCTTTGGAGTTGAAATTCCAGCATCAAAATTTGAAGGAACTTTCAAAATATGTCAACTATCACACTATCAAAAAAACAACATCAAAATCAACATCACAAACTCACAGTAGATGGCTGATCTCATTGGATTTTTGTTTCAAATCATCAATTCATCTACACAAGGCCAGTCGTCCAAATCTTTATCTAAATCTCAACTTTGTCGGATCGGTGCTGATCTTTATCTCTCCACAAAGAACAAAATATTATTGCATCATATCCTCTCACCAATAATTCATCCAGGAATTGAGAATACAAAGACATCAAAATCTCTCAGAGCACTTACCAACAAGAACTTCTACTCTTCATCACTTGCATTTATACAACAAAATTTGACGAATGGAGTGACTTCTCTTCCGCAAGTATCTGAGTTTTTGGCAGCTTCAACTCCGAAAAGAACATCGGCTAAAAAGCTTTCATCCAAATGGATTCTTCTGTTAAAAATTGTTTCTGGACTGATGATGGCAGGACTCTCAACCACAATCATGTACAAAATCTACCAACAAGTCAAGCTTACCAGAGAATTTATTGAGAGTGCCGAAGATCAATATCACGAAATTTCTAAAAACTCAAAATCAGATATTTCAAAAATGAAGAGTAATATTGTCTGGACTCCGAAAAGCGTCAACATTGAATCCTTGTCAATGATGAAACAGTTTCAAAAAATAATCAACATTCTTGTCCTTTTTGGTTCCGAGTTTGGATTTAGTAAGCAAGTGGCCACAAAACTTTGCGAACAGGTGGTGGAAAAGCTCAACCAGTTACAGAGCTCGAGTATACTTTATGTACCTCGATTATTAGACATGAAATATTTTAAGACTATTGATTGGAATAATGAAACTTGTGTAATTTCTGTTTGTTCAACTTATGGAGAAGGAGTTCCCCCAAATAGCGCTGTCTCTTTTTTTGAACATTTACAAACAATGAATCAGCATGAAATTGCCACAGACAACAAATTATTCTACTCAGTTTTGGCTTTGGGGGACAAAAGCTACACTCATTTTTGTAGAGCAGGAAAAAATTTAGATTATTTGTTCGAAAACAAATTCTTAAATGGTACTCGATTGTTGGAACGAGTTGATGTAGACAGAGATGACTGGAGAGTAATTAACAAATGGATATCAAATTTATTGACACGACTACAGGAGGAAAGCCTCAATTTTCACAGTATGGACAGTGATAATTTTGTGGATTACTTGCAACAAGATTCTGCACAATTAACGATGGAAGCTGCAAAATCAAATACAAGCTTCGATCGAACTAATCCATTCTATGCCTCAATAATTGAAAAACGACCTCTTTGTTATGACATATCCGATGAAAATGACATTCGAGAATGCATTCATTTCTGCTTGGATCTTTCCTCTTCAATAATTCCCGCGCCAACCACAAGTGAAAAGTCACAAAGCGCTCAGCAATTATTGCAATATTCGCCTGGAGATTCGTTAGGTGTGCTCCCAGAAAATGACCATTACCTTGTTGACATTCTCACTAAGTATCTAGGATTATTTTTCATGAGTGAACATTCCGTTTCCAACATTCCTCTTGTAAAAACTCCAAGTAATTACTATCCACCAAATGAAAAATCGAGTAATGTTGAGCATGACTTATCAGGCATGCCTGAATATATTACTCTCAAAGACGCTTTAACCCGATTCTACGATTTGAAAACTGTTGATGTTGCATTTATCAAGCTTCTTTTGGAAAAACAAAATTTTCAACCTGACTTTCAATATGTTAAGACAAAGTTAGAAAGGATATTACAAGATGAGACTACATGTGCCACATATTTACAAGATAGATGGCTGCAAGACGTGTTGGAAGAATGTCTTGTGCCTCTACTTTTAGAACGAGAGAAAAAACAATGGACAAAATTGAACGACATTTCCATTCAAGATGTTTTGGATCATTTGAAATTATTACTTCCAAGATATTATTCTATTAGCTCATCTTCGAGACTTACTAAGAATGAAAACGCATCAATCACTGTTTCAATTGTAACGTATAAGACTACAAACAATAAGACACGACATGGTGTTGCCACTCATTTCCTCAAACGAGCAATTCAGATACCAATATTTATTTCAGCAAACAGGGGTTTCAAGCTGCCGCAAGATTCCACTGTACCCATCATCATGGTTGGACCTGGTACTGGTATTGCACCATTCAAGGGGTTCATTGAGGAGAGACTCTTCACAAAAGCCACAGGAAGAAATTTACTCTTCTTTGGATGCAGAGATAGAAATAAGGATTTCTTATATCGTACAGAATTAGAGACGTGGAGTAAACAAGGCGATATAGAGCTATATACTGCCTTTTCACGGGAAAATCCCTCTAAAAAGGTTTATGTTCAAGATTTGTTAATGGAACATTCATTGACAATTTATGAATTGATTACAAGAGATAATGCATATTTTTATATTTGTGGAGACGGATCTTCCATGTGCCCTTCGGTTGTGGCCACCTTGAGGAATATATTCTTGAAGCACGATCCTCAATGCAAGTCCATAGAAGATGCTTTCCATCAAGTAGAGAAATTGGAATCTGAGCGACGATTGTGCAAAGATGTTTGGTAAAAGAAGTATTCATTCTAGTGGCGGGTACAATAAAAATGTTGTCGAGCAGTGGCTCGTTTTGGGTATAAAAGAAGCAACATCAGAATCTATTAAGGCAAATCGCATCCGTATGAGGCATTTCAATTTGGTGAAATTGCGGTTGTCGAGGTGATTTTGTGGCGCCATTAAGGTTCTTGCTTTATATAATCTCTAGGGGGCACACAAGTCTAAAAAAAAATGGGTGGCATCTGTTCTTCTTTTTCTGCTCTTCCGAATATCAGCGATTCCTCATCACCAACAACAGAAATATCAAGAAAATCCGCAGGGTCTTCCATATCGTTGCGAACCTTCTTTTCAAATTCAAAAGGAAGCGACTCGAGCGTAATCATCAATGTTTCTCCCATCAAAACCAACAGCCAACCGTTCAAAACGAAAAACAAGCATGAAGAGGAGAGAGAAAATTCTCAAACTCTTCGGTTATCAAAGGAATCAATAATAATCAGTCTGAAGAAGAGGGTGAGAGGAAGAAACCCGAAAATTGCTCAATTGAAAAAACAATTTGAAAATATTATGAAGTTTTTCGATTTGCCAGTTCAAGAAAATGTTTTTGAGAATGTAAATGCAATCATCAATTATTTCGATCAAAATAAGTCCAAAGAAGAAGTTTCCATGAAACTATCCAAGATTGTATTCGATTCCTATAACAGAGATAAACGAGGATGGTTAGACACCTCGGATTTGAAAAAGTTTTGCAAAGATTTACTCTACATGTGTGGCCACACCAATATAACGGATAGTAAGTGTTGATAATAGTTATTAAGCTGCTGGATTATCTCTTGATATTAATAATAGAGGATGTCAATGATATTGTGGAAAGATTGCAGAATTTAATACGAGCCCAGAATTATCAAAAGCTTAGCTTTGAGCTATTTTGGAGTTCAAACATTATGAAAGGAGCTATTTTAAACGCTGATGGCCAACTGGATGAATCTAACGTTGTGTTTAATCCTCATTTGTCGACAGAGCAACTAATGTTCATTGGGAACCTTAAATCTCGCGAACTTAAAAAGGAGTTTGACTGGTTTTTTACTTTCTTTGACTTCAAACCCACTGGGAATCTGTTAAGAGACATTAATCTCTTTATGACTGTACTCACCAACACCGACACAGATGCTCCTTCTCCCTTTTTTGATACAAAAGAAATAACAACTGTACAGAGAAAACTGCAATCAAGACTATTAAGATATATATTTGAGTACTACGATAAGGATGGATCAGGTGTGATAGAAAGGGATGAACTGGTGGACTTTATCCAAGATGTTCAGGAAGCTCTCTACAAGAACAGCGACATTCCTGAAGATGAGGACAATATCTCAGAACTTGTCGATGAAATGTTACATGATTGTGATGTGGATGGTGATGGTAATATCAGTTATCATGAAATACTTCCTCACTTACCCAGCGTTTTTGTGAGAATGCGAAATCAAATTTCGTAGATTCGTACATTCACACAAAAAATGTCTTCATTCCTCAACTCGGTGCTTTACACAAATATTGCCAAAGCGGTTCAAGTGTTGATAGCACCTAGAAACACAGATGAAAATTTTAATAGAGCAGAAGAATCATTTCAATCACACGAGCAAATATTGGAGAATCAAAATTTGTTTGGCCAAGATGAAAAACAGCAGCTCTTCTTTCCCGATGGTCGGCCAAGAGTTCCTAAGAGTCTTGAATCAACAAGAAATAACGATCGTGTAAAATATATACAATCGTTACTCACCCAAGGCGAAACAAACAATTCATCGAACCTTCCCTTCAATCTCGTTCTTCCTCTTATTTTTCAAAATCTAATTGAAACATCTCATCAAACTACACAAGTTGAATATTACAGCAAGGAAGAGTTTCAACAACTGTCGCTTGAAGAAAGAAAAAGAAGACAACGTTTGTTAGAAATTTCAGAAAATTAATATTGGGAAAAGAGATTCACTCTGCAGAGATCCAATCAATGGATCGCAATTTGTTAAGAAATACTTGTACTGTCTGAGTATCTTCCTCTTGGATCGATTGAGTGTTTGTTCTGGCATGGTTGTGATGTGGACCATTATTTTTGCTTTACAGAAAGCCACCAAACTTGCATGTTATCCTTCTTCACCCTCAGAAGCACCACCACAAATTTCATCTGTGAAAGACTTCTACCCGTGAAATGATAACAATCATTGATGGTATTAGCCACATTTCCATAAATGAGGACAACCCTGCCAGAATTGTGTCTCATTTCGAACAAATTGTTGAGAATAAATTGTCACATCAAAATTGGTTGCATCTAGAAGTAATAATAATCTCTCGAACTCACAGAGCCAATGTGCTCCACTAAATCTGGTATAGCTAAGAAATTATCAAATATCTTGTGATTGAACCAAGCAACATAGTTGTAAATGATTCTGTCATTAGGAAACTCTCTATTTGCTTTCTGTTGCCACTCTCTAAGGTAATTGATAAAAGGTTGCATTATGGAAGCATCATTCGGATATACCATTGCTATTCCATTAATGTACTAAAGATATTGATATCCCATAAGAACTTACCAACTGCACTGCCAAAATGAGGGAAATCTCTTTGCAGATGATACTTTCTGCCAACTGCTCCATCCCCATCGCTAGAAAAGAATCTCGCCAGTTTTATAAACTTTGCTTCGAGATAGTGAAATCGCATTAGTAGTAGGAAGAGCAATGCTATAACAAAAGTTAGTACAGCAAACCAATAAATGGTGCATCTATTCAGAACTATGGTCGTGTCCTCTCGTTTCTTCATTCGTTTATACTGAATCCAAATGTAACTCAATGTTAGAATCAATGATGTTACTAGAGCAACGTTAGAAAGCACATGAATTCTCTTTTCATTAAAGTCATTGTATGCATGAGCAAAAAAGAGCTTAATCCACATGAATCTCTTGTCTTTGAAACGCCTTATCTTTTCTTCATCCGTGGACATATAGTAGTCCCTGTTTAACGTGTCAATCATTTCGCGAATAGAATCGATCCAACCCTTTGGAACAACTGCATCATCTTCCAAAATAATCGTGTATTCCATATGAGGGTAATATTTTTGACAATATTCCAATGTTGTGATATAATCAAGAGCTTGTTTTTGATGATATGGAAGCTGACTTGCAGCTAGGTTCGAAAATGAACTATGAAGGAAATATTTGTCATTGCTAATATCTGATTTTCTAAAAAAATTAAATACATTTCGTAAATGCGAAATGGATTCTACATGTGGCGAGAATTGTTGTTCATTTCCTGTTGCATCGAACACATTAATAGCAATATTCGAAGTAGGAACTAAATCGCTCATGGATGTGTTTGCCAAAATAGATTGTAATAGAACGTGTAGATAATCCACTCCTCTATTTACCGTCGGAATTGCAATGCAAAATCGAGAAGATGTCCTTGAATTAGAAAGACCAGCATCTTGTGTTTTAGAAAAACTTTTTTCCAGAACGGTAATCAATTCTTTTGGTAGCTCTTTGAGATATAGTGATGCCTCTTCCACTCGTTTCAACTCTGATTCCTGTCCTGTCCAATCTCCTTCATGAAACAAGAAAGAAGGTAATATGTGTCTTAAAAAAGCAAATGCATATTTTGATTTATCTTCCTTAGTTACCATCATGAGCAGAAATAAACAGGCAATGCTGCATAATGACACAATTAGAGTCAATAAAGCAACACTCCTCACTGTATCCCGCAAAGAATAATTTCCTAACAAAAATCTCAAAATTGATGACTTATCATTCAAACTAGGCTGTTCCGAGGAATGTACTGTGTTTTTATAAATATTTCTCTTCTCCGGTGGGGCATCGTGATAATTTGTTGCCTCTTCCAAACAATTCATTGATAAATCAGTGCCATTTCCGACATTATGATCCTCTCGATGTTGCAACTCGGAGTTTGGAACACTTTTTGCAAGAAAAGACATTTTTTTGAATCACCGACGGCAAACAAAATAATTCTCTCTTTTTCCTTCTACGAACGAGACTTTTAATTCTCTTTTGAGAGGTGTTGCCGCTCGTCAGTCATTATATTGGGTTTTTCATGTGCTATCTTCACTCTATCGTGCAGAAGACCGTCATGATATTCTCATCATTTGTTGGAGCTGAATTCAACTCTCCTTTGTTCTAGATGGAGAGATTCAGCAAGAAGGACATCTTTTTCAAGGTTTGTGTTGTTATTATGGTTCGTCATTAAAAATGTTTCCGAAATCATTTTACCAATTTTCTGGGTCTTGATCGAGGTTTCATTATTGTAGGTGTTTTCTGATGAGGAAATGGTAAGTCCATCTATTATGATTTGGATATCTCTTTAGAGATGCTAATCAGGACTTTGTGTTCTAATTGAAACATTTCGCCCTCTTCTATTGGGTTTTGTAAACCAAACGTACTGAGAGTCCTTACCTGTTTGCTCTTCAGTCCTGACCGAGATCAAACGTTGCAATATTGTTGTACAAAAAGATGTAGCTCTTGTCGTCACGACAATTCAATGACTTGACTCTGTGCATTAAAAAGTGAAAATTCGAGGAAAACAAGAAAAAACCATGAAATCAAGCAAAAACAAGGGAAATTAATTCCAAATCGTGTTTTTTCGTGTTTGTTTCATTTTTGTCCTTTCATTCAACAGAGAAAAATTCAAAACTCGAAGAATTTGAAAAAATCAAAGCTTGTGGAATTTTAATGCACAGGCCCAAGTACTCTCGAGAACCATATGATAGAATGTTTACGCATATATGCGCGACAATCTAAAACGATAGACGTTGGGTTATGGGTGTACCTGGACTCTTTTCCTTGATACAACCAAAATGCATAAATATATCCTGTTGAATCTGATAACGCATAGTATTTCAGCCCATACTTGTGAGGTTTTAAGGGAATGTATTGCTTGAACCGAACTTTTCCCTTGAATGCTGCAATTATTTCATCAACCGAAACTTCTCTAACGCACAACCAATATTTTCTACTGTTAGAATTGATTTTGTCCTCAATTATTTGTGGTTCACTACTGAGAAACGTATGAATTTCTTGGAACCTTCTTCTACTCATAAATCTCTGGATTAGCTTGCATGCATATAGTGCATGATCCATACCTGATCCTGTCCAATAGTTTGCATAATTTGGAATTGGAGCAATACTCATTAATTGACATACTTGTAAAAACCCTCGTATTTCTTCTTTTTTGAAATGATTGGGTGTTTGATTCATTTGGTTTCGTCGATAAAAACTATCGAAGTCTTCGAATTTTGGCTCAGGTAAAGTGAAAGGGGTTTCATCTTCGATCAGAGGTGGAATTTCATTTTCAGAAAACACATATTGCACATATTTCCTTTTTGTTGTTTTTTTAGCAAGGTAATGCTTTGTTTTTGCTTCCTGCCATTCCTTGTGCTTGCTGAGTTTTGTCTCAAATGTTTCACAGTATTCTTTTTTCCAGTTTGTTCTGCACCAAACATGTTCAATTATAGATTCATCCCATATAAGATTGGCAGATTTTAGAAGAGTGAAGTTTTCAGGTATGTTAGTCGGTCCTGATCTTTGAGGTGCTTTAATTTCCACCTTTGAAAATTTGCCATTCAAATCCCATCCATTTTGGAAATGATTACTGTCTTTTTGTAAATTTTTACATTCAGAGCCACATTCACATTCAGTAGAGCATTTTAGACCGGCTTTCTTGCAAACACATCCTGTGCAACGAGTGCAACCTTTTTTGCATCGTATTTGTCTTCCTGGAGGATGAGGAAGTTTAAATTCGCTTGGTGTAAATTCAGGCGATTCCTCTTCAGTTCTGTCTTCTGTATCATCTGTCTCAAGACAAAATGATAATAAATCATTTGGATCAATATCGGCAACATCGAACGATTCGTTAATAGTCTCTGAATCTTTATCTGTGACTGTAAAAATAACATCATGTCAACAAAATCGTCACTATCATGAGAGTACAATTGGGTCAACAACTGATTTTGCTCAACATCGTTCAGGGTCCAAAAATCAGATTCATGTTCATCATTTGAAGATGATTGTTCGGATGTAAAGATATGGCTTAGCGTATTTTGATGAAACGTCATCATGAAATTCTCGTCCACATTGGAATAGGTCGAAAAATCTACAGAAGGAGAACTGCTTTCGATGAAACAAGTACCCTCGTCCAGAATCATGATCTATTTTTTTTTGTGATTTTTTAGTTGTCGTGGAAAATGAGCATCACCAAATTAGTGGTTGAGATTGGGGGAAAGCTGATGACCTTGAAATAGAACCGCCCCTGAATCTTTGTGTTTTATTCGTATATCTATTTCTGAACTTGTTTTCAATGTTCCCAACAGACCATCAAATCATGACCAATGCAAAATCGAGAGATTATTCAGATAATCAAGTCGAAATGAAGTCTTAACCAAATTATATATAATATCTCACAGGCTGGACAGCAAGTAAATGAGGAAAGATAATATCCTCCTATTCGAAAAAACTTTTGCTTTTTGGCTTGCCAAGCGAGTTTTTTGAATATTCGTTTTCATTCGCTGCCTCGGTCTCTTCCTGCGTAGTGCAAATGCTTGAATCGGCCAAAATCACTCAAGATCAAGAATTGAAATTCAAATGTAACAGATTTTCGGTTGAACAATTTTCAATTCTCCTCATGGGTGACAAAATCTTGAATGCTGACCTCAAACCGATTGCACGCAAGCCAGGACAACAATTATTTGCATTGGATTGTGCAACCATTGCGAATTGTAATGGGGTGTGTCAAATTTGTCACAATTTAAAGTCAAATCTTGATGAAATCATTAATGAAAAAGCATCAATTATTGAAAAAGTCAAAAATGGAGAATTGCCAAAGCCTAAACAAGTGCTTCAAAATCCGTTGTTAATGTATGAATTATTGAATATTGTTTTACCACACGTTTCCATTAATGATCAAGAAAAGAATATCTTCCAACTCTTTCGAAATGCAAATCATGCATATGAATTAAATTGGAAGAAAGAAGAAAAATCTGTTGACGAACAATCTACAAAGAAACCTAAATGTGACCATTTTGTTCCACCTCAATATGCTCGTCCTAATCTTCCTTCCTATAAACCCTTCCAAGAAACATTTTTCATGAAATTCATACTGAATCAATTACGTAATTACAACAGAGATCCACATCACCATGAATATTCTGAAGAGAAAAAACGGTTTTGGTTGGTGACAAAGTATTTTTGTGTAAACAATTCTTCTTGAGAATGGGTGGAGCTCGGAATCAATATGTTCCATGTAACCAATGAATTGATTTCAATGCCAACCATTGTAGAACTTATGCAAAAATACCCAAACTTATATATACTTCTCGATAGAGAAGAGGTTACTCCTACAGAAATAATGGCATTAAGGCCTTGTCTTAAATTAACATGTCCTGCAGTAATTGAAGCTCTGAATGAAATTAATACCAATCAAGCTAAAGAAATCGCCATATATTCCTTTAACAGACCATTATAATGGAATGAATATGACTTGATACCACAGCTCCCAAATATTTCACAAAATCCTTCATTCCAAAAAAAAGATCCCAAAGAACTCGAAATCATTAATGATAATGTTGCCACGTATGCAAGAAAATCAACATTGAGATTAGATACATGTGCTCCTGAACGTATCTTTTTGTGTAGCAAAAGGTGCTTTTAAAAATCATCTCATTGTGAACCATAATTATAGTAAGGAACAAGTTTCTGAAGTAGTTAGAAATTTAGAATGCCAGGAATTTCTATTTCAAGTTGAATTTGAACGAGCCACTCGAAAGATGTCATGTGATGGAAAAGCTTCATCTCATATTCTTAAGCCTTCCGAAATACCATCTCACTCTAAACAAATAGCCATAGAGAGAAATGACCATTCAATTGCACTCTATATTTGTGAAGCCTGAAAATGCAAAATGGAATTTGTATACATGGAAAATGCATCGGGATAAATATGATTTAATTTCCCAAATCGACACAATCACCAACATCATGCCAAAGGTTTGCAATTACATTACGTGCAATGATACTTGTGATGCATTGTTACTTCTTCATTCCAACGGATTTGATAGGCTGTTTTTTGAAGATGCACCTGGTTAAAGAAGAAGGGATCCATCACTGCGAACAGAGTTGCTGAAAATTTTTTAAAATATTTCGATAAAGGTGAACGAATGGATTCCCATTTTGGATGAGTTCAAGTCTTCATTACTTCCATTCCCTCCCCGCAATTTTCATCATTGTGGTGACCGAAATTGATGAGAGCAACTCTCAAAGATAATATTACATCAAAAGAAGAGAGATGTTGTACCTCCAAGAATGGATTGATGAAGGAGATTAATTGTGTCCGACGACGTTTCATCCAATTAATTGGCATGCAACGTTCTTTCTGTATCGTGTGAAATCATCGGCCCAGCGCTGGAAGACTTAAAAAATGTTCCTATTCATTCTTGTCTTGCCATTGTTGATTCATGTGTTGTTGTCTGGTGGTTTGTTCTATTACAGATATCTAGAATTTGAGAAGGAAAGAAAGAAGGTCAATTCCGAAGAATATTTATCCCGAAAGCATGTGGTTATTACAGTAAGTAAATCTCATTCCACGTGTGATGATGATGATGACAATGATCCACAATGGATGGCGATGAATGCGATGCTCATTGATGTCACTTTAAATGTACATTTCAAAAGGGAGCAAGCTCTGGTATTGGTGAACAACTCTGCAAACATTATTGCCAAGTGGGAAGAAAAAACAAAATTGTTATTGCAGCCCGTAATGTCGATAAACTTAATGAATTGAAAGAGAGTTTGTTAAAAGAATACTCAAATAGAGGACATGACATTCTTTGCCTAAAAATTGATGTTTCAGTTGAGAGTGATTGCAAAGAATTAATTGAAAAGAGTTTAAGTTTTTTGGATGACAGAATTGACACTATTTATTTGAATGCTGGAAGATCTAGTCTTCAAATACTTTCTGAAGCTAAAGATCTTGAGGGTCATAGAGCTTTGATGAACACTAATTTCTATGGATGCATTGCCCCTACTTTTTATTTATTACCTCATTTGAGAGAACGACAAAATAGCAATTGCCATATTTGTGTAGTTTCATCGTTGGCGGGCTTGACAGGAGTTTGGTATGTTATTGTACTTCATGAAGTCTCCATTGCTTAACCCATTTATGCATGCTATTGAATTCTAAATTGTCAACCACAGTCGTAGAACTGCATACTCAGCCTCCAAGTTTGCATTGCATGGATTTTATGAAGCTTTAAAGTTAGAATTAATGAAAGAAGGAATTTATGGAAAGAAAGTTACCCTCTCACTAGTCTGTCCTGGATTTGTAAAGACTGCCATTCATTTCAATGCACTTGGAACCAAAGAATCCACTAATGTGAAGAGAGATTTGAATGAATTCATGTCTGTTGAAGAATGTGTTGAAAGGATGGTCACAAACACAGAAGGAGCAAATTCACAATTCCTCTTTATTGTCCCATACACTGAAAGACTTCTCATCCAATACATTAGACCATGGATCCCATCCCTCATTCTTGATAAAATTGTCTTGAAAAAAGGAGACTCTGTTCAGCTTGATCAATAAATTGAAGACAATATTAGCCACAATGATGTGATGATCATTTAGGTTTCCTAACAACAAGCGTTCTTTTTGTAAAGTGCTGCTCTTTGAGTAAAAACGAATACTAGTGGAGCAATTTCAAAATAATAGTTTCATTAATTTTATGAAGTGTCCATTTCCTCATAAATCCCCAATAATTCCAATGAATGGTGATGCGAACGATATCATCGAAATCGTCACTTCTTTCTTTTCGACGATTTGCTTTTGCTTGTGGTGTGTGATTGTGACTCGCTTGATTCTTCAGAAGTAGCAGCAGCTCCACCACCACCACTGGGAGAACTTTCTGTCTTGCTACTACTGCTTTTATACGTTCCATATAAATTATCACCAATATTCACTTCATAGGGTGGTGTTCTATTGAAAGTTAAAAAAAACAAAACACTTTTTAGTATGAAATTTTGTGAACAAACTTACTTGGCCCGTGGTCTTCCTCTTTTTGCTTTGTGAGTTGGTGATTGTGGTCTTCCTCTTCCTTTCTCATCAATGAACATGGTTCCTAACAGCATTTGAGTTGTTGAGCTACTACTTTGTTCCAATTGATTGGGTGTTAAATTTTCATTCTTCATCGATGAAGATGAAGCTGATGAAATGGTCAATTTTGAAAGGGCTGTCTTTTTCTTTTTCACCTTTCCAGCTGTAGTGGAAGGTGGTTGAATGTGTGGTGTCAATGTCGATATTGTTGGTGGAACAAGAGTGGTCGATGTCGAAGAAGAAATGGAGACTCCTGTTGTTGTCATTGGTGTGGATCCTGATAGTGGAGTAGTAGTAGCTGCTGTCGTCGTCGATGTTGTTGTTGTTGTTGAGGATGACGACATGCCCACCACAAATGGACTCACTTGTGTGGTCGACGATTGCTGTGTATACTGATTAAAACTAGTTGCATTTGGAAAAGGTCCAATGGCACTCAAAGGAAATCCAACCACCACAGTAGGTGTGGTTGGTGTTGGTTGATTGGGAGGAGTCTTACTCAATTGAGAAGAAGATCTTTCAGTTGAAGGAGTGGTTGTACTATTTGAAAGGATCATGGTTGCATTCGAAGAGGAGGTCATTATGTGTGCTTGTTGTTGTTTGTGGTGTTGAGAAGTCACGAGGGCAGTATTAATACTTGGAGGAAGTGACAGGGCTGATGTTGTTGTTGTTGTTGAGGTGGTTGTTGCTGAGGCTGTTGCTGCTGCTGCTGTTGAATAAATATTGGTACCACCTGACATGATCTGCTGCTGTGTGAGTACTAGTGGTTGTGATTGTGGTTGTGGTTGTGGTGGTACTGGTATTTGTGGTTGTTGAATAGGTTGTTGAATGTGAGAAGTTGTACTGGTGGCGGTGGTGGTCAAAGAAAGTTCTTGTTGTAATTGTTCTTTTGAGTACTGCTGTCCGAATGGTGGTTGAACAATCATCATTTCTTGACCATACTGTTGTTGTTGTTGTTGTTGCAATAAGGACCACGATGACGACGACGACAAAGAGGATTCTCTCCTTAGAAAAGTTTGCATTTCTTCCCAAACCATTTGTTGAAGTTGAGGAGTGATTTGAGAGGTGAGTTGAGATAAATCATCTTCCATGTAAATGAAAACATGTTGTTGTTGAATAGGTTGTGATGGAACATGCATGATGGAATGCTGTACATTTGAAAAGTGTCGATGAGCAAGCTGTGCGAGAGATGAAGGTGGTAGTTGTTGTTGAAGTGTCATCATGCTGCTTGGAGGATGATATTGTTGTTGTTGTGATTGTTCTTGTTGATCCATTCTCTCTTCTTCTTCTTCTTCCATTTCTCCCAATAATGAAGGAATGTTTCTTCTTGTTGGAAACATTGAGATGATGCAGTGACCTATAAGTTCAACAATGGTTGTTATTATTATTGTTATTATTATTGTTATTATTATTGTTGGATGTTGGTTCAATGTCTTCTTGAGAGAGTTTGTTTTTTCGTGTGTGTATAAATTATACAATTCCAATTCGATATTAACACACACACACACTCTCTCTTATTGTCGTAGTGAGGATATGAATGGTTGGCGCAAATAATTGTTGGCGAAGTGTGTAAAGATCGTATATTCCCTCTATCTCAATGACAAGTCGATGTTTATGCGCGTGTCGATCGATCGGATGAGAGTGTGTGGAGATTTTAATTGTTTCAATACGAAAGTGATGATGATGATGATGGTGTTGTGTGAAAAAGTCAATTTCTCGAGAAATGATGTTCTTCAAAGATTGCTGAAATGCATGAAATAATTGAGTGCCTTCTTGATGGTTATGGTTAATGTGATGTGACGCTGGTGATGATGGTATTGCACTGGTGGTGTGAGAAGAAGACCCAACGACACGTACGTAGCAGACTAGGATGGAGCAATATTGCTGGCAACAATGGGACGACAATGGGATGCCTCGCGATATTGTTGCTTATTTTTCGCGCCAAAAGTATTAAAAAATATTTAACGGACACAACGATTGGTTGGCTGGTGGTGGTGGTCGACGTTCAACAACGACGTATCGATCTTGTTTGCCTCCTCTTCCTCCTCCTATAACACTCTCAACAACAATTGAGCAGCTTTGCAGTCTTTTTGAGTTGTTCACACACAAACGCGTCAACATGCACAAAGTTATATGACGAGACTTGTCTTCCTCAATCACAATTGACGTGTTTTCAATCACAACACTGAGATTGGAGAGAAACAATGTGTGTGTGAAGGGGATGAAAGAATCAAGTAGGAATGAGTCTTGCAGTCTGTCTCTCTCTGTTTGTCAAAATTATGCGTCTTTTCTTTTTTCGTTAAAATAAATATATTGGATAATACAAAATAGGACAAGTCCAAGATAAAAGAGTAATCGAGATTGACAATGAATGTAAGAAGGAGGTGGATGATGCACTACTAGTGATTTGATTTGGACTTCACAACGAAGAGACGTGAATCTCTTACCGAGTCGGTCCTATGAGGAAAGTTGTTGTTGTTGAATGGAGGCAACAAGAACTGTTTGTTGGCTTTAAAGAATGAGAGAGAACGCAACAACACTCGGGTGGTGAGGTGATTAAAAATGATTTTTTTTTCTTTGGCTCCAGCAGACACAAGAGGTTTTGGCAAGTGACAGATTTTAAGAGGAGGAAGAACGGTACATGTGCAAAACATGCGATCGAATCCATGTAGGGATTAGGTTGTTAACCGACAACACATGAAGTAAACCATTGTTGTTTATGCTCATTCGTGGTTGTGGTGGCTTGTTTGTGTGTACTGAATACAAATAAGGATAATGTTGGGCTATTGTGTCCGTGACAGGAGAGGAGAGAATTTCGCATGCGGAGAGGACGAAGAACGAAACATCGACCCCTTTCAATACAAATTAATTGAATGAGGTAATTAATACAAACACCTAAAATACATTTACTGCATGCAAGATGTAGATGTACTGAACTATGAAAAGTAGTCTTTGTGGTTTTACCTAGCTTGGCAATCCTACAAATGAGGACAATGAAAATGTCACAAGTCAAGGAAATGGTTTCACAATGAACTGTCCGTGTTGTTTCAAATACGCCATGAAATGGTGAAACCCATTGTTCATTCTTAAGATGATGATGCATAATGTTTGGAAATTGTCCAAGATTGGTTTCTTTGAATTCGATAAAAATGTACATTGAATTGACATCAATTTTCAAAAGGTGTAATTGAATGCATTCGGAATGAGGTGCATGCATTTCAATATTTTAGGATGATGATGTAATGCAGATGCACACATCGTGTGGATTGTTTCGCAGGGTTTGTTCTAAGGATCACCAACATGTTGTTTCAATCCGATCGAATAAACTCTCTCTCTTCGGGTGCATCTTGCGTGATTCATGCAGAATCAAATTCAAGCATCTTTCCTTTTAGTGGTTGTAAGAGTACATTTTAGGTATCTCCTAAAATGATGTGGAACCATTCTTTTTGGAATCTCCTCATTCCTCATCTGAGGAGTTTGTTGTTGAGGATGTGTGTGTTGGTATGAGATGAAGGTGTCAGAACTGAAGGGAACAATGTTGAGGATGAGTTGTCCATGTGTTCATGCTCATATTGTGGTATTACAAATGGATGAGAAGATGAGCCTGGACACATGGACAACACATCCAATGATGGATAGATGAATGTCCCTTCTGACCGATGCGCGCAGCTGTATTGTTCTCACTGTGGACATTTACATGCGAAGAGATGGATGTGTGCATGTGTCATCACTCGGTAGAAACCGAGTTGATTAATCAACATGTTTACAAGAGAGTGTGTATGGAAGGAGGGCGAAGAGTCAGGTCATGTGTTAGATACATCCGTATGTGAGTTGTAGGTTGGACATGTTCAGTCAATCACGTGATGAATATTTTTTAAATAGTTAATATTTTAATATTGGGTTGACTTTTGCCACAACTATTTTACAACAGAAAGGAACCCATTCAATGGAACAACACAGACGATCAAACAAAAACTCTCATAATAATAAAAAACAACTTAACGACTTCAATGCTGGAATTGAGATTTTCCAAGCCTAAAAAAAACAAAACTTTGACATGCAACTCATCATTACCACCAACAAGGGAATTTGTTCGAGTTTCAAAGAACTGAACGAAGAATTGATCCTTTCAAGCCATCGAGTGAAAACAACAAAACGAAAAAATCAAAGCTACAAAAAAGTATGCAGTATTGAAACTCGTGGGCAATTCCACAAAACGAAACGAGTCGTGGATCAAGATGTGGTGGATTTCATGAGGAGTCAATTTGTCAAACATTATTCCACTATTGACATGACATTAAGTGAAAAAACAAAATCTTCATTTCATACTATTTTGCATGTATATGCCCATGATGGAACCTTTGGACTTCGTTACGATCGTGTCATTGATGCGAATCATCCAAGAGCATGCCTTCGAGCACATCACCTTGTTCAAATCTTGGAACCCTATCTGCAAAGTCATCCCGAATGCACTTGTATTAAATTGCATGTCTGTTTCTCAGGTGTGGATTACAATGGAACTGTCAAATCCTATGCAGAGCAATTAAGGGATGAAATTGAACAAATAATCATGAACGATATTATTCCTCAACAAATCATGACAGTGGAAGGAGTGGATGGTTGGTCCATACTTGGTTTCAATATTTCAAACAGTGGGGAATATTAGTCCCATTATGTTCTTCCAAGAATTCCAGAGATTCGAAACATTGTCAGTTCAAACAACTGCAAATTCAACTATGACCCTTTAATTGTTAAATATGATTCAGGTCAATTAAAGAGAAGGTTCGTAGCCTCAAAGAATTAAATCAAAACAACGAGTACTCAGTGGTATTGTGTGGGAGGTTTTGTAAAAATGTGGCGCCAATGTAACTTTCTCGTTTCACTCTCCATCTCTTGGCATCATGATCGCGATTCATACAAATATCGTCGTGACGAAATTAAGAGTAACACATAGTGGTTCAACTCGAGCCAAAATTTGCCAGCGAGTTTGTTGGTGTGTTGTTGGTCGCATGTGTCATTTTTATTTTGTAAAGACTCTTTCTATGAACTCGTCGTCGTTTGATGAAAGCTTTAAACGTGAAACTTGATCCTATCCAAAAAAAAATTTATTGGGGTATATGTACACCTAATCCAATTGGGATTCTAACTAAGGACCCAAGGGGGATCGAGAGCGTAGGCAATCAGACTTTTGCCTTCCATTTTGGGCCTAACTATAAAAGTAGCAAACCAAAAAAATGTTTATTGCAGGGTGGTTTGACGAAGTTGCAGATGCTTCACAACAGCTTTTGAAACAATATCTTCAAGAGTTTCTTTGAAATACGGAATGATACCACGACTACCTTTTGGAATCCAATTTTTGACTGTAGCTAATTCAGGAATTATGAGATTGTAATGTAAATGGTTGAACCAATTACATGATTGATGTTGATTTCGTGCTCCGGCCAGGAATCCTGCATAATATTTAACAAGAATCCAAAAACGTTTTGCAATATCAGAATACTGGTGATGACGCGGATCTCTACTATAATTTCGTAATTGGTCGAATATAAATTGCATGAAAAATGTATCCTCAAAAGGTTTTTTCATTTCTGGCAAACGAGGTTTACAAGTAGGTTCTGTTCTGAGATCTAATTTAACTTTCTTTTATGGTGATTCCATCACCTACTCAACATTCACTGACTCAAAATTCCAGGTTGAATCATAATGTTCTTGGGCTTGTCGAAATAATGACACTAATTCAGATTCGGTCTCAGTTAACTCTTTTGAATGAACCACTAACTTGCTAATTATTTCATACATGAGTAAAGGATACGCAAGTAAACTTTTAGGTGCGGGACGAACTCCATCAGCAATTTGTTGGAAAATAACATCTTTCTTTGAAATAATTTGATCAAGGTGGTTCATTGTAGATTGGCAATTATTGCAAATCCCGGTTGCTTTTGTGCCGAGTTGATTGCATTCAACAGATTTCAATTTGGTCCCTGTTTTAATTGCAATCGGCTTATAGTTTGCATTGAATATACAATCACCAAAAAGCAGCTCTGAGTATTTATCGGTCCGTTGTGGAACTGCATTTTTTTGCTAATTGCACTTTTTAAGTTAGGCCCAATATGGAAGGAGAATCTTTGATTGCGTTGCTGGTAGCTACGCTCTCGATCCCCCGCCTTAGTCTTCAATCTCCTATCCAAAAAAAAATGGCGCAAACTACGAGCTCGTTGGCTCATCATCACCACGGAGGAAAACTTCTCCAATCCACAGTTGAAGCGCTCACCTCCGACAATAATTCTTCTTCAACATCATCATCACTATTATCTAGTTTGTGGATGAAATTTATTCAAATGGCAAAGTCGTTGAACATTGGGCACTTTTATTTGTTTTTGGGAAGTTTAGGATTAGGAACCGTTTGGTATACGAGTATTAATTATTTTATACAGAGAAGTTTTGTGAGCAAATTATATATTAGTAGCAACGATGAGGCCTTTCATTGGTTTATGTTTTGGTTGGCTGAAAACAAGTATAGCCAAGAAGCCAACCACTTTGCAATTCTATCTTCAAAAACTCATGTGGATTTTTCAAGCTTCAAACACAATCCATCGGAAAAGGATAAACATTCAATTCCAATCAAATTCATCCCATCGCCGGGAGTGCATTTTCTAAAGTACAAGGGAAAGAGCATTAAAATTGAGTACGAAAGAACACTTACACCATCTTCCAACTCTGGTTCAAATAATGCATCTCACAATGAGCAGCTTATTGTCAGTTGTCTAAGCACTTCTCCAACATTTTTGAAAAACTTTATTACAGATTGTCAACAGAAATATTTAGAGTCCAAGCATGGAAAAACATTGATTTATCTACCTGATGCTTATTGCGATTTTTGGGAGCCAAGAATTTCAAAACTGAAAAGACCCCCAAATACTGTTAAATTGCAATCCAACATTTTTGAGAAGTTATCGATTGATGCTAGAAACTTTCTTTCTCTGGAAAAATGGTATAATGATCATGGAATTCCTTTTAGAAGAGGTTACTTGCTGTATGGGCCTCCTGGAACTGGTATGTAAAAGGTTTATTTTGAATGCATTCGCATATTGACATAATTTTAGGAAAAACCAGTACTGTTACAGCTTTGGCAGGGGCTCTTGATAAGAATATTTGCTGTATTAACATTAGTAACAAAAATCTCAATGATGACAACTTGAACAGCCTTCTATTGAACACCCCCTACAATTCTATTATTTTATTGGAGGATATTGATGCATGTTTCGCAACAGTGGAATCAAAGAAGAGAACTGTACATCCATCACAGCTAAAGGCTGAACCTGAAGAAACTTCTGAAGTTGCATCTCAAGGAACATCAGGATCTAACGTGACATTGGGAGGTTTGTTAAATTGTATTGATGGAGTTGTTGCGCAAGAAGGAAGAATTTTGTTCATGACTACCAACCATATCCATCGCTTACCAGATGCATTAATCAGGCCAGGTAGAATAGATGTCAAGTATCTGATTGATTATGCTGACGAAACTCAAACTAGAGAATTGTTTCTCAATTTTTATCCTCGTGAGTTTGAACTAGCTGACAAGTTTTGTCAACAGCTCTTTTCTAGGGCCGACAAGGAGCATCAACGACGATTCACTTGCGCAGAATTACAGGGCCACTTTATGTCATACAAGCATGACCCAGCTTCTGCTGTTTCCAACACGCCAGATCTCATCAACTTTGATCTTAGAAGAGGCTTGAATGTGATACCTCATCAGAGCCAAGAAAATGGATCACATTTCGGATCACAAGCTGTACACGAAAAGGAGATTTTTTGATTTTTGAAAAAAAATTCGCGAAAAAAATACACCGATTCCTACCAAAGCTAAAACTCGCTTGTTCTCTTTCACGATACTGTGTTGTTCTCTTCTTTTCTCTATCATTGTGTCATCTGAAGAATGGAAAGACTCTTCCCAAAATTTGCAAATCCCACTAAACTGCAAAAGACATTGTTGCTCTCTCTTCCGCAGAGAACATCATCTTTGAAAAATTCGCTAGAGGTCTTTTCCAAACACAACGTAAATCTCACCAAAATCGAATCTCGACCCAATAGGCTTAATAAGAAGGTTATTGATTTTGTTCTCGATGTTGATGAAAACACAAACAAGGAAATTGTTGATTTGGCAATTAAGGAAATGCTAAGTTCGAAAGTTTGCGAAAATGTAAAATATTTGGGATTTGAAAATAATATTCCGTGGTTTCCAACCAAGATTTCAGATATTGATTTCTTCACAAGAGAATGCTTGGAAGCTGGAGGAGAACTACAATCAGACCATCCAGGATTTCATGACGTTGAATACCGCGAAAGAAGAAAGAAGATTTCTGATATTGCTTTGAATTACAAACATGGAACACCAATTCCAAGAATTGAATACTCTGAATCTGAAAATCAAACCTGGAAATTAATTTACAACAAATTAACCAGCCTTTATCCTAAATACGCATGTGAGCAATACAACACCTTGTTCCCATTATTTGAACAAAATTGTGGATTTTCGCCAGAAAGAATTCCTCAATTGCAAGATGTAAGCGACTTTTTGTCCTCGACCACAGGTATGTTCATTCTTTAATTTAACAAGACGATCTTATTATTGACTTTGTTGCTAGGGTTCAAAATTAGACCAGTTTCAGGATTGCTCACAGCACGTGATTTTTTGAATGCTTTAGCCTTTAGAGTGTTCCATAGCACTCAATACATTCGTCATCACTCTAAACCATATTACACTCCTGAGCCAGATGTCGTGCATGAATTACTTGGGCATGTTGTTTTGTTGTGCGATCCTGATTTCGCTGAATTCTCTCAACAGATTGGGTTAGCCTCCCTTGGTGCAAGTGACGCTGAAATTGATCGCCTTGTTAGACTCTATTGGTACACTGTAGAGTTTGGGGTTGTTAAGGAAGATTCACAGATGAAGGCATACGGTGCTGGTTTACTAAGCAGTTTTGGAGAGCTGGAATATAGTTGTACAGGCAGATCATCGGAAACAGATCAGATACCACAGTATCTGCCTTTTGTACCTGAAGAAGCAGCCATAAGACCATATCCAATCACTCACTATCAACCAGTCTATTATGTTGTTCAGAGTCTTGAATCATGCAAAGATCTGATCCGACGATTCGTGAACAATTCTACTGACAGACCTTTCCAACTGAAATATAATCCTTACACACAGACAGTCGATGTATTGGACAGCCAAGAAAAATTGATCAGTCTTACCAAGTCAATACAGAATAATCTTGATTTGCTAAAGTCTTCACTTGCAAAAATGGGAAATCTCAAAATGAGCTTGGAAAAGGAAATTAACAATTCAAACTAATTGGCGAATCTTATTAAAGATTACTTTCAATCACACATTTTTGAAATCAACTGAATACGGTGACTCCCAATCTGTGAAAAATGGTTCAGTCCTCGTTTTTGTGAAAAGAAAAAATGATGAAACAAACCTCAAGTGGTAGTTCAACCATTTATCATCACGCACAGAATATTCCGAAAGAAACACCATTGTCATTGAAACAATTGAAAAACTATTTCGTACTCAAGCAATTTAAACATTGTATTTCCTTTATCCAACAACATTTCGGAAGTGATTGGCAAAGTATTTCTGGCAATTCATCATTTTCTTTATCTCAAAAACAGAATATTTTCTCAATACTTATTCAGTGTTATTATGAAACAAAAGAATATTCAGCAATTCATCGGCTATTTGAAAAATCAAGAAATAACATTCCTTCCCAATGTCTCAAATTATATATTGAATTTTGTTTAAAATTGAAATTATTTGAAAAGGCCAACGAGATGATCTTTGATGATAATCAACTCTCGGAACAAGAAAGAAGAAATTTGGAAAATCAGTTACATAAAGAGAGATTGGAACAAGAAGCACTCATGGAAACAGCTAAACAAACAAAGGCCTATTCATCATTACTTTCATCCATGTACATCACAAAACCTTCACATGAGGAGTATGAAACGAGCACATTCGCTTCTCAAAATAAGTTTGAACATTCTGAATCATCGTACAGTCATGGCTCCAATAATTTCCAAATAGCTCACCAGGAGCACAAAGTAGAGCAACACAAACCTTCCAACAGGATATCCTCTCTAGCCTCCCTTACAAGATATATTTTAGACTTTATTAGCAATTACAAGGTTGAATTGGCTTTGCATGTTGTTTCGTTCGTTGTGCTTTATGTTTTACTGAAATAATTATCAATTTGATTGTAAATATATAAATTAGTTTTTAATGATATGAAATCTAGCATTTCTTGGTTGTAAATTATTTCGTTTGTGGTCTGTTTCCGCATGGTTTTATCATCCTCTCAATAAATTGATATTTCTCTCGATGAATCGATTCGTTTTCAATCATAGCAAAATATGATGCCATTGGATAATGTGAAACATAAGAAGAATATGTATCTCGTTGTTGATTTACAGCCCATTCAAATTTTGTGGTGTCAGCATGTCCAACTCCAACAAATTTGTTTTTTAATAATTCAAATTGGTTTGCTTGATCCGATGATGACTGAAATTTTAGATGCAATCATTGATTTCGAGTGTATTCAAATAAATTGTTAATATTAAAGTTTTGAATAAAACATCTCCGAATTATCATGATTAATTATGACTCACATCATCGGAGTACTTACCATTTTTTTTAAAAATGTTATTTAAAAATTAATAAAACAGCCGTAGGTCAAACCAATGTAAAATTCATCTCACTTTTAAATTCAATATCCAATAATGATCAACAATGTAATCTTTTATTCGTACTGATACTTGTATCTGATTTAGTTTTTTTCAACTGGTCAATTCATGCGTCGTCAGCAAAAAAATGTCGTCATCAGCAGCAACGTCCAATCTCACATCAACGGATCCTTCATCAGCAACAGTGATGAACACTCCATCCTCCATAACAACCATGTACTTAAATGATATGAACAAATGTCGAGAAATTTGGAAGAACTTTGAATTGGATCGGAAGAGAGATTTATTTGATTCTCAGGGAATTAATATATCAAAAGCGAGAGAACAATCAGCAGCTAATAGAAAGAACCTTGCTCAAATTACAAAGGATTTTAAGAAACTGAGCAATGAAGAAAAGGTTAGCTCGTTCCAGAAAGTATTAAAGGCATATCAGGAAGAAATTGATTCTTTGACCAATAGAAGTGTGAGCGCAGAAAAATTGTTTTTGGATCTATACCAACCACTCCGAGAAGCTCCTGATCCTTATTTTATTATCTGTAAATATCAACAGTTGATTCAACAGCAAAGTCAGCAACAAAGTAACCAAGAAGAATATGAAAAGACAATATCGGAATTGAAAAATCAATTAAATGACTATGAAAACGAATTTATGCATCTAAAAAATCAAGAGGTTACAATTCGGAAATTGGAAGAAGAAGTTCTCAAGTACAAAAACCAAAGCGAATTGTTAAAAGAACACGACTTTATCATTCAAAAACATAAGGATCGTGAAATTATTATTCTCAATGAATTGAAAGAAATCAAAACAGAAAATGAGAGACTGAATAACCTATATATTGACACTCAAAATTTAAATTATGAGCTGAAAACCAGGTTGGAAGAAATTGAGGCTTCACGTCAATATCAAATAGATTTACACCAAGAGCGAGTACTACAGCTCGAGAATCAAATTTTAGAGTTAAAAAGCCAAACCAAAACATCAATCACTGAACATTTGGAAGGGTCCATAGATGAACAAATTGCCATTAATGAAATGAAAACAGAATACCTCAAGAAAATATCAGAGCTAAAGGAAGATGTGAAAGAAAAAAATCACAAAATTCAACAACTACATCAACAATTGCAACAACAGCAACAAGTCATATTAAACATACAGAATGAGATGGCTCAACTACCAACACGAGAAACTCTCCAAAAACTCCAAGAAAGAATTAATACACTCCAACAACTAGAGTTTGGTTATGACTCCAACTCGCAAGAAAAGTCTGTAGAGCAGTTATTGAAGGAGAAGGTGATTAAATTAGAAAATGATCTCACGAAATCTAACCAGAATAATAGAGAGAAAGATGAAAAAATTGAAGCTCTCAACTCACAACTCAATGAACTTTCTGTCAAGGCTTCAGAACAATTGAAGACGATTGAAAAACTCGAAGCCAACGTTGATCAGCTCATGAAATCCTCGACTCTACCATCCAATACAGAAGAAGTGAGCATATCAGAACCTCAATCTCTCATTTCTATTCTAACAGAGCAACGAAATAGATTCAGAGATAAGTACAACACATTGGAAGAAGAGAACTTGAAACTCAAACAACACATTGAACATTTAGAAAATGAGCAATCCAAATTACGCAAAGAAAATTTAAAGCTTTATGAGAAGACAAAATATTTGCAATTCTACAACCAGAATGCTCTCTCTTCGACCAACAAACCTTCTTCATCGCAAGATTACGAGCCAATCCAAAACAAGTATGAACAGCTCTATGAACAAGAATTAGATCCATTTAAGAGATTTCACAGAAAAGAAAGAGAAGAACGTTTGAACAATATGACAGCTGCTGAAAAAGTAATTTATAGATGTAGCAGCTTAATGCTGTCCCACAAACTTGGTCGAATGTTCTTGTTCTTTTACTTGCTTGCTCTGCACACCTTAGTCTTCTTTACTTTATCCAAATTATCAGGTCTGACGATCCGAAGAAAATAAATGCGCAAGTGAGATCTTATTGTCAATCATAATTCACAACCATCGATAATTGTCCTTGTTCCAAGGCATCTTTCTCAGCACTTTTGCCATTCCACAATTATCGACTGCGGAAGATAAGGCGGCTGCAGCAGGAAATGAAGCAGTACGATACAGAAAGACCCTCTTCTTACTGATGGCATATCCAAACAGTGAACACAGAGTAAGTACACCTGACATGAAGCGAGCTTGTCTTTCAAGAGACCACACATGACCACCCTCTCTTCTCTCAACTAGTAATGGAACCAAAGGGTTGTTTGGTTTATGTGTGTTTTCAGGGAGTCTGTTGTTAATTTCATTGAGCCCACCCTCGATGCTTTTGCAGTGAAATCCCTGAGTAGAGAGAAGGGAGCAAGCATGCTTAGATACCTCCCCCTCTGTTTGACACACAACGTACACAGGTTTGTGCTTGTGCAAAAGTCTGAAATTAGTGTCCAATGTTGAGTAGGGCAAGTTGACACAAGACTTCAATTGTTGGCGAATGCTCGAAATCTTGTTGCGATCGAACATCAACAATTTGTGGTGTGTCCTCACCATGTTGGTTACCTCTTGATATTACTACCTCTTGGAGGTAATCATCAATAGAGAACTGTTCTTCTCTTGGGGTGGCTTTCATGATGTTGTTTTTTCGGAAGTGAATTAATTTTCTGATCACATTCCATATCAGTACTGTTTGTGTGATTTAGATCACTCTTAAATTCGAGTAGTATGATCAATCACATCTATTTGCACAGCATCAGAGGACACTCACAAACTTGATTCCTCAAAAAGTGCACTTATCACGCATCAGATCGATGAGGGGTAGTTGTTAACAATTATTGTCGTGTTCCTCCCTATCACCTTCGAGAAAAAGCTCTTTCAACTTGTTCGCCAATTCCCTTAACTCTTCTGGAATAGATTCATCACAAGAACTCTTCAAATATTTATCAAGGATGACTTGCTCTCTGAGTTCCTTCAAACTCGAGTGTTCCATATTCTCTTTCAATGTCTTGGTTTGCAACATTTCAATAAGAAAACAAAAGATGGCTCTCAAATACTTGTATTCAGGTTCTGTTTTGTAATAATCCATTCTTGTGGGTTCATTCTTGTATTTTAACACCACATGTGAATGAAAATATTCTTTAAGAATTCTATTGAGATAGGGAATGAGTTCAGATAAAATTCTTGAACCTAAAAAGTCATCAAATTTGACTCCAAGTAGTTGAATGAGTTCAATGGTTCTCTGTTTCAGAACGATGGATGTTCTCTTTTGTAACAAGTGAGTCATGAGCATGGGCCACAGGATGTGAATGGATGATAAAATCTTATTTCCTGTAGAATGTTCGTCCTCTTCACGAATATTCGAATGTTCAAACATGGAAATTGCATGTTCAATGATCGTAAGGAAGGAAACACTATTGAGTAAGGAATTTTGTGAACTATTCATGAAATGTTGTAGTTTGAAGAGAATGGATTTGATAGTGGTAATTTCCTTTTCAGACAATTCCTTCTTTTCAGACAACTCTAAAGATTCTCTTTCTTGTTTCAAAATATTGAGTGTCTTGATAATATTTCCTAGAATTGAAAATAATGTTGGAAGTATTGTCTTTTTCAAGTTGGAAGACTCTACGAGTTGTTGTTGATCTATGGCTGCAAATACACTCTGAATGCAATCATCCACAATATTGACCATATTCAAATGAGTTAAACATTGTTCATAAGATGTTTCTCGCGTTGCAGGTAGGGATGTGAACCTCTTTCCAATCACATTGTATTCAAAGAGTGTATTTAACACTTGAGGAATGTGTGGATAAAGGGATAGATATTTCAATCGATATCTTATGTCATCAATCATGTAATCAAAATTAGTGGCCAATAAATACATGACACAATCTCTTGGGGATAATAAATCCTTATTGTTTGGATAAAAGTGTTTGGAGATTTCATAAATTGCCTTGAAACAACTTTGGCGAATGTGAATCGATGAATAGCCAAGTTGGTTCAGAATTGGGTATAAAATTTTAAGAAGAAACATGTCTCTTTCATCCTGATGATTTGGATTCACAAATTTAGCCACTGCACTGATGCATTCTAGAATTAAGCAATTCGTTTCTACTGAATCCGTTGACGTCTCTATGAGCTTTTCACTCATCGTATCAACAACGGTGTGAAGCATAGTTCTTGAAAAATCTTGAATGAATTCTTCGTGAGAAGATGCTTCTTGTAAGAGCCCTTCAAGTATCTGAATGAGCACTAAGATACTCTCATTTCTGTAAGAGAGACTTTCTGACGACTTGTTTCGTATTGAAAAGGCAATTGAAAGCAAATGTTCGATATATCTCTTTGAGAAAAGACCTAATTCTCCTCCTAACAAACGACAAATGGAATATATCACTTGTATCATTCGGTCATCCACAAAATTTAAGAAAATCTTTTTAGGAAAATGATTGTCTTCAGTAATGGGGCTGTAATGATCCATTTGTAACGAAAGCATGAGAGTCAGTGTGATTTCTGAAATTACTTCATCAGATGATATGAAATTCGCTCCTTTTTGTGATTTCAAAATGTACTCCATGTAGTTGTGAAATAATTTGAAGGTTACAATCTTTTCTTTTTCATTGGTGCTCCTACATAATGAAGGAATGCTCTTGACTAAAGTTAAAAATCGATTCTCTATTGAATCTGAATGCTCAATAAATTCAATATTATCTCTTCCTCCCACAAGTAAGCACTCCACAAGGACATCTACGGAATCAGACAGCGTGTGAGAGCATTCTTTTAAAATATTTGCACAATTTTCTAACATGCACTGTTGTATTTCCGTGACTTGATCGAACGTAACCGTTGAAGAATATTGTGCATAAATTTCAGTGCTGAAAATTTTTCTTAGGAATGGTTCAAACTTTTCAAATTTTGCTTTCACTTCTTTCTTTTTGTCATTATTAGCAAAAATCATTTGGGAAAGTTTTTCAATTGTGAGTAATGTTTCACCACTATTATCAGATTTTGTTACCTGTGACTCTGGTATAAATCCATTCAGAACGTCAGAACAATTCATGCATGTGACTGTTCCAAACAAGTCAAATGCAGCACATTGTACTGCTCTTGCAATATATGGTGGAGAAATGATGAGTTTTGATACTTGACTAATTAATCCTGGGAAAATACTCTCAATGATAATTTTAAAATTGTCATCTGGTAAATGATCTTGAGTTTTTCTGCATAGGGTCAATAGGTCACAAATAGTTCTGAGAGATGTCTCAACCAGAAGTCGGTTTCTTTCTTTCAATGCAACGTCCAACAATTTGCTTGCAAAGATACTAATGCTTTGAACGGTAAATAATTTAGAAGTATGAGAGTATGACACCCATTTGCAATTCACCAAGTCTCTAAATGCATTCATTAGTGACAGTTTGAGTTCTTCAGATGAAGCGACGGAAGAGCTATTTACAAAAATCTCTGATGTTGAATTATTGATATCATCCGAATAAATAATATGAATAATAAATAATGACTGGAATAGAGCAATAAATTTTTCTCCCTGTTCCATTGCTTTTAGCTTTCTAAAACAAGAGGACAAAGCGTCTAGAGTATTTTCTAGCACCACAGAAGGAAGCCCATTCGATGTTGCCTTCTTTTTCCGATAAATAAAATCTTTTTCCAATATCAACAGGAGTGGAAAGGTAATATAATCTAGAAACATATCAATATCTTGATTACAATTGCTAATAAATTTTGTAATATTTGTCAAGGTCGCGTTTAATTTTGCTGTTGTGGTTTCCGAGAGAGGATGAGTAACTTGTTGCAACAGTGTAGCTAATTCCGAGCATTTTGGTTTTAACTCTTCCCTAAAGAACTTTAGGGCATTAGTATCCACAGATGAAATCCTGCTGGAAATATTTCTGATTTGAGGCTCCGATGTATTATTATTCTCTGCATAAGATGATGGAGAGGATTGCGGAATCATTTTTTCTGGAAGAAACTTTTCTCTTTCGCTCTTCCTTTACCTTGCGTGTGGAAAGTGTGGTTGAAGACATCCAATTTTCTTTTTTGCTCCTCGATCAGGTTCAAGGTCCTCATCAGCTGGTTCTCTGGCTTGCATTTAGTGCTTGTTAAATCAACTGCTGATATTGGAAGGAAAGTGACTTCTCTCGTGAGTTTCGAAAGTGCTTTTCTCAATAGTTTTTTCTGTTGTTGAGATTCATCCTCCATAAATATTGGATTGTGAACGATGCTTATCATCGTATTTTCGCTCTGCTGAATCTTGGAAATGAAACTTTGATGCTTCAAGTGTTCTAAATCACGACGAGCTCTTTCTAGCTCAAGTTTCTCAGTTTGATCTCCCATAATAGATGGTAATCGTTTGGAAAAAGATGGTGTACGCGAGAGTTGACGTTGTAAGGTGTGTTTTGGGTGTCCGGATTCTGAAGGTGTCAAGCGCAATTTCTCTTCCAACTCTTTGCAAAATGTATCAAGAGTAATAATATCATTTCTCATCTTGTCGATAGTGTCCATATAAAGTTGTTCCTCATGGATTGCTTCCTCATATTTTAACTTGAAGTGTTCCAAATCTCTCAGCTGTTCTTTTAGATCCCTGTTCTCATTTTCAATATTTTGAATAGCAATTTTCAAACCTTCAATAGTGTCTCGTTCCTCCAATAGCTTTTGGAGCTTTTCTTGCAAATCAACAATGACTCTCGTCATTTCTTTTTTCTCTCGTTCTGAACGCTCTAATAACGGTTTTACAACATCACATGCCTCTAACTCCTTTTTGAGAGTTGAAACCCGTTTGGACAGAATAGAGTCTATTATCTCTATAAATGATTGAGATATAAGCAATAAATGGCTGTCATCTTGTACTTACTATCGTACGTTTCTGACTGTTCAGTGTTCTCAATATCAATCAATGAAGAAAAGACTTTATGACTAAAGTATCGTATGGTCTCTACTGGTAAAAATAGTGTCACTCTTATGAAACAATTCGCTTACAGACAATACATCCTCATGAGAGATTCCTAAAATGGAGATGAGCAATTGAGATAACTGCCTGAATGAAATATCCGAAAACTGGTGATATGAAACATAGGCCACATCTACTTTAGAATTAAGTAATAATTTTTCAATTTTTGATAGTTGTTTCTCCTTAGAATCCGAAGAATATGAATGAATGTGAAAAATTTGCAAAAATCTCGAAAGCACCGTTTCATAGGCTAGTGTTACAAATAGTAAGGCATGCTTGATATCTAAAATAATTTTAAAATTGTTTGTTGCCATCAATACATTAGCCTTCATGGTTAAACTGAATAATTTTCTGACATTTTGAGCAAAAATATGAAATTCAGATTGGCATTCCGTCATACAATCTGAAATTTTCCTGTAGTTGTTATCTGAACTCTCACTTTCTAAAACTATATTATTTATCACGTTCTTAATATATTGTATCATCTCCATTAGCGCATCCAATACACGAATGCATGGGTGCAAAATGACCGAAATATTTCTAAAAACTATGTAAATGAATGACATGTTTTACCAAAAACATACCCTGAAAACTTTGAAGATAATTCAAAAACATCATGCAATAAATTAGCTATTGAATAGGAGAGAGAAACCGCAATTTCAACAAAACTGTTTTCTGTTAGAGTTGCTTTTTGTATAGTATGTAGTAGACGATCAATAGCATATTGTATCTCAAACAAATATTTTACATTTGTAGATATTTCTTTTATACAATCAATACTACCGATTCTATAAATGTATAATTCTAGAATATAAATACACGACGAAAGGAAAAAGTGAGCCCTAACATGGTAATCCGTCGATGTCAAGTCAGGGCATGAGCAGCCCTCAAACATATGTCGAATAGCGCAAGCTAGTTTTTTTGAGGAAGAATCAATGGAATAGAATGTTTTCACCCATGATGCATGATCCTCCCAAAGTTTTTCTGGAAGAAATGACTGAGTGAACTTAATTATATATTGAGTACCATTGACTCTACACTTACATATAAAATGTCCTTTTGTTTAGTCAACAATTCAATATCTATTTTCATCAGCTCTTTTTTAATCTTCCAAGATCGAAAGTTACGTTCATCGTTGTTTAATCCCGAAATCAATTGTTCACTCGCTTGGTGACGTGAGATGTCAGAGTTCTTTCTGTCCAATTTAAAACATTCAATCATCTCTTCTCTTTCTTTAATCGTTTGTTGTAAGTTGATTAGACATTGTTCTAAATCGTGACAATATGCCTCTCTTTCAAAAAGCTCTGTCTGTATCATCTCTATTTCCTCCCTATTTACCCTCTCGAGATCAACATATAAATGTCTATAACATTCTAAATTCCGTAATTGTGTTGCCATTAGATTCAACGCCTTTGAAAATGTCATTTACGCTAATAATTGGAAAGCATTACCTACATTTGAATAGTCAGTGTTTTTCGTGATCAGTTCTTGAATTTTTTGCTTGTAATGAGTTTCGACATCCAAATATTCCAAACCTAAATCGTGTTTTTCGAGTTCACTTTCCTTGAGCATAATTTCGTCTAATTGTTCTTGAAGTTGTTTTACATGCTCCTCTGCAATTTCCTTATCTAATTGTAATTCTTCTACCTGAAGTTGCAGGTGTGCAATTTTATCTTCGTATCGATTTTTAACAATTGTCAATTCTTGTTCGATCTTATTTTTTTCCTCCTTCAGCGCATCAAATTTACTTTTATGCTCCAATAAAATAGCTACACAATTGCCTTGTAACAGTAATTTGATAACTTCAACTTACTATCAACATGTGGGTTTTCAAAATGTTTTTTTTCTCTTTCCAATCTTTTTTGATGAAGCTCCTCTAATTTCTTTTCTTTTATAGAGAGTCTATCAAGAAGATCCTTAATCGGAATTGAAGAATGTGATGAATCGTTGACCAGGTTGGAATTTTCATGTGCATGATTGGTTCTACGAGTTTCTTTTCTACATTTCAAACTCTGAGCCAACACAATTTTAAAATATCTGATCTATTCAAAAGACATACCTGCAAATGCTCACTTCGGTCCGATTGTTGTTGATGATCTTGAGAGAGTGTCGTTTGTATTCTCTCGTTTTTGCTAAGAGAAGATATTTCTGAGCTTTTAGTCATCACGACCAGTGGCTGCTCATCTGCCTCAATATGTGCTGAATGCCGTCGAGATGTTGTATTGATGGATTTAGGCTCATCATCAACACCTCCCATCGACGCATGAAGCGAACGATTCATTTTTTGTATTCCGAATTCGGATACATACCAACATTGCAATCCTATATGAATAGAGAGATAATTAGTAGTGAAATATTATTGGTTGAATTGTATTATTGATTACATCAGTTAAATACATAAGTATTATTATTTCGAATGAATTTAATATTTCGAGGACCTTTAAAACATCCAAGTTTTAGACACCACCACAACAATCATTAAAACATACCATTGTACCCCACAATGTAGTTGCTTCCATCTCTCGGAGTTGTTTGTTGCATTGCTATCAGGACAATGTCATAAATCCACTTTAAATTAGAATTTGGTCAAAATTAAGGCTATTGAGCACGTTGGCCAATACTTACCAAAATGCCAAATCCACCAAATGTAAATAATTTAAATAATCCATAACCAACGTGACCAAGATAGAATCGATCAATTCCACAAATTCCAAAGAAAACACTGAGTGCCATAGCTATGGAGAAGTAATAACCGTTTCTGCATCAAGAATGTTGTCATAATGTTAACGTATAATAATGTGAAAGTTTAACTCTCTCAATCACGTACGTATAAAAGCATGAAATTTCCTTGTAAAAGGTTCTATCTCCGCTACATGTCACACCATCACGAGCAGTGCAAGACACTTTTACAGTATTATTTGGTTGGCAACCTTCGAATTCATAAGTCTTGTTTGAAATTGGTGGAATGACACAAGAAAATTGCGTTCCATACAGATCATCACAAGGAGGAATTACATCTCCCTCTCTATTTCCAACACTTGTGCTACTTAGTATTCGGAATGAGTTCATGTTCGAATTTGGTGAATATTTACTGTCTTCATAATATACAGGAACAATGTTCGATGCGGTCAATTCATCTCTTACAAAAGATGCCACGATTTTGTCAAACATGATGGTCGTGTGTATGGCTACAAGAAGTAAAATCGTTGAAAATAGCAAGTTGACATTGTTGACTGCTCTCGTTTTCGTCATATTGGTTCGCAAAGGTGATTGTCGTTTTGTAAAAGCAAACATTTTTTTGATTTGTTTTATTTCTGATGATGTAATCCAAAAACCCAACATTTGTTGATGGTGTGTTTACATAATTTAGTGGACAATGATGCCAATATCGGTTTTAGCAGAACGAATGGCAGCCAAAACATCTTCCTTTGTGACTTGAGGTTTGCTTGCCAATTCTGCGAAAATCTTGCTGCTTTGTGGGTGTTTTGCCTTGGTTAAAACTTCGCTAATAGTAGTATAGAAAGACTTTGGTGCTTCAACGCCCAATAAAACCATTTCTTCCAAATAGTTAACAGCTCTCAATGGGTTAGTATCAAAGAGACAACATCCAATCAACATTGAAAATGTTTCAACATCAGGTACAATATTTTCAGCTCTCATTTCTTCAAACATGTATTTGGCCTTATCGGATTGAGCATTTTCAACACATTTCCAAATAATTTCATTGTAGTGATCGACCGTGATTGGCATTCCCATATATTTGAGAGAAGCAAACTTTTGGATAGCAACATCAGCTTGTTGAGCTCTCACTAACAACAAATAAAAATATCCGATTCGAAAATGTTATATTATAACAGGAATGATACATACCTGATGGATTTGCTTCGAATCGGACGTATCTGACTTGTTGGGCGGAAGTGGCCGATAAAAATTTGTTATTCTTCACAGCAAAACGAGAGAAGCGAGAGAGCATTTTTTTGCGATATTTTTGAGATGTTTACAACAAAGAAGAAGCCCCGTTCTCTTCCAAGACGCTTTGCTGCTGTTGTTGTGTGTACTCACCACAATGGGTCTCAATAGAATGAAGACTGCTTGTCAGTGGTAAATGTTAGCTTTTTGCTTGGAAATATGCATCAGAAACCACTACTCTTTGTTATCACCAAATAGATATTTACCTCATAAAGAATATTGAAAATCAGGTCCTGATTAAGCCAAATTTTAGGAACAATTCCGAAAACACACAAGCCATCAAAAAAAACGCTTCCATCACCATGAACAAGAAGAGTATTGAAGATATTAACCTATCTGGAAAGAGAGTGCTCGTACGAGTTGACTACAACGTTCCTATCAAGAATGGTATCATCAAAGACAACACCAGAATCAAAGAAACCATTCCTACTTTGAAATACATTCTCGATCACGGAGCAACACAAATTGTTTTAATGAGTCATCTCGGCAGACCTGACGGTAAGGTTGTTCCCGAAGCATCATTGGAGCCTGTTGCAAAAGAATTGGAAAAGTTATTGGGTGATTCAGTTAGATTTGCAAAGGATTGTGTTGGTCCAGACTCTGAGAAGGCTGTTCTTGAAGAGAAGGCAAAGATCGTATTACTTGAAAATCTCAGATACCACCCAGAAGAAGAGGTGCTAAAGGGAACCTCGGATGAAGCAGTTGAAAAGTTTAGAGCTCAGTTGGCCAAGTACGGAGACGTTTATGTGAATGATGCTTTTGGTACGGCTCACCGTCCACACTCCAGCATGGTTGGATTGAAGAGATTGGGAACTTGTGTTTCTGGATTTCTATTGAAGAAAGAGCTTGATTATTTCCGAAAGGCTTTGGTTGAACCACAACGCCCATTTGTTGCAATTCTTGGTGGTGCAAAGGTCAAGGATAAGATCAAGTTGATTGAAAACATGTTGGACAAAGTTGATGAGATGATTATTGTCGGAGGAATGGCTTTCACTTTTAAGAAAGTGTGTTTTGGTGTCTCAATAGGAAAGTCTTTATTTGACGAGGAGGGATCAAAAATCGTGGAAGGTTTGCTCGAGAAGGCAAAGAAGAATGGTGTCAAACTTCACTTCCCAATTGACCACGTTTGTGCCAATGCCGTAAACGATACTGCTGAGAAGACTGTTTACACCGATGAGCAAGGTATTCCTGATGATTTGATGGGATTGGATATTGGCCCACAATCTGTTGAATTGTTCAAACAAGTTATTCTTCGTGCAAAGACCTTGGTTTGGAATGGCCCAGCAGGTGTTTTCGAGATTAAGCAATTTGCAACAGGTTCAGTTGGTTTGTTGGATGCTGTTGCAACTGCAACTGAAAAAGGTTTAGTTTCAATTATTGGAGGTGGTGACACTGTAAGCTTGGTTTGTAATTATGGAGCTCAAAATAAGGTGTCTCACATTAGTACAGGAGGAGGTGCTTCCTTGGAATTGTTGGAAGGCCGTAAACTTCCAGGAGTTGAGGCTCTTGATGACAAGTAAACTCACAAGGCAGAAGCCATGACGCACTTTTGTTGGTCAGTGTACTTTCTCAAATCATTTTAAAAACTGTTTGTTAAACAAATAAAAAAATGAAAAAAGAAGAGAGAGAAGCTTGCTGGAAAGCCAAAGAACTTCTCTTTGAGTGTTTAGATCAAAACAAAGAGGATATTTCGAAATGTGAAATCGAATTTATGAAATTGCAAAATCTTTGTCCGGAGTCATGGGTCAACCGTTTCATCGGAAAAAGAAAATTTGATAGAGAAAAAGAAGACATCATCAAAAAATGGGGCGACCGCTACGTAGAAGAACGAAGACGAAAAGTAGAAGCATTTCGTCGTGGACCAGAACAGAAAAATAAACAAGACGAAGAATTCTAGACGAATTTCTGATGACAACCCTTGCGATACATTTGGCTGCATATTATTTCCACAATTTAAGCAAAAGGGGTCGGTCAGATCGGAGAAGAATGTCCTATTGCATTAGGTTTTTGACAAATTGACCGAGCTCTTCGTCCGTGTAAACCTAATGCAATAGGACATTCTTCTCCGATGTCTGACCACACACACCACATTATTTAAGAGCCACTCACTACTCGAGTGGCATTGGGCTCTTCCCTGGTTTCCACACTCTTCAAGTGTCTAACGAAGCTTGCAAGATCAGTGTTGGTTCAAAGGTATGATTTTAATTTAGGCGCCAAAATTTCTAACCCGCCAAACAAATACAAAAAAAAATTGTTGACTTTACCTTCCTTTAAAGAAATTGAAAAACTCTGTAGTAATTCCATCAAAATGTCGGATTTAACGACTCTTCCAAAAGGACCTCCTTCCAAGAGATCATCACTCAGCTCGGTTGGCTCAAGTGATGGCACTAACGATTTTTCATTAGGGCTCAATTTAGGTAAAAAGAAAACAAAAAAATCAAACATGATATTTGGGGGAGGAAGCTTTAATGATGTATTTGCAAATGATAATGAAGATAGTGACAACTCGGAAACGAATGAAGACCTCACCTCTATTGGAGGTCTAAATTTATTAGGAAATAAGAACAAAGCAGGATCCACCAAGTCGTCGAGAAGAAATTCAACAAAATCTTCCAAAAGTAACGGATCCAGTGAGTCCACAACGTCACTCACCAAGTTAAACTTTGATATATTTGGAAAAAAGAATTCCAACACCAATACCGATGAAACAATTTCTTCCTCTGGGGTGAGTAACTCTATTGAGATTGAATAATACATGATTAAGCTTTTTAGTTTTCAGATTTTGATGATGATGAAGTTGGAGAGATGCTTGGATTGGATGATATGTTACCAAACACAAGTAAAAAAAAGAAAGACAAAAAGAAACATTCACCCAAAAATTCCACTTCAGAAACCTATTCTTTTGACACCACACGAACAAAAAGACCAAGCTCCAGTAAAAGACCGAGCGGATTTTCTCCTCCTGAGCCTACCACAGAGTCAAAGCATGATAAAAAGAAAAGATCTTCCAAATCAAGTGACGATTTCGATTTTGAAGAGGACAAAATGTTGGAAGAACAAGAAAAAGAAATAATGAAAATCAAAGAAAAAGAAGAAAGAGAGAAAAAAGAAAGAGAAGAACGGGAAAGAAAAGAAAGAGAGGAAAGAGAAAGATTTGCAAGAGAAGAGAAAGAAAGGCTGGAGCGAGAGGAACAAGAACGTAAGGCAAAAGAGGAACAATTACGGCTTGAAAGGGAAAAGAGAGAACAAGAAGAACGTGACCGAAAGGAACGAGAATTAAGGGAAAAGAGGGAAAGAGAAGAGCGTGAACGGTTGGAAAGAGAAGAAAAGAAAGAAAGGAACAAGAAAAACAAGAACGGGAACGACAAGAAAAAGAAAGAAGGGAAAAGGAGGAAAAAGAAAAGAAAGAGAGAGAAGAGCGTGAGAAGCGAGAACAAGAGGCAAGAATTGTAAAAGAGCAAGAGGCAAAGGAAAGAGAACGTAAAGAAAAAGAACGACAACAAAAACAGCAATATGCTTTCGAAATGCAAGAAGAGGTCATAGAAAGCGACTTTGAGGACTCCATCAAGGAGATTGAGCAACCACGAGCAGAAGAAACTGACGTGGAAAACTTTACAGATTTTGAAGACACTTCAAATAATACAGCGGAACATCACAATGTTGAGGAAACTGTGGAAGAAGAGGAGGTACCGGTATTTGACGAGGATTTTGATTTTTCAGCAGATCCTGTGGAAGAAATGAAAAAGTCATTGACATACCTAGATCCAGAGGATCCACCAAGACCTTCGAGATCATCAAATACTTCCTCTAATAACACTATGACATCAGCTAGTGTGAAGCTTCCAGCATCACCAATTAAGGACACTGATAGCTCCATGCAATCTCCAAAACGAGATATTTCAGGAGCTACAAAACAAAATCAAGAATATGTTGTCATGCAACGGAGTTTAGTGAAAGAAGATTTAGAAAATATTTCAGGCATCTTCAAGCAAGAATTCAAGCAAGAATTCTCTGAAGAGAGAGCAAAATATCTTTCTCAAATCGAAGAATATCAAAAAACTATTGAAAGACAAGAGGTTCAAATCAAAGAGTTTCAAAAAAAGCTTCTTGATCAGGAACTCAAAGAAAAAACATTATTGAATGAGCTTCGACAAGAGCAAGAAGAAATCATTCACAGAATGAAAATTAATTTTGACCAAGAGAAACAAGCAACCGTGAATAATGTTCGAATAGAATATGAATCTACCATACAAAAATCCCAACTTAAAATCGAACAACTAAAGGAGGAAGTAAAACAACGTGATTTACGGTGGCAAGAGGAAAATGAAGAGTTTTTAAGGAGACTCGCAAGAGAGAAAGAACGAACGGATCTTACTATTGCCACCGAGATGGAAAATATGAAAAGACGAACTCAAATGGAGATTGACCAACTTCACAAGTTACATGAAATTGAAAAAGCTGCTTTGATTCAACGCCAAAAAGATGAAATTGAGGAACATAAACGTATTTTGAAAGAAGAGCTTCAATCGAAGATGAAACACGTTGAGGTAGAGTCCTCTTTGAACGATTTAATCAAGAAAGTGGAAGTTAATGCTCATTCTGTAGAAACGCTTCACAACAGGCTCTATGAAGATCAAATGAAGCTGCTTAAACAAAAAGAAGATCACTTGCTGGTAAGAGAACGATTAATTGCCGAGAGCGAAAAACATATCCAAAAGCAAAAGGAGGAAACCAATGCAGAACGGACACGTATTCAAACATTGTTTGTAGAAATGGAAACAAAGATGCAAGGAATTCAGAAAAATTATGAAGAGGAACGCCTTTTGACAATGAAGAAAGACAGAGAGCTTGAAGAAAAGAAACGAATCTTTGAAAAAGAATATGAAGCAAAGATGAAGGAAATTTATGGAATGAGAGAGGCTCTCGATGAGGAAAAGAGCAAATTCATTGTGGAAAGACAACAATTCATGGTTGAAACTCAAGAAGAAAGATCCAGGCTTTCAAGAGCTCAAAAAGAAAATTTGGCAGAACGCGAATCAGCAAGAATTGAACATTCAGCACGAATGAAAGATTTATTTGAAAAGGAAGCAAATTTATCTGCGGAGAAGAAAAATTTAGAAGAAGAACGAAGACTCATCAAAGAAATGAAAGATCTCATTGAAAGGGAACGTAAAGATATCGAGGAGTTAAAAACAACTCTTGTGAAGGAAAAAGAAGCCCTTTACCACCAACATGAGGCTGTTTCTCAAAAGATGATACAGGTACAGACTGATGCTGAGCATATATCAGCAAAATATCACGAAATTATGAAGGAAAAAGCCGAAATAGAGAAGATGAGAAACGAAGCGGAAGCTCTCAACAGAAATTATTTATTGGAAAAGAAGAACCTTAAACAATTAGAAAAGCAATTACAAGACCAAAGAAAAATGCTTGAAATCGAACGACTGGAGATTACCAAAACTAGAAAGCAACTAGGTGTCGAAAAGGCTGAGATTGCAGCTCGATCAGAAAGAATTAGAAAGACCGAAATGACTCTCAATGAACAATTGAAATTTATGAATTTGACTTCATGTGTGGAAAAGGATGTCATGGACGAAGAAGAAGAGATTTCTCCACCAAGGAACCGAAGACATTCAAGAGAACGAGACTATTCTGACAAATCAGATCAGCTGTCGTATGCAGACAATGTGAGCCATCATAGCAACGATAGTCCTGCTGCAAATGAGAGAAGGTATTCTACTCCAATACTCGAAAAAAGAAGAGAAGACACCACAAGACCTTCCACATATTCCGGAGGATGGATTTCTTCAGCCTACTATGACGTCGATGACATGAGAAATGAATGGAAAATTAAGGAACAACAAAAGTTTTTAGACCAGATCAGTTTGCAAAAGAAGGTTTTTCTTGGTAGCAACCCAGTCGAAATGAATTCGATGGAATCATCCACCTCTATTCCAGTCTCTTCAAGTTGCAGCAATCCTTTTCAAGGCTCTTCACTCAATTCACACTTTACTCCCTTACAGCCAATGGACAACACAATCACCACACTTTCCAGCCAAACCAACTCTCCTCTTTCCACACAAAGGCAAGAATCTGGTTTGTAATTTGAACTCTGCTCTCAAAGAACTCTCAAGTTATTTTTGGAGGCTAGTTTTCATAATTTTTGTAAAATTATTAAAAAAAATAAGTTCATTCACGTTTTACCCTTCACCATGCAAATCAACATCAAGACCTTGTCAGGCGGTATCAACAAGTTGGATGTGGAAGAAACAGACAAGATCACCTATCTGAAACAACTCATTCAGGAAAAGGTCGGTATTGCTGTACCCCAACAAAGACTCGTCATGAACGGAAAGATTTTGCCTGATGACAAGACTGTGAAAGATGTTGGACTTAAGGCCGGAGATACTGTTCAATTGATTTTGCAATTGAAGGGAGGATGTTTTTAAATTGATGCTGAATGTTATTCACTGAATAATTTATTTTCTGAGCTTTGATGATCATCAGTGTACGTCATCACAATAAATCCAAAAAATTGTATACAAGTGATGATGATCATCGTTCACGAGACTGTCGCGACAACAAATGATTTATTAGAATGGCAAATTATTTGTTTTATTTTGTCTTCTCTGTCCATTCCAAATAATTTCCGTGGTCAACTTTTTAATATGAGTCGTATGAGTCCAGCGCTCCGTTACTTCAAGGTTCATGTAATCACGATCATATCAATTCAACAATGATTACTGCATCTCTTGTATCGAATGAACTTCAAACGCAACAACAAAAAAATGGCTCAAGTCAATATTTTGGCTTACACAGCACTTCGATGGTTCTTTGAGTAAGTGTTCATCATGCCGTCATGTGTATGATTCCAATCAAAACACACATGGTCACGACCATTCGGAACAATCATGCATGATCAAAAAACATAGATTTTGCATTAGCTTGTTCTATGCAAATGTAAGCGTAAAAGGAACAGAAAACATTCCAAAGAAGGTTCCAGTTATTTTGTATGTATACTTGTTGTTTGATGAACTATCAACTTACATGACCAACAGCACTGTCAATCATTACAATGGTCTTGTGGATGGTGTGATCATTTATTCACAAGTGAGCAAAAGAATTGTAAGAAGGTAAGACTGTCGAATGATATATAAACACAATGATGATGATCTGACAGCTGTTATTAGTGTCGCAAAAGCAGAACTTTTTAAACTACCTTTATTAGGAACTTTCCTTAAATTATTAGGAACAATTCCAGTGGTTCGTCAACAAGATATCACTAAAGATGAGGAGGAACAAAGAAGACAAGCCAATCAAGCAGCAATTAATGCAATGGCTGAAGTATTAAAATCAAATGATTGTCTTGTAATATTTCCTGAGGGAACCAGTCACAACAATTCAACTTTGACAAAGATTAAAACAGGTTTTGCTAGAGCAGCATTACAAGCTCTAGATTCTGATGAACATATTTCAAAGGTGATTGTAGTACCTGTAGGATTGAATTATGATTCCAAGAATGAGTTCAGATCGGATGTTTTTGTTCAATTTGGAAAACAAATTATTATTGATAGAACGCACTTGACAGAATTCAAAAAAGATAGTACCAAGTTATTGGACAGTTTAGCTGATGTTGTACGAAAAGGAATGCAACATGTGACTGTTGTTGCAAATGATCCTGAAACAATCTCTGCTGCACATATTGCAAGATCATTGGTGAGAAAAAGATCCAATCCTTTGTCACAAGAGGAATACATCTTTCTTACTCAAAAATTTATTGATGTATTTGAAACACAACAAGATGCCAAACAAGTATTTACTACTTTGAAACAATTAAGCTCACATATGAGATTATTGAATATGAAATATTCAGAACTTTCAATGAGATACTTTTTTATTCGAAAACTTTTGACACTTCTTCTCACATTACCAATTACACTTCCTGGATCAATTTTCCATTTACCAGTGGGGCTTGTGAGCAGTTATTTTGGAAAGAAGATATCACATGGATATAGAGATCAAGAAGCTCATTACATTTTAATGATGATGATTTTCCTTTTACCATTGTATTATATTTTCACAGCAATCATTCTCACCATCCTTTTTAGCTTTAAATTTGCTCTTATTTGTGCTCTCTTATTGGCTGTGAGTGGAGTGATTGCCGTTCATTTAAGACCTGTTGGTTATACCATTCATTTGTTCAAATCATTTGCCAAGTTATTACTTGTGAACAGAGAAGAATTATTAAGAATTCAAAAACAGTTGAGAGCAGATCTTCCTCCACTCATTGCCAAGCACATGAAAGAGGTTCTTTCTAGAGGCATTTTGGATGAAGAAATTGAGAGTCGATGTCAAAGCTATCTCAAGATGCAATAAATTCGATCAGCTGTATATATGCATTCAACCAAATTGGTTCCAATCATTTCAGGTAACAATAAATCCGGATCAGCTGTGTCTTCCACGAGTGATTTCGTTTCAGAAAGGTTGCAGTCTCTCTAGGTGGTTTTTCCCATCTTTTTTTTTTAAATTCAATTTTATCAAAAAAAAATGAGCAGCGGAGCAGAAAAGGTCTCATCATCCTCCACACAAAATACATCATCTTCGGAAAATACTTCATCACTCCAACAACAGGAAAAGATGAAGGAGTTGGTTTTAAAATTTCTACAACAAAATGGATTTCAACGATCGGTGAAGGCTTTGGAAGAAGAATTGAACGGTCTTCCTTCTGGACAGAGTTTAGTCACAACAGATATTTCGGAATTTGCTTCTACGTACGATCTAGGATCTGCCAGTAAGTGTTATTTATTATAGTATTATAAATTATTAACCTAATAACTTAGATGGTGAAAGTGAAGTGATCAACAGTTTTATCAGCGATAGACAAGGCGGAAAGGGTTATTTGCAAGCTTATCAATCTCTTACCGACTGGGTTTTTTCATCACTTGAAATTTATAAGGTTCGTATTTGTTTTTTAAGTTGTGAAAAATACATTAATCTTTTAAATAGAATGAACTTGTTCAAGTATTATATCCTGTGTTTGTTCACTGCTATTTGGAGCTTGTAAACAAGGGACATATTGAGGAAGCAAGAAAATTTTTAAACAAGTACAAGAATCAACATTCACATTTCCACTATGATGAAATTTTGACTCTTCAAAGTCTTCAATCTCCAGAAATAATGGCACAAAATGAGTTTTCTAAAAGATTATTGTCTCATAAGTTTATCATCAGACTTAGTGAAGCCAGTTTCCATTTATTAATGAAGTTCTTGCAGGATTCATCCGAGCTAAAATTATTATCTATTTTAAATCAGTATGTCAACTTTAAGACATACAAAGGTCAACCAAGTTTACAGGCACCTGCCATGATAGACGGAATTTTATTAATGGATCACGATATCAAAGCTCAGCAGCAAAAGAAAAAACGAAAGGCCACTTCTGACGAGGTGGAGGGATCTGAGGACGAGGATCTGACTGAAGATGACGAGGATGAGTTAGAAGCAATATTTGGAAAAAACAAAAAAATCAATTGGGAGGTTGAAAATAGAGAAAAAGAAGAAGCATTAGCCTCTGTTGTCACCGTTCCTGAAACCCCAATCGCTCCTCAACCAAGTAGAAGAGGAAGAAAGAAAAAAGGATCAACAACAGCTGCACAAACAGAAATTAAGAAACTAATAGACATTGCTAAGGAGCAAGTCCCTATATGTCCTTCAGTGTGTTTCTATACATTTTTCAATTGTAGCTCCAATTTGAATACTGTTGAAATTGGTACAAACTTTGAACACAAACCATCGAATTACTTTATTGAGGATGGAGATTTTGCTCCCCAATATAACCTAAGGAATGGACCAGTAATTGCTGCTGGATTTTCTGATTCCACAATTAGATGTTGGAACTGGCGTATTCTTAATGGCACTATTCCTAACACAAAGTCGTATGCGAGAAGCTCTGAAAACATCAATTCAGATGAAAACGAAAATAGAGAATGTCAATATGAAACTCTTGTTGGTCACTCCGGACCAGTGTACTCCTTATCTTTCAATTCAGACCAACAATGGCTACTTTCAGGTAGTGAGGATTGCACAGCTCGTTTATGGAGTGTTAACAATTCTGAATGTGTGGTTGTTTACAAAGGCCATCAATATGCAGTTTGGAATGTCTCTTTCAGCCCAACAGATTATATGTTTGCAACAGCATCTCATGATAGAACTGCAAGACTATGGGTTACAGACCGAGTTACCCCCGTAAGAGTTTTAGCAGGACATTTGTCTGATGTAGAATGTGTAAAATTCCATCCAAATTGTAATTATGTTGCTACCGGTTCAAGTGACAAAACTGTTCGTCTTTGGGATGTTCAAAATGGAGAATGCATGAGAATGTTTATTGGACATCATGGTTCTATCAACACACTTGCTTTTTCTCATGATGGAAGGTATTGTGCGTCTGCAGGAGATGACCAACAGGTGATTGTGTGGGATATCGGCTCTGGTAAAATAGCCTACAAGTTTATTGGACACACTGGTTCAATTTGGTCTCTAGATTTTAACAGAAACGATACATTCCTTGCATCTGCCTCTTTAGATTGCACTGTGCGAGTGTGGTCCATGTTTGACACTATTGACACTGGATCTTCTGCAGAATCGGCTGCGCAAATCCTGAAAGAAAAGAAATTAGAGCTGAACAAGCACAAAATAATTTCAAAAGAGCCTTACAAAACCTATTATACCAAACAATCACCAGTGTATTCCCTCAGGTTCACACAACAAGATTTTGTTGTAGCGAGTGGTGTTTTCAACTTCTAGTTACGCCCTAAAGATTTAAAGGTCATTAAAATCTAGAATGTTAAGGAATAAATGAATTTATTACAATTTACGGTGTAATGGTTGGTCATGAATACAGTGTGTAAAAGGAAGAAAGAGCTGGTGGAAATCTGTTATTATGGTAAATATTATTTTGCAATCTGTCGAGCAAAATGGAGAAAAAGCGAAAGAGAAAATTGGAGAAATAAAGGTAAAAGGCAATGTGAAATGTCAAAACCATTGATGAGACTTTTGGGAGTACTGAGGGTGTAAAGTGAAGATGTCATTCCGGATATTGTCATCATCATCATTGACTGTAGTACGGTCATGTGAGATTATGATTCGAATGACCAATTATTGGTTTTTACAGCCATTACCTGGAGTTCCCGATGATGGTTTGACATCTTCTTTTGTTCTAGAAAGTTTCTTTCCTTCCAAAACATCTTGAGCCGAAGCTACAATTCCATCAAACTGACCCACAGCGACTCCATGTCGAGCCAATTCGAGGGCCTTCTCAGCACCCTTCTCCTTATTAAACTGTATTACTGCCGAGCTGAAAACTAAAGCATTGGCTTTGATCACATCAATGGAGGCAATACCTCCGCTCACCTTTTCAAAGAATTCTCTGATTTGTTTTTCTTCGGCAACAAAAGGTAATTCAAAAACGACTATTGTTCGTTTCAAAATTTTTTCTCCTTCCTTTTCTTGTAGAATTTCTTCGAGTTTTTGTTTTATAAGATTTCTTGATGTGGACATGAGTTGGTTGCAATATGAGACAATAACACTTGTTGAAAGAATAATAATTGATGATAATGATGACGGAATGAATTCCTTGATGGTGAGATGTCTGATGATATATGATACCAATATAAATATATTCTTAAATTCAGTGCGACGGTGTGGAGTATGATGATGACAATGATGTTGTGTGAAAAGCAGACTTTCACTTCCGTAAAGTGACCACGTACGTGATGATTCAAAGTATAAATTTTGGTGGAGATGGACAATATATTTGTTTCCTGAAAAAACTACGTGGGTGTTGCTGTTGTTGCTCTGATGATGACGGTTCCCAGTACCGAGAAAATGACAGCGCACTCGATGATGACTTAGTATTTTTTTGATTTAGACAACTGACATTCCGCTCACCATTCGCTTTGCATCATCTTGTTACATTCCTCTACCAATGATTCGTATTCACCACCATCATGATGATGGCAATCAACAAATTCAAAGACAAAACGATCATGGTCGGTAAGACTTTTCAGAGTTCTTTTAGGCATCGGATCACCCGATTCCATTGTATCCTCCCATTGAAAGCCTTCCTCCTCTTGTAATGAAAGCCTGAAATGATGACTTTCTTCTTCCTCTTCTTTGAGCTTTATCAATGATGGCTCTTGTTTTATAACTCCCATACGACTATTGCTTCTGGAAAAGAGAATTTCATCCTCTGGTTCCGTTGAATCCTCTAACCCTTGCTTCTGAATGGTTGTTTTTCGTTTTTTCAAAGCAGAGAGTGATGAAGGAATACCCATGAGAGGACTTTTTGGGTCTGAGCAAGGAGGCTGCATGGATTGAGAAGTGCTTGAGGCTGTTGTTGCACTTTTGCAAGACATGAAAGAATAGTAAGGAAAGAGAATGCAAACGAAAGTTTTTTTTAAGCAGAACATCCAATATGTAAGCCTCACACCTCAAAAAAAGTTGAACAAAGCGCAACTTTAAAAAACTAGCCGTTACAAATATTGAATATTTAAAAATGTTCAATCTTCATTATCGTGGACTCTCTGGCAGTCCTTCCTCTCGACTCTCGGAATCACAACAACAGCTTTCACCACTTTCAATGTCGTTTGGAGAGGATGAGAATTTGTTCGAGTTTTGTGATTCTCCGCTTTTGGATTTCAAAAGTAAAAGCAACACTCTGTTTGATACCACTGATTCATCATCATCAACAAGCTCCTCTCATTCTAAAGAATCAATGAAGAAAGCATCCTCCGAAAATCCAAAGCCTGCAAACCTTCAAACAAAAAAGAAAAAATCAGTAAAAAAGAAATTGAAAGTGGAATTTAAAGATCTCGAAAGCTCATCATCCGAAACAGATGATGAGGAAAAGAAGATCAAAGCACCACTCCCGAAAAAGAAAAAAGTCGAGACAAGTACAGCTGTACCCGAAAAGAAAAAGAGTTTATCGAGACAATTGAAAGAAATGATCCAAGAGGTGAAACAAAGAGTGAGGCTTGAGCAACAAGAGACGACCGATGATTTTCAAGTCAGTGAGGACGAACAAGATTATGTACTTCCATCGTTCAGTCAAGAATTAATCAGTAGTGAGGATGAAATGGAGAAGAAAAAGAGAAAAAAGCCTCATAGAAAGAAACAAATGGCCCAGTCATTGATGATATTCTCTGACATTCACTTTGTGGTTTCATCATCTCTTGTAGAGAACGATAAAGAGGCTGTGGATCGAATTATCAAAAAAGAGAATGGTACAATTATGCGACAGTTATCCTCAGAGCTGATGGATACTTATGTGAACAAGAAAATTATATTAATTAGTGAAAAGTCATCAACCAAACCTACTTTCTTAATTGCACTGTTACTTGATATTCCTATTCTAAAGCCACAATGGATATTTGACTGCTCCAATCAAAATAGACTCCTACTTGAAGATCAAGAAATTAAGAAATATCTTGTAGATAGAGGTTCATACCGATTAAGATCTAATCCCTCCATTCAGCATGTTGAAAAACAAACTTTTAACCAATCGCTTTTGTGCTGTAAGACTGAAAACAGAATTTTCTATGGCTGTAAGGTAAAGATTATTGACAACTCTGAGGATCAGTCTCTCACAACAGGTTGGAGTGGAATTTTAAAAGTAGGAGGCGCTCAAGTGGAAGAGTATTTGGAAAATCAAACAAACGAAGGATCTAATTTTATATTTGTGAAGGATGGTAATGAAGTTCCACAAGAAATAATGGAAATGGCAACGCAAAGAAAGTTGCCCATTCTTGACAGAGAGAGTATTTTGAAAATTGTGATAACTTTGGAAAGAGAATTTTCTCCAGAGC